CTACAACAAAACCTACAACTCATACTACCCAAACTACAACTAAACTAACAACTCATACAACCCAAACTACAACTAAACCAACAACTCATACTACCCAAACTACAACTAAACCAACAACTCATACAACTCAAACTACAACAAAGCCTACAACTCATACAACCCAAACTACAACTAAACCAACAACTCATACTACCCAAACTACAACAAAACCAACAACACACACTACTGAAACAACAACAAAATCAACAACTCATAATACCAAAGCTATAACAAGTTCTACAACCCACTCAACTTCCACATCTATGGAATCCTCCACTTCATCTTCTTCAGATGATACCTTATCTCAAGGTCAAATTGCAGGCATTGTTAGTGGTGCTGTTGCCGGTGGTGCGTTAGGTGGTGCTCTATTAACTGCTGGTGGCTTTTTGGCTGCAAATTCCCAAAATTCTTCTAACAATCGAAAATTTCTACGTGGATCTATGGTATATGCCATATAGTGATGTAATTTGTGGACTTTTTAACAGTTGTTAATTTACATTAGTTTTTTTTTCTTCTAATATGGTTTATTTTTGGTGATTATATATTATATTTATTAATGAAGTGTTATTTTTGTATCTTTAATTTAATATTGTTTTATAAATGATTATTTTTATATTAAATTGTATTTTTCAATTTTCTAGTTTTTTTATTGTTAAGTTTTATATCTGAATTTGTTTTTATTAAACTATAATTATCACGGGTAATGAGAATAATATATAGTCGAAATTCCATCGAAAATAACTTTATATTATAAAATATATAAATGATTCAATATTATATTTAAAAAACTTTATAATTATTAATCTCATATTAATCAGTATATAACTTATAGATATAATCCTATCATTATTCTAATTATTAAGAAATCTAGCAGGTAGTTAAAAATCAAATTCTCAATGTAAACCATAGAAGAAAATATTAATAATTGAAATGTATACTATAATGTGAACAGTTGGAAATTAATATTTAAACTCTTTACATTAATTTTTTGGTAATGAAAATCTGTTCTATATGCACAATGTTTTATTAGATTACAATGAAATTGTAATGTATATTCAAAATAATACATATAATACAACAATTTGTTTATTTTCCCTATGACATTATACTTAAATACATTATCTTTGTGATATCCAATAATTTTCCATATAAAATAGATATATAAAAATAGCTACATTAGAATTAGAAAAACTTCTGTATATGTGAATAAATATACAATTTATGATAGAATTTGAATTCAAAGTTTGAAATAGTCCTTTTTATTTTTTAGAATGAATCCACTAACTCTAACTTCTCTAAATATTCAAGAATTTATATCCATTATCAAAATAATCTATTTAGAAGATTAATAATACAATATATCTTTATATTTAATTAATAGTATAATGGCATATATAGATCTATATTTAAGAGATAAAATAGATTATAATAAAAGAATTATAGCCTCTCAATATAATTATTACTGAGGTAGTAATGTGGCCCACTATTACCATACTGAAATAATTCAATCAAATATTGATGTGACCGGATATAAAATATTTTTATCAGATTATAGAATTTATAAAGTTATTAATATAATAAAACCTAAACATATTAGTGTAGTAGTTAGCAGAGCTTATAATTTCCTAGCTATTATTGTTAGATCTATTTTTACTAGTATTTCACTTGTAAAGTAGTATTATTGGAATAGATAGAAAAAAACAATCGTGTAACAACTATTGTTGTATTTATCATGGCTATATTTCAGAATAATTACAATTAAAACAAAGGAATCTAGCTACAATAATGATAATAATAAATAATTTTATGATCATATTATCTAAAGTATTTAAATATCTTTAGTTAATTATAATTATAAAAGACTTTAATATTGGGAAATAATCTACTATTATAATTTATATCTATACAATGTTGACTTTCTTTTTATTCCCATTTCTTAATATAAAGTGTTTGTTTTCTCTACTTCTAATGTAACAATCTATAAATATTTCCTACTAGTTTTGCATCTTTATTTTCTTTTCTTTTTTTTTTTTGTCTTTTGCGGGATTCTTTCAATACTGTCTTATATGTTTATACCTTTTCTATAATATTCATTATAACTTTAAACTTTTGATAGATCAATTAGAAAATTAATGAAATTTTTTTTTATTGTTAATAAACTTATACCTAATGTCTGTTTGGAAGTTAAGTTCAGATTAACTAATTGGCTTATTAATATTGAAGAGCTAGATACCCGTGATCTATTATTTGATATTTTAATTGATTTATATCATCATCTTAAATTTGGTGAATTTGAATATGATTTGATGTTAAATATACTTTTAGATGTTCTTGAGTATATTTCTAATATGGAAAACAATGATTATGAAAACCTTTTTATTTTTGGTAATAACATTAATAAAACAACGAATTTTTTAATCTTTTTTTTAAATATATTAAAATATATACCTGCAAAGTATAGTTGGAAACTTGTAATTATTCTATATAATGAAATAAATAATATTAATAGTGCTACTTTTACTATTATTTCATTACTTTTTGAAAATATAATAACAAATATCTATTTAGCATATTCCTTTTCAACAGAAATATCTAAAATTGATTTTAATAATGAAAATATAAATAAACAAACATATAATTTAAATTCAATTATAATTAATGAATTTGATAATAATATTTTAAATAATAAATATAATGATGTAATGTACAATAATATAACTAATGATAATATATATTTAAAATTTTGTTTTAAATTAAATATACCATTTTATAAAGTTAATGAAAAATATATAGATGGAGAATTTAATAAATTAATAAATTTAGATGATGAATATAATTTTGAGTTAATTTTAGCATTAATTAATATTATTTTAAAAGAGAATAAAGATTTTCAAAATTTAATTTTGAAATATTTAATTTTATATGAATCAAAAAAATTATATAATATTAATCCATTTTGTGTAATTCTAATTAGATTATGGCTTTTAAATATATTTCATTTAAAAGATGAAACTGGATGTATTAAACAATTAATCTATTTTATTGAATCAGGTGGAAATATATATTTGTTATATGACTGCTCTATAATGGTATCTAATTGTGAATTATTTAGCATAATTAATTTTGTTAATAAAGATAAATATAAAGATGATTGTAGTGATATTTTATTTATTTTAAAGATATCATTATTTTTACATAAGAAGGAATATAATAAAATTAATGAAAGTTCGATGGATGGATTGATTTTATCTGAAGAGGATATATTTTTAATAAAAAATTATCTTAATATATCATTTGAGAATTCATCTCAAATTACTCAATTTATTTTAAATAAAATTGATTCTGATATATCATTTTGTTGTAATAAATTGCAATATATAATAAAAAGAATGAATTATTATTGGGTTGAAGATAATTATTTTAATATAATTATAGAAAGATTATATTTTTTAATTAATCATACTTCTTTATATATTCGTCAATATATTTTAAATATTTTAAATTATTTACCATTAAATACTATTTCAAATGAATCTCATATAAATTTAATTGGATTATATTTATTATTAATTACAAATATATCTCAAAAAAATATAAATTTAAAATATCCAAAATATATTAAAGAAATAATAAATAAAGATTTAGATTTTTTTGATAATTCATCAAATGAATATTTTAAATTATTTGATGATTATATATTATCTTTAAAAAGGATATATAATAAGAAAATTTTGGAAATTGCTATTCTTCAGTATTTATGGTATTCAATTATTCAACTTTTATATAATAATTTGTCTAATAAAAGAATAATAGTTAAATTAGAAAATATAATAAAATTGATTCCTTCAAATTATTTAATAACATTTTTATGGTATATTTCAATTCATAATTCTATAGATGCTATTAATATAATTCAAGATTTTAGTCATTATAAACGTTCAATAGCTTTGATTCAAAATAAACTTTTAAATATTCAGATTTTTGCTTTAAAATTACAAGATTGTGCAAGAGAAATTTTGAATATTAATATATCAAATGATAATATGAATATATTTTTATTTGTTGTACAAAATCTTAATTTAGAATATAGAAATAAATTTATTTGTTTATTAAATAAATATTTAAGATCTCAAAATTTGGTGGATAAATTTTTGAATATATTTCTTAATAATATTCTCCAAAAATCAAAATATAAAGATTCAATTTCTTCTAAATATATGAAGATTATTGATATTTTAATTTTATTATGTTCAGATTAATTATATAAAGTTGATACAGATAATAACTAAATTTAAAGTTTTAATCATTAATATTATTATTTTATATATTCATATTAATAGTATTTTATCTCAAATATTAAAAATTACATTAAAAACTCTTAAATCACTATAAAAGGATTATATTATTTAAATTATAATAGTTTTTATTATAACCAATATATATCTAATATATTATTATAGATTCTATACTTATTAAAGTTGAATTTTCTCTACAAATATCTATATATATATAAATTCTGAATTCTAAAAAAGATAATTTTAACTATATTATTCTATATATAGAATAATATATTTAAAGTATAATCAATATTATAAATTATAAAAAGTAATAGATTTATATCATCTTAATAATAATTTATTAAATAAAAGATCAAGTATATAAAGATATTAAATTATTCTGTAATATTTTTGTTTAATATTTTAGAAAATAAACCAATTAACTCACAAATAGGTGTGAAGCTCTTTATTATACCTGTGTGATTATTAATTCTCATTAAAATAAATAAATAAAAAATTTTTAATAACGATGATTATATTTTTAAAAATATTATTTTTATATATATTATATTTGAATATTTCCATATTAGTTTATTATAATTCATCCTTGCTAGCTAATGGTTCAGTTAATCTTGTCCAATTCAAACCAATAGATAATTCAAATATCGCTCAAGATGAAAATTTATCTGAATATTGTACTGAATGTACTATAAGATGTAATAAAAGGAAAAAGAGTAAAAAAAGATCATGTTGGCGAAAAGTACTTCGATTTTTTAGAAGAAAAAGTAGATCTTATAAAGAATATATAAATCCTAAACAGGTTAAAGTAGAACAAAGAGTTACAACTCCAATGAATATAAAAGGTGGTATAAAAGTTATACCTGAAGGGTTGACAAGTTCAGCACTTTATTTAAAAATGCAAGAAAAGGGTTTGAATAATGAAAATAATAATCCTATTAATCAAAAAAAAGTTTCATATGCATCAATAGAATGAAATTTTTTTTCTAAAATCTATCTTAATAAAAAAAAATTTAATTATTAGAGTCAGGTTATAGTATGTATGTAAAATAATAATATAATACTTAAAATTATATAATTTGAGTAAATATAATAATATTTTGTATTATCACATGAATATTTATAAATTTCTTAATTATATAAACAAAAAATTTACTATTATATTTAATTATTTTTGTTTTTATTTTTTTTCTAATCTTGGATTAAAATTTATACAATACTAATATAAAATAGCTACTTTTACATGTAGGACGCCAAATAACGTATACACACACAATATTTATTTCTAGATATTACTTATAAAACTTTATCTCATCTAAAAAAAAAAGTTACATTTAATTTATTAATTTTTCTTTTTTTTTTTTTTTAATTAATAGAAATTTAAAAATAACATTAGATTAGTAGAATAATATTATAAATAAGATATTAATGTCTAGCTCATTAGGATCTATAAATAATTTAACTGAAGAAGAAACTAAAAATCTATCTGAAGAACAAAATAGAAATACAAGTGAACAACAAAATTTAGATTGGGTTAATAAATGTTGTTGTACATGGAGAATAAAATTTGAAAATAATACGAGTAATTTAGATCATTCTGATATTAATATTAATGAACAATCACAAAGAGTATTGGAATTTCGAGATAGTATATTAAATCAGGTAGACAATATTATATCAGGATATAGAAGACAAAGTATATTAGATTCTATATCAGAATTTGAAGATAAATTATTAACAATTGGTATTGGAGATGATAAATATTATAATAGTAGTGATTCTGAAAATTCAGATTTAGAGGAACAATATTTAAGAGGGTATTCAGATTTTATTAAAAAACCAAACTCTATAATAGATAATAATAGAAGAGTAACATCACCACAATACATTTCTAATAATAAAGTTGATATTAAAGAAAATAAAGAAAATGATTAAATCAATTAAAGTTAAATTTATCAAGTTACTATATTATTAATAAATTTCTTTATTAAAAAAAAAAATTCTTTTTAATATAATATATTTATTATTTCTTAGTTAATAAATAAATAAAAATAAAAATTATTTTGAATTATAATTAAATATAAAAGTATTAAATCAATATTATAGTTATCTTTTATTTTTAATATATTCAAGATAAGAAAAAAAAAAATTCATGAATTCTAATATTCTTGTAATATAAAAATTCTAGAAATAAACTAATTAAAATACTTAATTAATAACTAATTAAATATCTTATCAATTATTATTTAAAAAATCTAGAATATTAAAGAATTCAATTCAAATATTTAAATTATTATTTAATAAATATATAGTTTTTTTTGTAAGTTTTTTTTTTTTTTTTATTAGGGGGACATCTAAGTTGTGATTTTTATTTGTTTTAGTTTCTTTATATTTATTTCCTTCAATAAATGAATTAGATTTAATATATTTATTATAAGTCAAATTATTAGATAAAGTTACACCACAATTCTCACATTCCTTTACTTGTAAAGATGTATCAGATACTTCTTTTAAAGATTCTGGAATTATAACAATTTTTGATGGTTCAAGACCCTTGAAATTTATTGAATGTGTTGGTATATGAGGTGATAATAAGGTACCAGAACAATGATTTAATGGGCATGGATAATTTACTTTCATACAACATTTTTTTGGTCTCTCATAAACAAAATAATTAAATGGAATTTCTAAATATAAATCACTATACATAATATATTGGATAATAAACTGATGATATATTTCAGTTTCCATTTAATTCTTTATAATTAATAAATAGTAATTAGTATTATTAAGATAGAGGTCAAATATTTACAATATAATTAGCGGGAAATAAACAAATTATCGAGGCTAATAAATAGAAATTGATTATATAAAATTCACGCCATATTATTTATTAAATATTAGAAGTTAAAATTAATTTAAGAGACATTAATTATAATAGATGATAGGATACTTAGAATTATTAAATATATTGTTATTTTTGGTATATAACCTTAATAGTATAAGAACTCAAACTATACAAGAAGATACCCAATTATTTGGAATTAGAAATGTTTATACTAATAAAGTACCTTCAAAATTAAAATATGAAGGTATACCTTTAGTAATGCAGGAATTTAAGGTTAAATTTATTAAAGAAGTTGATCCTTATTTAAAAGTAGAGACACCTTTCCAAAAAATTGTAGAGGCAAAACCAGTTCTTGAATCTTGTGAAGAAAAAAGTGATAAACTTTTATTTAAGACAAATTACATAATTGGTGATATAATAAAAAATAAAGAGAAGATTGGAGAAATAGAATATCCTCGTAATGGTAGGAAAGATATATTATATTCTTGGTGTGATGGTATAATAAAATATATTACTAAGAGTGGAGAACATTCATTCAATGATACTCTTTTTATAATATATTGTAGTGATTCTGAAGATTTTGATTATAATATTAAATATAGAGATAATTATATTGGTAATGAAAATAATATGGGAAATGATGAATTTGAGTTAAAATTGAGACATAATGAGACAAGATTAAATAATAAATATGAGAATAGAGATATGGTAATTGAAGAAGATAAAATAATAAAATCAGAATCATGTATTTTGTATGACAATAAAGGTGGAGATTTAATTGAATCTAATATATATGATGAAAATAATATGATTCAATCTAATACAGATAATGGAAATTATACAACCAGATCTAATACAGATAATGGAAATCATATAATTGAATCTAATACATATGATGAAAATCATACAACTGGATCTAATATATATGATAAAAATCATACAACTGGATCTAATACATATGATGAAAATCATATAACTGAATCTAATACAGATAATGGAAATCATATAACTGAATCTAATACATATGATGAAAATCATATAACTGGATCTAATATATATGATGAAAATCATACAACTGGATCTAATATATATGATAAAAATCATACAACTGGATCTAATACATATGATGAAAATCATATAACTGAATCTAATACAGATAATGGAAATCATATAACTGAATCTAATACATATGATGAAAATCATATAACTGGATCTAATATATATGATGAAAATCATACAACTGGATCTAATATATATGATAAAAATCATACAACTGGATCTAATACATATGATGAAAATCATATAACTGGATCTAATACATATAATGGAAATCATACAACTGGATCTAATACATATGATGAAGATCATACAACTGAATCTAATACAGATAATGGAAATCATACAATTGAATCTAATACATATGATGAAAATCATACAACTGAATCTAATACAGATAATGGAAATCATATAACTGAATCTAATACATATGATGAAAATCATACAACTGGATCTAATATATATGATGAAAATCATATAACTGGATCTAATACATATGATGAAAATCATATAACTGAATCTAATACATATGATGAAAATCATATAACTGGATCTAATACATATAATGGAAATCATACAACTGAATCTAATACATATGATGAAAATCATACAACTGAATCTAATACAGATAATGGAAATCATACAATTGAATCTAATACATATGATGAAAATCATACAACTGAATCTAATACAGATAATGGAAATCATATAACTGAATCTAATACATATGATGAAAATCATACAACTGGATCTAATACATATGATGAAAATCATACAACTGAATCTAATACAGATAATGGAAATCATATAACTGAATCTAATACATATGATGAAAATCATACAACTGGATCTAATACATATGATGAAAATCATACAACTGAATCTAATACAGATAATGGAAATCATATAATTGAATCTAATACATATGATGAAAATCATATAACTGGATCTAATATATATGATGAAAATCATACAACTGGATCTAATACATATGATAAAAATCATACAACTGAATCTAGTATAGATAATACAAATAATATGATTCAATCTAATGCACATAAAGATATTACATCTGAATTTGGATTATCAAATTTGAATGAAATATATACATATATTGATACAAATTTAAGAGGACCTAATAAACCCAATAATAAAAATTATAATGGATTCAAAATAGAAGCTGAAGATTTAAATTTAAAAGAGAATATACAATATGATAAAGATATGATTAATGAGATAATTGATTTTTCAGATAAAAATGAAACTGATTTAAATAATCAATCTTTATATAATAAATATAGACAAAAATTAAGAACACTTTCTAATTCTGAAGAATATAATAATACAGTAACAGATATTAATAATAATAAAATAGATGAATCTATTTCATTTAATGAATTTAATGATACTAAAAGTGAATCTCAAGCAGGATATATTAATGATAATAATATTCAATTATATGGAAATAAACATTTTATATATATTATTGTTATTCTTATATCTATTACCTTTATAGTATCACTTTATTTATGTTATCGTTCAACAACATCATAAATATGATAATAGAAAATTCGGAATATACTTTTCATAGTATTTATTTCATTAAAAGGAAAAAAAAAAGTATGTGAAGTTTTTTTATATTTAATTATGAAGTTTTCAAATTTTATTGATTATTATTGGATATAGAGTTAATATATTAATATTTATTGTATAATGAAATAATTTTAAACAAAATCAAATCAATAAGGTATAAATAAAATTGTTAAGAATATTTTATATTTCAAATAATAAAATATTTATGAATAGATTGGTTATTAAAAATTGATTATTAGTAAGGCATATCAATATTATTATTTACATATTTTTAAAATCTAGTACTATCTAATATTAAGAGATATTTCAATTTTTATTATTATAACCAAATTATGAAATAATATCAAAGATATTTCTTAAATGTGATTAGTATTTAAGAGAAAAGATGTCAGACTTAATATTATTATATAATGTGTTATTTTAAATATAAGAATTCTTATTATTATGATTAGAATTAATTTAATTGTAACAAATATTCAAGAATCTACAAAATATTATAAAGTGTGAAAAAAAAAAAAAAAGTTGAGCGTGAAAGAAATTTAGATTAAATTTATACTTATTTTACTTCCTTAAATTATATATTTATATTATATATATATAATATTTAAAGAAGTTATTACTTTTTTTTAATGTGGTATTTTATCTTTAATTTTAGAATTATTAAGGTCTTAGATTACTATTTTATTTCTAAAGCGGGACTTCAAGAGACGGTAACTGTTATACTTAGTTAAGTTTCTTTCCTCTTTCTTGGTTCCTTCTTTTAATTTACCTTTTTTTTTCTGTATACTATTTTGATGACTTTACAAGATAAGATTGAGAATAATATTAAAGAATATGAGTGTATATATTCTAAGAAAGGGACTTATGATATTGAAAATTGTACAGAATCAATTGGATACTCTTACAAGACTCAAAAAGTTGATGGAATTTTAACATTACATGATGATGGTATCGAATTACCTTATATATCCATTTTTTATGGTAAATTAAATATTAAAATGAGATATGTAACTTTAATTTTGATGATATTACAAAGTGTATTTGCTGTATTATGTATGAGACTTTCTTTAATATATCCTTCAAAGGATGGTAAATTTTATTTATCTCCTGTTTCAGTTGTAGTTGGTGAATTTATGAAACTTATAACCTCACTTATATTGATATTTATTACTACATCAGAATGTAAATTATCAAATTATAGACAAGCTTTATATGATGAATTGACAAGTGATTATTGGGGTAATATTCTTGTTTGTATCCCTGGTACTTTATTTCTTTTTCAAAATAATTTATTATATGTTGCACTTAAAAGATTACCTGTATCAATATATCAAGTTATATATCAATTAAAAATAATAACAACAGCTTTATTTAGTGTAATTATTTTAAAAAGAAAACTTAGTTCTGTTAGATGGTTTGCTTGTTCTATGTTAGTGATTGGAGTTGTATTAGTTCCAAAATCATCTAATAAAGATAATTTAGAGACTTCTAGTTCATTTCAAATAGTCATAGGACTTATTTCTGCAATAATATGTTCAATAACATCTGGACTTGGTGCTGTAATACTTGAAAAAGTCATTAAAAGTGGAAATAAAACTGTAAATTATAGTTTAATTGGTAGTAATGATGAAATAAGTCATTTTAAAACATCAATTTGGGGTAGGAATGTAATTTTAGCTTTAATAGGTATAGTTGGTGGTATTCCATTAGCATGGTTTAGTCATAAGGATGCAATATTAAAAGATGGTGTTTTTCAGGGTTTTAATTTTTTAACTATAATTGTTATTTTATTGAATGCATATGGTGGATTTATTATTTTGGGAGTATTAAAATATGCTGATGGAATTGTGAAGTGTTTTTGTAATGCCATAACTATAGTTTTGATATCAATACTTTCGTGGATTATTGAAGATAGTACTCCTACAGCACAATTCTTTTTAGGAGCATTAATAGTAATATCTGCTGTTAATATATATACTTTAGATTGTCTTATTCCAAGTTCTATTGTTGTATATGTTAAACAAAAACTTAATTATAAATCTCTATCTGTTTGGAATAAAAGGCAGTATATATAAATTTATTATTTATATTATTAAAATATGAAGAAATAATAAAATTATACAATTTAGGTATTTGGTTTCTTTAAATTTATCATTTAGATATTATTAAAAAATAAATGTTTGTTTTAATAAATAAAAGATTTGATATTTTTTTTTCCTTTATAAATTAAAAATTAATTTTCTAATTTCCTAATATTCATTATTTTATTTTATTTTTTTTATAAAGATTTTGTTAATAATAAATATAGAAAAGAAATTAATTAGGGAAAATAATATACACCATAATGATAATTCTGATTTCCATTCAATTGGAAAGATGTTATCTTTTTTAATACCATAAAAAGGTGAAGAAAGGTCTATAATATTGAAGAGATTAATACTTCTAGATGTTATATCATCACAATTTATACGTAATATACAACTAATTTGACATGGTGGTGTCCAGATACAAAAAAGAATAAATATATTTATTATTATTACCCAAGAAATTAGAAATTTATTAAGTTTTATTTTTACTATAAATGAACCTCTTTGAGTAATAATCCATGATTGATTTATTAATTGGAATACAAGATAACACCAAGCAGAAGAAGATTCAATATTATCTTGTCTAATATACCATAAATGTGGTGGAATATTTATATTAAATTTATAAGCTGGAGGAATATTATATTTTGGAAGAATGAAATGGATTAATCTATACATAACTATAATAAAACCACAATAATTTATAATAAAAGAAGATATTAAACCAAAATAAAATATTAGATTTCCTTTCTTTTTATTTAAAGAATCAATCAAAGGATATTTCGATTTTAAATTAATTATATTTTTATTTGTATCATATAATTCTTCACTTAATAGATCTTCTTTATTTGTTTCATATATCTTTGGAGTAGATAAAGACATAATTAAAAGTGGAATAAGTGCACAAAATATATCAATAAATAACCATGCTAATCCAGGAATCATTCCTTGAGAAATCCATAATAAAGTAGATTTACATGAAATAATTAAATTACCTAATAACGTCATATGTAAATACATTATTATAGATACTGTAGTTACAATTTTAGATTCAATAATTAATCTTGGAATAGATTCAAGTTCATTATATGTATTTAAACATATAAATGGAGCAATTAAATCAATATTATTTTTATAAGAAGTTAAAAAAATTCCAAAAGAGGATTTTCTTAAAGCAGCACAATCATTAAATCCATCACCAATTGATAAAATTGTCTTACCAAAATTTTGATTATATGATACAATTATTTCTTTAAGATCTGGGGTAAAACGGGCAAAAATAGTTGCATTCATCAATATATATTTCATTATAAAACTTTTAGATAGATCTTTATAAAAATATGAAATCTGATCATCTAAATAAGAATCATAAATATTTAGAAGTACAGATGACATTAATACAATATTTTTAAAAGAAGTTAAATTTTTTGGTACAGAATTAAAAAATGGATCATTTACATAAAAAGTATCATATTCTTCCAGTACTTTTTCATCTAATTCATTACCTATAGTATTATTATAATAAGTTCTTAACTTCCAAGTTATTTTACGATTAGAATCTACATCACATATAAGTATAGAACAATTATTTATTAAATGATTATAATGTAATATATGAACTGAATCTGCAACATGTATTGCTGAAGTAAGACTATCTCCAGTAACAATACAACACTTTATATTTATTTCTTGAAGTAATGTAATAATAGATTGTGCTTCTTGTCTTATTGGAGTAAATAATTCAATAATTCCTAATAATTCTACATCTTTAAACATATTTATATTTAGATCATCTATATTATTTGGAATATCTTTATATCCCATTCCAATTATATATGATCCAGCCATTTGATTATTAGATTTTTCAGAAATCCATTTTTGTAATTTATCCTTTTTACTATATAAACTTAAATTAATTATCTGTTCAATTGCACCTTTTATTAAATAAATTGTTTTTTTAGTATATGAATAACTTTTTGCACTTTTTAAGGAGTTCAATTTTATATACCTCCGAATTATTACACCTTGAGAACGACTTTTTTGATCAAAAGGAAACCTGACAAGTACTTCAACAGCATTGCACATAGAACATAAATATTCTAAATAATTTTGAAAATTTTTAATACAATTAATATTATCTTGTTCCAGTGAATCTTCAAATATTTTTGATTTTGTATAAAATAAATTAAAGTTTTCTTTCGGTATTGCAAATAATCTTTCACTTTTCTTAAATTGTACACGTAATAATGAGTATCCTGAAAATTTCTGTAAACATTCTTCTAATTTTGAACCCTGATTTTCTGAATATTTTTTATTCTTAATATTTGGATATATTAAATTATTACATGTAGCAAGAATAAGATAAAATAATAAATTCAAATTATTATTATTATTATTATCATCATCATAAATAAAAAAATTTCTAATATAATATTTATTTAAAGTAAGAGTACCAGTTTTATCAAAAAAAACAGTATCAATAAATTTATGTTGTATTAAATCATTTGAATTAGTACAATAAATATTATGATCCTTTAATCTATTAATTGATCTTTCAACTGTAGATGTTATAAATAAAGGGGACCAAAAAGGTAGAATATATAATATTGTAGCAACTACAAAAAATAGAGCCCCAATATCAAAATTAAGAAATATTACATCAATACAAGATATGAAACAACCAAATATAAAACAAAAAGTCCATAATAATCCAACACTAAATATCCATGTAGGATTACAATTTTGTAATATTTCATTATTACAAATATGAATATCTCCAAATTTACTACATATAATTTTATTATATAAAATTGATCCTCTTAAGGTAGTTGCTCCAGTTCTTACTACTAATCCTAAATTATCAAACGAAGAACATAAATCAATAATATTAGTTCCTTCAAAAAGTATATAATTATCTGTTCTTCTATATTCTTGAGGAGTAAATAAATGATTAATATTTCCATTAAATTTAACTTTATGTTGTGGTGTACTTTCACCTGAAATTAATGATTCATCTACAGTTATATTTTCAGTTAAAAGAACTATATCAGCAGGAATTCTCGACAGTTTATTTAGTATAATAATATCTCCAGGAACTAATGTTGTTACTGGTATATTCACTTCTCTCCTATTTGTATTAGATAAATCTGATATAATAGATACATAGTCTTTATCATGCATACTAACTAATTGTTTCATATATTTATTATTATTATACCTACGTGATATAGTCAAATATATTGATAATATAGTAATGAAACACCAACAAAGTGGCCAAATAATAAATGAATAAAATAAACAATCTATTAAGGCAATAAATCTGAATATATTCATAATTAAAGTTATTTCATCAAGAATATATTTTAAAGAAGAAATATCTTCAACTTCTAATCGATTCATTCCAACAAGTTTACTTATTGAATCTCTATTATTATCTATAATTATATTCACTTCAGATTCTTTATCTTCAAAATTATTTAGTAATTTTATATTAGGATTTAATCTATTTAGAATATTTCTAGACCATATAAATTGACCTTCTAACCACCAAAATTTCTCATTATTAAATATAAAATATCTATTAAATAATTTACCACAATATTCTACTTTACATACTTCTATTCTTGCTAAGTGAGTATTATTACTCCATTTTCCTAAAAGTAAATTCATACATATTTTTGTATATTTGATTTCTTTAGGATTATCTATATTTATAGATACATAATCACAATTTGATAATTCACTAGGAACTAAAAATATCAAATTAAAATTTTCATTTAAAAATATCAATATCTGCCAAAATAATAATAGGTAAATTATATTTGCTAAACTTAATGCATAATTTTTTGCATTTTCTGGCCATAGCTCCTCATGAGTCTCTTGATTAAATATTCCTAAATAAAATACATTCAATACAATGCATAGATGTATAAATATAGGAAGTAATATAAGAAAAAATAAAGTAATTATTCTTAATAAACCTCCAAATATACTTTTTTTCCAACCAAATATTTTTATATATTTAGTATAATTGCATAGAGTACTTTTCTTTACTTTATTCTTACTAAATACCCAAATTAAGGTAATAAGATGTATTAAAACATATAATAATAATAAACTCTTAATATTTATGTAATTTATTATATTAAACGTCATTATTTAAGCTAAGTTTCTTTTTTTCATTTAGACATTTGTAAAAGGTTACTGTCTGACTTCCAATTCAAAACCCACATAAGCGGTAAATTCTTGAAATTTTTATTTAATTTAGTATTAGGCGGTTAAAATTTGAACACTTCATATTTGATACCTCCCCTCGCAAAATTGTCAATAATCGACTAAAAATTTGTGCATGCTTAGATTAGTGGTATTTAATAGTGATTTTAAAAAATTACTAAAAATTATAGAACTAATATTATTAGATTATAAATGTAAAGTTGGAAATTTCTAATAAGTAGAAAATAATAAGATGAGTCAACAATTATATTGTAGAAATTATAATCTAGAAAATAATACTCAAGTATTGATTTCTTCAGTTAAAACTGAAAAATTAGATGCAGACAAAATATATACCGTTGTAGCAAAAATGTATCAAGAAGAAATGTGCCCATATATATCTGATGTTGCTCGAAGAGTGAATGATCAATTACAAATTGGGACTCCTTCAAACAATGATACTTATTCAATAAGAAATTTAACAATTACAGATTGTTTTAATATTTGTACATGTTATCCATCTGTTTTTATATTAAATGATAGTAAATCAAATTCAGTATCATGTAACAATGAAATTGTAATTGAACTTGTTCATCCACCAGCAAAATTATCAAATATAAATTGTATAAGATTACACAATAATAAGATGTGGGTTGACCCTAAAGAACCTCAAGATATTTATCCTAATGAATTATGGTATTCATTTATACAATATACTTGTAATCTATTAAGAATAATTGAGCATAATCCTAGAAGTCAAGGTAATACTTTAAAAACATATCAATTTAAAGGTGGTAGATATGGTTTTGCAGTTGAGTTATATGAAAAAGCTTTACCATTTCTTGATGGATATTCATTGGGAAGTATATGTCATATTGTACAACTTGCAATTTGGAAAGGGATTCTCCGATATGAAAATAATATATTACAACCTGCCGCAGCTTGTTGGGATGTATCAAGTGTATGCACTTCTGGATTTTTCAATAAATCTACAATTGATTCTAATTCATACATGTTAAAAAATTTTGATTCTCACGAATTAGTATTATTAAAAAAACAATTGAATGAACTTTTAAATGCTAATCCAAATGGTGTTTTATTATCACAACTTAAAAAACGAATGATAGCAAGATTTCAGCATAATTTAAGTCCTGCTTTATTTAAAGTATCAAAAATGAGTTCATTACTACAGAGTGATTTATATAAGAAAATTTGTAGGATATATGTTGATGATAAAAATCATGTAGTAATTCAATCAGCAGCATTTCTTATGCCTACAAATGTACATGATTTGTCACAAATTAAGGGGGTACCTTTATATGCAAATACAAATAACATATCATCGACATTAAATAAAGATATATTGAGTCCCATGGTTCAAGAAATTCCCTTCACATTTCTAGCTTGGGCAGTTAATTTATCAAACATATCAAGTAATAGTGGTTTATTGGAGACTGATTATTACAGAGAGTATAATAATGGATTAAATAAAAGAAATAATAAATTCATATCAAATGAATATAATATGGAAAATTCATATAATATTGGTGAAATTCAAGATAATAAGATGGGACATCAATTTATTTCTCAAAAAAGAAGAATTTCATATAGTTCTGTATCAACTACAGCATCAATTTATTCTTCAGGTTCAAGGAGATTTAATAGTGGTATTATTGATAAAGTCCCCTATTCAAATAAGAATTCTTGTTTAGTAAGTTCGAATTGTGATTCAATCCCTCAGATAACTACATATGGGCAATGGTTTTCACAGTTAATTCCACATACATTATTACATATATCTGTATTTAAGCCATTGACACCACATCAAATTCAGTTATTTAGACTAATTCAGCAATCTGATTCGCAGAATGTATCAAGTAAAATCCATAATTCAACAGATATTGCTTATGAGAATGTATAATGATTTATTACTAACAGATATGGGAATAAACAAGAATTGCTTTAAGGAATGCTAAATTTAATATAGTATTAGCCGCTCATTATATGGGATATTAATAAGTTAAAGAGGAAATATTGTAATTTGGGGATACATTTTAATAATGAGAAACAAAGATATAAATACTATGTATGAGGGATTTGTTGAGGTTTTATCTCAACTACGTGAATGTGAATATTCTGAGGCATTTCTTGAACCAGTAAATTGGAAACGTCTTGGTTTAGATGATTATCCCAATATAGTTCATAATCCTATGGATCTTAAGACAATAGGAAAAAAGATAAAATCACATTTATATGAAAATGCTGAACAATTTTGGAGTGATATTGATCTTATATGGTCAAATTGTCAATTATATAATCACGAATCATCTAAAGTTTATCAACAAAGTATACATATGGAAAATACTGCAGAGAATTTACGTGAAATTTTTTTTCCCTATTTACCTAGAAGAAGTTTGAAGAAGAGATCAGAAAATTCTGATTTTCCTGTAGATAATTATACAGATGACTACCATTTGATGCTAAAACGAGCATTATTATGCCAAAGGATTTCGAAACTATCACCAGATTTGTTAGCACTCGCAATCCGATTTATATATACAGAATGCCCTCAAATTATTTATCAATATAGTGAAAATCGTATTGTTTTGGACCTAGAGTTTATTGATGGAAAGCATTTGACATCTGTATCTGCACTAACTAAACGACTTCTAAAGCTACAATTAGAACACTGAATTTTCTATTATAACTTATTTTATAACTTGAATATCTTAGATAATTCTCTAGTTTTTGATTTTATAAACACGCATGGAGAGTATTGCAAGATTCTCTATGTGCAAAAGCACTCATAATGCCGCTTACACTGTAGCCGCTTGGAATTACTTAATCTCATAAGGTTTAATGAAGACACCAACATGACGTTCTGAAGTTTTATTGATAGTATGTTGGTATTTGAGGGGTGTGGATGGGATTGGTAATTTGCGAGTATAGGTTTTTTCCTTGTCTAAAATTCTCGTTTATTTAAAATTTTTACTTTAGATAGATATGGTTGTGATGCTAACGAATTCTACAAGTAGAGAGAGAAGAAGTAATAATACAAAGTATATTACTCCTGTATCTGCTGCTGAGAAGAGTATACCAGCAGTACCAGCTCCTGATGAGAAAACATATAAAGTAACAGTTGAATCTATTAGATCTGTATTAAATGATTGGAACTTAAAGATTCGCAACTTAACTCAACTAATAAATGAGCGAAGTGTCGGTAGAGAAACTTTTGATAGGAAGAAAGGTGATTTACAATTAAAGCTTGATGAGTACCAGAAGCAAATAGATAACCTTGAAGAGGAAAGGAAAAGTTTAATGATAAAAATTGAGGAGAAATCCAAAGAAGGTAAGGAAATGAAGAATCAATTAAGCAATTTGAAGAAAACTGTGGGATATAAATCTGAAGAGGAAATAGAAGCTAAGATCAAAGATATTGAGTACCTTTTAGTAACTTCAACTATTAGCTTAAAGGAGGAAAAAAAACTATTGGCACAGATCTCCCAACTTAAACAACATCGCCCGGTTGTAGGGAAATTTGCATATATGGATGCAAGTGCTTCTTCATTTGAGGAAAATTCAATCCTTCCATTGCGCAGTAAAGTAAGTGCAGTTATAGAGGAACTCAACAAGTACCGAAAAATGAAGAAGGATGTATATGAGAAACTACGTTCTTTAACTTTAGAGAGGCAAAAGGCACTGGAGCCACTACGTTCCTTATATGAAGAAAGAAGCATGATGCAAAATAAAGCTGAGGAGCAGCATAATAAACTTCGTGAAATTCGTGAGAAATATGATAAGGAGGTGAAGAAATTCCAAGAATACCAACAAAAACTGCGATCAATTCGTTCTGAACGTATTAAAGAAGAAAAAGCAATGCGAGAGCTTTTTAAAAAGAGGGATGAATTAAAGTTAGCTCTTGAAAGAGAGGATGATCCTCCTGTCTCACCAGAAATGCTTCTTGCTCAGCAAGCTTTAGGTTATATACAACAATTGGTGCAGAATCATAGGTTAGTTGATGATATAGTAGATGGTGATAAAAGTCAAGCTGAAGTACATCCTACATATTCAACTATTAAAGGAAGAGATAAAGATGAATCAATACTATTACCTAAGAACCAGAGAGATGAAGAGTATCTCCTTCCACCAACAAAACTTAAAAATAAAAAGAAGGTGCATTCTAACTTTAACAATAGTAAATCTTTGGTTGTTGATTTGGTCACAATAGCTACTTTTAAAGAAATGAACTTGGACATTCCACTTACTGTAGATGACTTGCCGAATTGTCTTAATCAACTAAAGGAGAAGTATTCATTACTAAAAAAGGAAATGGATGAGAAATATGCAAATCGTGAAAAGAGAAAAGAAGAAATATTGAGACAATTACATGAAGTTGAGAAAAAAATTGCTGATTCTGGTGGGATCACTGACGATTTTGGTTTGAAAAATGACGAGAAAAGTGAGTAGTATGGAAGTTCATATTTAGGTCAGTTTAAACTAGTATCTATAGGCACAGTTATTAACGTTTGCCTTCTTTAAGATATTTAAGTTATTTAAGTGAAAACTATCTATTTTGTAATAGAGGATTAATTGTAGTCATTTTACCTTTTATTTCATTGTCTAAACCAATTGATTCTTTGTCTCTTTCTAAATAAACTACTGTCTCCACATGATTAGTATAAGGGAAGATATCTATTGGTATAACTAGTTTTGGAATGAAGGGTTTGATTTTTGAATCTTCACTTTGTGGATCATATGCTGAACAAAGAGTAATGCAATTACTCAATAAAGATTTTGTATTACAGCTTACATATATTAATGAACAAATATTTGAAGAAATCCGCAATGCTTTTGTTACATTTTTATGTAAACCACATCTAGGAGGATCGACTATTGCCAGAAAATCTGCATCTTCATTCCTTATACTTGATAGTTTGTTAGGAAGTATGTCTTCTGCTTTACCTACAATATATTCTGTATTTTCAGCTCCATTTATCTTTGCATTCATTTTTGCAACAGAAATAGATTCTTCAACACAATCAATTCCAATTAGGTTAATACTTGGATAAAATGCCCTTAGTGTTTCCAATGATTTGTACAAATAGAGTCCAATTGACCCAACACCACAACAAATATCTAAAATATATAATTTATTTGTGTATCTCTCTTTTATTAACTTATTTCTGTTTGAACTACCCAAAAAAGTCAATATAACTAAATCTTTAATTGTACTATATAGAATCTGGCAGCCTTGGGTATTAGTCTGAAAAAAAGTCCGAGGTCCAATATTTAAAGTAGTATTTGAAATACAATAAGTAATTTGTTCATCACCCCAAATTAACTTCAGATTACCCCCTTCAAAAGTATCAACAATTGAATCACTCTGTTGTAAATATAATGAGGATATTTGATAGTCAGAATATAAGAAAGGTTCTTCAAGTTCACAAAATACTAATTGCTCAATCAATAATTTACTAATTGTATTATAATCTCTAATTGATAAATATGAAGTTTGAATAATTACCATCATACGCTTATTAGGTATTTCAGTAGTACGAATAATTAATAACCTCCATATTCCCTTTCTATTTCGTCTACTATAAACTTCTAATCCCAAATTATTTGATGCATTAGTAACAATTTCATATAAACAATCTACTACTGATATCATACAAGGAGATATAATAGGTATATATTCACACTTTGAAGTATTATTTGAACAATTCTCAGTCCTTGAAATTTTATTTATTCCAATGACATTTAATTCTCTGTTTTCAATATTTGAAACAAATCCTATAGCTACTTTCGATGGTTCCTTTTCACCCTTAGGAAAAGAAAAACCAATAGTAAATTCACATTTATTCCTATAAGAATACATATTTAATATATCTCCATTATTTATCTGTATAATAGGTCTGATTTCAATGACATTAACAGAATTGTTATAATTAGTTACAATCCCATCATTTAAGTATATACTATCATCTTCATTGCACCAACTAGGAACCAAAAGACCACGAGAAGTTGCATGATTGTTTAATTCTATCTTTAGTGTCTTCATACAGTTATTAACATCTTGAAATTTTAAGTCTAATTGTAAGCTGCTTTCAACATTAAATAAAGGAGCAATTTTTGAGATTAGTTTGGAATTAGAATTTACCTTACATTTGTTTTTCCTTTTTAATATGGATTTTCTTGTCTTATGCATAGGGTTAATTTCTTTTTAAAGAATCGACAATATTTCTAGATTGACCATTTGGTAATATATTACAAAAAAAAAAAATAACTTGCCGCCAATAATTATTACATCATGTATTTTATTAATCCCAAGTCTATATTTTGTCTAATAAAAAAGAAACCAGGAAATTTATTCCAGTAATATCAAGGCAGATTATTTAGCTTTAATAATAATTTGGAGTCATTTCATATAATGAATTCTGTAAAATTAATTAATCATTACTTAATCACAATTAATAATATAGAGATATAATTTAATAATACTTCATTTTGGCTAGCTAGCTAAATATCTACTCACTTTTTTTTTGTATATGATGTTAATGAGTTCTTTTTAATAGCTTTTTTACTACTATGTTAATATAAAGCTCATTAGTAATTTATAACAGATATCTTTACAACTTTAGGTATTATATTAGAAATTCTTAAGGGAAAGAAAAAGACATTCTACAAAAATATATCTTAACAATATACTGAATATAATTTATCCGTTCTTAATAAAAAGAAATTTTAATCTATTGACCATTTCTAAACTATTAAGCCTCTATATATAGCTTGCATGTAATAAGATACTGAAAGCTATAAGATTTCTAGCCACTTTAAGCATTATATTACCGCTGTCAGTTTAACCACCCAGCATTGTTAAATGTATACTAGTTAGAAGAAAATGAAGAATACTGCAGATTGTACCATTTAGTAAACATCAATTTAGCAATAAAGTTATGGTTTTATAAGGGTATGAACAAATATATTTGCATGATTTTTAAAAAAAGATGTCGAATTCTTTAACTTGCCATGCAATTAGCATAATATGTGGTGAAGAGATTCGTTATTTTGAATTATCTGAGGTTACATATGTTAACCGTATGAAGAAATTATATGTATGTGTAGGATTACACTCTTTAATATTTGTTAAACGGGATTTACGAAAAGTGATAACTAGAGGTTCTATTCTTTATGCAGATATTGAGGGAATATATGAGGATACAAATAAAAATACTCAGCTTATTATTTTTTTTGATAATAAGAATAATAATTGGATAGATAATAAAATTAGCTTTGCATGTTTAAATAGATATATTTTGTGCAATTTTTTGGAGGTAGCCTGGACCACTGACTATATATTTAGAACTGGGAAATATCTTAATCTTCCACGCTATGAAATAGATCTAGGAGCTTTAGATAATGATATAAAAGTAAATAAAAAGAAGCAAAAGTATATTAAACTAAAAGTTAAGGAAAGATTTATGTTATTATGGGATTCAAATAGAGGGGGTATAAATAATTCACGTAGACGTTCTAAACGTATTGTAGGGAAAATTGATGAAGAAACTAGAACAGAATTAGAAAAATTAGTATCTAAAAACAAATCAATTGTTAGTTCAATACCCCAATATCCTGAAATTAAAGAATTTAATGGATATAGGAAATATGAGTATGAAGGATATTTTTTTTTTGCTAGGAAAGGATTTGAGAATAAAGCTACACAGGTTTATTATTCACAAACTGGATCATATGTATCATTTAATGGAGTTGAAATTACGATTTATATTTATCCATCCTTATCCTTTCATAACAAAAAGCCTGGAATAACTAATTTGGGAAGTAATAAAGCAGCTAACAAATATTTACCTAATGCAACTTCAACAGTTGGAAGCTTACAAAATGTTGCCCTTGAGTATATTAGATTTCTTTTGAGCTCATCAATAGACAGACGTTATATAGTATATAAAAATAATTATTACTCAAAAAAAATGAATCTTTCGGATGATATTTCAACTTGGATTGGTTGGGAGATATACCTGAAGACATCTAAGAAAGCTATTGCATGTATACTTTTAAGACGATCTTATATTCCCCCTACTTTAGATTCATATCAAGATATAGCAATAACATATAGTTGTTACTATGATGATATGAAAAAGTATAATATTACTGATAGAGATTTACTTCGAGAATGTCGCCAATCTGCAGATACTTTTTCTCCTATTTCTCAACATCACACATGGTATTTAGAGATTGTTCAATCACAACTTGATACACTACTATATGATGAATCTTCTTATTTATGGATAGGTTCACATATCAAACTTTATCCAATATTTCGTGAGAGTGCTAAGCACTTTTTAAAATCTATATTATTAATGCTTAAAAGTGCAAATACTTTAGTTGATATGGAACTATTAGACGATATTAACCGCTTAGATAGAAGTGGTTCTTCAAAATATGATTTAAATTCATATGATATAGATGAATCTAAAGGATTACCTGAAACTTTTGAGGATCCTTTAAAATTTATTAATGAAACACTAGTTAATTTACCAGGTATTGATGTATTTTCTAAAGATAAAGGTGAAAAAAGAAAGTTGCACTTATTTGAAGTGAGATTCGCACGTTATTTATCATTTTGTATTGATGGCGGATTATTAGGAGCTCGATTTGTACTTGAAGATTTGGTAGCTGCCGTTGGACTGACAGAGCCAAAAATTGATATTAAATTAAGGCAAGTCTTAGATTATCTTCTTCATGTAAGATCTAAGAATATAGATGAACCTTATAAACAAATTTCTTTAGTAAAGCTATTGGAGGATCCTTCATTTGTAAGAAATTACTACTTTATTCCTTCTGTTATGGCAAGGTTTGTGAGTAGTGGATATTGTGCAAGATTAGTTCCAGCAGGTAATGAAATCCTTTATGTTGAATTTTTGGCAAATTTATTAGTACTACCTATGGAATCTTCATTTGGTTCAAAATTACAGTTACGAATAGCAATTTTACAGCAAATATTACATGCAACAAAATCTCCCAGTAAGCATGACTACTATATTTGCGCTATTCCCTTAATTGTAGAAATACTAATAGGGGATGTGAAGATAAATGATAACATAGCAGCGAGATATGCAGCTGCATGTTTACTGAATTTGTGTTTTTCTAATGACAATATAAAAGAGAAAATGATGACATGTGGAATATCTTATGCTATAATTCAGAGACTATCAGTGAGAGATGACGATCAATTGACTATATTATGCTTATCATTAGCAATAAACCTCACAAAAATTTCTTCACATAGACGAACCTTTATTTCTGATGGCATTCTAACAATAGTTGCAGATATTTTTCATGAAGAAGCAATGTATATAAATAGTCAAAATTTACTAACAAATATATTGAGTAGTTCTATAACTGGAGAAGAAACCCAAGATTTGTCTCCAAAAAATGAACAGTTGGACCTACTTTCAGTTTTATTAGGGTTAATTGGTCAATTGTTAAATGAAGATGATGTTCGCAAGTTATTTATTTCAAAGTGGTGTATAATGGACTACATATTATTTTTATTTCATGAATTAGAGATAAATATTCAGTCTAGTCCGGAAATTATCTGTAAATTATTGTTTTGTCTAAGACAGCTTTGCATCTCTAATTGGGCTGCACAATTCAGAGTAGGTAGGCATTGCATAACTTCATTGATCAGTATTTTATCAACCCATATTAATAGACCAAAGAAATTAGATTACTCAGAACAAGTTTATCTTTACTATTATTCATATTGGATTGCAAATAATTCTATAGGAAATTCTTCATTCCAAAAGAGTTTAAATACTCAAAATAAAGTAGCTAATAGTCAGTCAAATAATATAGGAGATGTTATTTATAACACTTTGCTTTTACTAGAGATACTTACCTCCTATCATCCCAATTGTTATGAAATGATCCATAATGGAATAGAGGATGCTATAGAAATATGCTCAAGCAATTATAGTGTAGACACTATAACTACTAAGTTGAACTTATTAAAAAAAGTAATTAACGAGATTAGTTACAACACAAGTTAGAATAAAATTTATTTATATATTTAGATTCCATTTAAATTGAACCCTAAGTCAACATCTTAGATGCTCAAATTAAATTTTTATAGTATTGCATTTATAGATCATTGTTAATATATTATACATTAATCATTATAAAGTGAACTTTCAAACAAATTATTAAGTTAGTATCGCACTTTTCAGATCATTATTAATCAGGATTTAACTATTCAAGTTCTTGTCAGATTCATGTTAAAGATTTTATATATCAATGATCTTTTATTTTCGAAAATATTAAAATGATAATACCTTCTAGCTATTTAATATCAGGATCTCTACTGAAAAAGAATAGATTTCATAATAGTTTGTTTAATGTCCTATTGCCTAAAGATAAGTTACTTCTATAGCACTTGTAGAAGTCTTGAATGAGAAATCTTGTAGATAAAACTGCAATATTCACAAAAACTTTTTAATTGAGTTTATTACAATTCTCAGCCTTTCAATCTATTCAATGACAATTTCCAGACACGTAAAGTCTAAAAACTTCTATTTAAAATGTCACAAAGTAAATGTAGTCATATTATTTGCATTGATTAAATAAAGCAAAAAGATATAGATTTCGCTTTTAATTAATACTCTTAAATATTTAGATAAACTCCCACTGTAACTAGTATCTTGTGGATATATCTAAATATTGCTATTTTATGAGTTCAAGTATAGTCTGTTAATAGTAAATCTCTCTAATAGATATTTAAATGATTAATCGAGATAATCATTTTTAGCTATTGTGCTATTTATAGAATCTCCACTTATATTCAATGAGTTGTTACAACCTGTAATTAGTGCACTTTTATTTTGCCTTGATGAATTAAGCTTCCTCTCTGCACTAGTAAAATTTTGGTATTTCTTATTATTAAATACTCTTGAAGGTGACTTGGGAGGTGGTGGTGGAGGTATATGAAAAGGAAATTGTAATGGGGTTACTGTTATTAATTGCTTATCATTCCAGTTAGACAGATGTTTATTTGAAAAGTAACTAACTTTATTTGGATTATAAAAATGTCCTTTATACCATTGTTTACTATTTAGTTTTGGAGAACTATTTAAATTACTAAATTGAAACTTAAATTTATTATTCACTTGAACATTCCCGGTAAGATTAGTAGAATTACCTCTATTTAAACCCATTGAATCATAGTTCACCTGACCACATAGCATCGCAAAATTACCCATTGGAGAAGCAATAATCTGAATAGCACGCTGTATTTCATCTCTTATATGCTTTTGATTAATCTCATCATATATTGGACGGCAAGCAGGTGTACCAGGTAGAGGGTTCCTGATATCACAACATGCACCTTGATTTTCTGAAAGGATAATATCTGGAGAACTAATATCTATCACTGTATTCCATAAGTTTGTTTCGAGAAATTGAATAAATCGAATAAATAATACATAACTAGGTGCATGCCTATATAACATTGCATCTGGAAATAACACTGGATCTGAAAGGCAAGGTGGAAGTATCATACAATGTTGTGTGTTTTTATCACCAATTATTGTAGAGTTATGTAGATAATTATTAATTTGTGGATAACCATTGCTATAAAAGTTAGGATGAGAGTGCTCCAAGTGATGAGATGTAGTATTATTAGGTAATGTTTTTTTAGTGGAATATTTCCCTGATTTAGTATCATCAGAAGATGTGTTACTCATGCAAAAGTTGCAATATCTACCATCAAGTATCAAGCCCGAAAAGCTATCTGTACTTTCACAACATTGTGAAGAGTTCATGTTATCTGAAAAAGGGTAACCAGGAGAAAAGGAACAAGTACATATAGTACTCCCAATTGAGGATCTACCTGATTCAACTACTATATCAACTTCATGTTCACACTTCTTACAATTATATGGGCGTTTAATACCTGAAGAGATATATCCAACTGGAGTAAGTTCACCTTCAATAGTATTATTCTTCAAATTTTCATATATGGTTTTGTTAATTCCTGTATATGGTTCATTATGCATACTTTCTATTGGCTCCATATCTAATGTTATATCATTAATACCATTATTCCCTCTTGATCCTTTTACAACATCTAAATAAAGTAGACGACCCTCATTTATAGTTGACTGATTATTTCTAAGTATTTCTGTGGTTTGAGAATAATTACTGTCACATACAGTTTTTTCGTGAAGAAATTCATTATTTGGAATTGCTAATGCCGGAAAATTCCTTGCTATAATATAATTATCCATTTTCTTCTCATCAATTAATTTATATCTTAATTTGCTATTTATATCAGTGATCGCTGAATTAACTATTGGACCAACTGAAGGAGATGATAATGGAGAATTTGTTGTAGTTTTATAAAATGCATCTGCATCAATTACAGGTAGTATTCCCATTCTTTGAAAAAAATAAATTACACATAATGTCCATGCATAACCACCAGGGAAACCATTAAGAGTATTTCTCAAACCTCTGAATCTAGTCCATACTTTTGTGAGTACAACAACATGGATAATTCTAGGATCTAGACTTGAATACCAGCTAAGCATTCCAAGTCTACTTTGAAGGAGAGAAATTGACGTAGGTATTGTGTGACTCAACCCTGTTTTAAAACTCTTTATATCATTTTCAGTAGTCAATTGATTATTCTCTTTATGAATATTCGATGATTTCTGTTGTTTCATTTGAGATTCAGATAAAGTTATTGAAAGGTCAATAACTACATTTGTTGATGTATGTAACATACGTATAATTGGTACATGAGCACTAGTAATATCTTGAAGACATATAAATGGATGTTCATTATTATTTTGAACAATTTTTCTCAAATTCTTATGTGTTATATTTTCAGAAGACTTAGAATCGAAATCTGCAGAAGAATTGCAATTTGATATTGTAGATGATGCTGTATTTTTCTGTATTAAGGAAAAAAGCTCCTGTAAAAGTGCTCCAGGAGAAAGGTTATCTATATCTTTTATTGGGCATAAGTTATATTTTAGTTCATTATCTTCTAATTTATCACTATTCTGATGAGACTCAGTCTTTTCACATTGTCCTTTAAGCCGTCCACTTGGCATTAGAGCTATATCCAAATCTGAATATTGATCCGCAAAACCAGTAGTAGTTGAGCCATAGGGGTATACTGTCAAGGGAATATTCATCCTCTCCAACCAATCACATAAATCAGAGGTCGCTTTAGAAATCCTAGAATAGAAATAATGATTTGGAATAAGCATTTGAATTGCATTTGCTGTAGACACTTCAAATGAAGTAGGAAGTAATTTTGACAGCTCTACAAAACTATATTTATTCTGCATATCCCCAATTTGATTTATATCATTATCTGGAATATCTATATTCGGAAGGTTATTATACATACTATTCGTTATTTTTCCATCTATTGGAGGTGGAGGTATATATGAAGACAAATTACTGTAAAGTGGTGACCAACTACTTACTGTCGTTAAAATATCACTTCTAGGTATGTAATACTGCTGTGAGTAGTTATCTAAAGATAGTATACTGAAATTTCCTGGAAATTCACCCGACGAATTTAAGTCTAAATACTGATGATCAGGATAATTTGTTGTGATATCATTTCCCTTCTTATTATTCTGGAAGCGTACAAAATTCAAAGATTTCTCTCTATTCATAGTATGATTACAATCAATAAAATTATTTTTCCCAAATATATAATGATTAGGACTACTTTTATTAGTACGTCTCCTTGCAGTTTCATTAGATTTGTTAATATTATCGACCTCATTATAAAGATCACTTGATTCTTTTTTAAAAGTAACTAATCTCCCAGTATTGCTCTTATCTAATCTCTGCTCATTATTTCTTTTATATTCAATATTAGAGCATGAATCCTTTGAATTATTGGCACCCTTTTCTTTAGAGCTAACCATTTTCTGTAAGCCTATATTGTGTAGTATTAAATAAGGAAACTCCAATTAGCCAAAATACTTAGTAAGATATTATATATATCCAAATACTAACTTATATCCAATTAAGATTATAGTAAAACAACAAGATTTGTGGTTTAAAAGAAAGTAAAAAAAAAATAAAAAAGTAGTCTTCCTAAGCTTCAAGGCAGTGATAATACCCCAGTTACAAATCATATAAGTAAATCAAAACCACTGATATAAACTATTCTCCATTATATCAGACTTGATGCACAAAGGAAATGTGCTTTCTGGAGAATATTTAACAAAAATTAAAGGGTTGCTTTCGCATCACTGCTACACCAAACAAGTTCTAACAAGAGCGCCATTTGTTGATCACATTTACCCGCTAATTATACTTTTTACGGAATGTAACTAGGAAAGTTTACAAGCTATTACCACACTAATTGACATGTTACCTTCTTCATATTAGCCTGAAGTAATTAATAAGCATTATTCTCTTATGAAAATCAAGTTGCTGGTTTTATATACACTAACTTATTATTTTTTGTAAATATTAAGAATATTATTGTAAACTTCAGTACTTACACAGCATTACAACCTATTTTGTTATTTGATTGCAATGGCCTTTAAACCAAACGATCTGAATTATATCAAAAATACGATTTCTATATTCAAATATGGCTCAACCCTTCGTTGTCCTAAGGTAAGTTTATTTCTCAATATAATTATATCTTAACAATTATATACCCTTGCAATAATGTTATTAAATTACTGTAATTTGAAAGGCCTTAAAATATAGAATGCATGATTTTTTAGTAATTATAAATGGTGGAGATGATCCAGCCATAGAGTGGCATTATGAATCATTTAGAAAATGGCCTGAACATTATACAATACTCAGTAAATTGAGTACAAATAAAATTGCTAGGCTTCAAAGATTAATATACAGTTGTCCAATTTTTTATAATTCTCTAATAAATAGCGAGAATAAGGTATGCTTATTTAATGAGAAGAGATTTAAAATATAAGTAAATTTGGATTTTTTTTTTTTTTAGTTAATTAAATATGGTGTAGTTAGTTATGATCAATTTGAGAAGAATCTTATACATTGGCCATCTTCTTTTTTACCTGGAAGATTTCATAAAGTAGTAAGTTAAAATATTTTGCGTTATATAATAATACTTAAAATATTTAATGTTGTAGATTTGCCCATTAAGTAACATACCTTTACAATTGCTAAATATAATAAATCTAAACAGAATGCAAGCACTCAAACTATCAATCCTTTCTTTATTAAAATATGATTATTCAATATCATCAGAGGGAATAAAGTTACTATTTTCGGATAATTCATTAAAATATTTAGATAAAAATTATTTTTTAGATGAAAGACCTAATGATACATATGAGATATCTCTAAATAATATTTTAGAGAAGATCATATCAATATCATATTATGGTGATATAAGATGCTTAACCAATGATGCTTACAAGAAAGCTGTTACTAAAGAGTTAGAGGGATCTCTTCCATATTTATTTTCTGTTTATTTCCCCCTAATTGTTGAGCTATCTAAAATTAGTAGTGGAAATTTAAATTTGAATTCCCCTAATTTAAGTAGTATTGATAAGTTAAAAGATCTGGCTAAAAGTATAACTTCTGCATTAGAAAATGAGGTTACAAAAGATGGCTTGGGTGGAATGAATACAAAGATAAAGGAATCTAAAGAATGGTTTGAATTTCATAGAATTTATAATGATACTAATCCATCAATAATGGTATGTTCTTAATGGCAGAGATATTTGTATTCTTATATTGCTCTTATATTACTCTTTTCTTAGTGCAATAACAATCCAGTGTGGATTAAAAAAACATTTGAATCATTACCTGACAATATAATTTCTCTATGCTGTAAAAAAGCTGCCGCTCGGAGACTAAGAATGCTAAGTCCTTTAAAATTACTTTCAAAGAATTATATCCAAACTTCAAGACTTGATGCTACATTGCCATGGGAAGGCGATGTGATAGCTAATTGTATTTATTATTGGAATCTACGCAGCTCAATTATTGGCTTATTACTTGGAATCCCTTCTAATATAGGAAAGCTTGTAAGTTATAACTAAAATTATAAGTAAATTAAGCAGTTAATGAGATGACTTTTATTTCTCTTAGATGTCATATTTTGTTTACAAAATATCAAGATAACTTCTTTTATTCAAAACTCGAATTTCAAGCCACATTGATAAATTAAATTTAGTTTGTATGTCTTTTGATTAAGGCCCAAAATATATTTAATATAAATCTTTAATTTCGCCTTACTTTATTCTAGGTTAGAATACAAATATTTGGATTATCATTTTCTCCATTTGAGTTCATGTATGAACCGCCTATATTATATGCAATATCTTTATAGCTATCAATAGATTCAGATTTAAAACTTTCAAGCAAGATATTATTTAAGTTATTTCTTCTCAATGATGAGTTCATATCCTTAATAGATGGTTTTCTTAATTTTGTAAGTGGTTTTTTTGAATCCTCATACTGATTAGAAAATTTTAAAGAACTTCCCTCTACTTTATTATGTTCGATTATCTTAGAATAATTATTGAGATTTAAAGTAATTATTGCACTTGTTTGAGATTCTTTATTTTTATAAACCCCAATTAAAGAATCTGCTTTTGAAAATAGCCTATCTTTTAAAGATATGACTATCGATTGAAAAGGTGCAGATTTCAAAAAATTTGCAACAGATTGTACATTGTGTGGGTCTAATGCTGCATCTACCTCATCAAGCATAAAGAATGGTGATGGGAAGTAGCTTTGTAGAGCGAATAGTAAAGCTAAAGCAGCCATAGACTTTTCACCACCACTCAGATGCTGTATATCACGGAATCGTTTTGATGGAGGCATTACATGAAAAATTATCCCACAAGAAAAAGGTTCTTCTAAGTTCTCATCATCCAAATCAAGAAAAGCTTTGCCTCCAATATTATTATTTTCTCTTGTTAAATGCTCATAAAACTTGTCAACTGAACTTTTTACAGCTTGAAAGCATTTGAAAAATATGTCTGAACGTTTCCTACGAATACTTTTGTATTCTTTGTCAATCCTTATAGATTTCTTTTTAATCTCTTTTTGATCTTCAATAAGGGCAGTTATTTGAGCATCTAATTCACTTAGCCTCTCTCTAGATTTTAGATTTGGAGTAATACGCCTCATTTTATTTGAGATATCTTCAATTTCAAGCCTGTATATATTAAGTTCATTTTCAATATTTTCCTTAGATTTTGCAAGAGATTGCTTGATTTCAGTAAGTTCATCATAATCAACTAATATAATTGGGGGCTCTATATCTGATAACTTTGTCTTATTTCCTTCAGTACATGCCTTACCTGACTTTTTTTCTTCATCAAAAAGTGTAGCATTAATTTCATACCAATATTTCTTAATATCTTCAAAAGTCCCAGATTTTAAAGGAATCCTTACATTTTCTAAGACTACAGTCTTTAATATAGATATAAGTTCCTCATTCAAAGTGTCTAATTGTTCTTGTTTTAAACTTTTCTCCTTATTTAGATGACGTATTTGTTGTTGTATATCTCGAATTTTACTTTTTATACTCTGTAATATTTCTTCACTTTGTTTATTTTGCATCTCCAACAACTTTAATGATCCATTTATTTCATCAATATTTCTAAGAAGATTATCAATATTTTTTTGAGCACCCTTAATTTTTTCACTTGCACTTTGTATAGATTCCTCGCATTTTTTAATCTTATTTTCACTATCTAAAATAGTATCACACAGTTTCTTATCTCTTTGCAAAAAATTATTATATTCCCCAGTTAATACTGTCAATTTTTTCCGTAATTTTGCAGACTTCCTTAATCTTTCTTCTCTGGTACTGCGTAGAGTTTCTTCAAGTGAACAAATATCCTTAATATTTAACTTTTTAGAAATATCTTCAAAGTATTTTTTATCTGACTGAACTATTAATTGTCTAAGTTTATTAGTATTTTCAGCTAGTTTATTACAAGATTCCTTTAGTTCATCTAAGTTGTTCACTTTTTCCTTAAGTTGTTCTTCCAAACTTTCAGTTAACTTCACTTTATCTACATAATTTTGGTGCCATATATTATACTTCGTCTGAATTGCCATCATATCAAGTCTCACTCTCTTCTCATTATCTTTAAGCTTGATTAATTTTTGTTGACCAGACATTTCTACTGATTCTAAGTGATTCATTTCCATTTGTATACTATCTAGATCAGAATGAACTTTTTTATATTCCATTAAATCTACAGTGAATTTTCGACTTCTTGATTTTGTATCCAAACTTATATTTCCATTTTTCATAATATTTTCACCATTTAGCGTTACAACCCTCAAAGAAACTCCAATTTTAGGTGCTTCTTTATAAAATATTATTCTTGCATCAGTTATGTCCTCAGTAAAAATAGTATCTTGCAATACGAAAGACAAAGCTGGTTCAATTCTTTCATCTGATATATGTACATTATCCAATGCGATTGAACGATGTTGACTCCCAGAGCACAAGCATCTTAAAAAGTTGTTAAAGTTAGATCTTTTAATTGAATTCAAAGGCAAAAAATTTACTGGTGCTTTCCTATGTTGTTTCAGCCAGAAAATGCACTTTTCAGCAGTTTCCCAGCTATCGACAACAACATAATCGAAATACTTGCCAAGTGCTACATTCAACGCTGTAGCATACTTTTTATTACTAGGATGACACATATCACCAAGCCTCCCAAATATAATACTATTAAAATTACCTGCTGAGGTTTTATCTGATATACTATAACCTATGATATTTTTGAGGTTATCCACAAGTTTCCGTAAATTTGAATCTTTTTCTAGCTCAATCTTCTTTGAGTCAAAGTGTTTTAATAGCTCTTCACACCTATCCTTCCTATTGTTTAATTTAGCTATCCTGTCTAATAAGTTACAGCTATCCAATTCTAGAAGCTCCTTGTTAGATTGATTTTCATTTAGAGCTTTTGTAATTGCTTGAAGGCGTGATTCTAACTCTGATATCTTTGTATTCAAAGTTTCGAGTGTTCCACTATTTACTTTAATCTGCTTTTCAATTTCATCTATTTCTTTCTCTGAAATATCAATGATCCCCACCAAATTCTTATATTCTGTTTCAAGATGTAATAGTTCTTCTTTCAGTGAAACAGAGGCCAAATCAGCTAATTTTTTACAGTTAGAATATTCTTCATAATCTTCCTTAGGTATATAATTATATATAGAATCACTTGAAACTTCGTCAAATTTATTGATCTCAGAAGTTAATTTCCCTATACTTTCAGCGTAATCAGCTACTAATTTATCATTTTTCTTTTTAGTTGCTAAAATAAGTTCAGATTGTTTGTTTAGTGCAGTCAAATCATTTTTAAAATATGCAATCGCATTTTCATTTTCTAAAATGACTGACTTATTGCTAACTACTTCCTTTTCAAACTTATCAAGTACTTTTTGGTTATTTTTATTATCCAAAATATAACTTGCCACTTTACTTTCTAATTCCTTTATATCTGACTTTGATTTATCTAAATCTATATTTAGATCCTCTATTAATTTATCTATATTCTGTTTTTCACTGAATATTTCGCCTCCAATATATTCATTACAAAATAACTTAAATAATATAAACTCTATAGTTTTCTTCTTTTTTATACTCTCTAAGTTTTCATATTCCTCAACCTCCTCAACTTGCTTCTGTAGCTCACGCCTTTCAGCTTCTAGTAACCTTCGGCGTTGAAAGCCATTATGCAACAATATATGAGTAACACACTGTTCATTTGATAAATTTTCGTATTCTTTAATCAAGGTATCACTACCTGATATTTGTTCAAATAATTTTGTTAACTCTTTTGGTGCACGTTGTGCGATATCCTCTACATCACCTTGGAATACCAGGAAATTGCGTGCCTTAACTAATATATTTAACTCTTCTAGTTTTTTTAAATATGACTCTTGAGAAGTGATCTTCTCATTTATTATAAATCTTGTAGCTCCTGAAGGCAATATCTTCCTACAAAATTGAATACTCTGATCTTCATCATTAAAATGTCCAAATATCAAAGACACTGATGAACTAGCGTAATTTAATTCATCGTTAGTAGATAATGCGTTATCGTCATTTTGCCCTTCTTGGCGGAATATAAAATCTTTTATATTTGTACCACGAATTTGACCAGATGATACACCTAGAACAAATGATAATGCATCCATCAGATTTGATTTTCCTGATCCATTAGGTCCTACAATACACGTAAACCTTTTAGAAAATGGTCCAATTTTGTGCTTCCCTTTATAACTTTTAAAATTTTCTAGTTCCATCATTTTAATATAATAACTAGTTCTCTGACACTTTCTATTTATCACATCAGCCTTCTCTAGATCACAACTAGAATTGCGAGGATCTTTATTACTCATTTTGTATTATTATCAGATATTGGCTGTTTTATTAATTGCTTTATGTTGCAATATTTTTAACAAAGAGAAGTGCCGGAAGCCCACAGTTAACACTTTGCATGCACTGCCCCCTATGACCCCACATTTGTAGTAATAGTTCCCTAATAAAGTGCAAAGTTTTGACAATAAATATTGCAAAATAGTAAAAGCTTAAACAGCTATAAGATGGAATGACACCTACATATTGCTGACTTAATTGATTATTCGTTTACAGGAATCTAAATAAGACTACTTTATGATAATGTGTAACACGACTTAATTTCTAATATATTTATACTTAAAATTTTATTATATAAATATATATCTCTTAAAAACTATATATCCCAATATTTATATTAATTCAAGATACTCTTAGTGTGTATTTCAATATTTCCACATTGATACGTCTTTTAGTCAGCAGGACTTTGGGATACAAGATCACGAGAGTATAAAAGTTATCCTTTATTGAAAGTTACTTTTGAAATAGGAAAAATTCTACTAGATAAAATGACTGGTCCATATATTTTTGAATTTGAAAATATTTTAAGGAAGTTATCAAGAGATCCATTAGTACATCGCCCTGATATTACCTTTGGAAAACTTGAAAATGGACTTGACTATTGTATATTAGACCATAAATCTATTCTTAATTCTTTATTCTGTTCATTGGTTGTTCATGTCGGTAGTATCCATGAAGAGGATAATGAAAAAGGATTGGCTAATTTTGTACAAAAGTGTATGTTAAGTGAACTTATGCAAAAAACAAAAAATACACAATATTGTAAAGATCTGAAAATGAATGCTTCAACTGATTTTCATTATACTGTATTTAATAACACTATAGAATACAAAAAAGATTGCAAAAATCACAAAAAAGAAGCCAAGGAACTTTTGGAAATACTTGAATGCTTTTATGAAACTTTAGAACTTTTTTACAATGAAAACTTTAGTAAAAAAAACCAAAATAATATATTTGAAATAAAATTAGATATAAAAGATTCAATATATAAATCAGAAAATTATTTACCATACCTAATTGAGAAGCAGCTATTTAAACAGCTTCATTTCAATACACTCCTCAATGATCACTGGCCAATTGGTACTAATGAATGTGTCGAAAAATTCGAATTTCAAGACATATATCAATTTTTTAAGAAATGGTATAAACCTTCAAACATTTGTATTTTTATTATTGGTGATATATATACTGATAAACAAAATATTGTAGCAAATCTCTCTAAAATAATGAAAAATTTTTCTTATGAAGACACGTTTGACCAAAATGGGATTCAAGAATTCTACGACATATTTTCAGTAAAAAATAGGATTGGATATGAGTATATAGCTTCAAAAATTGGTACACCATCGAACTACTATTATGCTGGGAGTCCTCGCGAACTTTTGTACAGTAACAGTCTAATTAATTTGGTTTCAATCACAATTTGTACAAAGCTAGAATTATTTCCATTACTCGATGAGGGAGAAATATTTTGCAATGCAATAGATAGTATTATATCATACTTACTCGAACTAAACTTCAGAAAATTTGAATTATCTAACAACTCGGATTATCCTATTGCAATAGCATCCTGGGATCTATACAATTCATCTAGGGAACATTGCTGCTGGAATTCCTTGACAATTACCTCAGATTTATCAAATTGGCAAGATATATTGGCGAGTTGTATAGTAAAAATTAAATATTTATATACGCAGCTATTAAGTAAGGATGAATATGACTTTGTACTATTAAGGCTCAAGGAAGACTATAAAATTGCCATAATTGAAGAATCTAATGAAGATACCAAAATTTTGTTGGATTCAATAATTGATCATTGGTTATGTGGGAGTATACCATTAAATAAAACTCAGGAATACCAATTATTCTGCAAAGTTGTCGAATATATTAGCCCGGAAATTATCATGTATAGATGCAAACAACTGTTTTATTATATAATTAATTATTTTCATGAAGATACTAGCTCTATTGAAAAGAATTGTATTGGTTCAATATTTATCTGTGCTCCTAAGATGAATAATTTAAAATTAGGTGATGAGAACTATACCTTACAGGGAAATCACAAGAAGTCTGTATTCAACTATAACTTGAATGCAAAGCATATAAATCAGCCATCTACAAATAAAGTGCAAAGTGACATGAAAATTGAATATGTAATAGATATAATAAGGCACGCAATTGAGTCCAAGGATTTAATACCTATACTGCATATATCAAAACATGATAAGACAGAATCTACTCAGAATAAAAGATTAAACATAAATAATTGTTATGAGGCAAAAAAACGAATAAGCTTTAGATACTACTTACCTCAAACATTGCTTAGAATTCACGACTTTTTTTGGTATAAGATTCGTGCTATATTTTATAGTCGTGTAAATGAGAACCCCTATATCTGTAATGGGAATTATTCAATTGAACAGTTAGATAATATTGCTAATCAGATGAATTTTGAATTCGAATTTGAAAATAAAGATATTAATGAAAAAATATAGTAGCAACATAAATATTACAAAACAACAGTTTAATTATCGAAACCTTAATTATTAATATCCAGACTACCCCTAACTTAAATATAATTGCGATCAACCACAAAGTAACAATTCAGTAACACTTAGATCTGTGCTAGTATAAGATTTATTAAACTAAATTTTCTATATATATAACACTAATAGGATGGTTTTATCTTATGTAAGTTCAAATCTACAATATAATTTGAATGACAGTTTATTAACCAAAATCGTTAACAGCTACAATTTAAATTAGCTATAAGATAATGATGACTGAATCTGGTATCTTACAAAAAATTTTAAATAGTTTATTTAATTAATTACTGGAGAAAAAGACTATTATATAAAAGTAGTACTTTTATATCAAACTCTTGAGTTTAAGATATCAAGTATCTTGGATATTTGAGAAATACTTAAAATTCAATGTATATTTAAATACTAGATTAGCAATTTTCAATTAATTTCCAAATTATAATCAAAAATTCCTTAGATTTTAACAAGATCACTACATACTTACAATAAATATTATATTACAACTTTAACATAACCGATTTATCAGATAATAAATATCTTGTCCTAGTGAATGAAAAAGTTTACTTTCTAATGATCTAAATTCGTCGTTCATTTGCAATTTAAATTCCATGTATTACATTATATTAAAATATTTCCAAATTCATCGTAATATTAGACCTCAAAATAAAAGATATGGTGATATTTAAATATAAAAATACTTCCCAAATTAGAAATATATCTTAATAAGAAAAAGATCATTCGCAAATTATACTTGTATTAGGTAACTTTGCTAGCTAATTTAAGCAATTAATCAGGCAAAAAAATATAGAAACAGTTGTTTCAAAAAGCTACTTATATAGATAATGTTCTATTGATTTCAATATATAGTAAGAACAAATTGGGATTATGAAATAAGAAAAAAGTAATAAGTTTACAATTTGGGTGAAAATCTTCATAATACTTATAACAAACCTTGTAAACTAAAGAACAGTAGAGTTCAGTATAAAATACATACAAAATTTCTATAAAGTACATCAAATTAAATATTTTGAAGCAAAGTTCACATTTTTAAAAATAAATATTTCTGAAACAGTAATATACTTGATATACTACTATTGGTTTAGTTTGTAGCTGAAAAAATGTATTAAGGGCTCCCAATAGATCAATTTTGAGTAAATTCAAATAGGTAACTTATATTAATCTTTTAAAATGTTATATAGATTAAATTTGCAAAAATAAAAAATTATTTGAATTTTTTAACGTTCAAATCAAATTAAAGAAAAACCTTAGTTTAGCAGACCACTTTTTCTATACTCAGTCCCATGTATTTGTCTGAATTGATCGATGCAATAATGCCAGATGAAATAAATTCAACAGATAGTTCAAGATTTATTGAATAAATTAGAATATTATTTTCAAGTGAAAAATCAGAATTATGAAGTTTTGATATATGCAAGATCTTATCATCCTTAATAGTAGCGATAGCAAACCAGAATTCTGAGGACCATCTTATATGGGACTTTTGATCAAGTATAATTTGAATATAAAGACAATTTACTTCATTATTAGAGTTGCAAGTAGGATCTTTAGAACTTGCTTGAATTGATGAATCAATCTTAAAAATAGGTATACTTAGAATCCAACTGAAAATACTTTCTACAGAATCTATATTATTTGGAAATAAAATCTTTTTAGTGCTTGGACACGATTTAGACTTGTATATAAATTCGTGAAACGTATCTACTTTATAATTTCTTTTGATATATTTTATATCATCAAGAGTTTCAATAAAGGGAATTTGCAATAGTGTTGACTGGAAAGGATGAATATTTTGTTTAATGCATTGTTGAACACATAGAATAGATAAAAAAGCACTGTACGATTTAATTCTTCCAAATACATTTAAATATAAACAAGCCTGTATAATACGATCTAGTTGCTCCAGTATACTATGTATATCATTTACAAAATCTATAACTGGAACAGGTATCCCAAATAAATAACATTGAAGTAACAAAAACACTTTTTGGTAGGGACTTTGCATAGTCTCATATGGAAGGATTCCAAGAGGGCACTTTTTATACAGTTTCGTGCATATTATATCTTCATTGTGCCTAACAGGATGCAAATTAAATTCAGTGCTTTTGCATAGAAATCTCAAAATATCTACCCAACCATATAGAAAATGACCAACTTTGAAAACATCTCTATTTGGATTTACAAACTTATTATACAGTTCGCTTTCAATGAATTCAGTAGTCTCACATTTTATATAAAAAAATGCAGAAACTTGTCCCAAAAAAGTTGGAATAAAATATTGCAAATTACATAAAGAATCTTGACTAGTAATACTACTACCATATAAGTCCGTCCAAGAATATTTAGAAGAATCTGTTTTATCAATAGTATCACAAATTGATTCTCCTGTAGAAATTTGTATACATCGTTTTTCAATTAATGTTTCAATTACGTTATCAATCATTTTCCCAAATATTTTAGAAATAAGTGAATATCTTAAATTTACATCATTATTTACTATACTTATAGAATAATCCTCTTGAAAAATATTTGGATCATAATATCCAGGGCTTAAGATAATCCTTCTAAATAAAAAGGAGTTAAAAAGGAATTGAATTGCATCCAGCTTATTTCTTATAGATCTTGCTGAAATTTCTGCATTAATTACTTCACAAAGTATATTCAAATGCAGTGATGATTCCAGAGGTAAAGGATCATATAAAAATCTTTTATAATATTGCTTCTTAGGTTCATAGGTCATAATGTATCCAATAGCGTTTGAATCAAACTGGGGCCTCCCAGCACGGCCTATCATTTGAATAATGTCAGTAACTGGATAATCTACATATCTCTGTTTATAACCATCGTAAAATTCTGTACCCTTAACAACAACTAGATAAGCAGGGAAATTTACCCCCCATGCTAAAGTAGAAGTAGAAACAACTATTTTTATTTTACCATTGAGAAATAAATACTCCACTAGTGTTTTATCATTCTCCTTCATACCTGCATGATGGATCCCAATACCAAATTCTAATGTTTGCTTTAAAGTATTATCACTTACTGATAATGCTATCTCTCGAACTTCATCGCTACTATTTAAAGATATAAATTTGTTTGTATTGTTCTCAAATAAGCAAAAATGTACTATGGCTAATGCAGTTAACCTTGTTTGACGTCTAGAAGATGTAAAAATTAGTACTGGTTTATTTGCAGAGTGTTCCTTAATGAAACGATACATAGGTAAGTTCATTGTAGACATACGAGGACAGTAGTGCTTTTCAGAAAACCCTGAAATATAAACAGTGCAAGGTACTGGACGTATCGCAGATGTAAAGTTGAAATATCCAACAGTTGAAACCCCCATCCATAATGCCAATTCTTTTGAGTTTGCCAAAGATGTTGAGAGACCAATTATCCTTATAGAAGAGCATACACTACATGTATCTACTTGTTTTGTTTTTTCAATAACTTTATTCATAAATTTCATTCTACAAATTAAAATTTCTATAACTGCACCCCTTGGTTCCTGACCTAAAAGATGAATTTCATCAAATATAACAAGTCGCACAGTTCTTATGTAAGACTTTTTTTCACTCCACCAACGTCTTGTTAAGCTATCCCACTTTTCTGGTGTAGTAATATATATATATGCTTCAAATAGCTCCTTTGCAGTAGGATTAGTGTTTCCAGTAATAAGTAAAATATTTATATTTAAATATTTGTTAAATAGAGTTTTCCATTCATTATATCTTTCCATTGCAAGTGCCTTTAAAGGAGCGATATAAACAATTCTTGGTTTATCTTTCATACAATTACTGAATGGAATTAAATTATTGGTACATTTAAATAGTGTCCTAAATATAGCTATTTCTGCAATCATTGTTTTTCCGGAACCAGTAGGTGCACCAAGAAAAATATTTTCATTAGTGTGATATAAAATATAAAACAATTGAGTTTGAATAGGATTCAAAAATATAACTTTTTTAACTTGATTATAATATTCCTCTAGCAAAGGAATATTTAATATATTAATATTCAATGGATGCAGATCTAATAATTGTGTATAATCAGAAGTAAAATGCTGCTTTGAAAGTGAATCTTTACAATTAGATAAAATGTTTGAATAATATAATGAACTTCTATAATTAAACTCATCAACTATACTTTTGAAATTTACTGTACTCTCAAATGATAAATTTACCCATTTCTCAGATATAATCCTAATAATCAATTGGAATGGAGTAGGAATTGGAATTGGAATATATTCACTAATTACAAGCAATTCGTTGACTTTTTTTTTCTGTATAACAAATGAACTAGAGTAAATTATCCCACCACTATCTGGATTTTCTATCCATAAAATGAATGATTCATGCATTCCATGCCAACGGTCTACCCATTGCCATGATGGTTTCAACTTTAAATCAAATTTAGCAACCTTTACTGAAATTGGGACTAAATTAATATTCTCAATAATAATATTAGGTACAATTTTTATATAATGTAAAACACGTGATGCTTCAGAATATACAATATCTTTCAATTCACTAATTGAATATTCCTTAATAATATCCCAATGAGCATAATTTTCTAATCTTATAATAGAATCTAACTTCAAGGGCCCAATATTCTTATGCTTTCCAATTATATACTCTGTTTCAATATTTAATCTATTATTATTTAGAGAATAGTGATATACAAAATGTCTCAGCATACAATCATTGTAATTCATGCGCATTCGAATCATTTTTGTCCATTCTAGTATTCTAAAAGCTTGTTCAGCTACATTTGATGGAGTTAGTTGAACTATTTCAAACATAAACATTAATAGTCTAATTGAATTTTGTATAATATAACATGAGTCAAGAATCAATGTTGGGGTTTTTATTTCAATTCTTGCTGTGCATGCTAGTAATAATAACATTATTTTTACATTTGTATCTAACACATCAAGTATTCTTCCTTTTAAAAGTGAAGATATAAAAGGATTTAATTTTATTTTTTCGAGTTCATAAACTTCATCATTTCTAGATATCATACTAGAAAATTCCGTAGCAGAACCCAAAGTTAATAATATGTCAATATCATCCTTCATATATTTTATAATTGACAAATTAAAACCACCAAAATTTATTACTTCATTGAGATCTTCACTACTTTTATAATTGTTGTCTATGAGCATTTCTCTAAATATATTTGCTGTAACAAAGTCAATGTAATATTTGGAAGCTAATCTCCCATTTTGTGTTGCATATATTTCACTACTGGTAATATTATATCGAATAAGCTTAGAATTTCGTAAACTTAATAATGAATTCATTATAATTTTTTTCAGAGATTCAATAAAATCATAATCATTTAGTATATCCTCATGTGTTAACCCATAATATAAAGGTGATTTTCTAATACGTACAAAAAAAAATGTATATTTTATCCAGCGCATTATATCATCAAAATTCAAAATTAGACCTCTACAAACTTCTGTATTAATTAAATTGCAAAGTTCAGAACCTCTTCCTAATAATGACTCTATAGGAACTTGGTATGTTAGTTGCCTAACATAATGATGTAATTTGTTTATCTTGGTTAATAGTATAGCTGATCCCAAAATATCAAATTGTGGACGTCCAGCACGACCAAAAATCTGTAAAATATCTAAAATACCAATGTCTTTATAACGACCATTTTTACTATCATATACATCTGTCCCTTTTATTATAACTTGATGAGCTGGAAGATTCACACCCCAAGCTAGTGTTGCAGTTGTGACTAGTACTCTTACTATACCACTAGCAAATAATTTCTCACTTAATCGACGTTGTGAAGGTAATAAACCAGCATGATGAATTCCAATTCTATATTTAAATAAATCTTGAATCCATGGACTTCCACATTTTGCAACCATTTTTTTATATGTAACAAAATCATTCATCTCCTTATCATTCAAATCAGTATTATTCTTAGTTAAGTTCTTATATAAAAATGGCATGTCATCTTGTATTTCAATGTATTTATTTTCTATTTTTGAAACTTCTGTATTTTTAAATATATATTCCGATTCATTTAGTCTACTCTTAATATATTCTGCTGTAACAATTGTTTCATTCCGTGAATGAACAAATACAAGAATTTGATTTCCACTTAATAATGTTTCTTTTAATTTAGAAAATAGAATTTCATTGATTATATCATCAAAACTTTTATTTTGAGGTAAATCTGTATTCTCCCTCAAATTATTATTTATATTTTTGGTAGCTGTATAGCTGTATTTTTTTACAGGATCATATATTCCAATTATTGTATTTTCTAATGGTACTGGTCGAAATTTTAAATCAAAATAATATGCATGTTCTTTTGATACATGAAGAAATTCTGCAAAATCCATCCAATTCGGTAATGTTGCTGATAATCCAACTAGTCTAACTTTGCTTTGAGTTATTTCTATATTTGTTATTGTACGTGCAACAATTGCTTCTACAGATGGACCTCTTTCATCACCTAACATATGTATTTCATCTAAAATGATACATTGTATAGTATTAAGGAAGGTTGTATTATCTGAAGGTCCAGATAAAGTAGATCTTGTCAAAATATCCCACTTTTCAGGTACTGTCACAATTATATGAAATTCATTTAAATCCTTCTTAGATATAACAACATCAGCTGTAAGCTCTGTTATCTTTAATCCAATATGTTTTAATGATTTAGTAAACTTTCTAGTTATTTCTCCTACCAAAGATTTCATTGGTGCAATATATATCACTTTAAAATTCTTAGCTCCCAAATTAATCAAATTTGAAGAATTGCATTGTAATCCTAATGATTGAAGATATGTCTCAATACTTCTTAATATTACAAGAAGTGCAATATTTGTTTTTCCTGCTCCTGTAGGTGCTGCAACTAAAACATTTTCAGATGTTTTATATGCACTTTTGAAAACACAAGATTGAATAGTATTAAAATGTGAAATACCTTCAAATACATCCCAAAAATACCTAGGTAATACCTTTATTGATACAATATTTCCACTAGAAGTATTAATAGATATATTATTATTTGGAGGTGCAATATAAACTTCTTCATATAACTCAGTTTTGTTATGCACTTGTCCTTGTAATAAATTAATTTTATTATTTATAGAAAAATTTAAATCCTCATTCAAATTAATTGAAGGTAAAGTATGTTCTACTTTTTTGCTCATATTTTCATTTAAACTTGAAAATTTTGTTTCAGAATTATCAGTATTTGAAATTGGCATCTTAGTTCTAATTGTTTTATGAGAATTATACATATCTAAATTATCCATATCAATAAATGAAAGAGAAGAAAGTAGTTTATGGGTATCAACCTCTTTATTATCCATATTTATATTCATACTATAGTAATATTTCAGTGCCTCTAGTTCAGAATTTAGCTTCTTAACATTTTCTATCATATAAAATATTAATTCAATTCTGGTATCACCCAATAAATCAATAAGATCAGTAGTTATCTTATTTCTGTCAATATCTTTAGTATTATTTATATTACCAAATGTAATTAAAATATCGTCTACAATCCGACACATTACTTCGAAATTATTCCTTAAGCATTCAGGGTTACATTTTATTGATTCAATATTATCTACTCCTAATTTACTTATATCTAACCATATTTTATACAATGTTGGATAAAGGTAAATGTCTTCATTTTCATTTATCATAGAATATTTTGTTTACTATATAAATTAAATTTTGTATTTCAACCGCGATATATACAAAAAATTAAGAACTTAATATTGTATAATTTCCTTACAAATAGTAACTAGGACTAATAACATTAATTATATTGATTATCTAATTCATCTTAATACTTTAGCCTACTAAAAATACTTTGTAATATAAATAATAAGTATATTAATATTTAAAGTTATTATGTAGATATCTGTAACAGATATAAGAAATAAAAAAAAAAAAAAAAAGTCAACATTTACAATTAAATATTACAGAAATATCTTCAATATATTATCTTTAGTTCTATTACATTTTAATTTCTTAATAAAAATTATAGATATATATTAATATTGTGTGATAATCATAAATAAATCTTTTAATAAAATATTTAAACTGAGTATCATAAACACAATTATTTAAGAAATCTATATAATTTATTATATTTTAATAAACACAATAGTTTTTAAAACAATTTATTAATATTATATATATGCTATTATATAAATAAAAATCGAAATCCAAGTATAATATATAAAATATTAAAGAAATTTTCTTTAGATATCTTATAAATATTATTTTTTTTTTATTAGTAAATTACTTGTATTAGTATGTATTATTAAAGTATATTATTTTAATAAATAAAATTATAAAAAAAAAAAAAAAAGAAATTATATTTTAAAGTTACCAAAAATATTGAATATTACCTTTAAAAATTAAGAATATAAATATTATAATATTTTATCTAAAGATATCTTCTTCTTTCTATTTAAATTATTTAGATATAATCATTAAAATAAAGATTTTGGGTTAGGTTAATGTTTAGGTTATTAATTAAACACGTGGGGCATCATTCATATAAATGTTAATGCCACCAAAAAATATAAGTTAATGAAATATACTCTAAATTATTTCCTTAACTGATAATACTATGATGCATTATTACTATCAATATATAAATTTATTTATATATAAAGTTAATACAAATAAAACTTTAATCCTACAAAAAATATCATTTTTAATAATTTCTCAATATTACGCGCTTTTAATAATATATTTTAAAACTATATATATTTTAAAGGAAATAAGAAATTTTAACTAATATTATTATAAATGACTATTATTGGAATAGTAGGTACTGCTTGTTCTGGTAAAGAAACTCTCGTAAACTTATTAGTAAATAAATATGGATACAAGCATATAAATTTAACTAAATATAGTTTACATGATACTTTAAAATTAGATAATAATACTGAACCTGAAGATAATACCAAAAAAGTTGAAAATTGTATAATAGATATTACATCTAATAATTATTCTATAAATACTGATATTGATGATCAAAAAGAACAAAACAAAGATTTAAATAAAATTGGGAATAATTCATTTAATATAAAACTTTTCCAGTTATTACTATCTAATTGGAAATATAATTATGTTATATCTCCTATTACAAAAGAATCAGAATTAGAGATTTTACAAAAGACATCATTTTTCTTGTTATCAATAGATGATTCAACTTCTAGTCGCTTTATAAAATATTGTAATAAATATCACAATATCGAACATAAACACACAAATAATTTACTAAATGAAGATATTTATAAATATTATTTAAATAATGAATATCTTAAAAATATTCTATTTGAATTTTTGGTTTATGAAAACAAAAAAAGTGATTATTCTATAAGAAAATTAATGAATAATGCTGATTATCATTTATATGGATATGAAAATATACAAGATTTAGAAAATAAATTAATTAATATTAATATTCCTAATATTATACATAGACCAAGTTGGGATGAATATTTTATGAAATTAGCTTGGTTAACTTCAAAAAGATCTAATTGTATAAGACGTAAGGTTGGTTCTGTATTAGTTAAAAATAATAGAATAATAAGTACAGGATATAATGGTACTCCTACTGCAACAACTAATTGTTTTGAAGGAGGATGTATACGGTGTACTAATATAAATGTAATAAATGGAACAAATTTAGAATATTGTAATTGTATACATGCAGAATCTAATGTTTTATTCTATGCTGGAAAAGATAAATGTGAAGATTCAATTTTATATGTAACATGCTTACCCTGTTTAACATGTGCAAAACATATAATACAATGTGGTATAATTAAAGTTATTTATTCAACTAAATATCTAATGGATGAGAATAGACCAACATCTATAGATATTTTACATAATTCAAATGTTGAAGTAATACAATTTCATAATTCTAGTAAATTTATTTAATTTATTATTAATTATTCATACCTAATATTATATATATCTTCAAAATCTAATATTTATTCATCTTCAGGTAGTTCTACATCATTTTGAAATATTGATTCATTAATTTGAATATCTTGTATATTATTTTTATCTATATCTAAACAAGATTGTTCTTCAATTTCAGTTTTAATTTCATCATAATCACTTAAAATATCTTCTTCTCTCTCATAAGAGTCTTCTTCAATAGCATCTTCATCATCAACAAATAATGATGGATCATAGACAAATAGATCCTTACCAGACATAAAGTTTTTCCCACGTATTTTTAATTCAGCTACTTTATTATCTTTTTCAGTCTTCTTTTCCTCATCCTTTTTAGCTTTCCATTTTATAAATGTATCAAATGTAACTGGTGTTCCAGGTCCAGATAATTCTAGTCTTTCTCTTTCTATTTTTTCTTCAATTGTTTCTTCATTATCAGCATTTATTTCATCATATTCAGTATCATCTTTAAGTATATATCCTTTTGGTAAGCAGTGACGATATTTACAAGTATCTCCTCCTTGTGGGCATACCCAAAACCATCCATATTGTTTTTTTTCAACAGCTTCTAAAAAGAATTTGCAAATAATATCTGTACTAAATATTGTTGGTTCAACTGCTAAAGGATTTTTTAATTGACCAGAATTATTCATTTTTTGATCCCTTTGATCAATATAAAGATCAATCTTTTGTTCTGCCTTTATTGTAGTTGGATCAAATTTCTTAGTATCCTCAATAGATACTTTTTTAATATTTTCTGTTCCTTTAAATATTGATGCAAGTAATGCTTGTTGTTGCATCTGTTTTTTTTTCTCTTCCTTTGATTGTGCTATTTTAGCTTCATTATTAATTTGATTACCTTTTCCACCATGAACTTGAGAAGTAATTGATTTTATATATTTTTGAACACTTTTACTTTTATTTTTATTTTTTAATCCAAATGTTTTATCTTCTATTAGTTTCTGTTTTTGCTTTTCTAATAGTTTTTTTTGTCCCTTATCAGCTTTAGCCTGACCTTTTGGTGGCATTTCTAATATAATATTAATCTGTCTTTATTCTTAATAAAGTAATCTATAATCCTTTATTATAATAGCTGCGTTTTGCACCACTTAATTCCAAGCGGTAATGTTTGCAGCTCCTATAATATTAGCAATATTAGGACTTTATATGTCACTTTGTAACACTTAGATTTATACTTATTACATCAAAATTATACTCCTTTTTTTTTATAATCAAAGTTTTAAAATGAAATCACATAATTACTACCTTAGAAAATTAGAAAAAAAGGGAATTTATATTAATTATCTTATTTAATTTATTATTTTAACTTCAGAGATTTTTAGTCTAAATTTCTATTACTAATTACCTTTTTTTTTTTTTTTTTTTATTAAATACACTTTAGTGAACTTTAAAGTGAGATTTAGCACATTTCTTAATATATTAGATTTTACATCTATTAATTATAATTTTTAATATATTCATTACAAGTGTATTTGGGAAAAAAAAAATATATCATTACACTAAGTATAAATAAGATTTCTAATCTTAATATAATCTAATTAGGTGAATTTTTTTTATTTTTTTTTTAAATATATTCTTGACTTCTCTTAAATAATTCTTATCTGAAAAAATAAAATACAAAATAAATTTATATTAGTTTTATCAAGTTCTTTTTTGTTTAGAACAAAAAGTATTTGAGACATAGATTAATTATTAAAATAACCAAAATTACAATATAAGTGGAAATTTTTAGTATCTTTACTTTCAATAATAATATTTATAAAAAAAATATTTACAAAGTTAAAAATAAACAAGATTTAAATATTTATAGATACCAAAAATAATACTCCAATAATAAAGATTAGTATTTTAAAAGTTAATATTTTAAATATACAAGAAGAAAAAAATATATTTTATGATATCATAATACCATAATACCACTATACCATAATATCACAATTCAACTGAATAAATTATTGTAAAAAGTTATTACAATCTGATTTTCTACTATCTTTGAATTTATAAAAATATAATTACAATAATTCAAATCTCAATTTGAGATTTTCAATATGCAGAAAGTATATTGTATTATTATTAATATTTTCTAATTTAAACATTAATTTATGAAAATATCAAAAAAAATTAATAATATACAAGCTTAAATCTTAAAATTTAATAATAATATTGTATATAATTATTATTATCCAATAAACTAGTATAATAATTAATCTAAAATATTTTAAAAATAGTGAAATTATATTATTAAAGCCAATCTTTATAGATAGAATTCACTGAAGTAGTTAATATATATATACATATTTTATTATTACAAAAAAAAAACCAATAATGTTTAATATTACTTTTATTTATTTAATTAAAATTACTAAAAATTATAAATTAAAACTTAGTATATAAATAAAATATTAATATTTATATATTTTAATAAATTATTATCTTGAAATATAATAATTGAATAATATTTTAATCATTATTCAAATATTTTATATTCATAATTTGATGTAAATTATATTTAAAATGTTTATGATATTCATTCACAATAGAAATACCACAAAATTTATCTGTTACTTCTACTAAAATAGTTTTTGTAGGATTTTCAAGGTTTACTGGATATATCTTCTTTAATTTATCATATATATTAGATTCTATACCCCATATTAACTCAGAACATATATCATATACAACTTGTCGTTTAAGAGATATTTTATTATGTCTAGAACTATAACAACAACACCATGAAATTTTGTATTCTTGATTTTCATTTTTATTCAAATAATCAATATCATTACCCTTACCTGATATAAAACAGTAAGGGAAATTCTTTATAATTGCAAATTTTAAAATATTCTTTAATTCATTTGATGATGGTATACATATATAATCTAATGGTATTAATCTACTAATAAATCTTGATGACAATATATTAGAATATGAAGATTTATTATTATTAATATATTCATTATATGCTTTATTCATAACTTTTGCAACTATTTCAGATGGTAAATCCTCGGTTCTATCAAATTTTATCAATATCAAGCATCGAGAAATATTTCCTATTAAAGAAAATCTTTCAATATTACTACGTAATTGTGAGATTTCAGATTGTAAATTATCATTTACATCATATTTATTATTAACTATTGAAATATCTTCAATAGGGCTAATATCATTGAATATAGCTACTATATCTTTAAAAGCTGTAGTTGCTCGAGAATCTGCACTTATTGACATTAAAATACCTTTAGAATTATTATCTAATTTCCACTTTTTTTTTTTATTTTGACTTATAAATTCATCTTTATAATATCTTTTTCTTTTTATTATCATAATATTAATATTCTTAATTAAAAGTGAAAAAAGAAATTAATTTAGTATTATATAAATGATAATATAATATATATAGGTAATAGGACCGCTTCTGAAATAAAATATTGTAATATCTAAATCTATTAAATAGAAATTTTAAATTATATATTTACCCTTTTATATATTTAGAATTATATATGTAACTTTTAGAGTATTTAAATAATTTGAAATACTTAATAAAACTAAAAGATCTAATTTTAGATCTACTTTAAAATTACTTTATATTTATTAATTATTTAATAATAATAATTCATTATATTTAGATAAATAAAAATATTAAGAATTAAGTATTATTTAGCTAATATTTAAAATATATATTTAAATAATTTAAATAAAAGTATAAAATTGATAATCTAAAAATTAATCTATATTTTAATTATTAAATAATAAACAATATCATTTAAGGTATAGATTAATTTTAAGATAATAATTATTAAATATTAAGATATTTATATTTATTAAATAAAAGATATATAACTAAATTGAAATAATCTAATAAATTAATGAATTTTATTATAAACTTTTTCAATTCTTATATTATATATTATTGTTATATATTAATATTAGATTATCATTATAAATAGATTTATTATTTAAATATATCAATATATTGATTAATTACTAAGTTTTAGAGTAATATTATAAATATTAAAATTTTTCCAATTTATACTTTTATCTGAATAAAGAATGATTTTACTATTCAATAATATTATTTAGGCTGTACCCTTCTCAAGATTCCTTTTAATTTCAGTACAATGTTTACCAAAAAACTTCTCAATTATTCGATTATATTCTAAATTCTTAGAATTAATATGATTAATATTTGTTCCTATTATTTCTTTTTGAGATTTTGGTATAATACTTCTACTTTTAGTATAAATCTCAATTAATCTTTTTTTAGCAGAATCATTAGGTTTATGACTGATTCTTAATAACTCAATATCATTATCCTTTGACATAATTAATCTCATTTGCTCATTATATATTTGTTCATTAAAATTAAATTTATCTTGAATATTTGAAGAACCATTTATCTTCTTAATATCTAATATTATAGGTTTATTACTCGATGTTTGATCTATAGTTATATTATTATAATAATTATTATTCCCACAAATATCTGAATATTTCTTATTTAAATATTTAAAATCTTTAAAACGATGATTTATTTTATTATTTTCAAATTTTAAAGATATAATTCTATCATCTCTAACTATTGCTCCAAATTTATCAAGTATATCCTCTCTCTCTCTTTTTAATTCATTTTTATTTAATAGAATAACTTTTCTAATATTAAGGTTTATATCAAATAATTTATTAATTAGTTTACTAGATTGAATTTGATCTGGAATATATTTTTCTGATAATAAAAATGATTTGTATTTGTCAAATTTATTATTAGTACTTATATATCCTTCTTTTGTATTATTTTTTAATAATTTAATATCAGAATAATTTAATTGACCACTATCAGAAATATAAGTTAAACTTTTGGGATAATGTTTAGTATCAACTGGTATTAATTCTACATTTTTAATAATATCCATTCCAAAAATACATTTTCCAATAACAATATATTTATTATTTTCTTCAATTATATTTCCTAATATAATATAAAATGTAAATATATCTTCTTTAATATCTTTTGGTATGACTAACAGGGCCGTAGATATATTTATATTAGATATTTTCTGATATTTTAGATGATCCAATTTCTTATTTAATATAGGTATATAATCTAATTTATTTTTAGCCTTAATTATTTGACCTTTCTTAATATAAAAAAATTGACTACCAGTATGACTCAAATTTTTACCAGTTTTCTCACATTTAATACCATTACATAGTTGACAAAAAAGATCTAAAATATCTGTCTCTACATCACGTGATAATTCAAAAATAACCCTCCCCCCTAGATTACTTTTTTCAATTACAATATCTATATAAATATATCTATTTTCTTCCATTTTAAAGAATATCTTTTAATATAATACTCTTAGTTTGAGTTAATCTTAGCGGTATTATAAAAAAGAAAAAAAAAAAAAAATCTTAATATCTATTACTTATTATTATAAAAAAGAAAGAAAAGTTTTAAATGAAAGAGGATGATTTATTTTTTGCAGTTCCAACAGGTAAGGATATTCAATATATATTTGTAGAATTTGTAATTAATTTTTATAGGAGCAAGAAAAATTCTTAATGTCAAAGATAGTAAAACTAATAGTATTATTCCGAAAGAACGCTATGTTATGCGTTTAAGATCTTGTTTATCATGTCGTATTATTTTAAGTGATCAACAATTTTATGAAAAAGGTTGTCCAAACTGTACTCATTTAGCAATGGAATTTGATAGACATAAAGTTAATTCATGTACAACAACTTCATATAAAGGGTATGTATATTATTATTTTTACTTTGATACATTATCTTTACTAAATAAAATCTTATGAAGGATGATATCTATGCTTAAACCTGAACTTTCATGGGTAGCTAGATATAATCGCATTACAGATGTTACTCCTGGATGTTATGCTGTCTCTGTTAGTGGTGATTTAATGTATGATAATAGAGGTTATGAGGATGAATATTAAATATTTAGAAAGATTTTTTTTTTTATTATCTAAATTTATACAGTAACCGTAGAATATTTAAAGATCTGTTAATTATTGATCTTTTGTTTTTTTATAAGCACAAAAATAATTGCAAAAATCCATATATTTTGATGCAACAAAACAATTTACTCCAGGAATAAATATATATCCACTAGATTTTATTTTTATCATATCAGCATAGAAAGCATACCTATCTAATTCATTTGGTTTTATATATTTTTCCCATGTATGTGTTTTCTAATAAAAAGTAATATTTATAATATATTTGAATTAAATAAATACTAATACTTACCTTTGGAATTATTTGCAAAATATCTTCCATTATTGTGATAGTAAGAAAATAACTTAAAAGTGTTCTATTAATAGTTGTAAAAATAGCTATTCCATTATTTCTAAGTACTTGACCTAATAAATAATATAAATATATATATATAAATATTGAAAATATTTATTTTATTATAAAATAAACTTACCTATAAACTTGACAAATTGTTTAGGTTCTCTTACATGTTCAATAATCTCAGATGCAATAACAATATCAAATGAATTAGGGGCAATTGATGAAATTTCTTCTATATCACCAACATAATAAGAAATTCTATTTGGTATGATTGCACTTTTCAAATATTCTTTTAGATTATTGATATTTTGTAATTCAGTAATATTTAGGTTATTATTATAATAATCTTGTCCATGTTTAAGTGCTATTTTAATTGCAGGGTATGATAAATCTATACCTAATATATCACCACCTAATTTAGCTAATTTTTCAGATAATAATCCACCACCACAACCAATATCCATTATCCTCAAATTATAAAGTGGACCTCTTAGAGAATTATATTTATCTGTAACAACTTCTTTAATAAATTCTACTCTAGAATTATTTAACCAATGTAAACCTTTATATATACCATTTGGATTCCACCATTCACTAGAAAATTTATTAAAGTGATTAATTTCTTTTTCATCAACTGTACTATGTAAATATTTTACATTTTTATTTTTTAAAATATACCCCGTAGTATATTTTTTATAAGAATTATAAATATATAATTTACTATGTAATGATTTACTATTAATATTTTTATAATTAAAGTTAAAGTTATATAATATTTTTTGTATAAACATTTCTAATAGATTTATAGCGGATAAATATTTAATATAAGTACATCATTCCGGGATTTTATTGAACTAAATATGTAATATATTTGTTATTCTATAATAAATAAATACAAAATATAAGGTACAAAATAAATATTTACAAATAAATTTAGTTATTAATATAAAAAAGATCCAATTCTAATTCTAATTCTAAATTATAATTTAGATATGAATTTATTCCCTAATTATCATTTGAAATAATAGTTCGAACATTATGTATACGTTCTACCCATATATCTCTTCCATTAATATCATCACTATAAAGAATTAATGAGGCAGGACTACTACCATGAGTAAAATCTAATGCAAAACATGGTAATATATCATCTTGAACCTTAGGTATTAAATTAAAAACACGTATTTGCCTAATTAATCTTATAGGGATTGTTGCATTTGCTACAGTATCATTTGGATGTTGAGTCCATAATAAATAACCATCTGATCTAAGCATAAAAAAACGTTCTTTCCAAAATTGATCTTTATTATTTGATGATATTTCTTCATCAATATCTTTATATAAAGGATTTATTAAAACTTTAGATGGATTAAGACATATATTTAAAAATCCAAAATGATAAGTTGGTATAGAAACAAGTAAACTTGTTGATCTATGAGGTAAAAGCATAAATTTATTATTATTTATTAAAGCAAGTACTAAAGCATATTGATTTATAGAATTAAATAAACCAATTAAATTATCTTTTTCTTTTGAAATTGGAGGATTTTCACCATATACTGCAATAAGATTTTTTAATGCATTAACACGAGCTGGTGAAAGATTTTTAGTTTTTTCATCAATCTTTTTGTTATTTCTAGATCCAATTATAAAGCTAAACCATGAATTATTATATTCTTCATTATCAGATAATTCATTGTCATTATTTATATTAGTTGCTTGAGAAAGAAGTATATCTGATGGAGTTGTTATTGTTCTATATATAGTAGTAAATTCTTCTAAAAATTCATCTCTTCGTCTAATTTCTAATAATATATCATCCCATCCATCAATTTTTAATAATAATAATACATTTGAAGCTTGTGGTATAGCTAATTCTTCTACATCAATAATAGGTGCTGCTTGTAATAATTTTAATGGTGTATGTTGATAAAGTGCTATTCTTTCAGAAGTTAATACTAATATCTGTCTAAAAATACTTGAACAATCAAGTGGTGGAGGAAAACATGAAGATTCTAAACCACGTGAAGTAAAATTTATTACAATATCACTCCATAATTTATTTTTTTTTTCATATATTGTTAATCCTAATTCTTCAAGTTTTTCAGGATTTTGTTCCATTGCTGCATGATCACTACATTTATAATCATATATATTATTTATTGAATTATTTCCAGTAACAAATCCAAAAACATTCCAACCACTCTTTTCAGTATTATTATCTTCATTTAATTCTTCTTGTGTAGAAAATACACAAAAATCATCTTTACATGTAGATTCTAATTCAATACCATTAAAAATAGTTGTTAAATTAACTTTATTACAATTTGATTCTATACCAATCATATCTAAATCATCACTTTTTAATGTACTATCAAATTTTCTATATGATAATAATGGTGTTTCAGGTAAAGATATATCTTCATCATAATTTGTATTATCTGATGTATTAATAATGTTATGTCTATTTATATCTATATTATTAGAAATATTATCTATATTCTTATCTATTAAAGATAAATTATTCAATACAATTTTTGGTAATTGTCCTGATGAATTTTGTAAAGATATCTCAATAAAATGTTCTATAAGTATTTGTTGAATATCTTTATCTTCTGAAATATGTAAAAGAGTATTTTTACGATTATCAATATTATTAACATCTGCACCATTTTCTAATAATAATGATATTAATAAAATATCACCTTTAGTTACTGCCAACATAAGAGGGGTAAATCCAGACATACTACGCCAATTTACAACATATGAAATTTCTTCTTGATTAATATTAATAAGATAATGTAATATATCTATTTGATTCCTATATACTAATATATGAATACCTGTCCAACCAAAAAGTAAAGGATATTCTAATAATATAAAAATAGTTTCCTTAGTTAATAATTCTAAAATATTTACAATATCCATTTTAATATTACTGGAATTATCTTCAAATATATTTATATCTTTATATTCTTCTATATTATAAATCCCATTATTTATATTTTTTAAAATATTCAAAAATTCTTCAATATTATCATTTAATATATAACAAAATAATCTAATAATTAAATCTTCAATTAATTTCAAATTCTTATTTATTCTCAATTCATTTATATTTAATGAATCTTTATTATTATCATATGAAATAGATTTATCTAATTTTTTATCAACTTTCTGAAAAATACTTTCCATCATTCCTTTTATAAGAAATAATCTAATATTATCATCTCCTTCTATAATATAATTCAAATAACTACATAAGCATTGATATTCACTCTCTATACATTTTAATATAAAATTTCTTTCATCATCTAAACTTGGTGTTGGTGGTAAAGGTTGCAATATTAATACTGATTTATCTTCAATTATTTCTATTATTTTATGGGCTATATCATTATTATTATTTATATTAACATTTTTATTCTTTATTTCTTTAATTTTATTCAAGAAATTATTATAAATTAATTTCTCATCTTTATTAATTAGATTATTATCTTTAATTATTATATCATTAGAAAATTTTGTTAAATTTAAATATTCAAGTATTTTCTCCTTTATTTTTTCTATATCTTCATCTAAAGTATTTTCATCAATAATTATTGCAAGAGTAAATCTTAAAATTTTTAGTAAATCACACTTTATATCTTCTAACTTATTTTGTAAATATTCATCCATTATCTTTAATTTATTAAAATAATCTTCAACTCTATTTATGATCTTATTTGTTTCATTTTTATTTATTTGTAAATTTTTATTATTCATATTGGAAAATTCACTAGGTAAACATTTAAAAATATCACTATCAACTTCATTATTCTTACCCAAAAATTTGCTATTATTATATAAATTATCTAATAGATTATTTATATCCAAGATTTTCTCATTTATTTCAGATAATTCTTTATTTTTTAGTATAATTGTATCTTCCTGTTGAGATATCTGTAATCTTAAATTAGCAATTTCTTGATATAATGATTCATGTTCCGTTAAAACTTCTTCAACTCTTTTTGGTGATGATGAATCTACTTGCAATTTATGTAACATAGTACTCTTATGTTCTAATTCATTTATTCCACTTTGTAATCGTATTATCTCTATTTTATATTGTTCTTCCATGGTTTGATATTTTGCAACTTCATTACTTTCATTTCTTAAACGAATCTTCAAATTTCCAATTTCTTCATTCTTTTGTTTTTCAAGTTCATACATTTCATTTAATGCTTCATCCCTTGATTTTACCAACTTTTCTAATCGTTGTATTTTTTGTTCTAATTGTTTATATTTAGCATTTTCATTATAATTTGTCCTTTCCTCACTATTCGCAGATGATTCCAATATTTCATCAGTTGTATGCATTATAAATATTATTTTATATAGAATTCTATATCCATCTAATTTTTTTTTTTTTCTATTTCTTATAATAAAGAAAATATCTTCTTATTTTAGATTAAAGGGGGAAAAAAAAGACCAATATTGACTTACATAAGGCGGGTATTTGTGTAATCCTATAAAAAATCTTAGGGGGTATTCCTACACACACAATTATAAACTATTAAAATTTAGTAAATACATTTATAAATTTCCTTATAAAAAAAAACATTAAAATATATATAATAACATTTTTTTAGGATATCCAAAGGGGAATAATAGACATATCTTTGATATGTTCATTATAAGTATTATACCAATTCTCATTAGTATTTGGTATAATCTTATTTATTCTTAAATTTATTGATTTATTTATTTGTTCATTATTAATAGTATATGCTAATATATCTGAAGATATTCTTAAAATCCATGCACTTTTTCCGGACCAACTTTCTTGTTTTATACTCATTTTTGAAAAATAAGATGAATAATGATAATATTCATTATTCCCAATAGAATCTGAAATTGAAATAAACATTACTTGATTTAAATTAAGTGAAGGGCAATTAATGATTAATAAATTTCTTTTTGAACCAGGAGATACTGTAGATATTTGTTGTATATTATATGACCAAAATTTTTCAGGTGAAACTAAAGAATATGCAATAGAATAGCTCAAATTATTAATTTCATTAGAATTTATTAATATTCTTGTATTTGAACTTCTTAACTTATGTATATCTTCTTCATAAAGTGAAAATATTATATGTATAAAGGGGATAAATAATAATAATAACCATAATCTACAGGTTATAAAGTATATAGATCTAAATTGAATTAAATAAAATAATTTATTATATTTCATTTATTTACTTAATAATCAATATATATATAAAATAATAAAATTTTTATAACTATACTTTTAATATTTCTAAATATATTATAAAATTTCTCTTTTTTTTTTTTTTTTTTTTTTTTTAAATTTTCTATGTTCTGAACCTCTTTATTTGTAGCTTGTTATATTTGTGTGTTATTTAGAAAAAAAAAATGATGCACACGTGAAAGCCTTATAAATCAGTTTATAGGTATATGTTAAATATATATATTATATATAGTATTTAAATTCTATATTAATAATTAGCTTTAAAAAAAAAATATTTTAATATAGAATTTTATTTATTAAAAAGTTATATATATTTATATAAATTTCACAAATATGAATTATTCAGATCTTTTAGAATCATCTATAAATTCAAGTACTAAGAGAATTATGTTAATGATAAATAATCTAATTTTATCAAGTAATAAAGATTATAGAAATAAATCAATAAATATAAAAGAAGGTATTATTGAAACAAATAACTTAATTAATAATAATACAGAATCACATCTAGATGTATGTCTAATACAATTACTTAATAAAAGAGCAACCAAATTAGAATTAAATATATTGGAATCTATTAAATCTCTTCAACGATATATAAATCAACTAAAGATTATAAGAAAAAGAATAAAGGAACTAAGTAATAACAATTTAGATAATAAAAATATAAACTCAATATCAAAATCAATAAGTAAAAATGAGAATATAACACAAAAAAATACAATAACTCAAACAGGTATAAATAATTTATTATATAAGGAAATAATAAATTTACAAACTGAACCAATAAAATTTTATGAATGGATACTTATACCAGAATTTAATTAATGTCAATTTATTATAATTAAATTCAAGAAACTTTCCACTTTCCCAAAGAAAATATTAAAATCGCAATGTTCTTATTTACACTTTTGACTTATGTTATTAAAAACCGCAAGCGGTGTTAACTAAAATATTAAGAAAAATAAAAAAAAGAAAACAAAGAGTAGATGTCTTGTGACAGCACGTGTCACGTCTTTATTTTATTAAGTCCTAAATTCATTAATTGCTATAATTTTTTTTTTTTTTAAAGATTATTCCTTGTAATCTAAATAAGTATGGTAAGTTATTATGATTTAAATATAATGTATAATATATTATGAGATATATTCTATATAGAAGTATATTGCAATTTAATGATTTTTTATTTTAGGATTCAACACCAAAGCTTGCTAAAGTTGAAAAGATCTTGGGTCGTACAGGTTCTCGTGGTGGTGTTATTCAGGTTCGTGTACAATTTATGTCTGGAGAAGCAGAATTAGCTGGGAGATCACTTATTCGTAATGTAAGAGGACCAGTACGAGAAGGTGACATATTATCTTTATTAGAGACAGAACGAGAAGCTCGTAGATTACGTTAGGACTACATAATAAATTATCTATTTCCTATCATTTATTTTTAATATAATATATTTGTTAGATCTACTTTATATAAAGAAAGGAAGAAAGAAATCTTAAGAATTAGAATTTTCCTTTTTTTCTTTCTTTATATATATGAATCATTAAAATTATTTATAACTGAGAGAATATGTTGCCATTTATCCTTTGATGAATATGTATTAGTTATATTATAATTATTATTTAAGTATCCAATATCTTCATCATATTTACCTGTTCTCTTCATATTAAGGGATATAGATGAACTTTTATTATGAACCAATTTATTTCTAAGATCTCCTAATTCACTTCGAAGCTTATCTATTTCTAATTCACGTAATTTAAGCCTTTGTTTAATAGCGTGATTCTGATTTCTAAGTATTGATATTTCATTCCTAAATCTAGTCATTGTACAACTAGTATATTCTATATCTCTAATTTTCTTCTTATTACCAATCATATTATTCATAACTAATAATTCTGATGTATTTATTAATTTTCTATTTTCTTTATCTTTATATTCACTAGGAGATATATATAAATAAGATGTTAGTATTTTCACTAATGAAGGATTATAAAATCCAAAATTTGAATATTCTGTTGAAGAAATTAAATATTTAAAAGTATTAACAACAAAATTATAAACATTTGGGAAAATATATTGAATATCTTGTTGATATTTATCAAATTCCTCATTATAATTAACATCCTGCTTATTAATATATAAATCATTCATATATCCCATATAAATTTCAAGAATTTCTTGTTGATCTTTTAAATTTTTAAATTCATTATTTAAAAATTTTATGCGAGAATCATAATCTTCTATTTGTTTATATAATTGTTCTTTACTATTTTTTAATTCACTATTTAATTCATTTATTTGAGATTCTAATTTAGTTATATTTGATTTAGCTATTATTAAAGAATCTTCAATATATACTTTATTTTTTTGTTCATTACATAAAGTAATTTGTATTTTAAGCATTTCTGAATTTTGTTCCATATAACAATTTCTTAATTGTTCATATTTCTTAGAAATAACATCTAATAATTTTAATGATTCTTTTTCATTATTAGATATTATTTCAATTTTTTCTAATAATTCTTTATTATATTTAGATAAATCTTCAATTTCACTTTTATATTTCTCATTATATCTTGTTTCATTATTAATATTATTTAATAAATCATCTTTGTATTTACAATAATAATTAATTTCATCTATTAATTTTTTATTATTATTAGATAAATTTTCAGAATCTTTTGATAATCTCTTATTATATTCTGTTAATTTATTTATTTTATCTAATAAATTATTATTTTCTATTAATATATTATCTATCCTCTTAATATATTCCTTATTCTCAATTGTTAAATTCTCATTTAATTTTAATAATTCTTTATTTCTAATGTTAAAAACTTCAATTTTATTTATAAATTCATTATTTGTTTTAGAAAGTCTTTCATTTTCAATTAATAAATCTTTTTCTTGTTTAGATAATCTTTCAATTTCATTTAAAAGTAAATTATTCCTTTTAGTTAAATTTTCAATTTTATTAAGAAATTCATCATTAATAATAAATAATTTTCTTGACTCATCCATATCTAATTTATCTATATTAATATGTAAAGGATTTAATGATTCAATAGATAATTCAACTTTTTCCATTTTATTCAATTCATCTTTAATTGTTATATTTACATTTACAATTTTTTCTAAATACCTTTTGTTATATTCAATACTTGAAATATTATGTATATTTGTAACTAATTCCTTAGTTAGGTAATTAGGATTATATTTCCTTTCAAATTCATCAATTTTAATATCTTGTTCTGTTTTAAAATAATTATTATGTATATCATTTTCAATTTTTATCTGTCTCTCTTCTTCTAAAAAATTCATATGTAGTATTTGAGATCTTAAAGATGCTATTTCATCTAAATATATCTTAATTTCTTCACGATGTACACTTTTTATAATATCAGTAACCTTTAATATATCAGATGTCTTTGATTTACGAAATTCATTTTCATTTGAATTAGAACTTCTAGATATATCATTATATTCAATAGGTGTTTCAATATCAAATTCTTCATGAAAAAGATTTGTTCTACGTAATATTGATGATAAACTATAATGTGGTTTTCTATCTGAAGAAACTACTTGACCTATTTCAGACCATATTAACTTATTAGAATTAGTAGATAAATCTAGATCTTCAGATTTATTTGTTACATTTAAATAATTTGAATTAGATCCAATTTCTAATTCAATATTTTCAGAATATTTTATTTTATTATCTGTAGATTCTAATATATGCATCTTCAGTATATTATTTAGTTTCAATATTTCCCAAAGCTTTTTAATATCATTTCTTTTATTAACTTTTTTTTCTATTTTTATATAAAATATTTCTAATTTAGATTAATATACTTGCTATTAAATCCTTCTTAATAATAAATTAATTATTATTTCCCAATTACCACAGTAATTATACAGCGCATTAATAAAAATTTTATTAGAACCGCAATGAAAATATCTAAATTTGTCTTATTTAGATTAATATTTATTGTATATTTTAGTAAGTCTAATTTTAAAATTCCTTAATATAATCATTTATATTTTTATTTCAGTATTATTATTGTACTTTTAAAGTAAAATATAGATCTAATTATAAAGTAATCCTAATATGTAACAAATATATCCTAATATTTAACAATATTACTAAATATTCTAATTTGTTTTAAATATAATTATCAAATTAATATCTCCCCTTATTTTATAATGTTAATACATGCTACAATTTTTTGCACCCACTATAATGGGTACCAAATGTTACACATGAAACTCGCGCCTAATCGAGACAATTTTATCTAATTTCTATTTTATATTTATTAGAGATAGGTATTTAAGGAACTTATAAACCTACATTTTATATATTATTACAATAATACTATTAGGGATAATCTAGTTTATTAAAAATAACAAGATATTACCTAAATTAGTGATCCTATTTGTAAATACAGAAAATGAAAGTAGTATTCTTCTAATATTTAACTATATATTACTTCCTAATATGTTCATATTTAGGATAATATAGCTTAATATTATTATATTCAAGATGTAACTTGGAAAACTCCAATAATAATGATCTCTTATAATGTAATATTAGATATATTAATAATATAATTAAAATTATAAATAATAATCCTTTTTTTCTGTATCTTAAGAAACATTTTAGCTTAGATACACACTCCCTTTATTCTTATTGTTTGAAATATTCAACTCTAATTAATGTAATTTCGATAATATAAAGTCACTCTATATTTACTCTAATAAAGTATGAACTTGTCTCTCCAGTTAGCCCCCCTTTCCCCTCTTTATCCCTAAAACGCAAGTGGGTGGATATTTTAAGGAAAAGGTGATATTATTAGTATTAAGACTCGGAACATTGTTATAAAACTTACTTTAAATTAAGAAATTAGACAATTTTATAAGGTAATATATAACCAAATAGTATTTAGGATGGAGTTCCATGTATACTTATTTATCTTCTCAATATTAGCTTTAGCATTATCCACTTTCAACTATGGAGTTTTACATATGAAAATTTATCATGTATCGTTTTTGATGGCTACCCCAAATGAAGGTGAAAATTTGCAAGACCCAAATCTCAAGTCCAGTATTAATAAAGTGATTGGTGGAAATAGAGAAGACAATGAAAGAGATGATGGAGAAGATAGTGGAAGAGATAGTGAAAGAAGTGATGAAGAAGATGATAAAGGAAATAGTAAAGAAGATGATAGAGGAAATGATGGAGATGGTGAAGATGAAGAAAGATGTACTTCCTTAGATAATGGTAATATTAGTCTTATCTCAGGTAGTACTGTTAGATCACAAAGTGATTCAAGTAGTGATGAACAATTTCGTAATAAGTTACTTAGTATGAATTCCTTATTAGATGTAAGAATAATTTGTATGCAAATACTTAGTAGTTTAAATTCTTGGGAAAGAAAAAAAGAAGAAAAGTCGTCTATTCTCAAACAGACATATAAGATATTATTTAGAACTGAGAAATATCTTGAATCTTCAGGTGTCGGAAATACTGAAGTACACAATGAAAATGAAAGTAAGGTGGAAAGTAGCGAAGTGAATAAGTTACATGTGAGACATCAAAGAATCCTAGATAAAGTTGAGAGTCTGCAACAGCGATTAGAATATATTCAATCAAAAGTAGATAGAAAATTAGCGGAATTATTGATATGTGAAGAGGTGGCTTTATTATTTGAAGAGGAAGAATTCAAAAGGAAACAAGCTTCTATGGAAGCATCAAGTTTATTGCAAAGTATTTTCTCAAGTATGACTCTTGAAGAAAAAGAGAGAGCGGAAGCTAATAGAGAACTAACAAGGCAAAGATTCTTTAATGAAGTAAAATAGATATCTTAAGTGCCAAATTTACATAATGGATTATTACCATTAATTGATCGAATGTATCTTATAAAGTATTTATGTATTGATTACTATTTTGAATGTCATTTTAAAGTAATGGTAATATTATTAGAATTGATATTCACGAAATTTATAAGGGGACCTATATAAGACATTTAGACAAGGATAAAGGGAAGATGTCTATTTATGTATAATAGTTTTTATAACTAATAAGAGAAATAATAAATATTTGATAAAATGAAGATTAATATTTAATTATTCTTAAGTCATTTATTGGAATTTTCTATTTAAGATATTACTAGGTATAATATCAACTTTTTTATTTTTTTTCTATTGGTGAATTATATATACTAAATATTTTTTGGTAATATGTGATGATGATTTATATTCTCAAGTTTCATAAATATTAATCTTAATAAGGAATTGGAGAAAATATTCTGGAATACATGTTATTAATAATAAGTGATTGTTTATAATGATGGGATAATTATTTTGGTCATAAATTATGATATATTATCACTAATACTTAAATTTTTTTTTTTTTATAATTAGTATCAGTATGAATACTAGATAAATTTGATTTCAAATAGTTTATGGTTAATGATTAATGGTTAATTGTTTATAGTTATATCTATTTTCGTTTGTAATTAATGAAATATTAACTATCAATTTTTAGATGTTTAGAAGTCTTATTTTGAAATAAGACATTATTTTATTATTGTTCTTATTAGAATAAGATTAACAAGGTAGATATTAATAAGGTAAATTATTAATTTTCTTTTCTAATTTATTTCGGGAATTTTATAAAATGTACTAAGCAGTAATAATGAATTAAATATTCATTAATAAAAGAGGAACTTATTTAATATAGAGATATATTTTATTTAAAGATCTCAAATATAATTTATTGACCCTTAATAATTATTAAATATAATGTGCAAATTGTTAAAATATAATTGATTTTATATATTATTGAATAGCTTAATGAATAAAATTATAAATATTAAGAAAATATATTGAGTATGATTAATTTATCTATATTTGTATTATATTTCTTAATTGTAAATTATTTTATCAATATAAGTATATATATATAATATTATTACTTTTAATATTCTTTATATATTGGGATTATATTTGATAATAAACTAATATTAAATATTTTACAATCCAATTTTTTTTTTTTTTTTTTTTATAGAATTCTATTTAATAAAAATAATAGATGTTTTAAAAATATTAAGCTGGATTTTGAGTTATAGAAATTTGAATTATTTAAGAGTTTAAATTCATACATTTATATTATCAAGAATATAAAGAGTATATATAATTTATTATTTATTTAATATTAAATATTAATATTAATAAATAATATTAAGGATTTAGATTCTGAATAATTAGAGGAAATAATAAATTCTTTATATTTATAAAAATATATTTAATTAAAGAAGTATAATATTGAAAACAAATCTTCTCTTTAAATTATATTGGAAATAATAAAATAAGGAATTAATATTTCATGTTAAATTTGGATATATTACTAGAATATTCACATTTATGTTAAATATGAAGTTATGATTGGCTATTAATTTCATTATAAAGATCATTTTTAAGTTTTATAGTTGTACAATAATTAATTGTAATTTCACACATATTTAATAATTTTATTATGGCATCCTAAATAAAAGGTATCAAATAAAATAGAAAGTTTATAATTGAGGAAATATAATTTAATAAAACTTACTTGTAGATAAGAATAAAAAAATTTTATAAATTTACTTGATTGATCAGGACACCAGAATACAAGCCAATTTGAATTTTCAAATTTATATAAATAAAAAGCTGTTGTTGTTAAAGCTGATGTTAAATCTTTGTGTTTATTAATATATACTGGATATATCTCAACAAATGATGGTGGTTGTAAAATCTAAATCAATTATTTTAAAAAGAAATGAATATATTTTTAATTAATAAACTTGGTTAAAATAAATTAAAAAAAAAGTTTAACTTACAATTCTTAAACAATTTACATCATCATTTAATAAGGATTTAATAGATGTATAAGCATTTGAGGAAAATGTCAAAGTATTTAATTTCAGAATACATTTTTCAAAATTTTCTTTATAGCTTTCATTTTGAGATAAACTGATTGATTCAAAATTATTTATTGGTTCAAATTTTTAATTTTTTTTCGATAATCTTAAGATAATCAATTTCATCCTATAATATTTAATATTTAAATTAATTAAGAAAAAAAAAAGAAAAGAAAGAAACATACAATTGAATTAATGGTAAATTCATCAACTGAAAATGTACCAATAAGTAAACTAAGAATACTTTCTGATGCTTCTTTTATAGTAATGATTTGAATTCTGGAACTATTCTTTGGTATATATTTTAATAGTATACTGATTAATATTGGTAGTAATAAAAATAAAGAAATAATATATTGAATTAAAATAAACTTGTAATAAGTATATAATATTTAATAAAAATAAATAAGAGTTTATTACTCTTTTTATACTTACCATGTATTTTTATTCATAGAATTATTTACCAACATAAATAATAGTGGACTGTTTACTTGATTACAAATTTCATTATTTTTAATAAAAGTGAACATTGATATAGTTAATAATATTGGAGATTTAAGAAGCTTCTGGAAATTTTGTGTGGAGTCTTTAAAACTATTTGGACTGATTTTACTATTTATAATACATTCTGGTATAAAAAAGTTTTTTAATAAGCTTGTATCAGATTCATATTGTTTAATATCAATAGAGATTATAAATGGAAATTTTGTTATATATTTGCCATTACAAATATTAAATAATTCACTGCTTAAAAGACAGTTACCTATCAAAACAAATTCATTCATTTTGAATCTAAAAAATATAATAATCTAAAATCAAAAAATAAAATTAACGCTATATATTTAGCGCCTAATATTCCTAATTAATATTTTGTTTAATCAGTAGAGTATATCTAAGTTACATTCCATCAATATGCCTAAAAAGGCGGTTTTTAATCTCAGTTATTAAAGGATAATGGTTATTAAAACAGTTTGTGAGGCATTGTTCAACCTCTTTTTCAGCATCTAGTTGTTTTTTTTGATTCTAAAAAAAAATTAGTAATTCAGTTGATATTCATTTTAATATTATCAGATAAAAAAAACTAACTTTAAGAAGATCTTCTAGACGATGATAACAAGATTTTTGGCATGCATTAACACTCTCATTTAATGTTCCCATTTCATTATTAATCTTATTTTCAAGTGATTCTGGTATTTTTTGGCAATTCTAAAAAAAAAAAAGAGAAATTAAGATGTTTTATAGTATTATTAAAATAATATATACATAATTGAACATACTTGAATACACTTTTGAATCGACTCTATTGATATATTTGAATAATCTTTAATCTTTTCTTTATCTTCTATACATGAAGCACAACAATTAAAGGCTTTTTTTTGAATATTGAGAGATTTAACGGCAATCTGGAATATAACAATAATACCTTTTATTTATATTAAGAGTTTATAAAAAAAAATAGAACTTACATCGTTGAACATCCTTTCAACTTCTCCCTTAAATCTATTGAATTCAGATTCAATTTTATAAACGGAATTTGAAAGAGAAGGATCCATTAATATTATCTAATATATAAGAGAATAATATAAGAAAATAACTTTAATAGAACCGCTCTTTAAATTAGTACAATTTAACAATTTTCAAGATAAAGTTTGGTTATCTTTTATTTATATTTCAATAAAAGTAAAATTCACTGTAAAATAATAAAATAAATGACAATTATATAGGAGATTTTTTTTTTTTCTTAAGTGTCTAGTATCTTTATTTTTAATGAATGTTTGTAATATAAATATTAAGATAATTATTTGACTAAGTAATTATAAATCTAAAACTTAAATTAATTCTAGGTATTTAGATATTTATAATCTATTTTGTTTTCTCAACTAGTATTTAATCATAGCTAATTCTATAATTACAATGGTATATCGGCGGTAAAATGTGTTATATTATTAGCGCCAAAATTTTTGTATCAATATAATATTTAAGAAATTGTATAAATTTTGATTTCTAAGGAATATGGGAGGATGCAGATTTCTTCATATAGAGTAAAAAAAAAGAGAAACAATGAATATAATATTAATTCTAGTACTTCTGAAACAGAAAATCTAACTATTGAAAATTTAGATGAATATGAAAATGGGACTCAATATGAATCAAGGAATTTCATGGTACCTATACAAAAATACAGAGATAAATCACAAATTGGAGTAACTACACTTTCAAGACAAATTTGGTGTGAAAAAAGTTTGGAATTATCATTAGAATATGATGTCATAGCATCAAGTAAAGCTATTGATGAAGGCGTGAGGCATCATGAAATATTAGAGTTACAAGACCATGATATTATTGATGTTATTGTTGAAACAAGTATTGAAAAACTTGGATTAGAACTATTAAGTATAGCTAATTTGTTAGAAGCTTTATATGAACGTGGATATGTAAGAGAATTACCAATAATTGGATTTCATAAAGATATTATGTTGCGTGGTATTATTGACTCATTAAAATTAATACATAATAATAATCTTGAAATGTTAGATTCTTTAAATTTTAATAATTATAATAGTAAAATGATTCAAAAATATGAGGTTTTAATTACAGATACTAAGACACGTAGAAAGCCTTCAACTCCTAGTATACCTCAACAAAAGACAACAGTATTTCAATTAGGATTATATAAATTATTGTTAAATCGTATGAGATTAGCTGGTTTAGAGTGGAAAAATAAACATAGTTGTAATATAAATTTTAGTGAATCTTATGATTTAAATGAATGTTGTGAAGGTTGCAAATTTTTATATAAATTATTTGAATTTAATAAGGTAGATTATATGATACAATTTAATGAGATAAATAAATTAGAGATATCTAGAAATAAAGAAAATAAATATGAAGATAGTCAGAATAAAAATATAATTGGAGATTATCAGGATAAAAATATAATTGGAGATTATCAGGATAAAAATATAATTGAAGATAATCAGGATAAAAATATAATTGAAGATAATCAGGATAAAAATATAATTGAAGATAATCAGGATAAAAATATAATTGAAGATAATCAGGATAAAAATATAATTGAAGATAATCAGGATAAAAGTACTATATTAATATCTGAGATTTTATCTAATTTTCAAAATCTATTACATATTGGATTTAAATTAATGAATTTATTAGCTATAATGCCACCTATACATAATAATATGAAGGTTGAATATGATTGTGAGGGTTGTACATTTGCTACAAAGTGGCATACTTGTGAAGAATTAACAATAATGACTGAAGTTGACTATCTTTTAGGATGGTGGTTAGGATTAAGAGATTCGGAACCAGTATTAAATTCAGAGATGTGGAAATGTAAATATTGTAATGTGTTAGAATATTGTAACTTTAGTCCCTTACCTAAAGAAGTTATTCAAGAATATATTGTACAAGGTAAACAGACAGAACTTGATAATTTATTATTAAAAGATTTAGAAAATGCAGAATTTTTTTGAATAATATTTTGATATTTAGATTATTTATATTAAAAAAAAGTAAAGATGTTAGAGAAGAATTAATGTGAATCTATTAATAGGTACTGGTATCTAAAAAATTATAGCGGGTTATTGTGTGATGCATTATGAAACTATAAAGGGTGCAAGTTAATTTTAAGAAAAAAAAATAAAAAAGAAAAAATCCAAATATAAATATATAAAAATTATAAAATTTAAACTTAAATATTTTAACTATACAATAATGTCTGGTGAATTAGCAAAACGTTGTTGTAAAATAATTTCTCAAGTAAAAAGTATACTTGACGAACAGAAGGAACCACTTCTTGAAGATTATGAAGTTTTTAGAAATGATTTATTTAAAAAAAATTATATAAGATATATTAAAAATGATAATATAATTGGTAGTAAACCTATAAAGAATAATTATTTATTAGATAAAGAACCAATTTTGAAAGATTTAAATTTGAAAGATATTGAATATAGACATTATGAGAAAGAAGTAAATCTTATATGGATTGGAAATAATCAAAAGGAAAATCCTAAGATAAATGAAGTGTTAAATAGTGATATTGAATATATTTATATAGATTCTTATACATCTACTTTTATAAAAGATAAATCTGATATATGTTATATATCTTTACAAAAAAAATTACCTTCAGACTCAATAGTTGGCATAAAAATAGGTCCACATATGTGTAAAGCTTCTATCTCAGACAATATAATTGAATTTATAATACCTTTATTATCTATTGGATATCATTATATAGAAATTTTTATTAATGGAGTTAAGATTCCTATTAGAATTGGAGATGATGACATTTCGGATCTAAAAGACAAAATTCCAATTAATATAAAACCAGCTAAATTTATACGTAATAAGCATTTAATTGCAAATAAGGTAACTATTCCTAGTGGAGTTATGGGAAGAGCTCCACTTCCAGAAATAGATATTGATGAGGAAGTAGAAGAACTTGTAAGATCTCATAAACCAAGGATATCAGCTTCTATAATAGCAAAAAAGAGGATATTAAGAAAATATTTTGATAATACATATTCAAAAGTTGTTAATCAACCTAGAAGTGATATTGGTGATTTACGAGGTTTAGATCCTAGTTTTAAAGCTGCAGTATGTAGGGATTTCCGGAGGAAGCTTATTAATAAGACTTTAACTCCAAAATATAATCATGTAAATAATATAATGGAAGATTTTTTGTCAAGACTAGATTTCGGAATTTCTAATACTATAATTCCATTTCATAAAAAGTTAGATTTATGGAATATAAGTATAAAGGATAAATGTGACGTAATTATAGATCAATATCATCAACAAATATTTAGTGAAGCTTCTAATGAGAAATCTATATATATATTTACTAAGAGAATAAGTTCTTTAGAACCCTACAATATTTTTGTATTCTCTTGTATTTCTGATAATCAAATTACATGTACAATCCCAACTTTAAGACGCTTTATTTGTAATATACAAGAATGTAATGATGCTAGATTATGGACTTATATTGGTGAATGTGTACTTTGTAAAAATCAAATTGCTCAAACAATTGAACAAATATCTTTACCTTGCCCAATTCCTTGTATTATGAAATCTGATATATGTAATAATTTAACAGAAACTGGGATTCAAATTGCATCCAATGTTTATATATATTATGAATCTTGGCCAAATAAATTACTACCTATTAGTAATATCCATGATATGTATTGTATAGCTATATGTATAAATTCACATATATTCTATACAACTCGAGGTGTAACTGAACAGGTCTTATCATTTATAATAAGTTGGTTAAAACAGGTTCCAACTAAATTTGAGTAGAAAAAATTCTAATTTATTATTATTTTCTTAAAATACAAAATATATAGTCCTATAAAATTAGTAATTTAATTTTAGACCTAGTTAAATTGTAGAGATAATTTAGTTATTTTAGAGATAAAAATATTAATAACATTTAAAAATTATCAAAAATTTCTAATCTAATACTTTATGTGTAAGAGGCACATAACTGACCTGGAACCTTTGTTGTTCCTAATATCAATCCAACAATTAGACCATAAATAGCTAAAGCCTCTCCAAAGATTAAAATAAGGATCATACCAGTTAATAATCTAGGCTGTTGAGCAGCTGCTCTAACACCTGCATCACCTACAATACCAATAGCTAAACCAGCAGCTAAACAACTTAATCCTATTATTAATCCAGCACTCATTTGTGCATAAGCTAAATATGAAGAGTAAAAATTTGGTTCCCCCATTACAAAAAAGATAACTAGAGCTCCAATAAGGCCATAAATACCTAAAATACCTGCCATAACAGCTGGTATAATAGATTTCATGATTAGTTCAGGTCTCATTACGCCCATTGATGAAATACCAACTCCAGCCCTTGCTGTGCCATATGCTGCGCCCAAGTTAGCAAATACAACACAGCCAGCTATACCCATAAAACCAAAAAACAAACTGTTCGGATCACAAGTGATCATTTTTGTCCTAATCAACTAATTCCACTAAATAAATAAAAAGAAGTTAATCTAGCTTGTTTTGTCTCTTAGGGGTACAAAGGATAGTCAATTGGCGCTATAGTAAACAGCGGGAAAATACTTTTAAATCTCGGAATTACCTTGGGGAGTCTCCCCTCCAAATTTTATTTAAAAAAAAACCAAGAAGAAGATGTTTCTACGATACTATCTAAATGAAAAGAATGAACGTGTATATACTTTGGAGGTATGTTTATTAATATTAGATTCATTAGACTTTTTGAAAATTTATAGTACATAACATATATTTTACAGACTATAGCTCCTGATGGAACTCCTACACTATCTGCACATCCTGCAAGATTTTCTCCAGATGACATTTATTCAGCACAGAGGATAACATGTAAAAAGCGTTTTGGTTTATTACCAACTCAAAAAGTAGCAAAGCAAATATGAAAATTAGGTATTTGACAATAATATAAGTAATATTAGGAATTAAAGAAAAAAAAAAAACTAATCTAGGATAGGTCTAAGAATTACAAATAGATATTAAGCTATAAAGTTATTTTAAATCCCTACTAGTAAGTTATACATAAATCCTCGCCTCCACTACTTGTAGCTAGAACTAAAGCTACAATTAATCCATATATAGCCAAAGCCTCCGCAAAGATAAGTATAAGAATTGTAGCAACAAAGAGTTTACTTTGTTGAGCAATACCTCTAATACCAGCTTCTCCAGCTAAACCAATTGCAAAACCACTGGCTACACAGCTACAACCTGCAATTATCCCTGCAGCCAAGTGGCAGAATCCTTGATAAGAAGAATATGGTTGAGTAATACGGGCAGAGATAATAATACCTACAATTAAGCCATATACACCCAAAATACCTGCCATAATTGCTGGAATAATTGATCTCATCACTAAATCTGGTCTCATTACACCACATGATGCTATTGCTAAACCTGCCTTAGCAGTTCCATATGCAGCTCCTAAATTAGAGAATGAAGTAGCTATAGTAGTACCTAATAGACCAAATAAGGTACTAGTTGGTGAACATATAGGGGCCATTTTAACCTGAAGTTAGTTTTTACTCAAAATAAGTTTAAATAATGTCCAAGCTATTAAGAGCGTGTAAAGCGCCTAGAGACACTAAGTTCTGTTACATTATATATTTAGAATTCAAGATTCTCTCTAGGAGAAAAAGGGATATAGAGAAGATTAAGTGAACTTATTTATTGATTTTCGAAATATTTATACCTTTCAGAATTATAAAAGTAGCCTATACACAAAATTATACATATTAGTAAATTTGTTAATTGTAATTGTCTTAATTATTGATACCATATATTTCTTAGATCATTTATATTCAATAACCTGTTTATTTTGGGGATTGTAGAAAGTAAATTGGGGAGTTTAAATATTATTTTTACTATTCTACTTTGTCATCTCTGCAGCATATAAAGAGTTATCTTCAGTCCATGGTTCTTCAGTAATTACTCTCTTCAAACTACAAAATTATATAACAAGAAGTATTAAATAATAACTATCAATATGATTCAATACTTACCTTCTCTTGTGACTTTTTGTTTTGTTATGATTTTCTAATGAATTATTGTCAATAAAGTAACGAGCACAGCTAATACAGTAGTATTGTCCTGTAAAAAGGTATAGATGAAATTTAAACTTATTTAAGGACTAAATGAAATGTAACATACCTTTTCCTGGTAAATCGGTATCTATTAGTAGGTCCACTCCTTTTATAAAGTCAGATTTCACTATAGAATTTTCAAAATTTATACTTCAAATAACATAAAAACCTTTGAATTTTAATTAAACTAACCTGTATCAAAATCTTTTGTCCTTCTTTTAGTTTTTACAACCTTTCTGATAGCTCTATTTTTTACTTTCCCTCTTGATTTCGATTTTTTTTGTCCCAAACCCATTTTTAATTATAGTAAGAAGTGACAGTTTCGAAATAATACTCTGAATTAGCGCTAGCGCGTTAATTTTGATTTAGTTTTTTTTTCTTTTAGAGGATAAAATCTATGGGTTTATTTGTTAGTTAAATTTTACTAAAGGCATTACAGAGTGTGAGAAAGAATAATTAGATTAAATATTTTAATCTGAATGGAATATAAAAATAGATTTATTTGGTTTTTGAGTAATTAATATAATCAGACTGTTAGAATAAACTTTGAGCTGTATTAGGATTTCTATAATATTTTAGAATCCAAATATTTTGAATATAGAGCTATGAGAATGAACTAAATTATCAAATTTGGCTATTTATCTTGATAAAGTTAATATTAAAGGTTTAAAATAAATTTGGAGACATTGGTAATATACTTATGACTTCAGGAATGTTTATATCAAATTTTTTTTTAACACTAACTACAATTTTTGTAATATCTATATTCTTTATATTTAATTATATAAGAAAAGTAATGCGATCTTTAGGTATATCATTCTCATGTAGTATTGGAAATCCTTTGCACTTATGTAATTTTAACTTAATTATTCATCATAACCTCCTTCATGGACTAAAAGTAAGTAAATTGGAAATCCATATATCCGAAATAACTTTTAAGACAATATCATGGCGTCTATTGATATTTCTAAGAGATATAGATTGCATAATTTACTCAGTAATTTCAAAACCCAAGAGCTCTATTTCAACCAATATAATGAGTTCTCACACATCTGAAACAGAATTTGAATTGAAAACTTTAAAAACAGAGTCATATGATAAAATAGGACAATTTCTTTCTACATATAAGTCTGTATCTCCTTTGAATTTAACTGATGAGACAGTTACTATTTCTAGTGGTGGTACACTTCGTAGATTATCTCTTATTGCCATGGTACAAGTGATTTCAAGAGTTATTAATATTAAAATACAAAATATGAATACATGTCATTACTTTTCTGAATGTGTATGTAATAATATTAATAACTTTAAAAAGGGGAGATGTGAGATTTGTAAAAAGGACATTAATTTTGGGATTTCAATAAAGAGTAATATAAATGTGATTAATATATACCCAAAAGCATATTTAGGGGGTGTAATTGTAAATTTGAATACTTTTAATGTAACTATAAATATAGATCCAATATTAGAGACTCCAACATATAATAGGTGTTCAATAAATTCCAATTCCATTCTTGTAAATTACTTCTTAGTACAATCTAACAAGGATAAACCTAAAGGTAATTTATTCCCACCAATAATTAAAATACCTTTGAAATCAGAATTTTTGTTTAAATTTATGCATTCTATGTCAGGATCAGATATTCATGTTTGTAAAATGACTTTTGCTCATTTTCAATCTGAAGAATCTCAAATTTGTTTAGTATTGGACATCCTTTGTGAGCTTGTAAAGATTCGGAACTACATATGTGAGAGTAATTTATCAAGTAACATTAAATTTGATGTAAAAAATTTAAATAATAAGACAAATGATGATATTTTAGATACGAATACAAAAACATCCTTAATTTTGCAATATAGAGTAAATAAACAGAAAATTATTATGTGTGATATGTCGAGAACTAGCTGTGGAAGTGAGTTACTTTTGGATAAACTAGAGTTAGTGGTTAAATTAGAGAATAATAGGCGTAAATCACAATATTGTAAATTACAGACTCATTGTAACACTATTATAGCAAATTCACTTATAGCAAGATATATTTGCGATAAGGAGTCTGTAATTTTAGAAAATATTAAGGAATATTTGGTAGAAGATGACAAAACATTGCAAGATTACAAGATTCATTTCTTTCGTATATTATATGCTAAGAATTTATCATCTGTTGTAGATATTAATAGATATCCATATTGCTGTTCAATATATAATACTGTAGAAAAGTTATGGGGTATATGGAGGGAAAATGGTTTTTATCAGAATTTGAATTTGTTTCTATTGTTTGTAAGATTCAGAAAGTACTTATCAGTATTAAACAAACAAGAAATTAATTTAGAAACTAATGATTTAAGTTTTAGTAATGAAGATCATAACTTAAATGAGAGAAAATATTTGAAGATGGAATTAGATTCAGGAAAATCAAGTTTGATAAATTCTATGGCAACTAGAGAATTTCCAGTAAATTCTCCAGAAGACTTTGAAAATATAAGGAAAAATAGTAGTGTTACATTTCATCTAGAAATTGCTCAGATCACTATTCAGACTATCGATATATTATCATTAAATGAGTTAATTCCAGAAAATAAAAAATGTAAACAGTGTTATGAGGAATTATTTGGACCAACTATGACAACTTGTTGGGATGAAGATTTAATTAATAAGTTTGATGATAATGGAGAAGATAATGCAAAAGTAGAATCTAAGAATTCGTTTAAATATATTATTGCATATGGAAGGAGCCTTCAAATAAATAACTCATCATTTACTCGATGTATGTCAATTAATGTAAAAAATATATCATATTATTCTGCTAGGACTTTTCATGATGCAGAGAGTTTGAGTTTTAAATTACTCACTTTAAAACAATTGAATATTTGGCAATATGGTGGTTTTGAGTCAAGGGTTATTAATTTAGGAATTGAAAAGAAATTTCAATTTGAAGGGAAAACAGAAATAAATGATATTTATAATTATTCAGTTATAAAAATGAAATCAATGACAATAAATTATCCATGGAGTACACATACTATAGGGTTCAAAGTAGTTGAAACGACTGGTGAACTATCACCTTTATTAATACCACTCCTGATGCATATTACTTTATGCTTTTCAATTGACTATGTAGCTTATAAACAAAGTACAGTTCTTCTTACTTATTATTATAATAAAATTTATCCGGAAACACCACTTTTTCGAAATAAAGTTTCTAAACAAGATCTTCTTGAAACACTGGAAAGTCTTTTTATAAACAAAACAAGTGATCAAATTGCACTAAATAAGATAATAAATTGGAAATTAAATCTTAATTTAGCTCCTTCTTCTGGTAAAAGGACAACTTGGATATTTCTAATGGAGAATATTACAATTCGTATTTGCCCTGAACTAACTTTTAATGCAAATTACTTAAGCTTTAAAAGAGGTAATGAATTTGGGAATTTTGACATAAATATACAAAATTCAAGACTTAATTATCATTATATCAATTTTTGTTTACCTATTACAGAGGCTTCAAAAATTCACCTAAGGTTAGATATACCTTATAAAGGAAGATTTGCATATATACCTGCTTGCTTAGTACGTCAATTGTGTCGTTTATTAAATTTATCTGATAATGGTGATATTTTTCTTGCAGCAATTTTTGGTGATGGTAATAATCTTAAAGAGAGATTTGATAGGATTTCAAATGGAGTTATATACTTTGAACCTAAAAGGCTCTTAATAGAAATTGAAGATACTAATTTAAACCCAATTATAAACCTGATTGATATTGAAAAATGGCCTAAGATGAATTTCCAAATTTTTCATCGTTTAAATGTCCTTTATAATCAACTTTTTTATCCAGCACCACTTTTAAGACTTTATAGGATTCTTTCAAATCGTAAAGAATTCTCTCCTTTATACTCTTGTGTTAGCTTCTTTGAAATTAATATTACAAATTTCAAATTGATTTTATTTATATGCCCAATAAGGGATATAAATTCAGATATTCCTCCCAATCAAGATTACCAATATAAAACCTCACAAAATTTAAAATCTTGTAATTACTATTCTTGGGATGATTTGAATATCCAAAAATATAATTTTGGTATACTCAAAGATAAAATTGTATACAAATTTGGGGAATCAAACAATTACAATAATATACAAAAAGATGATATTATGTCATTTATTTACTGCCCAATTTTAAAGATAAGTTCAAACCAATTAAAAATAAAAATAAATATACATCCTGTTGATAAAATTTCGAAATGTAATCAGGTTGAATGTTTTGGTCTTATACATACTCTTATAAACAAATCAAATAAGGAATTTGTAAAGTTAAAACAAAAAGTACCAATATATATTCAATCTCAAATACTAGATCTTGGTATTCAAGTATATAAGCCTATGGTATTTCATAGAAGTAACAGTATGAGTACTTGCTTACTTTCTATTCAAATTCCACATCACTTAGTAGTAGATATTAAAAGTACGAAGTTTTGTTCATGTTCACCTTTGGAATCTAAGAAGTCAAAATATAATAGATATAATTGCAACTTTAACTCAATAAAGTCATTTGATGATAAGAGAACAAAATCAATTGAATTTGAAAATACAGTAGAAAGTGATTTAATAGTTCAAAGAAACTGTTTTAAGCGACTTAATATTTCTATACTTTGCAAGTCTAGGATAAATCTGACATTATCTTCTACTAATCCAACTAGTATATTGGCTAGTTACTTATCAAGATTAATATTTATTACTGATAGTGATTATAAGGTTCCATATTTAATTTTTCGTCAAAATAAAAATTCCCAATATACTACTCAAGAGTTTAGTAACTCTGCATGCAATGATGGATGTACCAATAATAATGTAACTATAGAGACAAAAGTTCATTTAAGTTTATGTGACTGTGCATCGTTAATTATTTTACCGAATTCTGATTTATATTATATAAAGAGAATGGAACCTGCTATTTGTTTAACTATACCAGACTTGAGATGTTCTTTTAAATATAGTTCAATTAGAAATATAAATGAGGAAATACAAGTTTCAAAATATAAAGGTGAAGTTTTAAATGATTTTAATAATAATGAACTTATTGAATTTAATTTGCAATTTGTTGAAGGAGTGTTTATATCTATAGTCTCTAACTTGTATAATTCATTAACTGTGGAGTATAAACATATGAATAAAAATATTTTAATGGATATTTCAGGGTTATCAGTGATTGGAAGTATTACTAACAGGAATAAACTTAAATTTAATGTCAACATATATAGTATTGATTACCCATGTTTGCTATATGATTATAGGATTCCAGAATTATTATACAATAATGGTGATACTTGTGACTGTAACTATGGAAACATACAAAATTTTGGTGATGCAAAGCAATTTCCAGATGAGAATATCAGGATTAATATTAGAAGAGAATGGTACAAACATAATGCTCCACTACTTTTCAATTTTGATAATGAGGGATTTTATAAGTTATTTGGAATAATTGATATGTTTTTAAATTGTTCCCAAGAAAAAGATAGAATATCCTCTTGTATTAAATGTAGCAAATTATATTATATTAATCATGTAAACACTCCAATTAATTTAAGACCTGTTAAAGATACAGATTCATATGATAGAACATTATTTTGGGATTTCTCATTATCTTCTATAAAGAATTTGTATATTAAATTTTCAGTTAATAACGCTTATACAAGATTGGGAATATTTTGTTTAATTGTAAATCGTATAAACTTTAATTGGATATATAGTACTCAAGATACTGGAACTACAAATAAAGAAGGAAATTCAACAAATACAAAATACACAGATCATAAATCAATTGAAATTAAAGAATTACTTTTAGCTGCTGATGCAAACCCATACAAATTGTCAAGTAAAGATACAAAAACTGTCAATATATTGAATAGGACTAGTAGGATTCATCCATTTATAGAAGATATGATGTATGGGATTAAAGGAGAGTATGGAGATGTGAATAGGACTTCTAAATGGGATTCTATTATAAATATTACAATATTACTACGTATTTCTAATATACTGATTGAGAGCCAGCAATACTACAAATTGGCTATTTCAATTTGTTCCTCCAGAATACCTATTTGTAATAGCAATATTTTGTACTTACACTTTATGAGTGAATTTGTTTCTCTAGTACTTGATTTAGTAACAAAATCATCAATGGGAAAAGAAACGTCTCCAAGAGCTGACTTTTTATACCAAATAAAACAATGGAAGATTTTAATTCAATTAGATGATGTAAGAATAAACTTTTATAGCTTACCTACTATTCAAAACAACCAGTTTTCTACTAGATTATCCAACACTTCAGTTTTCTCGAATCCAGTTAAACCTAATGAAATTAATAGATCATTGTTGAGTATAGTAGAAGATATAATTTTTGCAAATCCATGGCTAAATACGATTGCAATAAATGATATAGAAGAATTTAATCAATTAAACAGTAATCTTATTCAGATTTATGATAATGAAGAGAGTATTTGTGCTGATTGTATTGATAGTTATAACAAAATGCTAATTACATCTTCTAAAATTGATTTACTTTCTTTAAATTTTATGAAACTTTCATTAGATAATGTGATTGGTTGGGCGATAGAAGTTGATAAGAAGAGATTTTGCAATATTAGGACTTATGAAAAAATAGATAGAATTATGTACAAGTTAAGGAATATTTCAAGTTTAAATATTTTAAGTGTACCATTTTCATTCATTCTATCATGTGATCTTGCTAATTCATTTGATATATTAGACAACTCTACAAAATGTCTTGATATTATTTCTTCCTATGATAAATCATCATCTATATATTCACATGATACATTTGTAATATATCAAGTTTTATGTACCATTCCTTCAATAAATTTGGAGTGTAAAACAGAAGGTGAAAGTTTAGATACAAACAGTATATCTATAAAATTAACTGGAAAATTATGGCCAATTAGTCTCTACACATTAACTCCTGGCTTCAACCATCTACAATGGATATCACCACCAAATAAATATGGAAAAATAAATGACACAAATAATTTTAATTCAATAATTCACTTTGCTGAGTCAACACCAGTCTACATGAGTACTAAACTTTATTATCCACTTGCAGGTACCACTACTATTCGGTGTTATATGGAAAACTTGCAATTTTTTGGTGATTCCTCTATTTTACTAACAATTAGTGAAATATTATCTAGTATCACAAATTTCGGTGAATATAAGAAGGTCAAGGATATTAAATCAAGTTCAAAAATGAGCAACCTTAATCCATATTTAGACCATAAATTAAACACAACACCATATAATTTGGATCCATTACCAAATTTTAGAAGAAAACTAAGTACTAAAATATCTTTGCGAAATCTTTTAACAATATATACAGTTTATTACAAATGTTTTCCATTCCTTGCATCTGTTTTATCTAACTCAAGTATGTCAAGGAAAGATAAGATTGAAGTCATTTTATCAAGAATATGTTCAAATTCATATGATATAGATGAAAACTTATTTGAATTAAACAATTTATCAAGTTTACAATCTCGTATTTCTAGTATAAATTCAAAAAATCTTGAAAATGTATTAAGAGAAGAAATTGACACATTTATATTTAAGAACCCTTTATATTATTCAATAATTGACAATTTGAGTGTTAATGGTATAAATAGCAATATTAACAATTTAAGTGCACAAGAAAATACTACAAAAAGTGAGGATTGTACAGTTTGTGGGGGATTATTGAGTAATAATTACAAGGATGTTAATACAAGCTCTATTTTAACTGATGTATTAAATAATAATATCTATAATGAATACTCAAATTTTAAAGTACCAAATCAAATACGTTTAGAATTTGGGATTGGAGAATTTAAAGCTGAATTACTTAATAGTAAAGGCATAGTTTTTTCTAAATTGACAGCTACTGAATTGAATGCTGTAATTGCTTCAAATTCTTCACCATCAAATTCAGCAGTTATAGAATTTGATATTTCATCTTTTTTACTAGAGGCAAACAAAGATTTTTTTTCAGAATATAAGAATGATCCAACTTCTAGAGATACCAAAACATCAAATACATTAGGCACTAATAAAGTAGATCTCATTGATAATATAAATAAAGCAAATGAATATTCAATAAAAGATGCAGGTGAACATCCAATGACTTTCGTTTCTGTTGTTACTCCACTCAATATTGAAGGTCACACCTCTTTTGGTCAAAGTTATCTATTATCAATAAGAGCATGTGCAAGGAAAATAACTCTATGGGGCGCTACAAATATTAATATAATGGAAAGTATTATTGCTAAAGTAAATCCTATTAAAGTTAATATTACTCAGAATTTAGTCGTAGCATATTATGACTTTTTCTTCCCTTCAAATAAAATTGATAAGTTATATGATTCACTTATATATATACGTGATTTAAAGTCTTCTGAAACGATTGCTTCAAATATTGTACCCAATAGTGGTGAAACAACTCCTTTATCATCATCATCTAATACAGCAAATATTCCTGAGTCAACAATTAATAATCATATTAATAATATCACACCTTTCTGTTCAGTTGAATCTAATAATTCTTTTGTATTAAATAGTGCAGTTGATATTACTTTCAATAATAGTGGGCAGTCTCTCCCAAAAAATATATTATACTTTCATTATATGAGGATATCTTCAATTCTCGTGGAAGTTACTTATCGTGGAGCAGTAACACTAAATGAAGTTCTTTTAGAACTTGGATCATTTACGCAGCGTGGGAAAGCTCGATCTTTCAAACAAATGGTGGACAAATATATGTCTCATTTGAGGAGACAAGCTACTCGTCCAGTTATATCATATACTTTCAAACAACTGAGACATTCACTTTTACCCAAACAATTTAAATCTTTAAGAAGGAATAATAATAGAAATACTAATTTTAAGCATTCAACATCTGGTATCACAAAACCCCACTTGGAAGATCTAAAATTTCGCCTATTATTTGGACCTAGAAATTAACATACAGTTTTTATCTAAAGTAGAGGTATGGTTGAAATTTATTTCTAATTGATGAAAGCTTATATATCCTAAGTAATTCCGATTTTCTTTATGAAAATATTTTTTCATATTTTTACTAAAAATTCTTAATGACTAATCACATAACCCGCCGTTATTGTCTCTAAGCGTGATATATAATATTAAACTTTTTATACTTTTATCAAAATTCTAGACTTTCATAGACTAATGCTGAAATATATTACTAAAGGCGTAATAGAGGTAATATTGCATCTAATAATATATTAAATTTAATATGTGAACCTTTTCTTATATCCAGAATAGCAGTCCAAATGGAATTGCATGGAATACATTAGGAACAACTATTGTTGTAGCATCTAATAACAGTTTGTACTATTATAATTTACCACTCTTGGAAGGTCAACTTAATGAGACTTATTTAAATAATATCCCAAATAATCTTGTACCTTTTTGGACAAATATTTTAGGGTAAGTAACCTACTTTGATAAGTTAAATTATTATAAAGATATATAAACTATATACTTAAACTTTCACTTATATCTTATAATTATAATTTTTACTGTTTTGTTATATTAGTAGTAATATTATTAGCCTAACAATAGAGAGATACTGTCATGATATTGATGAAACATCCTATTTAGGGAAGAATTCAGATGAAATGATAGCCTTAAGTAGAAGAGATTATCCAGTTACTACTTTTAATTTCCAAGGAGTCCAGAAGTTTAATATTAATTTAAGAAATCAAAATAATGATCTAGATGTAATTTATTGTATAGACTGGATCACAAGCAGTATCAACTCATCAAATATGTATTGTGGTGGTAAGAATGTTATATACTGCTATAATATAAATAAAGATATATATTATGTAAGTTTAATCATGGAAATATTGGATTACAAGTTCTTTTAAAAGTTGTATGTAAATACTTTTTATTATTTATGTAGAGATTCTGTTTATCTAAAAGATCTGATAAGGCTAAGTTAAAACAAAAAGGACTTGTATCAGCTGTAACAATGAAAACTACAGGTATTGGATCAAATTCTGTTATTGCAAGTGGTACTTTCTCAAGTTCTATTTGGCTTCATGATTTAAATGATGATTCTAGCCATGTACAGTTATTTGATAATAATAATCAACATTTTAAGAAAATGGGTGGTATAACTAAACTAGAATGGATTAAAACATACAATAACGTGGATTTTTATATTTTATCAAGCCACCGTAATGATAAATATCTTAGAATTTGGGATGTTCGTAATCCAAATAAAGTTCTACATTATTTGGAACGCCCATCAAGCACTAGTCAACGTTATGGGTTTGATATGAATTTAGATATTGGAAATTCAATTAATATTATAGCTGGTGATTCTCAAGGTTTCTTATCGTTATATAATATAGATATCAATAATAATGAGATATATTCAAGTTTAAATATAAATCAAAATCAAAACTATAAAGATACTTTAATTACAAATAATCTCCAATCTAATCATAAAGTAAGAAATATACAAAAATATCCAAATATTAAATTACTTATTAAGGAACAAATTGACACTATTTCAGTACCATTTGTTCTTGTAAAACATAAAAAACTTATTTGTACTTTATCTGGTGAAAGACTAAATAGTATAGATAATCTGGAGAAAACAAGTACAAATATCAACTGTAATACTAAAATTCAACTATGGTATATCTGTTAGTTAAACTTCAAATACAAAATTATATTAAATATAATCTATACTTCATTTTAATTGTTAACTCCATAAAGTCAGCCATTTTGTATACAATAGATAGTTAAATCCTGTTATTTTATTCTTTTATACTATTATATTTCATACTGTCATAATATTTAAAATATCTAACGTTTATTCTTCCTTTGAGTCATACCTGAACTTCTCAACTTCGTATTCTTTGCTTCTTCCAAAGAGCACTCTTTAAGAAGTTCTTTAGCTTTCTCATTTGCTCTTTGATCATCAACTAATTCCTGTTCTTTAGCTTTTTTTAATATCATCTCCTTTTCTTTCATCTGTCTCTCTCTTAGTATCTTAATTTCCTCTTGCTTCCTTCTTATTTCATTAAGCTTCCTTGCTTCCATATATATTGCCTCACCCCAATTTTCCTGTATGAAATTCGCCTCCTCTCTAATAAATTGAACTGTATCTTTTAATTCTTCCATTGTATTTTCTATATAACTCCATTGAGCTGGAGACAATAAAAGCTTCTTATATAGTTGCATATGGCCAATGTATTCATTGTATATTCTACCATAACTTTCTTGTATTCTCATAGCACTTCTTAATAATGATTTCTTCATCTCTACTACTAGTTCAGGAGATGCAGCTCTTAAACGTAATTGAAACTCTTCTATAGAACATTCCATAGGTGCAACTTCTTCACGATATTGACAATATAACCTTAAGTCTTTTTTTGGAAAGCATAATTTTCCAGAAGCAGTGAAGGCATCTCTTAAAAAGGCATCCTGTATAGGAGATGTCCCCACAGCCTTATATGAATAGTATATTATAATACCTAGCAATATAAAAACAATTGAAACTACTAGTAACCACCACATTAACAAAAATATTATGCAACTCCTTGCATAGAACTTTTGGAGTTCTTGCAGGCGCGTAATAATAATTTTTTAAATGATTGCCCCATATTGTACAATATTATTACTTAATAGAATAGAAATTAGACTTCACGAACATTGAGGGTAAATAAAACTTTAAAGGGGCGCCATAGATGCAGTATATCAAAAATCCTATAATTTACACCACTACTTGTAATATAATACTAATACCAATACCCTCTACCTATATTATTTAAAATATCTGGATTATTTAGAGGAAATATCCAGTACATTAGGTTATAATATAGTGAATTATTACTAAAACAATCTGAATTAAAATATAAATTTGTTCACCCGCTTAAATACTGATAATAACTCATTTCGTACTTAGCGGCCGACTCACTTAGAATACTTACAATCTGACATCCTAAATACTGTCTATACATATTAACACTTAATAGCGTGTTCTGTTATATTTCTTAATATAAAGATAACTTTGTTATAAAAATTAAGGTTGCAACTAAATAGTTAGAAGAAGCTCACTTTCCACTCTATTAAGTCATTTTGAAATATCTTCTAATTAATATATAATAAGGCAGATAAGAATTGTTAGAAAGGACTATTAACGCACATATCTTATATTAAATTGGTCAAGATAAATAAAATATATATCTGAAAAAATACTTACATCTAAAGATGTCATTAACAATAAGCTGTTTATAAATTTGCAAATAGAGGATCTTTTTGGGGTTGTTTTTGGCTTGGGGCTGATGCAAAAAGAGCAACTTTAGATGAAGATTGTACAGGATTTCCAGGAGTAAATTGGTTAGACTGATAACTATTACTAGAATTAGATAGATTTTGTGATAACATGGGTCTTTGATTTACAGTATTAGGGGTATTTTGAGTATTTAATTGTTGACGTACTCCTTGTTGGGAATTCATCCTCTGAGCAACATTATTTTGAAATTGTTGTAGATCATTATCATATTGATCATCAAAATCTGCAGAGTTTAAAGCTACAATATTTGGATCTCGTTGTAATACCTGTGAAGCTTTTTTTAAAGTATTTAGTTGATTAAGTAAAGCCTTACGTTCTTCAACCACATGACTTGGTTCACTTAGAAGATCTGATAAACATTCAGCTTTATTAAATTCATTATAAAGTTCAAATTGTAATTTATCCATAATTTGTCTAACAAGAAAATGTCCAATAATTTTAGGTACAGAATCTCTAATATTTCTTACAACAATTGCAAAATAAGAATCTAACCTTTTACGTATTTCACGTAAAAATACTTGAGAATAGCGAGTTTTCCGTTTATCTTTCCCTTGAAATCCATCCCCAGCCCATAAATTTGTAGTTAAACTATTTGTTACATTACCTACAGTTTGCTGGACTTGATTAAGAATATGTTGAGCAGTTCTAGGAGGTTCCTTTATAGATTGTCCATCATACCCAGGAGGAATTGAACTATGTTCATTTGTCAAACTTCCATTTTTACTTAATCCAGTTTGGGTTTGATCATTGCTATTTATTACACTACCATGTTCTATAAGGTATGTAGAGTCATTTGTAAATAGATAACCTGTTTCAGCTTCTACAAGCTGTTCTAAAATGGTTTTTGTATTTTCTTTTTGTTTCAATAATATATCTTGACTACGTTCTAAAATTTGTTCTGCAAGTTTAGGAAATCTAATAAATACTCTATGAGCAATTTTTTGACTGACAATCTCAAGTGATGTAGTAACTCTATCCAAACAATCCATCACCGGAGCTTGAATTTTCCTTAAGTGAGGAAGAATCAAATATTCAAACATATCTGGTGATGGGAAACCAGGCATTGAATCTCCTTCATGCATCCTAATAGCAGAATCTATATCATAATCAGATAATTCTGAAGTTACATCTTTTTCAGAGTAATCATCTAATAATTCATTAAATATTACACGAATCTGAGATCCACTTGTAATATGATCAGTATGTCCATCAAAATATGTCTGTAACCTCTTGTCATATTTACCCCGAATTGTACTTTTTATCATTTCACAATAGTCTGTAATCATAGCCCACATTAGTTGGGCTCTATCACCACTCTCGATAGGAACTCCTTGTCCAAATTCTTCTATACGTAAGGATATTGCTCTTATACGTCCATTAATTTCACGTTTAATATCTGGAAGAAATGTTTTAATATGTCTAAATAAGACTTTTGTCAACTTCGTCACTAAATTCTTTGTGCCTAATAATTCAGGAGACAATGCTCTATATATTGGATGTGAAGTAAAAAATGACATTTCATCTTCTAAAGCCTCCTTTATAGTTTTGCCAATTTTTAAATCTGCTGAACTACGGTTTTTAACACCAATATATCCCAATCTTAGTGGGACATCTTCTCCATGAAGCATTCGAGAAGCATCTGTACCTCTGTCCATTAAATCAATTTTAGTAATAACACCAATTGTCCTAATACCCTTAGGATCTACACGACGTGAAAGTTGCAAGGCATCTGAAGTTGACATGTCAGCATTAGCTGGAATTACTGCTAAGATTATTGTTCTAGGATCACGAGCATAACGTATTGCCATATCCCTAGTTAGTTGTTCAATATTATCACATTGATCACTTCCTTTCAAAGGTACACGTGTAATACCAGGAAGATCTATTAATGTTAGATCTGGACATTGAGTTCCATATATTGTGAGGACAATTGGATCATCTACTATACCCTTATTGCGCCCAGCAACTTCATCTGTAAGCCTATCTATTTCTTGCCTAACTTGCTCAAAATCAGTGAATTTACGGGTTTTATCATTTTCAAATATTACAAATGATTCATCCAAACCTGATCTGCTAGAAATATGAACTAAGCGCATCTCTACTGGACGCCTCGTAACAATTCCTTCACCTCTAGGTAGGAAGTCAAAACCTACAACAGACTCAAGTACACTCGATTTTCCTGAGCTTTGAGTTCCTACAACACATATGCGTGGTAGATTAATATACTGTTGTAGACCAACATCACGAAGCTCATCCTGAAATTTTAATCAAAGGGATATAATAAGAATTGCATGATGCCATTGGATATTAATAGATAAGATTAAAAGATAACTTACCACCAAACTTATCAACTTTCTCAAATTCTGATACATCAGAGACTCTCAGTATCCAATTCTTAAAGGCCTTTTTTTTTGCCTATTTTAGCAAAGATTAATTTTGAGTTAGGTAGACGTATAAACACACGGAAATTCCAGGTCGCCCCCCCCTCACCTTTTCCCAACACTCTAAAAAGTTCTAAGTTTTAAATAAAAATATTTGCTCTTTAAAAAAGGTAAAAACTTATTATTTAACGTCATTCTCATTATTTCTATAAACTAATGTTCTTTCTATTTTTAAATCTCCTAAGTAAATAATAATGAGAGACCTGTACAAACTATATAGAGAATGTCCTATAAACAAAATTTTCCAATCTAATAAAATTATTTATTACTTCGAACCCAATATAGATAACGAATATCCCCCAATACTCTTGGTGATATATAGTTTCTAATCATAAATATCATTGCCAAGAAACAACATATAGATCCTATTACAATATACACAATACCTATAAATGGATTCTTACCACCAATCCATGTAATTTGTGATACAACAATCCCTTTAGTTCCTCCAAAACCTTTTGCAGGATATCTATTTGATATATGAACTGTTAATGGAAGTTTAACAGGCTTTGATATAACAAATTTTGCATATATTTTTTTAAAAGAAGAAAGGGCTGCAGTCCTCATCCAAACTATAAAGTGACCATTTTCTACTTTACCTGGAAATATATCTTCAGGTAACCATTGATTAATATTTTTACCCTCTACTTCACTATTAGAAGGATTCTTAAATTTATTTTCACGATCTATTAGTAAAGTTATTGTTTCAGCAGATTCATCTAATTGTATTAGTTCACCATTTCCATCCACAACTGTATAAGTATCATTAAATACGCTCCATGCAACTAAACCACACGGTGATAATATTGAACCATTCTTATCTGTAATTAATGGTTCACATGAACTTAATTCTGATGGTTTTGTAAATACTTCACCACTAAGTTGTAGATTACTTCTACTTGTTATATATCTTCTGTGATTTTGATAAAAGTTTGTTAAAGAATAATAAAGATATAATTCTCCATTTATAAAATCGATTGGTTTTCCTGATATTTTTGAGGGGTTACAAGATTCTACTGTAATTTGTACTGTAGTAATATGAGTTTTAGAAGTATCTGGAGGATCTCCATATTCTATTGAACATTCTATTATACTATTAGAAGTCGAAAGTAAAATACTCCCAATTACTATAAAAACTACACCACATATAAAAAAGAACAAAATTACAAATCTAGATGTTACTACAGGTTGCCATCCACTTAATTCCTGTTGTTTGAAGCGATCAATAAATTTCTTTTTCTTTGTTGCCACCCTCTCAGTTGTTTCCGCCTTGTCTGCTTGTATTGCTGCATTTTGAAAACCAGAACTTCTAGATCTTAAATTTTCATCAGTAATTAGCTGATCTTCTATTTCAAATGAAGCTACCCTCATCAATATATGTAAAAAGGTTTCTTGTTAGCAAAGCCTCACAACTAGCTATGCAATTCTAAAATTTCCTTTATTACTTTAGCGCTCGTGCCAAAAATATATTTATATTACGTTTGTGACTTCTATTACCCTAAAATTATACCTAAAATTTATTAAATAAGAATACAATCTTATATTACATTATATATACGGAATATATATTTTTACATTTCTTATATTTATCAAAATTTATTTTTTAAAATTTTAATAGGTTTATATTTGACAGAATAAGATGGGTACCTATTCTTAAAATATAATAGTTACTTTCAGAATATTGTATAACTATTAACTTCTCAAGGTAAATATTAAAATAATTGGTGAGTACTTTTCCTAATTTATATTTATTGCACCAATATGAGACTCTTCAACATCGAGTACAACCTCGTAAAGAAGTTTTGTTAGACATTTAAGACTTAACCTATGATCTCAACTTAAATTGATAGAATAACCTGCAAATTTACACAAATACAAACAAATTTGCAGACTTGAGGAATAAATAAGAGGAATGCCCATTTTAAGTAGTGACTTATTACAAGCAGCTGCTATTGAAGAACATGGATATGACTACCAAAAGGATTTGGCTGGTGTTTTATTGCCAAACTATTTAGATAAACAAGATCATTATAACCAAGCAAAGAGGATATTTACATCATTATGTAAGGTAAAAGAAGCACTTAAAAAAGTCTGTAGACAAGTTGAGATCTCATTAAGAGGATGCTCAAGCATATCTATTAATATGGACTTAATTTGGAATGATAACCATAATTTAACACCTAAAAATAATAATAATATGATATTTGGAAATTTAAAAGATGAATCAGCATATAAAGTAAAGTTAAGACTTTTGTTTGGTATAAATCAATTATTGAATGATAATTTAGATATGATCGTGTCAACTATTTTGAAGTCAATACTTGTCTTAGATGATTGCCAATCAAATTTTGAACAACTATTGAATGCTAGTGAGTCACTAGTAAATAGATGTTCAGTATTAGAATCTGATATTTCATATATAAAAAAAGAGAATGATAACTTAAATTGTCAAAAGTATTATTTAGAAAAACAGTTAAGTGAATCAGTATCTTCATCTACAAAATATCGTTCTGCATTATGTAAGTCTATTAAAACAGTGCAAAAATTATATTTAGAAAATGAGCTATACAAAAAAGAATTATCTAATATTGAAAATCAGTTAATAATATCAAAATTACGAGTAGCACAATATAATGAAGAATTAGAACATATTAGAACTCTTCTCAAGTATTATCGAAGTCAAGTAAGTAGTGAATCAGTCCTATCTCCAGCTATTGAACAGATATTAAAGGTAGAACCTTGCCGTGTTACTTCACAAACTATTCCTAATATTCCTAATAGGAAGGAATATTTAAATTCAAAACAATCTGAGTCATCTACACGCCATTCTAATAAGTATCATCAATTAGGTAATCTTCTAACAAGATTTCTCTCGTTTTCATATACTACAACCAATAAGAGTTTGAGAAATTTAGTATATTATGGCTCTCAAAATAAAGACGATTTAAACTTTAATGAGAAATCACTGATCAAGTCTCCAGTTTATATAGAAAAAAGTGAAATGTTAACTAATATTATAATAGAAGACAATATTAAAGGATTAGGAGATAAAAAATTGGAGCTTAATCCTGATGAAATTTTGACAAGTCCATCTACATCTAATATTTGTAGTTCTGGTAGTTGTTCTACAAGTTGAAAATTAATAATTTACCAGCTTTACAATAATATCTATATTTATAATTAGATATTATCTGTTGATAATATGATTGGTATTGCCTAATTATTTAAAGTAATAAATTATCTTTTTACACTTTGTATAATTAAAAAATAACACAAGAAATTATTAAGTAGAAAGACACCTCGAGATATACAATAATATGAAGTGATATATAAAACGTAGCGTTTTACATATAGTTTATTTGATGAGCCTCAGACACTTTCTAACAATCTTAATATTTGAGAAGTATTTCCAGTGTAATATTGATAGCAATAGCATCTATTAAGATTTTATTAAGCTAAATTTTTATGACTTATAAGTAGAATTATCCAATAGAACTCTTTCTAAAAAAAGAAATTAGATTACAAAGGTTTTTAATAATTATAAAATATACTATTAAAATATTTACTATTCGAGGTCAGTTAATATCTTTATCTTTAGTAATATTCTATCCTTTATAATGAAAAAGAATCATTATTATTTAGTTTATTTTTGAGTTTGAGTCAATCAGGAATTAGAGATTTACTAAATAATGAATTTTGTTTCATTCTTAGTAATAATTATAACATAAACTTTAAAAAAGTATTAACGAAAGTTAAGACTTCAAACAAATATAAAGTTTATTATAAAATTTTTGAATAGTTTATATTTTAATATACATATTCAGTCTTCAGGATACTCTTCAGGTAATTGTGCTCTATTCCAAGAACCAGGACCAACACGTTCTATTCTTAAGGGAGGAACTGAAAACTTCTTATTCGTGGGAGCTATTACTAAGTTAGACGTATTTACTTCAGTACTAATTATAGTCTCGAAGGACGAATATATTTGGTGTGCGTTACTTTGCAATGATTTATTCATTTCGGTGTACTCATCAGTATCCATCTCATTCATTGTTTTTACTGTTTCATCCATATCTTGCATCTTACTATCTATAGAATATGATGAACTATTTCTAGTTGTACTGATTCTATTTAAGAGGATATTAGAAGATAATTTACTATGCATCAATGTAGTATACTGTATTACTGTAGAAATGTCTCCTGTATTAATAGCTGTAATTAAAAGTTTTTCGTCATCTTCAACTTTCATACCAAAATCCTGCAAAATACCACAAAAGGATGAAATTAGTACAATACACAGATATTTATAAGGATTTATATCTATATTTTTTGAAAAATCGAAGTTTTCTTTAGCTTCTTTCTTACAAAGCTGTTCCTCTTTATAATTGCCCTTCTCAGTTAGATACATTTTCTTCCATATATTTGGTGAAATATCTCTATATATAGGATTCACCTTTATTTATTAACTATTCCATAAAAGATCCAAGTATTCAGAATTCAGGCAACTTTTAATAGTAAAATCTAAAAATCAGGCGGTATGATGCACGATGTATGTTGAATTATAGAATGATGCTGAAAGTTACAGAAAAAAATATAAAGTACTAAATATTAGAGTTTTTAATTTCTCCCTAGGTCACATTATATTATTTAGAATACATTTAGCTTAAAGTAAGTCGTGTTATATAAAGATAAGAGCCTCATCAATAGGCAATTTTTGCATATAACCATAATAATATTGGCATCACTGAAAATATTATCTTACTTTTAAAAATACTCATTATATTATTAATTTAATCTATGATAAATATTTTTCCATCTCATCTGCATCAATAAAATAAGTTTGCAAGTCCCTAGGCTTTGGAAATCTCCTTTTTTTGTTAGAGATTTTTGGTAATATGTCAGTCTTATTGCCACTTTTACTATTTAGTTTCAAGTCACCAATTTTGCCTCTCAAAAAATGACTACTATCTATCTCATCTGAAATTTCTCCATTTACTCCAAGCCCTCCATTGTCATCTAAACTAAAATCTTGGTTATCAACTTCATTATCATCAATTTCATCTAATTCATCAAATTCTTCATCATCATCAATTTCATCTAATTCATCAAATTCTTCATCATCATCAATTTCATCTAATTCATCAAATTCTTCATCATCATCAATTTCATCTAATTTATCAAATTCTTCATCATCATCAATTTCATCTAATTCATCAACTTCATCATCATCAACTCCAATCATATTCTCAATTAATGAATCAATGATTTGATCCTCATCATTGTAGTATGATAATTTCTTTTTACCACCGTCATCATCACCTTCTATTTGGAAATCATCATAGTCATCATTCAATTTATTTTTTTCTTTTAATCGTGACCTTTGGATAACAACAGGATCTTGGAAAAAATGTTTGTAGAAATAAAGATGCATAGGAATTTCGTTATCCCACTTTTTAAATTCATTTATTCTTGTATTTTTTTGAGTCGTACTATTTGAATTACTTTCTTTCAAATCTTTCATTAATAACAAGTTGATATCTACTGGATTATAACTTAGTATCTGGAGAAATAAAGGTAAGGATGTTATTTCAAATATTTTTGGTAATATATTGTCGGAATCTGTTGCTAAGGACTTCTTTGAAAATTTGAGTTGCATTAGTGTCTTTGATATATTTTGTAATATTACCTTATTTTCATAATTTATTTGCAGTCCATCATTACATATGATTAAACATTTTCTAGCTATATCAGCTATTAGAGGATGAAAATGAGATCTCATTAGCTCCAGTTCCCAGAGATGCGAATTTATTGCATTTGAATAAAGTGGTTCTCTTTTTGTAGGACAATATGCCAAGTTATGTTTAACCTTACTAGTTTTTATTGATTGTTCACTTCTCTTATTAGTCTCTTTAAAGTTATCATTTTCACTATCTGATAAATCAATAAAGTGCTCTTCTTCATCTTCCTGAAGAAGTTCAAAATCAGTTTTTGTAATAACAGATTTAAATACTAATGATGATGATTTTAAATTATCTACTTCACTTTTTTCCAAATTATCTTCATCAATAAACAATTCACTTCCTTTTTTTTCTTTCTTATGTATAGAAGTAATATCTTCTAAATTACTATATAGTAGAATATTTACCAGGATAACTAAAAATGATAAAGCCATTGAAACATCAAAATTTTGTATTGAAACTTGGAAGGCTCGTTTAATTATAGATAAGGCACGCTTCCCATTATAATTACAATCCTCATTTATAACTCTCCATGTTAAAGCAACAAGTAATTTTTTATTCTTTGCAGAGTATATAGGCATATATAATAATTGTGAATAAAATAAACGATAATAACGATCCCCAAGGATATTTAGTGTCTTTAATATTCTATACATGACTCCGAGAATAACTATACGGATAGATGCACATTCTATAGTATGACATATATAGTATAGCTTTGGAATATATTCGTTTTCAAAATCTCCGAATATTGTATCAATTTCACTAAAATTTTGAGATAATCCCTTAGAGACTGATCTATTTCTTAAAATTCTTATCTGTGATTCTGCATATGGTAAAGATCTATTTATGCCATTTAATGCAACTCTTAATAAACGGTACATCGGTTGTCCAACTGACAGACTGAAGTTAGAAGAAGGAAGTTCATGTTTTTTAATATTAGTTCTATTTCTCTTATTTTTTATAGGTTTTGGTGCAACAATAATCTTCAGAGTTGTCAAGCAAATACGAAGTACAATTATTGGAGGAGTTAAGTTATTTAAATTCCAATTTAAGCTTTGATCTTTACTAAACTTATACTCATTACCTAAAGCATAAAAATTATAGCTTCTATTTAATTTGATTTCTGAAGCAAATAGAGTCAAGCGATAAACCTCTCTAAATACAGGATGATTTTGATGTGATATTGTAGAATCTGAACCCAAAATTTTAGAAAAAGTTTCCAAGGATCTACATATGTGATCAGATAAGCAATTGACTATTATATATAGTAAATCTGCACCTTTTCTATTTTGTAACATAGAACCCAGTAAATAAGTAGAAAATGAGGCTATCTTGTCTTCTTTATCACCAAATTTATGTATTAAGGTATAGATTAGAGTAATACGTTGTTCTTTGATATTCTTTGCAATATGAAAAATCATTACCAAAATCTTTTTTCTAATGGTCCATAGAGGGTCATCTACAGATCTTATAATAACCTGTATAAATTTCGCTAGCCACTTTTTTAAATAATCTTCGAAGTAAATTTGAAGAAATTCAGATAATGGAATTTTTAAAGTGGTTGATTCTTTTGATACTTCTAAATTATCTGAAATATTAATTAAAAAGTTTACTATTTTTTTTTGATTACAAATAGATACAAGTTCCCGTGTTTGAGGAAAGATATCTTTATTTAGAATTATAGTTAATATTGTATCTAGTGTTTTCAAAAACCCAGATTTGTGTGATATCTGACCAGCCAAATTTAGTAGCTGTTCTAATTCAAAAGATCCTAATATTACATTCTGCTGAATTATAGCACAGCATGATTCAACTCTATCTTTTAATGTAGTCTTTGTACTATTTGCCAGATTCCAAAGCCAGGACTGATCCTTATCTGATGAATGAGTTTTCCTATATATAGTTCTCAATTCATCTATCAAGGCTTTACCTACTTCCATGAGATCATTTAGTAATAACTTTTTAGATACTCCTGACGTTACATACTCAAACTCTAACCATACATCCTTGCTAGTAGTATCTTTAGTATTATTATCATACCAAACCTGCTCTGAGAGCCTTTTTATCCACTTTTGTTTAACAAGTTTTCTGATATCTACAATGTTTCTACATCCATTTACTTTAATACACTGCAGAGAAGATACATATGATTCTGGAGGCCTAGGTTTATGATTATTTTTCTGTCTAAATCCATATCTAGCTATTCCTCTACTTAATTTATTCATAATTTACAAAATTTTTTAAGGCAGATCCATATTAGTTTTATACCGTCAGTAACTGCCAAAACGCGCCACTATAATGGCGCTTTTAAAAAAGATTATATTCTAGGTTTTAGAGGTATAGTGGATTACTTCCGTAGTATGAAATGTAACCTACTAATATTTGATGTTACAAAGTTACTTATCTTCCATTATATGTGGTCTAATAACATCATTTTGTAACTCTATAGTACCACGTAAGTTCTAGCCTACAATCTTACAATTTCATCCCTACCACCTTGTATATTATCACATTAAATTAATACAATATTGTTAATTTTCTTTATACAGATGGTTCTTTTGGGCTTTCAAAAGAAGGTAGAAGAGCTGAGAAGTTTGCTCTTTGTGTTCGTCTAGCTGTGTGGATTCCTTTATATATACTTGTTATACTATTACTTTTAATTTTTTCTAAAACAGGGTGGTTCGTAACTATGATCGCTTCTACAAGTATGCAACCTTATTTTGAGGCTCCTTCTATTATGTTGTGTACATTAGACCCTAATGAGGATTCTTTAGTGAATAGTCTTAGAAATCAAGATTTTCTAATGCTTGAAGAAATAATGTCTTTTAACAAAACAGATGTTTATATTTTATTACGATCTCAAGGGTATATTGGCTATTCAAAAGCTTTAATTAGAAGATGTGGAATGAAATGTTTTTGTTTTGATACTTCTGAAGTTAGTTATTCATGTCACAACACTGATTTTATGGCCCAACGCCTTTATGGAGTTTATCTTTTAGGAACAAGTCAATGTAATAATAAACAGAAAATTAGGACTCCCTTAACTTTTTCAGGACGTTATAATATGGACTTTCTAGAATTATGGATGTTCCATCATATTAAGATAGAAAAGAGTATGGTAATCAAAGTAGGTTTATATAGTCCTTATTTATCCTATTTATATGATGGCTTCCCAAGAAACTTATCATGGAATGTAATGAGATTTGGAGATGCAACTATTTATCTACTCCGTTTGACAAGGATCAACATAGAAGATTTTACTTTTCATAGTCTTATTAAAACTATTTTATCTTGGTCTGATCGATCAATTCCTCAAGGTTACTATACTTATAATATACAGTCTGGGAGACTAGAAGATGGAACTTTCGATAATTTGGAGTTTGCAAGAGAATCCCTTATTAGTATTTGTTCAAATATAGAGATTTCAAATTATAAAAGTGCAACAGTTCTTCATATTGAGGCAGCAAGTAAATTTACACGTGAAGTTCATAATATTGGTCAATCGATGTCTTTAGTTGTTTTTATCGGTTGGCTAATTATTTTAATAGTTTTAGTGAATAATGTAGGGGTATTCCACATTTGTTTTCGTCGCAAACAGTCCACAATAGATAACAAGTCAGGAAAGATTCGCCTACGTGTTACAGGAGTTGTTAAAGCTGCAAGCTGCTACTTATTAAGTGAGGATCATAACTAACTTGTAGTTAGTAGCTAATTATGTTTACTAACAATACTATCACAATACAACTAACTCTCATCTAGTGCAGCAAACCTATTTCTTGTTTCTACGTGTCCCTTATTAGCAGAGTCATTTCTATTTTTACTTCCAGACCACTTGGATCCTTGGTTTATGTGGCGATTATTATTTATTGAGTTGTATTTTGTACGTCTGGACTCTACCTCACTTTTATTAGATTGGTGATTATAACTAACTTCTTTAGGTGTGTTGTCTGTCAGATTAGTATTAGATAGAGTCATACTGCGATCTACATCCTGATTATCATTTCCCTTTTGATTTTTAGATTTAGAATGTTGTGAGTCTCGTGAATATACATCTCCATATCCTTTACTGTATCTTCCCTTGTCTTTTTGATTATTAAAACTCCATCTCCTTTCGTTAGAAGCTTGAGGATTTGTCACTTGTTTTTGATAATTACTGGTACCCGTCCTGCCTTCAGAGGTTGGTTGAACTCCGGATTGAACTTCAGACTTTCTTTTTACCTCAATATTTTGTTGAACAGGTCTTGCAGATCCAAATATTCGTGATTTTGCTTCATTGTATACTTCAACTATATTATTTCCATTTTCAAGTGGCTTAGATCTTGGTTTTAGATTAAGTTTTGGGCGTTCACCTTGATCTTTTGTAGTGACTCCAGTATTAAATCCTACTGAAGGTGTATTGACATCCTTTTTCGGCTCTTCAGGAAATGTATTATTCTTTGCATTCTCACTTTTTACATTCTTACGTACAATTGTAAAGTCAGGAGATAATTCACGGCGAGATTGGGTATGATTCCTATTGTCTCTCTGACTCCTAGATGCAGATAATACTCCAGATTGTGTCAAAGTATTATTTCCTGCATTATTTCCACGGTTATGACGTTCTCCCAATTTATTTCTTGTCCAAGCAGCAGTTACACGGATACTTCTAGATCCAATTACAAAACCATCATATTGATTAGCAGTAGTTTCAAGATCTTCATAATTTCCAAATTCAACAATTGCTGTCCCATCGTTATTTCCATTTTTTGTTGAAAGTTTGACGGTAGTAGTTTCAATATTGTGAGATTTAAAAAAGTCCACTATATCGCTTTGCTGCAGATTGTAGTCTAAATTTGCAAGTCTTAAAATAAATGGAGGATCTTTAGGTAAATTTAGTAAATTCTTTTTGTTATTATGCTCTATTTTATTTTGAGTAGTTTTGTATCTTCTACGATTATTGTCAGATCTACTCTTATCTATATTCACAGGAAGTTCTCCTGTATTAATAGAACTCTTATCAACTTCACACCTTGCACTTGGTATTGTCATATCTAAATCATCTTCTTCAGCTTCTACATCTGCCCAACGAGTTGTTCTTGATTTGCAAAGCTCACCTTCAGTATTGCTACTTGTCATATTTACGTTATTAAGGGAGTCTTTTTTACTGCAAAATCACTATCAGAGTGATAGTCTTTAATTTCTAAAGTACAAAACCCAAGTTTTTGTTTGAAACTTCTATTAGACAACAATTTACTCACACCTAGTTGTATATATAATGTAAACAAATAGATTATTTAAGTATTTATTCTAATTCCCCAAGGCGCGTCTCAACTCGGTACCTATAATGGCGCCACATGTCTGCAGCATTTAGATTTTACTTAATACTTTAGATTATACTTCTTAATTTCAGGTTTTAATAATACTATCTATATGTAAAACTACTATTATTACTAGCTCTATATACAAATTAAGATAAATATGTGTTATAAATAATCTCCCGGGACTTATTGAATTTCTACATGAGATAGGATAAAGATCTGACTACATCAAGTAACAATAATAATTCTATTATTTAACGAAATATCAAGAATCAAATTTCCATCATTTATCTTATCTACACATATATACCTAAATTTAAATTAATACAAATAAAGATTATAGCACATCGAAGTGGAAATAGAGCAAGTTTTTTACTACTGAATTTTTAATTTCTTTATTTTCATCTGTATGTAGAGTATGTATCATAGTAAAGTGAGATAGCCAATATTACTAGCAAGATTATTCGCTTACCTCATTTTTATTCATCTTAGTACATTTATTAGTCACTTTCTGTTCATTATAATCCTTGTCACTATTTGAACGTGTCTTTAGCTTTATAATCCGTATATTTGTCGAAGATATAGACCTTTTTTCATCTTTATGAGGTAGACTCTCATAATTATCTGTACATTGTAAATTCCTTTTATCAGAGTTAATATTCCTTGGTTTTACATTATCTGTTTGCCTGTGATCTTTTCCTACGCCTGAGATTAGATCCGGTATTACAGCTTGGTATTGAGGTCCAACCCTAATAGTTGTGTTACTACATTTCATCCATTCTGATCCAGACATAATATTTTATATATTATAGAGATAATTTCTTAGCTGTTACTCTGAAGATAAAATTAAGAGTAGAAAGTGAGAATATTCTATAGGTTATAACTTTGGCGGGTAATATCTTGGAATACTAGTTTTTTGTAATATTACAAATGTACTATGAGGTTTCTGATCTTAGTACTAATCTTCTTAGGTAATCACCTTCTTACATGTTTAGAGTTTTTACCATGGAGTTCTCAGCCTGTTTATCCACTAAGTCTTCAAAATAGTGAGCTCTTAAGATCTATTTTGAGGGAAGTCCTTCCACAACATACTAGTGAAGAGGATCTAGATAAATATCAGGCTCTATGGGCTGTGTATCCACCATATTTGATAACTCAGAGTTATCCAGATATATTTTCCGAAGAGCTCGCCTTAAAAATTAACACTTTAATACGGGAATCTTTGAATATACATGATGGTATTCTGGAAGATAAAGATCCTGAGAAGTGCTATGTCCTTGTGTTGAGCGGAGGATCTAATAGAGGAGCCTGGGAAGCTGCTGTAGTAAAAGGGCTAATTACTCGTTATAAAACTTCTGGTAAAACCATAGATTGGGATGTAGTATCCGGAGTTAGTGTAGGAGCCATTGGAGCATATATATCACTGTTTTTTGAGTCAGCTGATGAGTGGTCCGAGAAACTTTGGGGATATTGGTGGTATGCTCCTCAATATACACTCTCTGATTGTCAATTACCAATTTCCAAAAATATTGGTAAATGGTTTAGAATGATACTAAAAAAATTTATTGATCCTGATGCTGTATTTCACTATTTATGCAGTATAATTGGATCTAAAAGAAGATTAGAGAATTATGTTCCACCTAAACTCAAGGTTACTAATAAATCTATCGTTATAACAGCTACAAGGTTAGAAGATGGATTGTCACGTAGCTGGTTTGGTTGGAATAGTACAGGAGAGGAACTGTTAGATGCAGTTTTTGCAAGCTTAGCCTATCCTTTAGTATACCAACCTGTATATATAAATGGGAGTTATTTTATGGATGGAGGAATTAGAGCTAATGCTAATTTAAAAGATGCAATTATTCATTGCATGGAATTTAAAAATGTCACTAGTGACAAGGTTATAGTTGATTATATTGAAACACAGCCCCTACGTCCGAGATGGTTCCCATTCCCTTATAATAATATGGATATACGAGGTCTTATAAATAGAGCCTTTGATATTTTACATTATAATATAAGAGGTTTTTCAAAGCTACAAGAGGCTATAGAGATGTTTCCTAATACTACATTTCGTCATTTTATTAATCCTATGGGTTGGCATGAATTCCAGCACTGGCCAGCCATTGCCTTGGATGTGTCTGATCGTTCAAAAATGCAAAATATGATGAAGATAGGGATTTCAACTGGAATGAAAGCTGGAATACTCAATAAGACCCAAATTTTGAACTATAATCGGACAAATACAAGATATTATCCACTTTTGAAATTACCAAATTTGGGGTAATTCAGTAAACCTATAATTATCAACTAGAATCTGATTATCTAGAAATATAGATATATTAAATAAATATATGATATTACCTGATTAAATCTCAAAATATAGATATATAATTAATTATAGGGAAATTAAAATCTCTACATACTAATTTAGGCAGTAGTAAACTAGTCAATTATGCGTATATTACTAATTTTTTAATAGATCTGACTAATAGAAATCTTATCGAATCTTGAAATTCATTGGGATTTAAAATTTTTTGCAATAGAGCTATCTATTATATCTGATACTGGGTCATGAATACTATTGTGATAGTATTGAAAGACTCTATAGAAGTCTTGAAAGTCCAAATAGCCATCATTGTCTTGATCAATTTGTTGAACTATTTGTGTTAATTCTTCATCAGAAAATAAATTAAAATTTTGAGATGCTCTTCCAAAATTAATTCCAAGTGTTTGTGATTCCTTTGAGATATGAGATACTAGTTGTTTCAAAGTCCTCAGGCTTATTTTACCAGTTTTGTTAATATCAAACATAGAAAAAATGTGCCTAACATAATCTATAGATACATCTTGCGAATCTGAACTATTATAAAAGGCCCCAATACCATATATACCACTTTCATTCATTAAAGATGATAATAATGTATAAAAGTCTTCCAGATTAAGAGTTAAAGAGTAGGATTCAAGCCAACCAGAATTATCCATTAAGGAAGTTGAACTCCCACTAAATCTGGAGTTCCCTAATGCACTTTCTACAACAGAAATTATTTGTTGCCTCTTTACTTGAAATCCTAATGCTCTTAAACATGCTTTTAGCTCTCTAAGATCAAGAAATCCATCTTTATTGGTATCAAATACTCCAAATACATTATTTGCGTCTTCTAACTGCTCTTTTGTTAGAGAATGAGATTGAATATGTTTTATAGAACCCTTTATACCTACATTATACATTCTCTTAGTATTTATAGAATTATAATTAGCCTATGCATTCAATTTTTTTCTCATTTCCTACTTTCATTCACAGATTGTACAAAATGTAATAGATGTATTCCCGCGCTCTTCCAACTATGACACGCTTCCCCACGGGAAGGAAGAGTGAAGAAAAGTAGAAACGGAAAAAAACCCGTGAAATTCAGCTTCAATATTTTCAAGTATAATGGCTCAAGCTATTGGAACCTTCGATACTGGACACTCAGGTCCAGTACATGATACCCAGCTAGACTATTATGGAAGGAGACTAGCTACAGCCTCTTCAGATCATACAATTAGGATTTTTGATGTATCAACAGACCAACCAACTTTTTTAGTAGAGCTTAAGGGCCATGAAGGACCTGTTTGGCAAGTATGCTGGGCACATCCAACATTTGGGAGTGTTCTAGCGTCATGTTCTTACGATAAGCGTGTTATTGTTTGGAAGGAAATTCATCGTGGACACTGGGAAGCTGTGTACTCTTGTGACGACTTTACATCCTCTGTTAATGGTATCTCATGGTGCCCCTGGGAATATGGTTTACAATTTGCTTGTGCTGTAGCTGATGGCACTGTAGCTGTATGCTCCTATAACTCTGAGATACGTAATTGGACTAAGAAACATGTCTTTGGGCACCCTAATGGAGCTAATGCTGTATCTTGGGCCCCTGCAATAAATAATACTACCATTTCAGCATCTCAACAAGTGATCAGGCTTGTATCTGGTGGTTGTGATAACAAAATTCGAATCTGGAAACAAGATCCTCAAACTGGTGAATTAGCAGATATAGGGCATACATTAGATGTTGCTCATACAGAATGGGTTCGGGATGTAGCATGGCGACCTTGTGTTGGTTTATTAACTGACACTATAGTTTCATGTGGAGATGACAAAACAGCCGTTATTTGGACTCAAGATGCAGATGTACAGGGTTGGCGAAGTATGCAAGTTTTAAATTTTAATTCACCTGTATGGAGGGTTTCTTGGAGTGTTACAGGTACTATTTTGGCAATTTCAAGTGGTGAGGATATAGTTACTCTTTTTAAGGAGAATTCTGACGGACATTGGGAAGTACTAACAAAAATATCAAATCATTCTGAAAAACCAAATATATCTGTAGAGACTGATAGTTTTTTTGGAGAAGTATCAAATATACAGAGTACAGAAACCTCATCTCAACAATTTATTAGACAAACTGGAGTATCTAACATTGGGCATCCTAATATGGGAGATTCAGTAGGTATAGAAGCTGTACCTTTTGAAGACCAATTCAGAAGATCTACGGCAAATCAACCAACTCCATCTATGTATGTCTCACCATCACCTCCTTCAATGTCGAACTCTTTAGTACACCCTCTAGCAACATCTCCCACACCTTCCTCTGTATCACATCCTACTTCAATGATACCTCCTACTACAATGTCATCAACTGCTCCAATCCCATCATCTCAAGCGCTGCCAATTACTTCAATACCACCACCACATACTCCACTACTACCATCATCTAATTCGATGCCACCACCATCATCTAATTCGATACCGCCACCATCATCTAATTCGATACCTCCACCATCATCTAATTCAATACCGCCACCATCATCTAATTCAATACCACCACCATCATCTAATTCAATACCACCACCATCATCTAATTCAATACCACCACCATCATCTAATTCAATACCACCACCATCATCTAATTCAATACCACCACCACCACCACCACCACCTATTTCAATGCCGTTACCTTCAGCACTTCAGATAACCCAGAAACATATGTCCACACCATCTTCTATGGCATCTGCAGTACCTCCACCGCATCCAATAACTAATTCTGCCTCATCTCCCTCTAATCCCTCTTTTATGCAAGTTACTAACTCTAAGACATCACTAGTAACTCCACTTGGAATGCCTCCAATTCCCCCAAGAAGTACCACAATTCCATCGAGTTCATCTATATCAGGAATGGGTCCTAATAATATTCAAAACCAGACTACTTCAAATTCTTCCCCTGTTATGCCTCCACCACCTCCACCATTATCTCATGTTGGTATGCCACCATCTGTTACAGCACCTCCTCCTCCAGGTATTAGAAGATATCCAGGAATCCAGTAGCTTACAGAGACTTTAATATATATTGTACAAAAATTTAATATTAAAACAGCTAAAAGTATTGGCACTTTGTAATATTGTACAAATTTTAATATTAAAACAGCTAAAAGTATTTGCACTTTATAATAAAGTTTTTTAAAAACAAAATTTAAAACATCTATGAGTATCTTTTTCTATTAGAAATAAGACTACTGAGTTTTTTCTTAGCTTCGGAATCTGGGAATTCTGCAGGATCATAATAATTTCCAGCTATATCTAGTAACCATTCTCCTTTGATCTTGGTTACAGTTCGGATGTAATTACGAGATGTTAAGACGAACTCATGATAAATAACCCACTCAGGTCTAGTTTCTAGAACACAACTAGGATGTAAGACAACTACTTGGTGATCTCTGACTGTTAAGTAGTGCCCTGAGCGTTGCAATAAGGCTACTTGCATAAAGAATCCTTGAGTTAAAGCAAATCTAATATTGGAATATGTTTCATCTGAATTATTGTATAAGACATTTAAGTGATGTTTTTCCAAAGTTCTTTGAAGTTGTAATCTTACATTATCAGCTGATTGAAGGGCTCTTATATTCAAATAATTATCTTGACAAAAGTACTTCTCTTTAGATTTTAACTGAGCCTCCTTATAGGCATTAAATACATTCAATAAAGTTAGATGATCACCATCTACATGGATAAAACGGTTCTTTGCTTCGTCTGCCTCTCTTAATTTATCACGAGGTCTGTAGAATACATTTGAAACAGATAATACTGCAGTAATAGTCAATATCTCACTAACACATTTATGTTCACTAGACTTAAGAAGCATCCGTGCTAATTGTGGATCTACTGGGAATTCTGACATCATCTTTCCTAAATTAGTTAACTCTCCTTCATCATCCAATGCTTCCAAATAATAAAGCTGCTCTAAAGCCCTCATTAGAGTCTCTGGGGCAGGAGGATCCATGAAATCAAAGTGAACTAAATCGTCCACCCCCAAACACTTTAAAGTTAGTACAATGTGGCTCAAATTGCTTCTTAGGATTTCTGGATAGGTCTGTTCAATTAAATCTTTCTCAAATGCACTCTTTGTATATAATCTGAAACATTTCCCAGACTTCGTTCTACCTGCTCTTCCAGCTCTTTGTTTTGCAGAGGATCTTGAAATAGGTGAAACTAATAAAGAGTCAACTTGAGTCCTTGGATTATATACTTTTTGCTTAGAAAATCCTGGATCTATTACATATACAATTCCATCTATTGTTATACTTGTTTCGGCTATATTAGTACTTATTACAACCTTCCTGCCTAGAGGACCACCTGCATATAAAGGACCAGGAGGTGGTGAAAATATTAGTTGCTGATGAATTGGAGGAAGAGAAGAATATAGTGGAACTATCATTAGTGGTCCAAAACGATTTTCCAAAGGCTTAGCTAATTGCTCAAGACCCCTTTTTGCTTGTTCTATTTCATCTTCACCAGTTAGAAAAAGTAAAATATCCCCTGGGGCCTCTTTAGTATGTATTTCAATAACTTTCTCTATAGATGCATCTAAATAATTATCTGCAGCCTCTGAATTATATATTATGTCTACAGGAAACATCCTACCTGGGATTGAAAATATAGGAGGATCTAAAAAATAATTTTTAAATTTTGTAGATTCTAAAGTTGCACTCATAATAACCAACTTTAAAGGATAGGATGATTCAGAGTTTCTCTTTTTTATTAACTCCTTAAGGAATCCCATCAAAATATCTGTTGATAAAGTTCTTTCATGTGCCTCGTCTAGAATAATAACACTATATTGAGATAAATTTCGATCATATATTGCCTCTCTTAATAGCATACCATCTGTTACATATTTTAATAAAGTCTTATTACTTGTTTTATCTTCAAACCGAATAGTATAACCAACTACCTCCCCAAGACAAACATCCATCTCTTCAGCTACACGTCCAGCAATACTAATAGCAGCAATTCGCCTTGGCTGAGTACAAGCAATTTTCAGATTGTTGTGGATACCTGACTTTAAGATAAACTGTGGACATTGTGTCGTCTTACCACTTCCTGTATCACCAACCAAAATTACTACTTGGTTTTTCTTCAATAATTTACAAAATGCCTTACGTTCTGACCATGCTGGTAAAGATTTACGAAATTTCCTTAATTCATAATATCTATCACTAAATGGCTTATTATCATTCCAACAATTCAATTTTTCCTTATTCTCTAAGTCTTCCTTTTCTTTTTCTTCTAAATCTAAGCATTTTCTAGGCTTTTTTGAGCATTGTTCAATATTAGGCATTTTGCTTCTTTTTTATCTGTCATCCATCGTCATCAATTGACTAATCAAAACAGAATATAGCGCTATGTAGCGCTTTAAATTTTTTTTTTTTTTTTACTTTGGAATTTATTTTTACATGTAGGTAGCTTATATAAAAAGTTCAATTAGTATTAAGATCAAAATATCCCCTTTAATTATTCAAGATTTCTAATTTAATCCCTAATTCTAAAAATAAGTTTTGTTAAACATATATAGTATATAGTACATCAGATTTTAGATTCCAGGTACTAACTCTTTTCTTCTAATAAGTATTATTTGAACTATTACCTGAAGTGAAAAAAATCACTATTAATTAAACTAAAGTTTATGTATATCAATGTGAAAATCATCCAAAAGTAGGTACTGACAGAAACCATTGGGATTCTAGCAAGAGATTTCTTAGTTAATGATCACTACTGAGAAATTAAGGTAGATAATAGAATACTAATATTATATTTTAAAAGAACATTTCCTTTATAAAAAATAAGAATATTAAATATAATATCAGTAACTGTATTATTTACATTATATAACATCTATATATGATACTGCTCAGTAGAATGTTTGATAAATATGAAGGTCTTCTCTATAATAATAATGTAAATAAAAAATTAACCTGAAATAAATTATCACTAAATATTATAAGTGTAAAATATTGTATTACTGTATTTTATAACCTGTTATTTGTATTTGCTGTTTAATTTATCAACTATTAGTAATAATAATTGAACTGGGACAAAAGTATAATCTTATAATAAAATAAAAGTATAATATTTCTTGAATATTTCAAAAGAAAATTTAAGAATACTAATGGTAAATATTATGAAAAGATAAAATTGTAATTAGTGAAGAACTTGAATACAAAATCCGTACAATTTTAATAACTATTTTGAACCAATATATATAATATAATCTAATTAATTATAAGCCTTTGTATAGTATATTTCCCAAGTTTAAATTATAAAATGAAAAGAATTGAGAACCTATTTTACACTCCAATTGATCTAAAACTACTATTTATCCAAAGATTCAAAAGTTAATTTAGCTTTAATGATTTCTAACCCCACTTTGATTGTTCAACATCATTAATAATCGTTGAGTCTCATCTATTTCTTCTTCTAAATATATATCAAACAAAGCTTGCCTAATAGCCTCTGTATCATCCTTATTTATCTCTTCTTTAGAAATTATATTTATAACACTAGATACCCATGGGACGACTAAACATGTATATAAACAAGCTAATAATGCTATATAAAATCCTACCCCAAGAGTAGATGATCCAAAAAATAATGAAGACATCTTATTTGATTTAATTGTATTACCAAAACCCACAATATTAACAAAAAAACCCCCAATAAGCAAATACAAAAATATACCCATGATTGATAACATTGCAGCAAGAATAGTTTGAGTCAATACAATACTTCTAATCCGTTGAAGTCGCTTTGTAATATATAGGACTGTTAGAAAAAATAATGATGAAATAAGAAGTATAATGACCATACTTGCAATTATAATAAGTGTAACTGATGCTATATATAGATCTGTAAATGAGCTGCATCTAGATATTCTAGAGTTCGATCCATACCCTAATAAACAAAGATATCTCATTACATTTCCTATAGATTGTCGATCTATTTTAGATACTATTAACTTGCAGAAATCAATATTTAATCTATTTCGCATTATATTAGGTGAACAATCAGAAGAGGCCCATACATTCCATAAAGATATATCTAATGTGATGTAATTATTGATTGGAAAGCCAACAATTTGGTAATGGTATGTTCGTGATGTTAAAGCTAAAAACCACCATAATATACTCACAGCTATAGCCAAACAAACTGCAAAGACACGGATATTATTGTAGTTATATACTTTTTTAGGTATCATAACTATTTTTAGAAAATAATTTTTCAATAATAAATTAAAGTTTCTAGATTTTCTTGGTTAGGATGTAAAACTAGACATGTGGCGGGTATATGCCATGTTAGGTGGTATCGTGTCTCTTTACGATATATAATAAAGAGAATTTATCTATTCCACACATTAAAACCTACAATTTCAGATATTACTTGTTTAAATAAACTGATATCTGCTTCAGGGAAAACTTTCATTGGACTAGAAGAGATATTCTGCATCTGGTATTATATATAATGTGACTTTACTAATATATATATAAAATTAATAAATTTTGTAGACTCACAGCACTAACAAGATCTTTTGGGTTATGAATAGCTATAAGATAATTAAGTTCTTGAAGTTTATTTGAGAGTTCCATTTGGTGATTATTCATTAGTAGTTGATTAGAAACCACAATCAATTTCACCTAATATAAATAAATCAGTTCAGAAAATTAATATTAATTGTATTTAATTCCAGTAATTCCTCTACTTTTTTTGTATGCCTAGAACTTACCTTACTTCTTAGTGTATCCAAAACAGTCCCAGCTCCTGCATGACTAATAACAAGTCCAAACTTTTTAAAATCAAATCCTTTAGTGTAGTCGATAGCCTCAACTTCTAATAATCTTCTAGATTTTAAACCTTCAATAGAACTAGATATACCCAAAGATGGAATATAGTCTCCTCTGATTAATTATAATATTTATATTAATTTAGTAATACGAAAATTTAAGAGTAGATAATAAATATACCTTCCATACTGTATATACATATATGTATATCCTAATTTCAATGCAGCTTCATGAAACTCTTCAGTATCTACTGCTCTAATGAGATTATCAAATTTTGTAGTTCCTACAGTAACCAGAATATGTGACATAGGACCAGATATGTCAAAACTACAACTTTAATATTGGGAATAAAACAAGTACCGTTTATAATATAGCGCCATATAGGCGCGAATAGTTCTATAATTTACATTGCATACATGCAAATATCCACTAGCTATAAATTTACAAATGTCACTATAGAAGTATCAAGACTTTTATTTTATGGGGTATTATATAAGTAAATATGGAATTAAATATTTAAATTATGTATAATTCAAGTTGTTCAGTAAATATTACGAGTTAAGTTATATTTTAACTACTTAGATTAGATAAAGGAGCAAAAATATTAAACTAAAAAATTTTGAACAACCCAAAAATAAAATAGCTCAATATAAAAATATGGTTATTTTTAATTTGTGGAAAATAAGCTCTCTAAATATTTTTTTACCTAAATAATAATATGCTCAGATCAACATATTAGTTTAAATATTAAAAAGAAGATGGAAACAGCAGCTATTTAAACACCTGGTTAATTTTTTTAAGTCATGTAATATTTTACGTAAAATGTTATATTTAGATACTTACTTATATATGATTTTTTATTTTGGTTTTTATACACAAATATTTAGTATTATACTACAACCTTGGATACATAATATAAAATGGAAATTTTTTGAAAATATTTATGGATTCTCTATGAACTCTCGAAAATTCTTTAGTCAAAAAAATCAAATTTTATAATAAAATTTATTGTGATATATTAGTTCTTACTATTGATATATCAGTTTATTTCATCAAATATTCAGTAAGCTTTCATTGAATATGTGGTAAATAATTAATCATAAACTACTTTGATTAAATTTAAAACAAAGTTTTGAGAAATGATTAGATAATTTTGATTTAAGTCAACTTTATAATAAAGTCAAAAAACAAATAATTGATGATTTATTAAATATTGGTTTCACTCAATATTATAACTAATAATACTAGGATTTGAAGACAAGCTTGGAATCTTAAATATATATTAAATATTAGAGAGTTTGGAATTTAAATAAAACTTATGTAATTTGTGTAAAAAAATAATGATTTTTAATAGTTAACTAATAAAATATTAAAGAATGAAATGAATTACTAATAATTCTGGGTTATAAAAAATTAATAGATTTACAAATATTATAACTTTAAATGAGAAATAAGTATAATTATTTTTTTGATAATAATCATGGTCCCAAACAAATAATTAGTATTACTCCGCATTATTGCATATCAGAAAGTCCGAGATCCTTACTTCAATATCTATTATATCTAACATTTATACCACAAAATTAATTATCCATAAGATACTTTGCTATTCTAATCAAGAATTATCCGATAAAGTAGCCTAGTTTTTTTGATAAATTTAGGCTTTTATAAATAAATAAGTATATTTTAAATGGAAATAAAGTGTTTATTGGTTATAATATCTTCACTCTTAAAGTAATGTAAAAATGTTATAAACAAGAAATGTTTATGATTTACAATATATTAAGGTACATCACAAAACCATATTATTTGCTAAATAAAAACATTTCTAAACATAAAAACTACAACTTTAGTTTAAGATCTCTTTATAATCTAAAAATATACCCAAAAAGAAAATAACAAAAGTCAAGTGATACAAACCCGCCGATATCTTACCTATTCAACCTTTTGTAGGTTTAAAAAGAAAACTTTATGCTGCTAGATGGAGAGAATAAGAGATTTATGTGATAGTGAAAGTGATATTTCTGATGAAGAAGATGATACTGGTATAAATAGTTTTGCAAATATTTTGAAACTTCAAAGTGAATTTGCAGCTACTAAATATACAAGTTCAAATAATAATAATTTGAGTACTTCACTAGATAATGAATTTCCTTTGACTTCAAAAGTTATTTTACCAGATTATAGAGACATTAATAAGCCAATAACTTCTATTTCATTTCCTTTAAAAGCTCACAGGATGTTGTGTGGGATATTAGATGGTACAGTACTAATATATGATTTCAATTCAATGTATTCAAACAATCTTAATCCTTTGAAAAGTATAGTTCCTTTGGAAAGCCATGCAATTCAAGCCTTAGAATATAATAGGAGTGGTACTATGTTCCTTACAGCCTGTGGTGATTCAAGTTGCAGAATATATGATCATAATGGAGATTTTCTTAATGCTACTGTCAGAGGGGATCCATATGTACGTACTGCTAAATCTAACTTAGGCCATACTCATATGATATTGGATTTAAGTTGGCATGCAAATGATCCAAATAAATTTTGGACATCTGCTATGGATGGCACAATTAGATTATTTGATATAAATAGTAAACCATATGGAATTGATCAGTATATTCCTAGTATAACAGCTATTAAGTGCTTAGATAAACGAAATATAAACATTTCATCAATTTCTGTAAATTCAATAAGCACTTCAAATTTAGGAAATTGCATTGCAGCTGGTTGTTCAGATGGATCTATTCAGGTGTTTTCATCAAATAGTGGTGAATCCTTCTCTGAAACTCCAAGCTTTGTGATAAGAGAAGCTCATAAACAGGAATTAGGAGACAAAAATATATGTGATATAAAATTTTTAGATATTTTAACTGGAGACATATATCTTATGAGTAGAGGAACCAGTGATAAATCATTGGCATTATGGGATCTTAGAAAACCAAAATATCCAATTAGTAAAGTGGTAAATCTACCCTGTGAAACAAGTGATAAAACAAATATTTGTATATCACCCTGCAAAGGGTATATAATAACTGGTACATCTGAAATTTTGAGTGGTTCATCAAAGGGTAACTATAAATTTGATAAAAGAGGAGATCTTTATATTTTTGATATTAATGAACTTTTATCTGATTCCAAAATAAAAGTTGAACCTTACGTGTCATTTGAACATGGGATATCAATTTGTTCTTGGCCTAGTGAAATTAATCAAATTATTTTGGGCTTGGATAACGGTCAAGTACATATTTATTATGATGAGAATTCTGGGAAAAGCAATAAGGGTGCATTACTTTTTGTAAATAAATACCAACATCTAAAATATAATGGAGCATCTAATATAAGAACTGAAGTTTATAATGCAACTAACTTACCATTGGGATTCAAAGAAACTCGTAGTGGTGAAATAAAATATGTGGGAATATCATCTAAAAATTCAAAAATCACTGGACCTCAGCAAGAGTCAATTAAAACATTTCCTTATTCAAAAGAAACATCTATAGAGGATGATTATGATATAGTTTCAGCTTTAAGATCTCATAGAAGTATTAACAATTTAAATATGAAGGATCCATTAAGAAATTCCAATAAAAGGCATCTAGACTGCTCAGATTATCAAGATAGAGGAAATCTATTGAAAAAAGTGTCAATATGTCCTAGATGTGGTCTTTGCATGTGTAAATGTATAAAATATTGATGAGAATAAAGTTCTAGAATATATTATATAATGAAGTTAAACTATAATGCAATAATTAACGCTGAATTTAATATATATTTAAAAAAAAGGAAATGTTTCTTTAACTAAATTTAGTTAAGTATAGTGTTTATTTATTCTCTACAGAATATATCTCTGGAAACATCTAAATCATCGAAATCTAAATCTATATCAGCTTGTGCTATTGATCTCATTCGTTTTTCAATCTCATTCCATTCATTTTCCCAGTTCTCTTTATCATTATCATTCCAAAGTAGAATTTGGGAATCTTCATCAGTAATTACTGAATCTTCAATATGCGGCGAATCCTCATTACTACTACATGTACTAATTATATTATTTGTAATATTATTTATTTTATCCTTCGATAGTTCTCTAGTTTTTACTTTTTTAGTTTTAAAAATAGTCTTATATTTAGTATCTTTTCTCTTCATTTTTCTTTTCCTCGTGCAACAAATTTCAGAAGCTAGCATTTGCAAGGATTCTAAATCTAATTCACCAAGACGTCTTAAAACCTTTGAAATTGCTGCAAAGTCTTTCATATCCGTTTGATCTAATAAGTTGAATGACCATTTAGCTATTTTCAAGTCATGATATATTTTCACTCCATTCAGAACTTTCAACAAGCGTTCTAGAGACTCGATGGAATTCTCAGATATAGGTAGTGTTATTAAGTATTCATCATTACTATTCATACTACTAGTAGAGTCTTGATTTGTTGATTTGTTCATAAAATTGTAAATAATCTCAATATATTCCTTTATCATATCTGGGGCATTTATTTTTAGGTCTAAAATACTTTTAGTAATGCCAGCAATTGTACTCTTCGATATTTTGAGTTTCCTAGATGTATTATGTTTGTCACTTTCTTCAATAATTTGTTCAAAAGATTTTATCACTTTAGGTACCAACTTCTTGAGAGTATCTATTCGCTCTGCAAGCTCTGCTTGTGATATTGATTCTACATCTAATACCCAATGTTCTTCATACTCATAACATTTATTTTCTTCATCATCTGAGTTAAATAGGTTTATAGAATTACTATCAGTATTTAAAGAAGGTATATTAATTCCTTTGAATAAACTGATATATGATTTATCATCTTTAGAAATATTTACAAGTTTACATCCTAAAATAATTAGTAAATCACTTAATATTTTAGATTGACGAACTTTTCTTGCATTACTCTGTATTCCTAGTGATTCAAAGTATTCTTGGGATATCCAAATAATTCTTTGTTCAATTAATAAATTTTTCCAGTCAATTTCAGAGTACTTTGAATTAACCAGATTAGAAAGTTCAAATATAATAAAGTGTAGTAAACCATTATCAGTTTGAAAGTTATGTATTAGTGGCTTTAATATTTTCCCAGTAGTATCTGGATGCTCTAAAAAATTGATTAAAACATTCTCTAAGTTAATAGTAGTAAATGCATTATTATCTGAAGACTTTTGAATCATATTATTTAATTCATTATTAGTATTATCTTTTATCATTGCAGATATGTCCGAGTTATTAAGAGGTACTAATTCCTTTATTTTTTGTAATTTAAAAAGTAGTTCATCTTGAGAAACTTGCTTAGGAATGCTCCATAATGAAAAATTATCTTCAGGCTCTTTAAAACCCATTATTTTTAGTATTGCGACATATGCTGGATGATTAAGAAGTGAAATAGGAGCTGAAGTAGGCATTTCAAGTGGAATATCATCTAAATCTTCAAGCAAATCTCTAGTAGAATGTAGTTCTTCTGTAATATTACAAAGTTCCTCTAAAATTATCTTGGGATCAAACTCTACAGAATTGTCATCTTCATGATCAATCAGTTCTTCTCGAGAGATATCTTTAAAGGCCATCACAGCACCAAGTATTGGAAAAGACTTTAATTTGCTCTCTGGTATATGATTATTTGAGTTTAAATTATTAATATTTATTTCTTTATCATTGGACTCTATAAGTCCCAATTCAGTTAGACGTTTTTTTACAAGTCTCTCAGATCTGGTAACTGAAAGAAATCCTGATATAATTGCAATACATTGAGGACTATCTCTATATTTTATAAATAGATCTTTCAGCTCCTCATCTTCTTCGGCAGTCCAAATGGCAAGATTAGCTTTAGATTTATTTCTCGTTGATTTTACATGACTTCTAGCTTCAGATGCATTAGTTCCTAAATTCGTCATTCTATCTACTATAAAAGAATCAATTCCTTTTGTATAATTTGTAAATAAAGATCTAAGTCTTTCAGGATCAGCTAGACCCATACCTCTTGGAGAATGTTTGGAAAAAAGGAGTTCAATATAAATAAAAGGATTTAATTTAGCAGTTATCCAGAATTGATGTACAACATGCCTTGCTAAACGAATAATATCTCGAGCTCCTTCATCCTTGTTCATTTTAGAAAATTCTCTATCTGCCAGAATATTTGAAAAGGTAATAAAGTAGGATAGCTGAAAAAATAAACCACAGTTAAGCTGCAAAGTTTCACCAGATTCACCTTTTTCAAGATCTCCAGGAGGACGAGATGTTATCAATTTTCTAGCAAATCTGGAAATATGCCAATTAACATTCGAATGATTTATTCTATACTTTTTAACCAACATCATTATATTTGCAATAACTCTTCCATCACAAAATTCCTCTAAAATATCATCTAAATTCATAATTCTGATTCTTTCTTTATTGTCATCTTCTATTTTATTTTTATCAAAGATAAAATTTTCATTCCCAATATAATCTTCATCATCATATTTTTCACTATTTTTATCATATTCCCGTTTTTTTTTTGCTACTTGAACAACTGCTGACCCACCTAAGTTCCCAATAAGTTTGATTAAACGATTACTTACCTCTATTGAATAAAGTAATAATTCGGGATGATGTGATGAAACTGAAAAGTTTTTTAGTATCCAGGATAAATCACTCATTATATCTAATTTAACTATATAAGATACAGTTGCAAAACCTATTTGCTTAATAGAAGAGTTATTAGAATTATTAGTCAAATCAATAATTTTAAATTGCTCATTTACAAATCGCAAAACGACTCTTGTTACTTTATCAGACTTGTTCTTTAGTAAAGTTTCTCTACTATATTTCCTTAATATTTCATGAGCAAATGAAACTGAGCCATGAAGATCAATATCAACGAGGCACTTTGTTTCTTTAAGCAGCCTTGCAAGCTCATCAGTAACAGCAGCATCACTGTTGTCATCTTTTATTGACTCTAAGAAAACTCCACGTTTGTAAGATAAAATCCATGTCATTAAACTTAATAGGCGAATAATATCCCATTGGTTATAATTGTCTCTACTATTTCTAACATCTAAAAAAAGTTTTTCCAATATTACAGGCAAAGTTTTTGCTATAAAACGTTCTAAATATTCACCTAAAGTTGCAATTAAACTTTTAAAGCTAAAAGATGGCCTATTAAATTCGTCAAATACTTCAGTTAAATTCACAAAATGATCATTATTACCAGAAATATTATTTGTTGCAGATTGCATAGGACCAATTAAAATATCTATATATTCAAATTTTTCATCTATATCAGAAAAATACTTATATTTAGGGGGACGTGAGACCTTTACAGACTTTACTGTAGTACTTGTACATAGGTCACCTTTATTTTCCCTTATTCTTCTTCTAGCTAATTCAGGGTTAAAATTAGAGTGCCTTTTCATAATTGGTAAAGGAAAAATTGAATTGAATGTCTTCGAAAGGTTTTCTTTATAAAGTAACTTTAAATCTAACTTATTATTTTTACCGATGGATCTTCCGAAAAGTATATCGACATAGTTACTCGGTTGAATCCTACATACTATTCCATATATTAGATCTAATAAATGCCAAGGATCTACCAAAGTAGTTTCTGAATTCCTTTGTTTCTTTAACTGTCCAATCAATTCTTTACAGTCATCTTCAAATATATCCAAAATTCCTTCGATAATTAAATAATATACTAATGTTAAATGAAGTGATTTCTTACCAAATAGCCTTATCGAATCCATTACATTTGGATCTCTTATTTTTAAGAGCTGAATTATTAAAGCTTTCACAACTTTCATACGATTTCTATATAAATATGCCCGATGTTCAGCACGATTGTTTATCTCGCGTATATCATCTCTTAAGGAGCAGATCATCTCAAGTCTTTCAAATCTTCCTTTATCTTCGTAAACCTCTTTTCTATCACCACCCGAATACTCATCTTCAGTATCTAAATTTAAACTACATATATTATTAGTTTCAGGAGTAAAGTTGTTGGTTACAATAGAATTATCTACTTCTCGAAGTTTAATTAACTCATCTTGCTTCTCTTTAAGCAAATCAAATTCATATGGGAAATAACCTTTCAAATCAATAAATTCAGTTAGTTTTTTATAGAAATGGACTATTCCTAACCAAAATTTTTCACAGCATAGTGCTGCCTTAACTTGCTGTTGATATTTAAGATATGTATTGAATATTGCAGATTTCTCATGATATTTACGCCAATTTTCATCTGGAGGTAATGTAAGCCAAAATAACAACTGAATTATTAAACTTTGTACATCTATATTATCATCACTTAACTTCCATAATGGTAAAATCTTTGATTTTACTATATTCCATTCCCCTAGTAAAAATATAGCATGCCTCTGGGACTCACTCCCCCCTTCAATATCTCTCTTTACCAACTTAACAATATCACGAAGGTCATCAAGTGCGTTAGCTCCAACTATCCATTGATTGCCTTTATATTCTTCATTAGATACTGTAGTTAAACTAATCCGCTTTTTAGTAGATGCCTCATACCTACAAGACTCTATTGGATCGCTCTCCAAGGGTTCTATTAAAGAGTTTACATAATTTGAAAGTTCTCCTTCTATTTCACTGCGATCTCTTGTAGAAAATTCCTCCATTTAAAAGAGTAACTTCAACTTCTGTATTTGAAAGTTAATAATAAAGCATGTGATACTACCTGTAACCCCACTAAAATCCCGCCATTGCATGCAAATAATTCTTTTTCTGTCTCTCATTTTATATCTGACAAAATATTTCAAGAAAAAGAAAAAAGTAATATATTACAATGATTAATCTCAATATCCCTAATTATGACATATATATTATTAAAATTTTTGAGTTTCCAAATGGAACAAAAAAATTTTAAAGTCTCTAAACTAAAATTCTTAAAATATTTACTTTAATACTACAAAAATCCACCTCTTTTTAAAATTCATACTCAAAATGCAGCAATCTGTCTTTTTAAACTATTTTTCTCTTAAAATTGGATAATTAAATCAATATTCTATATTTATAAGCTTTCTCAGCTGTTCTACAATCACAATAGGCTATTTTATTCTATAATATTAATTATTCAAAAATATTACTTGATTTGATTAACTAATTAAGTATATATTGAGATATCGTAAATTTACTATAGAACCTTTTAATTATGTTGGTATACTTTATTGTAAATTAAACTTCATTAATAAATGAATTTATAGGTATTGTAGCTAAGTTGTTTTACCAAAATAACAAAGATTGTCTACTTTTAATAATAATCTTAATTCCAAACAAATCATTTAGATTTTTGTCCTTTATTGAATAAATATGGCTAGTATTTTAAGAATAAATAATACTGAAATTTACTACTGTATAGGAAAATATATACAATAAAGTACGGAACATAGGAGATCTTCGGCGATATTTAAAATAATATATTTATAAAACAATGCATCAATATTTTATTTAAATAAATATATTCTAAATATAAATGAATTTGAAAACTATACAAATATCTAACTTCTACAAATTAGAAACAAACACACTTTTATTTCATAAAATTATTTAATACTTCACGTTATTGTATTTATTTTTATTTATATATTAATATAATACTAGATCACTACTTAATAATTGTCTTGATTAATTAACTTTAACAATAGAAAGTATTTATATCAATTATCTATAAAAATCCTAAGAAATATAATCCAATCTAAATCAAACATTTAAAATATATAGTCTCCCTACAAACCAATTATTTGATATTTTAAGGATATATAAGTGATTGTGAAGCCTCACAGTTTATTAGTGGAAAATATTATATAAATAAGAGAAATACAAGTGAAAATCTAAGCATAATTTAACTAAATCATCCCATCATCTATTCCTCTAACAGCAGCTTCAATCTCTTCTTGAGATAAACGCCTTGCTTCCTCATCAGAATCAGAGGGTTTAGTAGATGTAGATACATCTGGATACTCCATTGCTTTAATAGCATCACTTCTGAGGAGGAGGCAGAATGCAATGCGTGAATGAAGACTTCTTAGCATTACATCAGATCCATATTGATCCCTCTGGGGAATCATTTCCACTGATCTCATTTCATCATTAATCCTAGCATCTATTACTTTATCTAAAATAGCTTTTGCAACAACTCCCTCTATATCATCTGTATTTCCCCAACCAAGTTTATCTGCTATATCATCAAGATATATCCTACTATAGGATACACAAATAGTTCTAAGACCAGCTCGTATAACATTATGAGCTAATCTTTGAATCAAAGCCATAGCACGATCATTTTCAAAAATAGTTCTATTTTTCTCAATAACAGTTTCAAATTCTCTAATATCTCCAGATCTAACAGCTTGTGTTAAATATAAATATGGTAATAAACCTCTTCGTAATGATGAGGTATTAAAAGTAAATCTTTCAGGAATTCCCCCCATTAAAAGTTGAACTACAATTGCAAATTTCTGAGATGATAAAGCAAAGCTCAAACCTGACTTCCCCTTTGTATGGGGGGCTTTACGAATTGCTTGAGTTAAGCAACTGTAAGATTTAGAATATTCTAGTTTCATTGCATATAAAATACCAGAGTAATATAAATAACGTGCTTGTTGAGCATTTGATGATAATTGTTCAGGATAAGTCAACTTTTCTAGAGCTTTAAGCCCTAAATCATACAGATTTTCTAATATATAACTTCTCAAAATTAAATTTAAACAAGTTGCTTGAGTCATCAGATTATGATGTAAAGTAGCAATTCTATAGGAAGCTAATATTTCATTTCTGATACTTCCGAGTTTCTTACAAAGTTCGTTCACCCTACCATAATAAAAAATGGCCTTAGCTGATAGTAGATCCATAGATTGATGTGTAAACTTTCTTACAAACTGATATAAAGCTACAGAAAGTTCTAAAGAGTCTGTTAATTGTTTATCAAAAGTATTCAAAGTTTCTATTTTCGATTTAATCTTTGAATCCAATAAATGTATCAATGCTAGTGATCCTAGAAATGTCACACATTCTGGTAAACAATTAGAATATACAGATATATCCAACTTATTAACTAGCTGTTCCATCTTAGTATCAGTATCTTCAATTAAATCTACAGTATTAGTATTCTTCATATCAATGTCCTCATTGGAAGATTTAACTACATTTAATAGAATAGATAAAATAACTCTACAATCTTCACCTAAAGAACCCTCAGTTAAAGTATTAATGCTATTAAGAATTAAGATAATATTATTTAGTTTACAAGAACGTCTTAACACTGCATATGAATGCAGTGCACGACCTATTAGGCGATTATCAGCTATCTCAACTCCCCTCTTGATTAGATCTATAGAAGTCAACAGCAAAACTTTAGTATCACTTAGCTTGCAATTATTGCAGACTATTCCATTTATTTGATCATCTTCTTTTAGTTCTACATTACTATCAGTCATCTTGAATGTACCTAATAAGTTCAAATTCAGGCAACTAAAGGGATATATAACCCACAAAAGTGTTGCCACGCGGTACATATCAGCGCTAATATTAAACTGTAAAATTAGAAAGGCATAAGTAGAGTTGAAGTATAATTAGAACAAAGGATAACCCAAATAAAGAGAAGGAAAAGATTACCAGTATAAGTCAATTGAATCCTATTTGTTACTAAGGTAGTATTTGAAGATCAACCTAGTCCAAGAACCATTTAGGTGTAGAAAAGACATCTATACACGAGTGACTAGTTATATATTGATAAATTTACATTTATAATCACATCAAATAAAAATTTTCAAGAAACAAATCCAAATATTTAAATATCTAGTACTTAATACAAGTCCTATCCTACAAAATAAGTAAACTATACTTTAAATCTCCGGTTTGAAGTTTGACAGTGGCATGAAAATCACTTGTTTCGTAGTGATGCTATCCTTGAACAATTCCCTCGTAGTCTTTAAATAAGAACCAAGTACCAAGCACTTACTTATACTTCATAAAGCCAATAATCTCTGCACGTTCTCGGAAGCACTGTCTACAAATGTTTAAGGAATACTTCCTGATCAAACCATGCTGGTTGTAACAAACACGGCAACAACGACTTCCTTGCCCATACTTCTTTGGATGAGAATTATATATCTTGCTATAGCCCATACTTTATTCTAATATATTATAAAGATATAAATTAAAAGTGTCTCAAATTACAAAAATTCCCTAGTTAAACTAAAAATCTTTATAATTGGCGGTCAAGTTAATAAAAATAGACAATAATTTATTTAATAATAGGCGTCTTTATAATTTCAATACAATAATTATTATATTAACTTCCCCCTCCTCTTTCTATTTAATTACCTTATATTTTAATTTAGTACAACTAATACTATTACTATTTAAAATATGTCCTGTCTCATATATATATTAACAGAGGTACCGAAGTAATACTTATAAAAAAAAAGGCGGTAAATTAATTGTAGCGCCAAAGTTAAAATATATTTCAAATATGGTGTAAGGAACTATAGTGTAAGGAACTATAGTGTAATTAAGGTCTGGGCAAGATACCTATCTTTTTATAAGAAATGTTCCAGTTTTTTTTACTAATAAGTAGACAAGGGAAAGTAAGATTGGAAAAGTGGTATAATTCATCATCTCAAAATGAAAGGAAAAAGTTGATTAAAGAAATAACCTATGTCGTGCTTAATAGGCAAGGTAAATTGTGCAATTTTATTGAATGGCGAGATTATACACTAGTAGCTAAACGTTATGCTAGTTTATATTTTATCGCTTGTATTGAGAAGGTAGATAACGAATTATTAGCTCTAGAAATTATACATCACTTTGTAGAAGTACTGGATCGTTACTTTGGAAATGTGTGTGAATTAGATCTTATATTCAACTTTCATAAGGCTTACTTTATATTAGATGAAGTTATATTAAGTGGTGAAATTGAGGAGAGTAGTAAAAAAGCTGCTTTACGTATTATGTCAACTCAAGATTCCCTTATGGAAGAAAGTCGAGATACTACATCTAGCCTTGCTATGTCGGCTGTTACCGCAGCGAAGAAGGCAGGAGCACTTTTCTAAAGTGGGGGATATATTACTATTAATAGACAATTTATAAATATTACAGATTTGTGAATATCAAATGAAGTCCTCTTTAACTGGGGTCAATTTTCTTATTATCTATATAATTATTTATAGCTATATATATCTAATCTAACACTTTATTATTATATATTGTTATTAAAGTGAATTAGGATACATTTTCGATTATTTTATATTTTGTTTTAGTAATTGTGTCCTCACGATATAATAGAGAATTCTTTTTATTTAATTGAGTTAATATTAGATTTTTCTGGGATATACATATATATATGAATTATTTGGTTTATTTTGAAGTGGAGTTTTATACAAATGAATCTGTGACGAGTTAATACAAAATATGCCCTGGAGTATTTGTATAATTATTTACTCTTGTAATTTATAAAGTATAAGGTGTTCTATGACTTCTGTTTTAATGTCATGCTCACTCCATTTAGAACCTGCCAATTTGTCAACAATACCTTTTGATATACATACTGAAAATGCCTCAATAAAACCCAATAAAGACAAATATTTCGATACACAATAAGTTGATGGTAAAGGAACTGGAGTAAAACTCTCTTTTTTATCCAAAATATTATCAATAATATTAAATAGATCAGATCCAGTAATATGTCCTGGTATAAAACCAATATTACATAAATATTGGTATAAGTGTAAAGGTTTAATATAATCATGTAGTGTTACTCCATAATTTATAAGTATATCATCGCACTTTTTATCTTTATTTCTCATCATTTGCACCATATCTCTCGTTATATCAAATTCATGAGTTCTCATACTTTTCATTGCAATATCTAAGAATATATCTATAATATCAGCTACTTTTAATTGAGAGGTAACTATCTTAAGACAATTTTCTATTGTACACTCATATCTGTCATATAATTGTTGTGCAGCGGATAACCCTTTTCCCACATTTTGAGGTTTATTATCTGTATTATTATTTGAACTATTCTTTAAAGAAATTTCAGACCTTAAATAGTTATTAATAGGAGGCAACATTGTTAATATAGTAAAATCATGTTCTCCAAATATATTTCTATATAAAGGTATCAAATGTAATTCACAAAAGTGTCTAAATGCAGTTACTCTATTTAAATCACGGATATTATCCTGTGTAACTGCTAGTCCACTTGTATTTTTATTAGCTACTTTTTTTGGCATCCCCATCCCCAAATTTAAATTAGATACAGAACTTCCTAGTGAAAGGTTCATAAATTTCGATGTTATTACTTTCGATGTACTTTTTCCTGTTATCGGTGATCCTGGGGTATTTTCCCATACATTATAATCAATTTTACCAGTCTCATCATCTATAACTTTAGTTAAGCGTAAGACTGCATCATCACCTAGTGTTTTTTTTCTTAAAATATCATACCTAATTAGTGCATTAATATAAGCTAATTCTCTTAATAATGGAATCCATAACTCTTGTGGTATTACTCTAACTCTCTGTTTACTAGAATAGATATTTGAAGTAGGCCTTTCACAACTATATTTCTCAAATAACTTACGTAATATTTTTTCTGATTCCAAGAATTCTTTACATATATCTAATGAGTATACTAACCGTCTAAACCCATGTCTAGTTACTCCAATTACCTTTCTATATTTAAATTTCTTTGGATCATTTGAATTTACAATTGGTATTTCAACATTCCACTTATAATTAGATTTAGAATAATTATTATCTAATAGGTTCATCTCTATACCTCCCATTCCCCTAGATCTTATCCCGAAACTACTATTGTTCATTCCTTGCGCACCAACATTAACATTTGTTATACTATTGTTATCTCCCATATATACTTTATCAGGGTTTTCTATATTAGACATACTATGACTAGGGGTATTTTTATTTAACCACATTGTGTTTGCAAAATAACAAAATAATTCACGCAAGCAAATAGCTATTCTTGGACATTGTTTAAGAATTTTTACAAAACATTTTAAATCCCATTCCATTAAAGGTTTCCAGTAATGCTTTATAATATTTTCTACATAATCTGACTGTTTTCCTAAATTTCTATGTTCTGATTTTAATGAAAAACTATTCAAAACTTTATTATTTTTTTGATTTATATTTCTCTTTAGTAGTGATCTTTCTTCAATTAATGGTCCGATAATAGTATCAGTAAGTGATAAAGTATCATCTGTTTGAATTGATTTACCAGGTTTAATATTTACTGTATCCATAAAAATTTTATTTTCTTCTATATAATTTTTTGAATTACGATCATGTTTCTCAAGCTCTAATGTGCTAGTGAAATTTTTTGAAATATCTTTCAGTGCCTTTTCACGCTCAGTAATAATATTTTCCATACTATGTAGCAAATTACTTTTATGCTGCAAAGAAGAACGAATGGTTTTCAATTGTTGTTCTTCTATAAGGCAAGAATTTACTAAATCAAATTGAGTTGCTAGATTACCACGTCCTAATGATCTCAACTCATCTGCTATAAGTTGATAAAGTTCCATTAATTCCTCTAAGGAATTTATTTTACTACTTTCTAATAGAGTAACTAAACGTAATAATTCACGAGTTCTTTGCTGCTGAAATTTATTATATTCAATCTCCAAATTTCTACATAAAGGTTCTAAATTATTTCCTTTAAGTACTCTATAAGCAAACATGTCTGAATCTACTTGCTGCCGTTTTATCATCTGAGCTTCCAAACGCTTCAAAAGATATTTTGCAAATGTAATTAAAAGTCTTTCTCGATCACTATTGTCTTTCACAATCATCTCTAATTGAACCTTGTGATTTTGTAATTTTGCCCATTCATTTTGTTGGCTAACTACTTTATCCATTAAACGTTCATGTTCATTAGGTTCACGTTCAATTTCCTGTATAATCTCCTTAATATTATGTAGATATTTTTTTTCTAAATTATGCATAAGTTCGATAGCTTTATCAAATTCATTAAGCTCTAATAACTTTTCAATTTTCTTCTCAGTACTATCTTTAGATACAGAATCTACCATGTCATACCATTCTCTCAATTCTAGTAAATTAGTTAAGCTGGGAGTAAAAGGTACCCCGTATATTGTAGTATCATCTAAATATACATATATTTCAAAATCAGATAGTAATGAAATTGAAGGAACTGATACAAAATCTGTTTCATAGCTCCCAAAATTTGTACTTTCACTAAATTTCTCTGATATATGCTGCAAATCATTTCCTAAAAAACCAAGTTTAGACCAATTAATGTCGTTTCCATTAAAGTTAATTCGATCATTTTTAACTACTTGATTATCTCCAATAGCTTGTTTTATTGCACGCATTGTAGATGTTAATCCTTCTCCTCTAGTACTAATATAGGAATTATTACTTTTCTCTATTGTTGAAATAACTTTTAGATCTAGATCTTGAATGCTCTTATCTACATGAACTGTATAATATATAGTATACGAACCATCCCAATTGTCATATATTGCATGAATAATTCCCATTGGAGAATTACATCTTGCCCTTACGTTGTAACCTCCAGAGTTTATTCTATTACCATACTCATCGCGCAAAACAACAATAAATGAATTGATATATTTAGGAATTACTCCATTACTTTCTTTTAATCTATTAATATTTGTTATATAATCAATACTAGGACAAGCTCGGCATGTTATAGTACCTTCTCCTATTGTTGAACAAGCTTTTGCAATAGGATTTGAAGGAGTAATTATAATACTGAATGGAGAACCAGCAATTTCCAAACCATCCAATAACACTTCTAATAAATATCTCCCTGATTTTTCACATCTATAACGGCAGTTATAAATACCAAAATAAGATTCAGTTGCATTCCATTCTATTGGAATATCTAATTCGTCTAGATTAAAGTGGCAAATACTAGACCCTTCTACGCTTACTAAAGCTTTAGTTCTTTTTATTTCGGACCTATTGTGAGATTTAAAACCCAGAGGTTCCGCTGTAAATGAATAGCTCAAGAATCCAATTGACTTTAAACGTAAAAATAATTTCCCATTTCCTTTTAGTACTTTATCTCCTTTTTCATCACGACATTGAACTATAAATTGTAACCACTCACCTGCTATACCCATTTCAATTCCATTACCTGTAGCTGTGCACATGTATGAAACAAAAGGCTTATTACTATAAATCTCATCATTGTCATCATATTCAATAATATCTGATATTTTACTTGATAGATCATCTGAGCTGTAATCAACTTGGGATTCTATTTCTAAAGTAGTAGAGTCAATATCATTTTTCAAATTAGAATATTCTTCTTCAACCTTAACCTTGTATACAGCTTCTCCAAATAATCCCTTCTCATTATCTTCTTGTTTCCCCAATGATTTATCTTGATTAGGAATAAAACCAGTCCATACTCCATATGGTCCTAAAGTCGGAGCAGAATATAAATCTGGCATATTAGTTTTATAATCATATAATAAATTATAAACTATGCCTTTTTGAGGTCTTAAATTCAAATATGCATATTGTTTTTTATCTAAATATTTGCTATTATGAGGCCAAGAGTATAATTTACAAACTAAACTGCCAGCACATTTATTATTTAATTCATTATCTCTTGAAATGGAATCTTTATCTGAGTCATTGTTCAAGTTTTCAAAAGATATTCTTTTTAACTTACAGTGTTGTTCCTTTCCAAATCTACAATTATCTTGCCTTGATAATTTAATGGGCTCAGATAAAGTTGCAAATGGTCTTCTATTAATCAACATAAACAAATATAAATCAGGTTCACTTCCAGGAATTGGAGTCATAAATATACGGCCAGAAAAGTAACATGTAAACCTCACATCACTGCTTCTTACTGTTTCATCACTGGAAAATGATTGATTAGATGGTGGTCCATTTATTTCAACAAAACGATATGGAAATAAATCAAAAGGATTTGAACTATTAAGTAATATATCTCTTTCATGCTTCCATATTGCACATACATGGATTTTAGAATGATAAAAATCCCATACCTGCATATCACTCCAACTCGGGATATCATAAATAGACAAAATATCAATACATGTTAAACTGGCCAAAAAAAAAGAATTTTCTAGATCTTTCCTATTAAAATTTTCGACTAAAGGTCTCAATGCTCCTGTACAATTTAGAGGATATGAGACGAATGTTTTTGATTTAAGTAGAATTTTCCCAACTCCCTCTTTATCTTCATTTCTCCATTTTGTTATTGAAGATTCAATAATGGCCTGTAAACTCTGAAGCTGATAGTTATATTGTTCATTAGTATCTCTTTGGGTAAGGTAAGGATGAAGAATTTTACTACGGTGTTTGTATACGATATCCATGAGTTTCTGATGAGGGTAAAGTACAAATGGAAATGTACGTCTCAACGTACTAGTTTTAAGCCAATCTTTCTTAAATAAAATAGCCGATCCAATCCAAGATATTGGTGAACCACTAATTAAATTATAGGGTTCTTCACCAATTGCATTCAATGGACATCTCCATTTAGTTGCAGAACGAAATACACAATCTCCGCTTACTGATGAAATATACCCCAAAGATATGAATATTGGAAGTGGCTCATCAAAATATTCAGGTATTTTCATTGATTCTTCATTGTCTTGTTCAAAATTAGATGATTGAGAAGTCACACTGAACAGGTCATGAGGGAATTTTACCCTTAATTCAATTGCATCATTAACACTAGGGGTTTCATACTTATTATTATCATCAGTTGAAACTGGAGTATTTGCTACATACTTTACGTCCCCAACATTTAAAATATGAATAGATGTAGTAAAATCACATTCAAGCGCACTTATTTTCCCTTCTGTTGTACAAGATCTGGCAATAGCTACACCTGTACAGCGTCTCCCTAGTACTGGATCCCATCTAATACCTTGTTGAAAGCTGAATATTTCTAAAGGATCTTCATATGGTAGCCAGGCTACACATATGCAATTGACCGATTTATCCCAGTTGTGAGAGTTATTATTTGGTAAGAAAAATTCCCTAGCTCCTGTTATATACAGCTAAAAAAAAAAAAAGTGAACAGCCCCTATTAAACATAATTAAAATATAATTTACCTCAATACCTGCACTTGCATAATTTACTTTAACTTTATTTCCACGTTTTTTGGGCATGATCGCTAATATTATAACTTCTTCAATTATATAGCAAGATGTCACATGGTAAATCCACAAATAAGGCGCCAAACATGCAAAATTAATCGAGACTTGTCTTTTTTAAAAAGTATATACCATTCCTTAAGCTAACAACTAGCCTTAAAAATAAAAAGAAAATGTTATAATTCAGATAAATGAACTATTTTATTTTCTTTAGATTTATTCTTAATTACTAAAATACTATTTATAATATTAATAGTGTAGTGTACATTAATATTTTTAGATCCAGATATTGAAAGATATTACAAATCTTATTGAAATTAAGTAGTTAAAGTTTCAAATAAATTATATTTAATTATTTATATCTTAATTTAAAAAGTACTTATTATAGTTTAAGGGTTATTTTGAAAATTCTTAGCCTTCTGATTAACCTTGTAATAGTCTTAGTGAACCCATGATTTGGCGGTAAATGATGACGAGGTCGTCACTGCTACACCCCCTTTGTGTGTAAGCGTAAAGCGTAATAAGTGACAATGGTCTTATTATCTTTCCAAGAAGATAATCCTCAAACTTAATAAAGTAACGTATAATCTTTTCAGATGGTTAGATAATATAAAGAAGAGATGCAAACGTTCTTCCCGTTGTTTAATAGACAAAGAGCTTCGGATCCACCTATTGCATATCATATGTATCCAGTACAACAATCTTATCCAATAAGTAATTATCCTAATAATTATCATAATCACAACCCATATTACAATATTGATGAACCTGAATTGCATATAAGTGATCAACATTTTAGTAGTGACGAGTATCAAAATAATACTTCAGAGGGACCAGTATGTTGTCCTCACGAAATACAAAAAAGTAAGATTCATAGAGTTTCTCCGAATTCAAGAGTCAGGAAACAACTTTTTATGGCTGATAGAAATAGATTACCAAAATTTAGAGACCCTTGGAGATACCTTGATCAATCAACACAAAGTCATACGGAACAACCATTAAGTCGTGATGAGGCACGTAGAATTCGTGAAATTTGGCAAGATACTAGAGCTCAATATGATCCAAGTGATCATGAAATTGAAGAAGAGTACTTATATGAAGAGGAATACAATGATGAAAATGCTGAGAGGCGACGAATTGAATTAGTTGAAAAAGGTGCAAAATTAGTAAGATACTCATACCATTATCAATTACCAACTATATCTGCTTTAATAAAGTCTACAAATCCAGAACAATTTAGGAGTAGAGCACTTTCACCAATAGCAGAGGCATATCGATCTCCTAAACATAATCAGCAAGGTGATGAGATTAGCAATGAAGGTTTTGAGGAACAAAAAGCTGATGAACCCTTCATAGGTAGAACTTACCATAGATCTACTTATCCAATAATGGAACATAATAATAGGACTGAAAATAGCTTTATTAATGATAATTGGGTATATCATAATCAAGAATCAAATGAAGACCATTATCAGAATCAAGCTCATTATGATGAAAGCTTAGATTATTCTAAAACAAATCCTAATGAGAATTTGTTATTAAGTTCAAATGAACACGATGCTATTCATAAATTGGGAATAAAAGATAATTATACTCCATCTCATAGACATTCAACTACTGGTTTTGAATATGAAACACCACCACAAAGTGGACATAGAAGGCTTACATCTCCTGCAGCTTTGTTATCAACAGAAAGAAGTATAAATAGAAGACCACCACCACAAATCTCTATTCTAGAGCCAATAGATACTACTGAAGAATTAGTTAGTCCAGTGACAACACAAGGAAGAAATTATAAAACTCCTAGAATTGGTAAGATAACTTCACAAGATGACAATAAATTAAATTACTCTAGTGGTGAAATAGAATCTGGAAAAGAAAAACCATTATTAGAATCTCCATCAGGTAAACAAACAATTGTATTTCATATGTTACCCGATACTAATGTCAATTCTTCTTCAGCAACTATATTGGCAGATCCAGATACACAGAATATTGTTACTGAAATTCATATTACCCCAGGAGTAGATATAAATATAACTTCTACTCCAAGTGGTCCATCAATAGAGTATGAAGTTTCTAAGGAAAAAACTGCCAAAGCCCAAATAAATTTTTCAAGTGAATCTACGACTAAGCTTATTCCAAAGAGAAAAGAAAATATATCAAATGCAAGAAATAATGCAGATAATTTCTCTGGTGATGTTTCTAACTCTATTGAAGAAATTAATAATAAAAAAAATCACTTCCGAAAAGTTGACAAAGGTGGAATAAATTCAGTCATAGATAGTGAATATACAACTCAAGATTTCCCACATAGCTATGAGCCAAAAATAAATACAGATGACTATGAAGTTCAATTACACTCTTCAAATAACTTAAATAATTCTTCAAGAGAAAAAAAGAAAATGGCTTTTCAAAATCAAAAGCATAGTAACGGATATCCAAATCGTTTATTAAATATGTTGACTTGCAGCAATATAGAGACTGCTGATTTACATACATTTAGATCTCTAACTCCCGTGGAAGTTAAGACACTGAAACACTAATAAAAAAGTTAGTAAAGAAATATTTTGTTTTTAAAATTAAGTTCCATCTATTTTCAAGATTAGAGTTCCATTAACTCCTCTTAAAGTTGATTTAATTATTGGTAAGGGTGTATGTACTATTTCCTTGGATATTAACAAATCCCCTTAAATATTTTAAAAAACTTCTTCATTCAATAAACTACAGAATTATTTATTAAATAGAAAAACCAATAGTAAATCGATTTGATATACCTCTAAAGAGACAAGTTCCTATATTTTTTAGGAATAATTTACTAACTTCATTTTATTTGGCATTATGATTCTGCAACTATTCAAGTATTTAATGGAGTTTTTAGTTCATTTTTAATGTAAATATAACAAACTGTTTGCTGATATTTCTGTAATCTCCATACAATAGATATGAATTGATATATATTAAATATATTTGAAATTTCACTTTATTCAATTAATTTAACGAGATTTGTATAAATTCAACTTGAAAACTCAGGCTATTGTTTATAACGGCGAATAACAAATTTTATTAAATATTATTTACGTTTCAAAGAAACTATTAGGGATATTTGAAATTTAATGTTATTTACAACTTTAATTTTTATTTAATTATAAACTAATAACATACTATCTTGAAAAACAGACTACTTCGTTAAATAAGTACTAAAGTAGTTCTTTATATAAATACCAATATTATGTTATTATCAAATAAGAGCTTTTGATAGATTTACTTTAAGTCCTTAATTTTTTTAAAATTATTTTGATAATACTCTATTATAATAAAGAAGAATATTATTAATTTTAAATATAAAAAACTTAGATTTTCTTTTTAACAATTATTACCAATAAGGAACAGTAATGTGTACATACTTTTTAGAACATATGTATTTCAATTATTATTCATTTAAAATAATCCTTTTTTATTAAAATAATTTGTACATTTTAAATTAATGAACATATATAATTAGCTCATTAATAAAATACTAAAGTTTTCCTCTTCTTCCTTGCTATATTGCTATGAATATATAAATGTATAGATATACTTATCATTTATAACTCTACTGAAAATCCAATTATTTTCCAAATATTCAAAAATTTCATATTTTTATACTTCTTATACCTTCATATTTAGAATCATTTATGCTATAAATTTTTTATTTAATCTAATTATAACCATCTTGATCCTTTTGAATTACTAAGAAATAAGTTTTATAATACAAATATCAATATCTGTAATTACAATAATTTACCAATTTAATATTATATTAAATATCTAATTTTCTTTTTTTTCTTATAAATTACTTGCAAATATTGATTCAGTATATACACATATATATATATATATTTTGGTTTTAACTTTAAATAAAATAGCATATCTCTTCTTTGAATTTGTGAAAATTCTTAAATAACATTTCAATAAGGATAAATATTCCGAATTATTAGTAATAAGGATAAAAAAAAAAAAAAATTGAGTAAAGCCTAATTTAAGTAGAAATGTTATTTATAGATATATAATGAAAATATTGAAGATACCAGTATTACTCCTTTTAAATTTTCAAGCTTAATCAGCTTATTTATAAATTCACTTTTGGATGTAAACTATTGTACTACTAAAAACTATTATATTCTTTAGCTGAAAAAATAATTTGATATACATACTTATCTATCACTACAAAAAAATCATTCCCAAAAAATCACTATTTTAAGTTCTAGAAGATAAATTCAAAAAATAAGATAGAAGTTATTATTCCATTCATTAAGCAAATTTGAATAATTTAAAGTTTTAACATATAGTTATAATAGAGTTCCATCCAATAAGAATGGTAGTATTAGCTCTCAGTTTAACAAATATTTTTATTTACAGCAAAACAGGATTAATATCTTTTATCTTCAGGTACTAAATAAATCTTGGAGACTTCTTTATATTTCTATGGTAGAAATACACCATAATAGTATCTAAATGAAAAAATTCAAAAATTCTCGTTATGCTAGAAAGTTATATCCACAAGTCCCATGTATATACTATAAAATTTAGGATTTAAATTAAAACTTATATATATCTTATATTATGTTCATAATCTGTAGTAAAATTGACCAAATAAATCACTAAATACTTCAATATTTCGTTACTTCAGAAAAGTGGTTAAAAAGTATTACTGAATCTTCAAAGGCTATATACACCAATATAAAGTACTACTGGTAAAGATAGCTTATCAAATATATTGTGCAGATTTATTCTCCTTAAAATTAACTTAATAAGGGTCAAGCACTGGAAATACATGGAAATTAAAATTGTGGAATATTCCAAATAATTGGCGCTCTTAACACCTAAATTTCTCAACCTAAAGGGGTAAATTTAATAGAAATAATATTTTACTAATGGAGCTCAACGAACCTCAAAGAATATTCATTGGGGTAGATGGAATATCCACATCATATATCCCACTAGTGGCAACAAATATAAATTGCGATTTTGTTATAGACCCTCAGGTAAAGACACTATGCCTAGGCGAATTAACTGAAAATATTGGTGAGATTAAAACTAATGAGGTAATTTCTCAGTGGGAAATTCCAGATTTCGATATCTCATTATCTCGTGAGCTAAACTCTTTTGAGGCTCGTGCATTACTTTTTGTTAGAGGTGTTACTCTTGCAATGAATAGCAAAGGCGTCTCCTACAAATTTATTGATTGGCTTTTAAAAATAATAAAGGAAAATGGTCAAATTTCTTTAAGGCAATTTAATAATGATTATTTTACCTTAGTCTATTTATTAAAGACATATATATCAATGACAGGAAGTTTTGTCTCTCCTTCAGAAGGAGTCCTTTACACTAGTGGATTTACACCAAAAATTTCTCAAATTACACTATCAACAGGCATACTACTAGCTTTAAAGAAATATGCTCAGTGTGTATTGGCTTTAATAATAGAGTCATTAGCTATTCCAACAAATTTTTTGGTACATATAATATCTGTTTCAGCTGGAGGGGTTGCAGAGACTGCAAGGAATATAAAATGGTTATTAGAGGACTCAAAAGTAGAGAGGAATACTTGTGTTGAGAACTATGAGCTATTAATATGTTTAAGCAATACTTTATGCTATTTAGGCTCTTTAAAAGAGGATATTGAAAATATGGATTGTTGTATTAAAGGTTACTTAACTAAGAACTCAAATATTAAGGTGAGCACTAAAGGAATAGGGAACTCACTTTATAATATAGAGATTACACCAATTTTTCCACAATTATCGAAATTAATATTATCAATATCCAATCTAAAAAGTACTCTCCATAAATTAGTTGAAATTTTAATTCCAAAATTTGAAGCGGAAATATTTACAAAAAAATTGGATGTCTCTATCTCTTCAGGAATTGGAATTGAAGGAATAGATATCAAAAAAGTTCTAAAAATACCTCAAACTACAATTGAATCTATTAAATATATAAAAGAATGTATGAAGTTGATGAAAACTCAAAAGCTTGCAGTATCAGAAACAAGAAATGAAGAAGAAACTTCCACCTTGTTTCTGCTAACAAGTGAATCATTAAAGGTACTTTGTCTATTAAATGTTTTGTCTTTGCAAAGATTAGGTGACATTAATCGTATGCAGTGCATTACAGCTATAGAAAAAGCTCTTTTAAAAGGGAAGATATCAGTGAAAATTTCTACTCATGAATCACGCAACATCCATCAATTTCGTGAATTAATAACTAACATTCTTGTAGAGAATTTAGATAGTGTTGGATATTTGCTAGATAATTCAGAACCTAGTGGTATAAGAAACTATTGCGAATATTTATTTGATAGTTTAAATAATGGTGGTATCTATAATTTACTTAATCCACTTATAAAAATTATGACAACTCAAAATCAGATACAGAGGAAACCTAAGGTCCCAAAAGGAACTCAAGATATACCTCCACAAAAAATGGTTATTAGAAATGTGATATTTGATACTATTCGGTCTATATTTAGATCCCATGGAGCAGTAGAAATAGATACTCCTATATTTGAACTTCGCGATACATTAATAGGAAAATATGGAGAAGATTCTAAACTTATATATGATTTAAAGGATCAGGGAGGTGAGCAATTATCACTTAGATATGATTTAACAGTACCACTAGCAAGATATATTGCCTCAGCAGGCTTAGAGAATTTGAAAAGGTTCCAAATTGGTAAAGTTTATCGTCGTGATGAGCCTCAGATGTCACGTGGAAGATATCGTGAATTTTACCAATGTGATTTGGATATATGTGGTATATATGAGGCAATGACAACTGATGTTGAGATTCTTAAAATCGCAACAGATATTTTAAATGCTTTTTCTCCATGGATTGGATCATTCATTATAAAAATAAATCACCGTAGTTTATTAGATGGGCTCTTGATTGTATGTGGAGTACCAAAAGCCAAAATACGGACGATATGTTCCTCGATTGATAAGCTCGATAAGGAATCTTGGGAAAGTGTAAAAAAGGAAATGGTTACATTGAAGGGCCTTTCAGAAGAAGTTGCAGATAAGATAGGAAACTATATTAAGTTCTCAGGGGCTCCTGGTGAAGTATTAACAAAAGTTAAACAGTGTGAAGAGCTGATAAATAATGAGGATATAAAATTGGCAATTAGTGATATGGTACTTTTGTTTTCATATACTGATGCTGTTGGGTGTACTGAACACTTGTCATTTGACTTATCTTTAGCAAGAGGCTTAGATTATTATACTGGTATTATATATGAAGCTGTTCTAACTTCTGGGAATGTTGGTAGTATTGCAGCAGGTGGGCGTTACGATAATCTTATTGGTATGTTTTCTCAAAAAAATATCCCTGCTGTTGGATTTTCAGTAGGAGTTGAACGTATAATGAATATTATTGAGAAGAAGTTGGAAACAAATACTAGACAATTATCTAATAAGATCATTAGAGGTAGCTTTACTGAATTTTTGATTTGCACTATTGGAGATATTCTAGTCACGCATAAATTAAAACTTGCTTCTATGCTATGGACAAACGGTATTTCAGCTGAGATATCTCCATCAAGTAATGCAAAATTACGTAAACAACTTGAATATGCAGCTAGCAAACAAATTCCATTTTGTATTATTGTAGGAGAGGATGAAGTGAAACGTAATACAGTTCAAATACGACAAGTTAATTTGGATACTCATATAGACAAGTCTCAAGTAAGAATATCAGAGGAAGTATCATTAAATTCCTTAATATCTCGTGTTAAAGATATAATTTCGAAATATGGTTCATCTTATGATCATTCTTATGCATACATTTCAAACCAAGATATATTTGAATAAAACAAAGCGTTAAATTCTATTGGAATTATGAAAATAGCTAAGCCTACTAATTGAGTTGTTAAACAACAAATTTGATATTTATGAAACAATAAGTTTTTTTCAACTACTTTGAGTTTTATTAGAATTATAAAATTTAGATTTGAAAATGTTTACTCATAAAATAAAAAGGTCATTTTAAAAGTATTTTGTAGTTTCTATCTTGAATTATTTATATTTCACTTTTATACAATATATCCTTACTATTGCTTTTTATTGATCAAATTTTTTAGGAGATCTTAATGGACTATTAAATCTTGATGCATGCCTCGGAGAGAAGTGATATAGCTTTAAACCATAATCTTTGAATCTATTCAGTGCATATTCATCTACTTCAGAAATCACTCTTTTAAATTCATGTTTTGGTACTGTTAATAATGCAACACTACCTTCAGCTATTATAGTACAAGTTCTCTCGTTGTAGTTGTTAATTATAGCCCACTCACCAAAGTATCTACCACTACCCAATTTATAACTATTTGAGGCTTCTTCATCTTCAAATGGAACCCCTTCAACATGCACAGTGCCTTTAGCAACTATATAGAATTTGAGACTATTTTTATCACAAGGACCAATATCTAAAATATGTTCACCTTCATTAAAAATCTGTACTTTGAGACTTTTTGCCAATTTATCTAGTACGAAACTTGGCCAATCACGTATATTGGGAGTTCTCAACAGTAGTGCAGATATATTACGTATTTTCTCTATTCTATTAGATATAACTAAATTTAATTTTTCTAAATAAGATCTTGATAAGATATAAACTGTTGAGGTAGTTTTTGCAACGACAGAAACACTACTTGGTTGATTTGTTGAATAATATTCTGTCCATCCATATTGTGCAACCTCTCGTATACTTCCAACTTCCGAATCATATCCAAAAAAGCTTGTCTGGATTATAGTAAGTTCTCCACTAATTAAGAACAGATTAGGAGATTGTGGATTACCTTGAGTTATAATTTTGTCATCTCTGTCAAATTCCTTCTTTTCCATTTGAGCGACTAGCCAATGTCTTTGCCCAATATGTAGAACATTAAATGGCTCTGTAACTCCTAAGAAATCAACTAATATAGAACTATTTTTATCTTCAATAACTTTATTTTCATCAAATTTCATGTCTTCATACTTAGAAGTAAACTTTTCCTCATCGATTTTCATGTTATTTAAATCTACAATCTTCGGTATAATATTATCTCTTCCAAAATAATCCTGTGCCATGTTTAACAAACCATAATTACTTTCTGCATCTTCAGCTTCTTTTCTTGTAATTTCTCCAGCAACTAATTTCACAAGAGTAGTTAATGAAACTAACTTATTATGAAGAACATCTAATTGTTTTGTATATATGTCACTCGCTTCATCTCTAGTAAAACCAGCCCTAGCTGCAACTACAATGAAGGTATCTAAGGTAATACTACTACCAGGAGTTATGCCTGCCATTTCAGTAAAACAGTTATATACACCTTTGTCAATTTCAACAAGACGACGGTTCATATCTCTTAAACTCAAATTTTGCACTTCTTCAAAATTCCTATAAAATGTTCCAATATATAGTTGATCTTTGAGAGGATAACAAAGCCTTTGATAAATTTCTCGTATATATTTAAAAGTAGCATTAATTTGAAGGTACTCTGAAACATATTCTGCAAATGCATCAATATCAATCCAGTAACCAATAAACATTTTACAATAATTAGGCCATTTCCTACACATATCATTGCTTGGCTGGATATTAGTATCAAATAAATTCAGTACCCAATTATATTTAAGTAAAGGCTTCTTTACATGGTGTTTATAAATATACTTGAATGTATCAGCTAAACTTGAATGCCTTCTTAATATTCTAGATTGAATATCAGCATGTAAATATTCTAATTCCTTATTCTCATCCTCTTCTTTTACTACAATATTCTCTTTTGTATCTTTATCTTTATTATCCATATCACTAGTTTTCTTATTATCTTGATTATTGTTAGGTTGGTCCGTACTTTTACTCTCTCCTTTTAAGTTTTCTGGGGAGTTAGTTTCAGCTTGTGTATTATCCTCCACTTTAGAAGAATTTGATATATACTTATTAATATCAGATAAAGATGGAAATTTAGGAATGTTTTGTATAGGTATTGGTCTTTTGTCTTGATACTTCTTTTCTAAAGCAAGCATCTTCTTTTTAATATCATCATCTAGTATAGACAAAGCCTTATTGCTTTCTACAGTTGCTATCACAACAAAATCTGAATCTGATGCACAATAAGCACTGTATGGATAAGGTTCTTTATTGATTAGATACATATCACCAATTGTAGATCCTGCTTCTAATGACCTATAATGAGATGGATTTAAAGATAAGTCTTTGTCAACATATAAGTTAACTTTCCCATCAAATACTAAGATGAGAGCTTTTGGCATATCTCCTTGCTTAAATATTCGTGTCTTGCAAGGATACTTTGTAAAGATAGTATGATGAAATAGTTCCTTCTTTTTAGCATCTGACATCGTACCGAATACGCGATCTTCATTTATATAGTCTTCTAGTTCACCAAAACTTTCAGATAATACAGATAATTTAGGTTTAAACTTATCAAACCAAATATTTGGCATTAATTTCCAAAGTACAGTCTCTGAGTTGGTCCTCAAAGTTTCATTACTAGTTAGTTTTTCAAACATTCTAATCCCAATAACCTCACCCTCTCCAAATGATTTTAATATATTTTCTCCACCATACCATAAAGCTTCTACTGAATTTACTCCTCCACTTATAATTACAGATAAAGAATAATCTAAATCACCACTTCTATATACATATGCACCTTCAGGCAACTGTTCTCTCATAAAGTAATTTTCTATTAAAGATAATAATTCGTATTTCCCTATTTTCTGGAAATAATCAATATTGTTAATAAGAATTTTAGATACAAGTTTTAATTCCTTATTTTTTATATTTGGATCAATAGGTATCTTACGATCTGGACTGATACGCCACAGAGCCCATTGTGAATTTCTTGTTACTTCGTCTTTCTTTACCTCTTCAGGAGTTATATGACCTTCAATACATTGGATTGCATCTTGAACTTCCACTGTATCACTACTTTCATCTACCATACTATTAAATAGGTCATTTATGACTTTCACTGAAAAACCAGATTCCTTGCAAACAGAAATAAATTCATCAATCTTAATAGTAGATTTGTTATACAAACATTTAGCTATAAATGCATTCTCGACAGATCCATATATTTCAGACAAATATTTGCCAATTTCTACTGGTTCGAAATCTTCCTTAGTATCTAACTCTAATATATATCTATACATAGAACCAATTGTTATCTCTTTATCAGGGTATGCCACTTTTTTGTAGAATATCTTGCTTTCAGTAAATGGTAAGTAAATATTTAAACTTTCCATAAAATAACCAAAAATTGTTATATTTACATTTGGTTTTATCTCTTTGCCTCCGCATATTTTGAGGTAAGCAGCTGCAACTGTAGTATACTTATCTAGAACTCGCTTTCTGAATCTTTCATCTAAAGGAAGAATTTCATCTGTTGGGTCAAGCCCTAAAGGAATAGCTTCTCTTCGAAGAATTTCCTGAGTTTTATATTGTTCCACTCTTGGATTTAAACTTTCAGATGTGCGAATAGTAGAGCTTCCACCATTCACTTTTGCAGGCTCTAGAGGTTCTACACGAGCTGTATCAGGAAGTATTGAAGATTTCTTTTGAACTGTGAGATCTTTATTATTTGATACTGAAGTGTCACTCTTGACAATTTCAAAGCTAGCTTTGGTAATTATTTCATTTCCTAAATCTTTTCTATTATCTATATTCCTCGTTGTTTGTTCTCCTTCTACCTCCCCCTTTTTTTCTATAGGATCAGTTCCCTTTTTAAAATTCTGCTTTTCCTTATTATTTTCCTCATCAGATTCATTGTCAGAAGATCCTTTGGAATAATTTTCTGAATCAGAAACTGACTGTTCAACAGTATTTCTATCTTTAATCTGCTCTTGAGTTTCTGTAGAGTTATTTACCTCAAAACTTGTTTTATTATAGGTTCTATCATCATCAACTTCCTTTTCCAACTTTTTTTCTGCTTCTGAATTGCTTAATAAACTTCTTGCAGATGATCTTTCATTTTTATTCTCTTTATTATTATTATTATTATTATTATTATTATTATCATATTTATCTTTTTTTGTATCATCTTCCTTTGGTGGTGAATAGTCATTTTGGTAAGACTTTCCTATTCTACCAGCAAAGCCTGAGGTACTATTACCCAATTCACTGTCAGATTGATCACTGGAGCTTGTATCAGATATTTTGCTTATTTCAGAAGATGAATAATCTTCATCATATTTTTTATTTTTTTCAGAAGCAGAATCTTGATCTTTTTCAGATACTTGCTCTGAATCTTGTGACTGTAAACCAGATTCTAATTCCTTACTACTAACTGAGGGATTAACACTTTCACTATCAGAAAATTCAGCTTTATCAACTTTAAGAAGTGTTTCGGGTGGTAATGATAATGCATTAATAATTTTTTTAATAGCAACACTAATTAAGCATCTTGAATTATTACTGTCAAAGTAATTCTTCCAAATATTATTTGCCAGTTCAGGTTTTATTCCTAAGTTATTTACAGCAAACTCTACAAAGCTATCCACTTTAATAAACTCTCCATTAGATGGAAGAGCACTCAATGCAAGATTGATATCGCCATCATAAATATCAAATAAAGTGTTGGCAAAGTCTTCAATTGTCCAACTTTCATTATTATTTAATGGGTTCAAATTACGATATAGAGAAACCACTGTAAGGACATTTTTTGGTTTACATATTTCTTTATATAAATTCTCATGATCAAGATCATTTCCAGGAATTTTATTTAACTCCACAAATGCCAAAAATCTTTTTTTAGACACTTCTTTTTTACTATCTGGTCTCATAGCTTTAAAAGCTGCAGCTAAAGATTTAAAATTCTTTAGTATATGGTGACTAAATAGGGTCACATAATGTGAAAATTTGACACTTATTAGATCTGGTACATGTTCTTCTTTCGGAGCTTTTCCTAGTTTCTTCTGAGTTTCAATTGGTAGATTTCTAGGTTTATTAAGTATTTTAGATTGGTGAATATCGATGGTATCTTTATCTACTGTGTCAACAAATGAAATTGTTGATTTAATTATTGATAGTAGAGGTTTTTTTGTAGAATTTTGCTGGGATGGTGTTAGAGCAACAGAAGGTAGTGAAGATTTGGGAGTTTTCACTGATTCCATAGCTAATTTGATCTGTTTTCCAACATAATCTGTAGCTTTAGATTCTAAAGTTTTAATCTGGTTAGTTAGAGTTTCAATTTTCTTTTCTAATTCACTCTGTTTGTCAACAACAATATTTTCTAGATGTTCCTGTATTTGCTGAGTTACAAGATCTGCTATTAAGTTTGAGTTAACTATATTTTTCGTATGTTCAACATGATGTTTCCTACTAGATAATTTAATATTTGGCATGACAAGTGGTGGTGCAAATAGCTTGGCTGAATTTTCAGCCTTACAAATATCATCATCACTTTCTCCCTCACGTGAGCATTGATCTACTTGTTTATCTTGTATAGATTTTATTCTACTAATTGATTCATTCAGTAAATTTTTTCTTAGTTGAATATCTGGAGATAGAGAATTTAGTAATTCTCTTTTACGCCATGAATAGTACTGAGGTGGAAGATCTGTCATAGAATCACCTGGAATCATACCACTTGTTATCCACTGATCCTCTACTCTTATTCTATTTGTACCGAATTTCTTATTGTTATTTGTTGCCTCATAAATATTATTAGATATACTATATCCTGCATATGGATTTATTCCTGACTTTAAAACTCTGCTTCTCAAAAATTGTTGAGTTCTCCTTTCAATATCCTGTTTTGCATCAATATCCATGGGATTTAGGATGCAATTACTTCTGTCTTCAACTTTATTAGTGTCAATAGATGCATCATTTTGATCTTCTTCTTTAGAATGTTTCATTATTATGCCAGATGAGAGTCTTTTTTCCCTAATTTCTTTCATCTTCTCAAACATATGTCCACTAACAACTTGATCTTCTAACCAGCCACTTAACCTCTCAATACGACCTCTGTAAGCATTATATCTTATTCCTGAAATAAACAGAATATAAAGTTGAGAAAAAAACAAACTTTAAATGTAGAGCTTACCATGCTCAAAATTTAGTGAAATAGGTGATCCAATATTTACTTCAAAAGCTGAATTTTTATTCCTTACTATTTGAGTCTGCTCAGTAAAAAAGTGGAAAGATTAATACAGAAAAGGATATAAATAAAAGTTACACCAGTTACTATTAAAGCAAATACAACGGCAGTAGTAGATTCGAAATTATCTAGCGAAGGACTCAAAAGCTTAAAAGACTTATATAATCACTAAATCAGGTACTTCAAAGAAAACTTAATACCAGTCTTAGTCCCTTAATTATCCCTGATTAAATCATATTCAAAGTTTGAAATTAGCCAACAAATTAAAATAATCTACTATATTATATTTACTTTCTACTCCAATAGTTCAGGAGTTTCCATTATGTGGAGCAGAAAGTTTCACATGAGTGTGAGATTTGCTTCCTGATCTCTTATTTGAGTCAGTAACCCTCATTATCCCAGGATTTTCATTATCTTTCTTTTTAGATAATGATTTTATACCATTATCGTTTGCTGTTATTTCATCCCCATCTACATTGAAATTTTCAATTACATTAGCTTTCGTCATTTCCACAGTTCCCCCTTCTTTAATATTATCTCTATGTTTATTATTACTTATAGTTTCATCTTTTATTGAGGATTTACTCTTATATAACTGAAGATCTTTATTCATAGTCCCAGAAGTAGCCATTTGCTCTTGTATTGCTCGTTGCATTGCACCATCCTGGTATATAGAAGTATGATTACGTACCCTCAAAGAAGCAACTTCATTCTCAAGTTCAATTATTCTCTTATTACAGGTCTCTAGACGCTTTGCATCTGCTTCTATCCTTTGTTTTGCTAGTCTTAAAAGTCTCAGACTTTCTCTATCCGATTTCTTTATCCCTATATTCAAAGTATCATCTGCTACATTAGAATTCCCATTATTACGAGTTCCTTTAAGCGCTTCTCCTATAATAATTACATACACAAAACATTCAGACTATTATACTGGTATATAGGTTTAAATACATGCACCTACCACATGATCGGAAAAATCCACATCCATTTGAATTACGAATTGCTGCTCCAAGTTCATATAAATACTGACGAAGCTATAATAATTGGAATATTAAAGAGTGTACTAAGATTAATTTTAAGGAGTATAAAGGAGTAGGCTATCTAAATCGGGAATATAAAGCCTATCTAGGTTTTTTATATATAAGATATATTTGAAACTAGACTTACCTCACTAACAATAGTGTGCATGTTACTTTGCCAAGATCTTGAAAGCTGTGATTCAAATGCAAGTCGACGTTCTAGTTGTTGATTTACATCCAATGCAAAGCCCAACTTCCTATGTAAGGTCAAAATTTGGTTTTTTTCATCTGTTCCTTCTAATGGTCTATTAAATCTTTCAGCTAAAATATGATCAACTTTAATTATTGCTTCTATTTCTGCCAGTCTATCAGTAAGTGACATATTTTGGACAGCTAATTCATCCCTTTCTGCCATCAAAGATGACATTCTATGCTCCCAGATATGCTTCTCATATGATTCCAATTTATATGTCACTGCTTCAAATAGTTCATTAAGAATATATTCACACTGACAAAGAGTCTGATTACTATTTTGAATATTTTTGAGTGAGGATGGCTCCACAAGCTTTGTATTATAGTATTCTTTTGGTAAAATACTTGGATCATTATTTTGCAATGCAATCTTACATCTATTATTATCTCTTATAAGACGTTCCATCTCTCTCTTTAAAAGTATATTTTCACTTGAGAGTTTGTCAAAAGCCTCTGATATTTCTGCAGTGGTTGCATTTTCAGATAGTTTAATACCACTTCTACTAGAGCTAACTACTCTATCTAGCTTAGCTACAAGAGCTGCATTGTCATTCTTCAAAATACTATTTTCGCGTCTCAAAGCTGTTGTACTATTCTGTAGATGATTAATGTAATCCCTATATTCAGGATCAACTTTATTTATAGTGGATGGATCTGTAAATTGACTATTTGTTGTCAACTCTGCATTACCAGTGGACGATATCATGCTTTAAATATACGTTAAGTAAATAAACACATGTAGATATTCCAATTCACATTCAGCTTTCTTTTATGTTCTTTAATTTATTCAAGACAAGTAGAACTTGAAGCTGTTTTACACACAATATTGTAAAGTATATGTCGTTTATGGTTATATATTATGTGGCGCTAAATGATCTGGTACTAAGCACGTGATATAAAGGGGAAAGAACTAGTGGAAGTGTAGAATTTTTGTGAAATCCAATTGCGAAACAAATACCCTATAAGCTAATGAAACGCCAAAAAACGAGCTCAGATGAAGATGGATCTTCTCTTAAGCAGAGGTAGGCTTTTTGAATAATGCACCAAACTCTTGGGATATGCTTACTAGAACAAGTAAAACTTTTAACTCAAAATTTTCAAATTTTTTTTTATATAGAGCATATTCAGAATCGCATTCAATTGAAGATATACTAGTAGAGTTTGAGGATAGTAAGTTTTAAGTAATATTTCAAAATTGTAAACTAAATTTTTATGTGTTACTTTAGTTGACCATAGGCTTATGAACCTAGATAGAGAATGTGCAAAGGAACAAATGAAGATCCAAAGAAAATTTGATGAAAAGAAGAGACCAACTTTAGAAGAGAGAAAGAAAGTTATTGAAAAAATTCCGAGGTTTTGGTATGATACTCTTTGTAGGCATCCACTTATAGCTGAGCACATACATTCGGAAGATTTAGATATACTTAAGCATCTAAAGCATATTGAATTAGATGATAACCTTGATGATGAAGGTTCTTATTGTATATCACTAATTTTTGATGAAAGAGTCTCAGATATTATGGAACCCTTAGTACTAAAGAAACATATTATATACAAGGATGATGAAGAAAAAGTTCAAGAAGTTACTACTATTAAATGGAAATCAGTATCTCCAAAAACCCTTATAACCGAGAAAATAAATAAAATGGAGGGTGATATAGATAAGGAAAAACTCAATTTCTCTATTTTTGATTTTTTTGATAAGGACTTTAACCATAATGTCGATATAGGTGATATTATTCGTAGAGATATCTTCCATGCCCCTCTATTGTACTACTGTGACAATGAGCAGGCTGAGGAGGAATAGATTAATTGTAGTGTATTAGAAGTAGATCTTGGAAACTTTTTAGTATCGTAAAATATTTTAAATAAGTCTTCAATATTTGACACCATATAATGTTTGGCGGTTATGTGGGTTTTAACTATAATAGGGTAAAGTGATTTGAGTGTTAGCCTCATTTATATCAATGATTCATACACAGAAAATACAGCTGAGTGATGATATATTGAGAAAATTTAGGGCTTGTAGAGTATTCAAAGATGCAATTTGCCCTATAGTTAATATAGATTGGAGTGAGGATGGAGATTCCTTGCTAGTATGCGAAGATGATACTTTAAGAGTTTATACAATTTCAACAGGAGATATATCAAGAATTCATCACTCGACGTAAAAATATAATGGATGTTATTCGTTTTGCTCATAATAATAAACAATGTCTTGTCGCTTCTAATAAGGGTGAAAATGAATCTGCTATTAGATTATGGGATATTCAAGAAAATCGTTATGTTCGTGCTGTAAAATTAAATTCAGCGTAAGTTATAATAATAATTTATTACATATTTATATGAAACTCTCAAATTTTATGTCTATAATTGGTTATTTAATATATTTAGGGTTTGTCGAGGGACTGGCTTAATAATTCATCCAAATCGTGATCTTGTCCTTATATCATGTACAGATGGCAAAGTATTAATATTTAATTTCAAGTTAGATACACCATTAGCTATCCAGCAAACTAAACATAAGGCTCCTTCTTGTGCTTTTGATCCAGATGGACGTGTTCTTGTTGTTTCTACAGAAGACCAGAAATTAACACTTTTTGATTGCAAAGCCTATACAACTTTTGATACTTTCGATTTATCTAAACATATAGAGTCACATCAATACATTGAACATGTATCTTTTAGTGTTGATGGACGATTATTATTAGTCAAAACGAATACTGGTAGACTTCTATCATTTGGTTCATTCAGAGGTGAATTTTATAAAGAATACAAGCTTTCAGATAAGAGTAGTTGTAAGTTGTCCAATTTTCTTTTCCTCATTTTAATTAACTGATATTTATATTCTTTACATAGCTTTGTTAAAATCTGCTTCTATTCCAACATTTTCAAGTGACTCTCAATATATATTTTATGGATTAACTGATGCCTCTGTTGCTGTATGGTCAGCTAACACAGGAGAGCATATAACGAATTTTGTAGGTCATGTGGGACAACCTAGATGTTTAGCATTTAATCCAAAAAAGGCTCTATTTGCTTCGGGTAAGTTTTTTTTAACTTTAAAAGTACCTTTTAATGCTCATACCTTTAGCTCCATTTTATTAGCCTGTGTCAATCTAATTTGGTGGCAACCAAAGCTTGATATTAACTAATTAGGTATTTTATATATTTATTTATATACTAGATATAAAACTTTAAGAGCGGATATATTGCATTATTTAAATGTAAGTGCAATTTCTTTTTTAGTTCTTATTATTATTGTTATACATGGGATTATATCATTTATTGCATGCGGAGTTGTGATGTAATCGATATCATCATGGGCGCTAATACAAAATAAAAAAAAAAAAAATTCAGTAAATAGAAGTACATAGGGTAATCTAAATATATTTTATTAATAACTTTGCCTTTGGTAACTTAAAAATAAGAACTAATATTTTTTTCGTATCTTGTAGAAGGAGATGTAATATAACTTTAGTTCTATAGTCTAATTTAAGATGATATATTTGGTAATAAATAATTGAAGAATTAGATAATAATTGGATTGGTAACTTAACAGAAGTAATCCTGAAATTACCTGATATTTTCATAAGATTTTGGAGATATTTTAACTTTATTGTAATATAATTTACTTTTAGAGCTTTCATTTTAACATTGTGGGGAGCGGGCTAATATTTTTTTGGAAATACCCTAAATATAATTTTATTTTTTATTTTTATTTATTGATGGCTAATACTAGTGAATTAGATTCTAATTTGTGTTTTTTATGCTCTATAGCGTTGAGAGTGAGCTTGTCTGGCCCAGTTGCAGGTTTGAGTTTTTTTAATAATAGAAGTGGGACATTCTCTGTATGTGAAATATCTGATAATGATCAATTTTCTGAAATAGAATCTTTACTAGTAAGAAATAAACCAAATATGTTAGTTTATAGTATTCAGAATGATCAATTAGGTCTCAGAACATTTAAAAATATTATTGAGATGCAGAATAGCACTACTGAAGAGATAAGGAGTAAGACATGTACAATGGATTCTATTATAGATATTTTAAGCCCCTTATTAAGAAGATCACATAGAAGCTATAGAAAAGAACTCGAAAGTGACATAATTAGGGAATCTTTATACAATTTGATAAATTATTTTAGATTAAATCAGAGCTCTGAGAATGATGGTAAATGTGAAATAAAGTTTTTGTTGGTTGATGGATATATGAGAATGGATAGTGCTTGTATTCACTCTTTAAAAATTTTTCCTGTTAAAGGAGAAAGTTCAAGGGTATCTACTAGCCTATATGGATTACTTAACAAAACTAGAACAGCTATTGGAAGCAGGAAACTAGAAAGTTGGCTTAGACAACCACTGACTGACTTAGAAATAATTTCTAAACGTCAGGATATAGTGGAATTTTTTAGTGAAAATGATATATTACGACAAAAGATATATGGTGTATATTTAAGGAAAGTATGTGATTTAGATAAGATTTCAAGTAAATTTAGAAGAGTTGCTTCAATAAACTTTGAAGATATAAAATCTTTAAAACAATCCTATAGAAACTCGGAAAATTTACTCTTAAAGTGCACATTGGAAGATGTGGTAAAAGTTTATGATTCTATTAGTCAGTCTACACTTATGTTTAAAGATATAACTGAATCTATTTCTGAGATGGGTGCATCAGAGACACTTTCCAAAAAGATCATTGATTCTATTTATTCATTAATTTTATTTCCATTGGAAGAGATATTATCAAAATTTAAGGGATATATTCAATTAGTAGAATGTACTGTTGACCTAGATGAAGCAAATAATGGTAATTACTTTGTGGTTTCTCATTTTACTCCAGAATTAGAAGCCTTATCCAAAGAGAAGGAGAGAATTAAGAAGAATATTGAATCTCATAGAAAGGAAATAGAAGATTTTTTATATGAAGAACGAGGCCAAGTGAATTTTGATAGTAATAGAGAAGCAGTTAGAGTATTAAATGAAGGTACTGATAATATGTTATGTTTCAGAGTTACTCGTAAAGATATAGAATTTTTTCAAGATAAGAGATTTAAAAAAGTTAGAATAAATAAAAATGACTATATTTTTAGAACCCAAGAACTCTGCAAACTTTCAGAAGAGCAAGATGAAGCTATTTCTCGCTATAATAAAGCTCAAACTTTAGTATTAACGAAGACAATATCAGTTGCTTCTACATATTGGTCTTTAATAGAAAAATTGTCGAATATATTGGGTACAATTGATGTTCTACTAAGTTTCACCTTGACTTCTCTTTGTGCTCCAAAACGCTTTGTAAGACCTAAGATAACAGATGGAAATTGTAATAATAAAGAAGAACCACACAAGTGTGGTTGTAGATTGATATGCAAGAATCTTAGGCATCCTTTAGTAGAAGCACAAGGGAATTTAGGGACTACTTTTGTAGCTAATAATGTAGATATGCATAGGCATGGGAATCTATTGACTGTTATAACAGGTCCAAATATGGGGGGGAAATCTACCTATATACGTCAAATTGCTATTTGTACATTATTAAGCCAGATAGGATGCTTTGTACCTGCAGAAGAGGCTCAGTTACCTATAATGCATCAACTTATGTGCAGAATAGGAGCATCTGATGCTCAATTATTAGGAATCTCTACATTCTTTGCTGAAATGATTGAAGCTGCAGCTATACTTCGAAGTGCAACTCCACAGACACTTGTTATAGTTGATGAATTGGGCCGTGGAACATCAACTTACGATGGATTTGGTTTGGCATGGTCAATTGCATCTTGCTTAGTTAAAGAAAAACAGAGCTATACTTTATTTGCAACTCACTTTCATGAACTGAGCATCTTAGAATTTGCTATGGAAAATGTAACTAATTTAAAAGTAACAGCAGCCACAAAGAAGAGAGCTTTAGAGAAGAACGAAAATATTTTGACTTTCTTTTATAAAGTGGAGAAAGGTTCAGCTGATGAATCTTTGGGTGTAGATGTTGCGGAACTCTCTGGATTACCAGAAGTGACAATTAAAAGAGCCAGACAGAAGGCTTCTGAACTAGAAGATATAGAGCGTATTTATATGGACACATCAGCAACACGAGAAAAAAGAATTCGAACTCTTACGGACATATCTTCTAAGCTTTATTCAGGCCTAAGAAAAATTCTGGATAGCTTTATTATTTCAAGTACACCCATGGAATTTAAGGAAAATGTCTCGGGCTTATGGGAAAATCTACGTGATCTATCGAAAGGAACTGCAGGAATTTGTTCAGCTTAAAATTAATCTATAAGACCAGACTGAATAATAAATGTTATTATTTATTAGGTTTAGTAGTTAGTCTAGATAATCTAAACATTTTCTATAATACATTTCAAATTATTATAATATTGTATATCTTGTAAAGATATGTAGGTATTAGTGAGTACATCATCATATTTCAGAAATTAGGGGATACTAAGAGAAAACGAGTTAAGCTTAAATATTTACTTTTAATAATATATAAATAATTAATTTTTAGTGAAAGAAAGAAAAAAGAAAGTCAAATTAATTAAATTCATTAGTCCGAATTAGAAAGATGTTCAAAAAAGACTTAATTTCTAGAAAAAAAGTATTGGAGGTATTAAAAAGATTCACAAAATTTCTTATATGAAATAAGTACTGAAATATCTTATAATATTAATATTAGTTATAAAATTCTTATATTAAATTTAACCAATTATACCTCAATTTCTAAAATAGTGTCTCGCTTCTCCAATGTTTCATTTTGAATTTTTGAATTATCTTCAACAGTAAAGTTATCTTCAATTGCACAATAAGATACTTTACAACCAACTCCAATTGAAACTTTATTCCCAATAATGGAATTTTGAATAACACATTTGTTCCCAATAGTAACATTATCCATAATTATACAGTTAACAATTTTAACTCCATCTCCTACATTGACATAAGAGCCAATGTAGCTTCTTCTTATCTGTGTACTCTTTCCAATAGTACATTTGTCACCGAGATATACATCCTTCCCAGCAGGATTAACTTGAGTATGTGAGAGCCATGCAGGAAAAAATTGAGAAGATGTTCCAGATAAATTACATTCATGATAATTTAATAATGTATTTACACGAATACAAATATCATCAGAAGGTTGCATGCAGTATGAAACATTTGTACCAGATAGTTTAGGAGGCAAGTTAGCTTTTGTATATTTTTCATTATTAGGATGCATTGGTAAATTCATATCTATCTCATCTGCAAATGATACGCAGTCTAATTTTGATATACTCCAATATTCAGAACCTGGAATATGTTGCATTTTAATTAAAAATGGTACTAAATCCAATCTTATAGATTCTATACTATCATTTGGTAACTCTATTGTATTTATAAAGACCTCTTTATTAATTACTTTTTCAATATTAAAAATAGATTGTTTAAATAAGTAAACATGTAGATCCACGTAGCTTGAACTTACTGTAACATTCGTATGCCAAAATAATTGTAGCTTCGTTAATTCAGCTGCAATATTCTCTTCTTTAGCTGAGTAATAATCTTTCATACCTACTATTTGATGTTGCTCCTCATCCAGAGTAAAAATTGTCATATTTTTATCTCGTTGTATATCAACTGATATACCTCCTATACATCCTCCTTGTGTTTGAATGTTAGATGATTTTCCTGAACAAGAACTAGTCTTCGAGTTTACCTTGGATAGTAGTACAGTACATACTGCCTGTGTAATCCTGTGGCTTGTCACTACACTTAATAGATCTAGGGCCCCGATAACATCACATGGTATTACAAAAAAATCTGAATTACTTAGATATTTTTCTCCATATTGTACTAAAGTTGTCCAAGTTCCAAGAAGCCCTTCTGTGTCGTCTCCTTCAACCCCTATAACTTTAATGTCTGTACAGTATCCATCATATTCTACAGGTCCTTTACAACCAAACTCATGCTCAATATATGAGGAAATCATACTAGTATGTTTATCATTGCAAAAGACAAGGATATCACGAATCTTGTGCTTTCTGAGATTTGTCAAAGGATACCAAATCATAGGTTTATTGCAGACTGGTAATAAGGCTTTAGGAGTTGATGGAGTTAGTGGGCTCAATAATCTGCCAGTACCTCCTGCTAAAATAACAGCTTTAAATTCGCGTATCTGTACAAAACTTTCATTTGTGTATGACATTATCTTATTTCAACGGAATCTAAGATTCAAAATTATTAACTTTTTAATAGACCGCCAGGTTGTGGCACTGTTGCAATGTTTTGGCGGTATATTTTATAAAGTACATGAGTTTCTTATTGTGGGGACTATAGTATTCCTAATGAGTATAATAAATATAATATTAGGAGAAATCAATGGAAATTTTAAGAAAATTATATTGACAATTATTATAGTATTCAATAAATCTTATATATAAACTTTACTTAAGGGAGGCAAAATTAATTTGTACTTTTAATGAAGAGCCGACACCCTTTAGATATAAAACCTGGTAACAAGAACTTATTAAATGCATCAATTCTTGATGAAGTAAGCTAAAAATATTTTTATATTTCCTCTGATTCATTATTAATTGTGATTGATTTTAGATTCATTCCCTTTATCATGGCCTTAAAGATGAATATACATGCCAAGACGACAGCACAAGCGATGATGATGATACAATCGGACTCTATTCAATAAGTAAAGTTCTGCATACTCCAGTGTCATTAAATAGGCGCAAGGCAACTGTAATGGTAGTTGGGAATATCTCTGCAGGCAAGAGTACATTGTTAAATTGGTTACTACAGGAACCAGCGCAAAAAACAGGAATGGCTATTGAAACTTGTGGAATAACTTGTATAGTAAATGGTCGGCAAATAAATGAAATTGGTGGTGAAACTGCGTTGATGATGTTTCCTGAGCTCCGTAACTTGGTTTATTCTTATCCAAGTCTATTATACAACTTAAATGTCAAGATGTGTCCCTCATTTCTAAATAGACTTCACTCTTTAAATTTCATAGATACTCCGGGGCTAGCTGATGGTGATATGTTGTATTCATTTGATATTGTGCAGATTTTAAAGGAATTAGCTATCAGTATTTGCGATTTAATCTTTGTATGTATAGATCCAACAGGTCAAACACTTAGTAAAAGACTTTTGGACTTGGTAGCACATTTGGTAAATAATGCTAACAATAAAACAGTATTTCTATTAACTAAAATAGATGAAATTCCTACAGAAGCAGATCGTATAAAATTAATGTGTCAAATAACTCAGAATCTAAGCTCTAAAGTTGCCATTAAACAAGGATTTGATTTGATTCCAATATATATTCCAGGGGCTAAAGATGGTTCTTATTTATCTTCCCTTAGGTTATCTGATGAAGAGAATAATATAGAAAATATTGCAAATAATACTAAAGTCAATAAATCTACAAGGCTTCAATTTGATAAAAATACTTTTATTCCTCCATTAAATCGTATTCGGGAAGTAGGTGATGCTATAGATAAGATTGTTGATCGTAAAGTTCAAGATAACTTGGTAGCATTGTTCAATGACTGTCAACAATTATTCAACAAGAGTAGATCTTTGATAAAGAAGCAATCTCAAATTGATAGAAACAAGAAATATTATATAAAACAACGCAAAATATATTCAAGTATAAATTATATAGTAACCTTCATTATGATTATTTTGACTATGTATCAGGGGGTTATGTACAGTGGTATACAATTTTTCTTTGGCGAAATATATTCAGTATATTGGGATCAGATATCAAATAAAACATATCAAAGAATGGGTTTTCTATCAGAAGGTATCTTAAATGCATGGCTAGTATTAATTGCTATTTTATTTATTGTATTTATACTCAACAAAAGTATTCAAAGAGAAGAGCATCTACAGTTCCCGAAGGATTCAAATATTCTAAGAAAATATCATGACAAGGTCAAATTAACTCTTAAAAGAGCACAAGAAATCCAAAGATTATACATTGACTACTGAATTAAATTTGAGCTTCCTTGAGACTAAATAGTAGTCTAATAAGCGCCTATTTATAGACACCTAAAAGTTTTTGGGCCATTAAGGTTGTGAAGATTATGTGAAGTACAGCATTGCCTTTTGAAGTTTTCCAAGGTTTATGTTTGTAAATAATTAGAAGCTAATTTCAATGAATTTGTATTGTATAATAGATGAGCAAATATGGGATATTAATTTTACTCTTTTATTTTTTAATTACTATCCATAAAGAGGTAATAGCTGGGGATCAAAAATTCACTTTTAGTGATCCACTAGAGTCAGATAGTAGTCTAGAAGTGACTCCAGTGATATATAATATTTATACTAACTTAGTGGAACTTATATTGAAGAAGATGTTCGCTGATGAATATGAATTTAGGATGGAAAATATAGATAATATAGAAAATCCACCATTATGTAGAAATAATGAACAGATGGTCAATAAGGGATGTAATATAATGTTATATAGCTGTTCTAAGCTTGCTAGTGAGAAATTTTCTTGTTACTTCTATTATTGGAGTTTCTGCGAATGCAATAGGCCTTGGATATGGTCATGGTTAAATTATGTAATACCCCCAATATATGATTGCTATCCATCAATAGCTACTGATGAAGATTTTACAGATTTATCTATGGAAGAAAAGGGAATCTTTAGTAAACTAAAGAATATTGATTTTGATACTGAAGAATTAGAAATTCCAGTAGGGGAATGCAGAGTTAGTGGACTGTTTGTTTTGTGGATCTTAATTGTAATAGTATTACTAAGCTACTTGGCATATCAGGTATATTCTTTTGGATTATATATTAAAATATTCATGAAATCTAAGAAAGAAGATTAACTTGATGTGATGAGGATAATTATTCTGCATCAATAGGTTACATATAAAACTATCTTATTGACTTGATTATGGATATGGATGAATTATATAGCTACTACTAAAGTTATTTTTGCTCAGAATTTTCTTCCTGAGTTAAATCTATTGGTTTGTCATCACTTAAAAAAATATATAGTATTGCTCCAATAATATTATGAATTGCATAGACAAGTAAGACGATCCTCCATCTTACTAAAGCTAAAGAATGTTCCTCCATATTTGTTTCTTCTACATCACCTTGAGATTTATGTAGGATGAATCCTGTAATTGAAACAGAAAGGAGTCCTGAAAATGTTCCGGATGTGTTTCCAATGGAATATACAAGGGCTGGTGCTGTTGGTGCAATATCAAACTGGTTAACAGTAACTCCTCCACAACTCATAGTATTAAATATAGACATCAATGAAACTATAGTTACTGAGTATATAGGTGATATCCATTCAAATTGGTTTAAGACAATGAGAGTAATCTGAAGAATTGCTGGAAATATCATACTACAAGATTGAAAAATCTTTCGAACTACTATTGGTCGACATTTTCTTTGAACAACTAACCAATCAGCTAAATATCCAAAAATAATAATGGAAATTGCTTGGATAATCCACGGTGGAGTTGTATAATAACCTAGTGTATGTGAAGAAACAAGGTTAACATCTGAATAGTATACTGGGAGCCAAGTTACAAATCCAAATTGTGTCCAACTATGACCATATTGAGCAAAGATAATTGCCCAGACACTTTTATATTTCAAAAAGTGAGATACTAGCTTAAAACTTCCTTTTCTTTGAGTTGTATTTAAAGATTTAGATGGGTCATCTAAATATTTAGGATCATTGGAAAAAGTTGCTAAAGAACTTATGACTTTTGGGGATATATCCTGATGTTCTCTAACTTGGTTATCTTGAATATTGACATTTTGTCCTAAGCTTGATTTATAAGAACTATCTATTTCTAATATTTCTACAGTTTTATATACCTCTTTTGGCTTCTTTATTCGTTCAAATTTATAAAATTCTACAAATTTTGGGGAAATTGTCCATTTCAAGTTCGCAACATCTAGAAAAAGCCATACTAAACACCAAAAAATACCAAGTGCTCCAAAGATATAAAATACACCCTTCCAACCAATGGAATTTAAGATGGGAGGTGTTGCAAAAGCTGCAACTCCAGCTCCTATATAGGAGCTAGCAATTATCATTCCTACAACAGTAGTTGAGTTTTGTGAAGGGATATATCTCCCAACTATTGAGTTTACTGCTGGGAATGCAACACCCTGACCAATTCCTAAGATAATTCTAGCCATTAGAAAACCAGCAAAGTTCAACCATTGACCAAGACAAGTAGCTATCATTGACAAGCTCCAAAAAAAGACTCCAAGTAGCAGAACACCTTTGCCTCCGAGTCTTATTGTATCGGAAAGGTAACCCCCAATAATTTGAGTCCAGATATATCCTGCATAAAAAAAACTAAGAATAAGCCCTTGCTCAGACTTTGAGAAGTTAAAATCAAGTCCAATAATTTTAATACATGATGGCATTACTGTTCTATCTGCATAACAAATAAAAATTGCGCACATCAACATCAGCACTAGACAACAATGAAAACTAAGAGTTACCCGATTATTTGGGTTATTGATTATTGCTAATTCCAATCTATCTGTATCTTCATGTGACTCTCCAAAAGTTGTTTTACAGGTTTTAACTTCAGCATTGGAACATCCAATTGATGCCACACTCAAGATGTCTATTACAGATGCATCTGCCTTTAGATTATAGGACATCCTATTTGCTAATTAACTAAAAATGAGGATTTGATGAATATTATAATGTACATCAATTCATTGAAATGATAAGCATTCACTAATCTACTCTAATAGTGGTAAATTAAGATAATTTTATATAATATACATCAAACAGCGCGTAATTAGATACTCGATAAATAGTTATCGGGATTTTAAACAATATTAAGATCTAAAAAGTTATTAGATCTAAATATAGAGTCTGATAGTATGAAATATCAATAATATCAAATACAAATATTGTAAGTTGTTTACCACTCATTAGAACTATACTCCCTAATTTCCCAAAGTCTTTAAACTCTAAACAAACCCTGTAAATATAATAAAGTGAAATAAATTCTTAGAATATCTACCAAGATCTAAGCCTGAAATTCCTTGTCATAGCCTGTCTGCAGTGACTCCAATATGGATTATTCCTATTATTAGAACTCAAGTATGATTAATTATATCTCGGTATATATTAAAAGAATCATATCAGAGCTTTGGATAACTTTTTAGGTATAATTATAGATCAATACTAAATTTATCACTTCTAAACAGTCACTTAAGATATCTGAATTGCAGAAGTTAATATAACCCCTAAATATGTCAGTTTTAAAAATACAGGCTGGTTGGTATCTCATTAGATAAATAAAAAGTGAGAATTATGAGCTTTATAGGTATAGTCTAATCTGTTGTCAACTTTAAGCTATCCCCATATTGCAAAGAAAAGTAATCTCCATAGAATAAAACTATTAAAGATTTAAAAACCATGTCAAGATTACTAGATAGATCTTTCTGTTCAATTGTTATTGGTTAATATAAGTAGATGTATCAATTTGACTTGGCATTTCAGCAATATTCACTTCGAATCTACTTTGTACATCATTTAGAATCTGGGAATCTGTTTGAGAGGCTACTAAGGTTATAGCCAATCCTTTTGTTCCAAAACGTCCAGCTCTACCTACTCTGTGCAGATATGAGTCTGTATTTTCTGGCATATCATAATTAATAACAATATTTACTCTTTCAATATCAATTCCACGGCCGAAAAGATCTGTAGCAACCATAATACGCTTCTCAAAATTTTTGAATTGTTGATATCTAGAGATACGTTCTTGTTGACTAAGACCAGCATGGATACATATAGATGGGAAGCTACATTCAGTAAGAAGATTGTGTAGAGCCTGTGCTCTTGAAACACTCTTCACAAAGATTATGACCTGATTAAATTCCAAAAGATCCAACAAATCTGTGAGTCTCCTATTCTTCTCAGTTTCAGATAGCTTAACATAGTATTGTAGTAAACCATGTAGAGTAAGTTTAGTTTCATCATCAACAAATATCTCCACAGGGTTCTGCATAAATTTCCTACAAACATCACGAATCTCCTTCACCATTGTAGCACTGAACATCATTACTTGCTTCTTCCTAGGAGTACTCATAAATATCTCCTGTACATCCTTACGCATATCCAGAGACTCTAGACACTTGTCACATTCATCTAAAACAAAATGAACCACACCATCAGTAATAAGTTTCTTTTGGCGTATTAATGCAATAATACGTCCTGGAGTACCAATCAATATGTTGGGAACATTTGAAGATAGTAACTCTATATCCTTCTGAATGGGAATCCCTCCATATACCACTTGAGTTTTTATATTCTTTAAATATTTCGAAAATCTATCAAATTCATTTTTAACTTGAAAGGCTAATTCACGTGTGTGTCCAATACATAAGCATTCCACACTCTTTGAATTTTCATCTGGATTGAGTTGCTGTAATATAGATAAAACAAATACTGCAGTCTTCCCCATTCCTGATTTAGCCTGGCATAATATATCTACACCTGTAATAGCATGAGGTATTGTCTCATGCTGAACTTCTGAAGGATGTTCAAATCCTGCATCTCCGATAGCTCTAATTAGCTCAGGTTTCAAAAAAAAATCTCTAAAACCAGATGCATGTATGGCTACGTAATTACCACGTCCAACCTTTGTAGATTCATCTGCAAGTTTATTTTCGTCCTCAATTCGTGTCGTCTCCTCCTCCTCGTAATCCACTAACTCTTCTGTATGTGGAACTGACATATTAAGATTTAAAAACTTTCACCAATACTTGTCTTGATATTAGATAAAATTATATATCAAAGAAAGTTGAAAAGAAGAACGTAGTAAATATTTAAAGTTCTTTTCTAAAAGGTACAGTCAAACTGTACGTACAGTTCCCTTTTACGTTATGATAATTAGTAAGAGGTACTAGTGCTTGGAGCCTATTTCTTTAATTGTTTATTTTTATATATATAAATATTATGTAGCTTATTACAAGGCAAATATAGTCAATTCATAGTATGAAGTACTATCTATTATATAACTTGGTACTCGTAGTATTAGTATATGATCCCCAATATTCAATAACCCGGGACGAGACGGATAATTTACATGATTAGCAGCGCCCAAACAATCAGGTATATAGACATCGATACTTCTGAATATGTACCGCGTATAAATGTAGGCACTGTAACTAATAAATTTTGTGATTATTATCTGCCTTTATTATAGTGTTAGCGTACTTCATGAGATATTCAAACAAGTTATTAAGGTGCCAAATGTGTACTCGAGAATATTCCTTGTAGAGTTATGGCGAAGAAGTCCCCAAATATTATTAAAAAAAAAAGGTACAGAAAATATAAATTATTGTCTCCTGTTAAGTTTATAAATATGTGATATTTCATCTTTTTCTATTAAATGTGATGCCAAATTACTTAAAATATATAATATTTATAAATATGGATACAAATAGAAGTAAAATCTCTAGCCTTTATATTAACTGAAGAAGTGTTGATAAACGCAGTATACTCCTGCAGTAACAGCTCCTACTTCATAGAGTGCAATGTAACCAATAATCACTACATTAACAAACATAGACATTTTATGTCTCCATACGTTCCAATATAAGTAAAGAGGGTATAACAAAATAATGACTGTGTCAAAGAATCCAGCAAATAGTTCAATATACTGAGCTGCACTTTTTGCATAAAATGCTAGAGTTATACAAATTAAAAGGAATATTATAGCTGCAATTACTCTGAACGAATAGGACTTTAGAAATTTCTCTGTTTTCGGTATTTCAGAACGTTCTGTAGCACATATACTACCTCCAAACGATGATCTAGTTACTCTTCCCTCTCCTACAACAGTAAAATAAGAACTCACACTTTGTTGACTTAGTTTCCTAGTAAGAGTCTCATTATCTACTAATAGCATTGCTTCTTCAATATCTGACATTAGCTTCTCAGCATATATATCCAAATAACAAAGGTTAATAAACGAATCAATCATTGGGACAACATGTAGTGGAATTACTGTAAGCATTGTCAAAGCTGAAAGTAATCTAGCTAATGCCATTATAGAATCATATGGTGAATAGTTTAAAGTTGGATTAGGTAATAAGGCTGTACCAAAAGTAAAATTTGTCATTAAACTTATAGATATACAAATAGATAATATAAATATACCTGAAGCAATAATTACATGTATCCCTCTCTTAATAGTTGGATTCCTTAATGATGTTATAGTTTGTACACAAATTAAGTGAGCATAAAAACAATAAATTGCATAATTCAAAACTTTTAGTGCAGATAAAAAACCCATGTGTGGACCAAGTACATAAGGTTTTGACTCTGATTGTAAAGGGCCAGTAAATGGTGAAATGAAATATCTATATGAAACTGCTAAGAGAAATACAAAAAAAGAAGTGACTGATAACCATCCTAAATTTGCTAACTTAGATACATCTTTCTGACAACTTGGATATATTGAAAAAAGAAAACAAAGACCATATATAACGGAACGATTTTGCAAATAATTCATTACTGTTATTAAGTACCAACTTAAGCTAAAATCTGGATAATGTATTTTGAGTATATGTATAGCTTGAGCTAATAGATTTTCAACATAATCACCAAATAAAATAAAGTATATTGGAATACAATAAGTAATCAATACAATTATTAGGCAGTTCAAAATTTTAGAGTGTCGCATAATACGACTCTTTAATTCAGACTTAAAATTAGAACATAATAAGGTATTTTCAGTTAAAACATTTCTAACACATTCTATATCACTCATACCACTATCAATATCCGAAATATCAGTCCAATTTTGTTTAAGAAGCCTTGAATTTACATTTACTTCATCCCAATTTGGTCTAATATCTTCGTTTTCTAAATTAGTTGAATTTAATTTCGGTTTATAATATGTCGAATTAAAACTATCTTGTTCAATATCATGAAATTTCCGATGATTATCTATATATTTCCTTGCTATCTTCTTCTTTTTCATACTTTGTCTTTTTTCTCGGATAACGGTATATGTAACTCCTCCTGCAATTAAACTTGACAAATCAAAGACTTTAAGTTTGAAAGCTGTAGCAATGTAAATAGACTCAGTTAAGCACCCTACTATAGCAGCACAAATCATAAAGAAAATTCCCAAAACTAAACCAGCTTGCATCACTCCATAGCTTAAAACTAATACGCCAGAACCAATACAAGCAGAACATATTAGGGCAAAACCAACAGGTAATGATATATTAGATACTTCTAAAACGCCCATTTATTAAGAAAATATTCTATAAGATGTAAGAAATCTTATTTAATGTGAACTAATACCTTTTCTATTAATTTATTCCTATACCGGTGGTAGGATCCGTATGTGTATTTGCAATACCGGTAATAATCTATGAGCGTCAGCTTTATTTGTTTTTTTAATAATTGCATAAGTTTTCTAAACTAGAAATATGAAATTAAAATATATCTAGCTATTAATTGGTCACAATGTATCAATTTAATTATTTAAATTAATCTTTTTTAAGTATAATCAACAGAGAAAGTTAGAAATTTATAGGGACCAAAATAGGCACTAATAGTTAAGAAATTATTTACATAGAAGTAATTCTACATAGATACAGTTGTATCATTAATACTGAAATCATAGATAGTAGCATTTCTACCTGTATAAAATCCATCCATTAAAATTAGCATCTTTTGTTTATGATGGGGGAACATAAAAGAACTTTTTGGGAAAAATCTGAGTGTCTTTGGTCTTAATATAAAACGGAATTTAACTCGAGGATATCTCCTAATAACAGTTTCTAATGGATATAATCCTCTTATTGGAGAAGTAACAAATTCCCAAGCTCTATTAAGAAGTTCAAATAAGGTTGGTGGATCTGGTCTACAATCACTGTCTTTATTTAAATTCTGAAATCGTCGCTTGAGTTTACCAAAAAAACCTTCTTTTCCTAAAATATCATTATAAGATCCTGCATGAAAAAGTTCTTCACGATAATAAGCTCCAGTGATAAAATCTATAACTATATCTTCTTCTTTTATATTTGGTTTAATTTCCATACATCTCTCAATAGCAGCTTCTAGATTTGCTTCTCCTCTAAGACCTCCCCAAATATAATAATTGTCATCTATTTCAACAGGCATATAAATTCCAGATACTGCATTACTAGCAAGAACAATATCAGCAAGCTTTTTAGAATTCTCATAATCCATTAAAACCCAAGAAGTTTCACTTTTATTATTTATATCTTTTAATTTAATTCCCAATATTTGGGCTAAAATAGATTGCATACTCCATGTAACAAGTGTACCATCAACAATTCTTGATGCACTTATTAAAGCTTCTCTTTTAACACTATATAAATTACGTAAGGACCCTAATACAAAAGATCTCCAACCATCTTGAGTACAGAAACTTGTAATATATTTCCCAATTTTTGTTACTGTTGGAATTAAAACTTGCCACCAACGACTTGAATCTTGTGATATTGGAACTATACAATTATTATTAATTACTTCACTATTAGCCTTAAGATACATATCATAAAGGTAATTAGTATAATTCATTTCATTTTCAAAGAAGTGATCATTACTAGTATTAATGTGGTAAACTTCATTTGAATATTCATCTGAAGGTTTAATTGGTGAATAACATTTGACATTAGATCTACTTTTAGGATTACCTAAACCAATCCAAATTTCAAATATAAATTCTTTGTTATCTCCAGAACTACAAATATAATTATCAGATCTAATATTTGAGTCTTTAATAATATATGAAGATTTTAGATTAGTATATGTTGAATTTTGCATAACATTTAGTATTTTACTGTTTTTATTAATTTGTTCTTTACCACCAGGTATAAAATATGAAGATATTAATGCATTTAATCCCCCAGATGAAATACCTGCAACGACATCCCATCTTAATGGAACTTTATTATCAAAAAATTGTGCTGCTAATCCTCTAGCAGCTGCTGCTGTCCAGATGCCACGATTTCCTATACCAGAAAATCCTAAGATAAAACATTTTGAAGAATCATTCCCTAATCCAAAAGATGATAACATCTTAGGTCTATCTTTTTCTTTGAAATTTATAAGTAATTTATTAGAGGAATTATGAATGAATGGGAGATATTTTGGAAAAGGAGCATTTAAAAATTCCTTTTGCCATTTTTGTTTGTAAGTAGTTAGAGTACAGACATTTTCATTTTCAAATATAAAACCTAAGGTAGAGTGTTGTAGATTATAAAGTATAGCAGTGCACTGGGTATAAGATATATTATAACTTTCAAATTGTGAAATTGCCTCAATAGTACCAAATGAGAGATTAGAAACCTTAACAGAAAATAGGATTTCCAAGAAATCAAAAAAAGTGGAGAGGGAACACCATAATAAGACTATATATGCAGTATCCATATCCTTATATTTAAATTTCTTAATTACTTATAAAAAAGTAGAATTCCATTATTTTACGAAATAAAAGGATTAATACAAAAAGCGGAATCTTACAATATATAGGCGATATATAGACCGGTATAAAGAGTTACACACAAGAAAAAAAAAGAAAAAGATTTGTCATTTCGGAGCTTAAGCTTCTCAATTAAATTGTCTCTGAAATTGACTAAGTATAAAAGCTTAAACTCAATGGTATCTTTTAAAAATTTAAGGATTGCAATTTTGATTAACTTCTTTTTAAAATGTAATTATAGCGATTCATTGGATATTACCAATAATATGACTGATAATTTTGGAAGTATTGAAGTTAATAACACAATATTTGGTTCAGGAAAAAGAAATTTAACATTTTCTGGAGATTTATATAATATTGAAGATTCAAATATCTCACTTATTAATATAGAAGATATCAAGAATAATGCTACAAACTTTAGAGGAAAAAGTTCAACTTCTAAAAATATATTATTAAATAAAATGAAGAAATTGTCTAATATAACATTTGTATCAAATACTGGGGATGTAAATGAAACATTATTATTTAAAGATTCAATTATATCTACTCCTTTATGCAAAGCAGAACCACCTCCAAAGTTTTTTATTGATCCTGAAGAAAATATTTGTTATATACTATTACTCTCTGGAGGTGCAAATAGAGGAGCTTGGCAAACTGGTGTATTAAGAGGTTTGTTAGGAAAACATATGGAATTTTATAATAAAACTCTCCGTTGGGACGTAGTTGGGGGTGTATCAGTAGGAGCTATTCTATCATTAGCAAGTTTATTTTATGAACCAGGAGATGAATTAAACTATATTACAAGTTTATGGGATATGTGGGCAAATGTCAGGCAAGATTTCCTTTCTGATTGTACCCTTCCAATATGGAAAAATATAATGAAATACTTGTCTCATTATGTAAGTACTATGATAAATTCAAAGAAGAAATTGAGAAATTCCATTTGCAATAATTATGCACTTAAAGATTATCTTAGCAATAGATTTGGTCATTTAATACCTCCTTATGAAAATAAAACTTATATTGAACATAAATATTATGAACATTTTAAGGATAGTATAAATAATATTGAATCTCTTAAAGAGTTTTCAAATAAAACACCAGATTTTTTGAAAAATGACTTTAAAATAAGACGTCGAGAAGTTGTAGTTTCAGCTGTTAGATATGAAGATGGTCAATTTATATCTTGGAATTCAAGTAGTCACTCTATTCAAGATTTAATAAATGCAACATGGGCTTCAACATCTGTTCCAGGTGCATTTTCACCAGTACAAATTAATGGGTCATTTTATATGGATGGTGGTATTGTAATGAATATGAATATATTAGACTCTATAAAAGCTTGTTATAATCTTGGTTTAGCTAAAAAACAAAGTGATATAGTTATTGATGCTATTGAAACTTACCCAGATGATTTTGAAATACAAACAGAAAAAAGTGAGAATTCAGAATTTCCATCATTTAAAAATATTATATATAGAAGTTTTGCTATTTTACATTCTCAAGTTAGGGGTATAAGACTTCTTAAAAATGTACTGTGTAGATTTCCAGATATAAATGTTCGATATTATATAGCCCCAACTGTAGAGGAATATGAGATGTTCCCAAATAGTGCTTTTGATGGGAATAATATTACTGGAGTATTCAATATGTTGAGAACTGGATTAAAAACTGGATGGAATGCCAATTTTTCTCAAATAGATAACTGTTCATTCAATAATAAATTATTTAATAGTGGTACTGTAACAGATATATTTATCATGTAACCTCAAAAAGAAAGGAGGTAGAGGATAATAAACTTTTCCAATCTATAATATTTAAGTCAAAGGGAGTCTTGGGATTATAACTAATATTATTTTCATCTTTGACTTTTAAAGATTGCAATTGTAAAATATATTTTAAGTTTTTATTTTGAAAATTCTCGTATATTAAATTAGAATTTTCAGTAGAGGTTTGGTCTTTGTAAGTTGAGTGAAAAAGATTCAAAGTTTCATTTAGAAATCTTAGATACCATCTTATTTTAATATTAGTGCTGTTATTTATTTCAAATTCACCCATGCTTGAATAAGTACTTAAATAGTACTGATGAACTTTAAATATTGTTTCTAGACAAAACTGAATAATTTCATAGCATATATGAGTAGAATTAGACATATACTTTCTTATTTCAATACACCAGACTGCTATTTGTATCCAAAAAATTGTAGGATGTAGAATTAATGGTAGATTTTTGTTTTGATACCACAATCCATCAATTTGAGTAAAGAGAAGTTTTAGTTCTTCTATATTAGAAATAATAATACAAACTAATTCCTCATTAAATGAATTATGATAAATTAATTGGTATATTTGATACCCTATGCAAAGAAAATGTATAGGAACATTAATTAAATTTGATTTTGAATTTTTTAAAAGAGTAACTGCCACTTCTAAAGGTGCTTGTGATTTTCTCACCTCTTGACAAGTCCATAACAGAGCACTAAGTATCCATGCATCATTACAGCATATATTAATAGATAAAGTTCGTTGTATCCATTCATAGCTATTTATTATATTTGTTGAGTGTAAATCTCTAAGATAGAACAGAGCAACACAATATGTGGGTCTAAAATTGTTTATATCCAAAATATGAGATAAGATACAGAATTTTAAGCCTATACTTATTGATTCATTAGACAAATTAGGTTTCTTAAAATTAAATTTTATCCTTTCATCTATTATTGACTCTTCAAACAATAAAAAACCAGTTGCAAAACATATACTAGACCAGATCCATGCTTCTTTATCAAAAATACTGTTTAATTGAAATATTTTACAAACATTTTTTAATAATATATTGTAAGATGTATTATTTAGTTGGTAAGATATTTTAAAAACTTGTAAATTGATAAGTTCTTCAGCAGGGAAATTGATAATATTTTCAAATATCTCCAAGTAGTACTTTGTCCACCAATTGTATATAGATTCCCAAGCTACTATAGGTCTGGATAAATTGCATACAAGATTTTTAACTTTAAAAAGAGCAATTGCTATAGATTCTTCATTATTTGATAACCCAGTAAAATAAGTTTCAGAATCTAAGTTAGCCATTAGAGGTAATAATGGATGTGTAATATTAGATAATTCTTTAGTTACTTTCTTACGAGCTTGAAAACATTTGAAAGTTATACTAGATGGTATATTTATAAGCTCTTCAAGTAGGGAATCAATCAAAATTTCGTTTTTCTGTAAGGTAAGTAAGTCAATTCGGAAAGTAATACTATCTTTTAGCATTGGACAATTAAGAAGCTCATGAGTCAACTTAAGTGGTAGGTATCTAACACATTTATAGTTTGTATTATATTGAGAGAATATAATCATAACTAGTCTAGTTGTATAAATTAAAGTTTGTTTGGTTAATGTATACTTATTTCTGACTTCTTCAGATATAATAACTGTTCCTTTCTTATCAAGAGTAGTGCAAGATTCAACTAAATCCATATATATATGTTGCAATTTTTTAAATAAAGTATTTATAAGAGGTATTATTGACTTTTGAAGAATCTCAGATTCATAACTTAGTGATTTATCATGTCCTACCTTGCCGATAGAGCCTGAATTGTCTAACCATTGAAAAAAAGCATCCCTAACTTTTATAAAATCATCTTTCAACATCTGCTATTCGTTCCCTTAAAATATATAATTTGAATAGCTTCAAATAATTAGCTCTTCAAGTTTGAATAAAGAGTTAGGTTATCTACTATAGGAGGTAGTTCCTTAGTTTTATTTAGACTAATAAATATATTATAATTAAAATGACTTACGTAAAAGAAGATGAGAAAATAATTTTTTATTAAAAGTAGAGGTACTCTTCTAGACAAGGGTTTCTTTATCTTACATGCCAAGCTCAGTATTATATGAGACAGTTATACTTACACCGGTAACAGGTCTGAAGCGAGACGTGAGACGGATAACAACTGTGCATGCAAATTCACTTTAAAGATTTTATTCTAAACACTTAATATTCTTAAAATATTAAGTTATAAATATTTTATCTTCTAAAATTCATACAGAAATGATATAATATCTAGTTTCAATTATTTACAAGACAATGTTCTATACTTAGATTTAGGAGATTTACCAAATTTGATATTTTCCATTTCCTTCAAATCCAAAGATAATTCCTGTATTAAAAATTCAATGTAATCTCTTCGAAGTTCCATATAAAGGCAATTACAGCAATTTCTTAGATCTCTTCTTCTACAATAATAACAGTCATTAAATTCATGTCTTAACTTCATAATTGTAGCTTTATACTTGGAGATAATATTTTTAGTTTGACCAATTATCATTTTAATCTCCTCTTTATCACGATTTATTAAAGATCTAGGACTTATAAAAGTTATATCATCTTCTATTGGGTAATTGCAACTCTTTTTTTCCCTATTACCTTTTATTAATATTATTTTATTTTCAATCTTCAGTATCTTTGAGTAAAATCTATTCAGTTTATTATTGTAATAAGAATAGGGAGGATCATAATGCCTATAGGGCCTATTTCTCATGTATATTAACCGTTTGAATAAGAAAAAATACTTCATATATAATATACACAATTTATTATTAAGAAAATTTAGTGAATTTCTTTTAGGATGAGAATATACCAAATGAATAAAATTTACACAGTTCGATGTATTTAACATCACTTCACTCTTCTGTTCATTACTATATGAATTTATAACCCACATAAATAAAATAAAATAGTGCTTCCAATACATTTCAGTCTAATTGTATCTTGTTAGTTTTATTGGATAATAATTAATAGAAAATAAGATAAAATAATAACAAAATTTAAAGATCTTGTATATTTAAAAATCACAACAGACTTATAGTCGACTGCAAAATAAATTTTATTAAACAAACAATAATACTTACAAATAAAATAAATATTAACAGGTCCATTATGAAAAGCAAAAATTCATGTATATTAGATGGTTTTCTTAATAGAATTGAATTCCAAGAAATAAAATTTTGACTAGTCGATGGAGGCAATCTATGGGTTGGAATATTACTTTTTGGTGGGTGATTATCTCTTAAAACTTCCTCTTCACTTTTTTTTTCTATTTCATTATTAGTAGAGCATCCTAAATCATTTTCTTCACTAAGATTTTTTGTATCTTTTGTACAGTTTATAGTTTCATCTTCAGTTACATTAACATTTTTAATTGAATTCATAAAGTGATCAATCAGTGGATTTGATAAGGAACTAGATATATTAGTATCTACCATACATAATCGTTCAGATATTTCTTTATTTGTTTCCTTACAAGTATTGCAATACCATTTCACGCTATCTTTAGCCAATTTCGTCCTTATTTCTGAACTCCAATCTAATGAATGAACTGCACCTTCACCTGGAGTCGGAAAAAAAGCATGTAGTGCATCTAACATTGTTCTAATTCCCCATGCTGGTTGCCACAACTCTGGATGATAATTACTAGCACTTAAACATATCTTCTTACCTATTTCAAAGCGTCCATTTTGTGTTAACAACATAATAGAAGGTGGGCTAAAGGGATAAGATTGGGGCAAAATAATGCGTCCATGATATATACCACCCTCAAAATCACTAGACGTTGGACCTTTAATAGTAAAATGCCATTCATAAGGTTCATCCATACATATTGGATATGCGCACCAGTAAGGACTAGGGTCTTTCTGAATTTCCCTATATTCACGCAATATACGACTAATATTCTGTGCAGTACCAATATTAGGTGTAGTATTGCTTGATCCACGAGTTACTACTTGATGCATCCTTTTTTCTCAGAAACAAACTTATTTTAAAATTTATTAAGTTGTAACTAGTAGTTATACCTGAGATAAAATAGCCGCTAATATAAACTATGTTACTACTTATGTTATTACTTTAATACCTATAAACTTCACTCTAAAAATAAATATAACGACAAACTAATAGGTCTGTAGTATATTAAATTTTTTTAAAACAAATTCAATCTATACAAAAAATAATGTAGCAAATTTTTAGGATGAAAACTAACTCTAATAATATACTAAGAAGATATTATTATACACATCTTATTAATATTTTAAGATTAATTGAGAAATGGAAAAAAGTACGCAAAAATTTATCAAATAATGTACAAAATTACTCAAAAGTCAAGGTTAATAAGTTATATATTACTCAGAAAAACTTCCTTATGAACTCAATACTCCTAGTAAACCCAGTATATTTTGATCAGGCAAAAAGGAATATTAAAAGTACTGAAATCAATCAAATTATGCAAAATATAATGGAAAATATAAATGAATTGCAGGGAATTACAGAAGACTTAATTTTAACTAAAAATTGTATAAGTAATATAAATTTGAGTGAATTTTCTAATAATTTAGATTGGTTCTCTCCTATAATTGGATCTGAATCTAAAATATCACTAGATAATTTACAAATCTTTCTTGATGAATGGTATGAATCAATAATATGCGACTTTAAAATACAAAAAAGAATTTTAGAATTTATCTCAATATTAAGTAGTCAAGATATTGAACAAATTCAAGGATGTCTAAACTACTTCCAGTTATCCCCATTTGGCGATATTTTCGAATCAAAACAAAGCTTTAATTTAGTAAGAGATTCTATCAGATCTTTTATAACTAACCGCACTTAAATGAGATCTATAATAATATTTTGATTAATAGTCTTTTTTTAGTTATTTGACTTATATTGAAGCTCTCTTCTTTCGTTTAACTATTTCTGGTAATAAAGAATCCCTTCTCCTACAAAATTCATGATATTTGCAAAATATTAATAATTTAGATATTTAAATGAACTTACCTTCGAAATTCAAATCCATCCCCAAAACATTCTGCTAATAGTGCAATTAATATCATCAATCCAATTATTATTGGTAATGTTATATATAATACTTTCGGCTCAAAATAGCCTGCAACATTATTATCAGTATTTCCAACCTTAATCTCTTTATTAGATGCAATGTTTTCAATTAAACTAGTACTACTGGCTTTAAACCCCATACAATTATCTAATGTCAGTAATAGTAAAAATAAAGTTGATACACATGCTTGCATAATTTCACAATGATTAGATTTACTTTGCATATTTTTACAGTATAAAACTGCAATATATAATTAAAGGAAAATATCTCTTTCTAAAAATAATCTTAAGATATGTAATTTTAGAATTACATCTGTCTTATTTCTGTATTCAGAAAAGATGTGTGTGCAGTCCCAAGTCTCAATACAGGTATCGATTTATTAGATATCTGCAGCATAGCGCCAATAACTTAATCTATTGGCAAATTTCTATTATAGAAGTATCTGAGTGCAACATTATTATACATAATTTCACATATTGAACAATGCTGAAGACAAAGTGATTCCACTTTAGAATTAGTATAAATTATTGGTTGTAAATAAGGTGTTATTTCAGATATATGCCAAAACTTTTTAAGTTGAAATAGTTTTGCAAGACGTTTCCTTGGATGATTAGGTAATGTATAATGAGGGCAATATATAATAGAATCATTAATATCATTATAATAAGCACTTCCAGCTAAAATATCAAATCTAATACCTGGATTTGATGGGTGATATTCTAAATTAGGGAAACCATAAAATAGATTTGTAGTATCTGACTTTGATATATTTGAATCTCCCACAGCTTTTGTATCTAAAGTTAAATTGTGAAATTCCAATTCATTAATTTCCATAGGTATATAGGATACAATCATATCTTCAAATTGTTTAATATACTCATCAATTTTAAGTATTTTATTAGCTTTAAGAATATGGAGTGCTAAAGTCCGTTGTATTTGTTTTGAAGAAAGATTAACTTTTAAATCTTTAATACCTGATAAATCCATAAAGTCTGTAAGAGGTTGTTTAAGTATAGTACTTTCATTTAATATTTTAATATTTAAGAAATTGGCACATATATTGTCATTTTCAGGAATGAATAGAAAATGTTTTAAAACCATTAAGATTGACAGAGGGTATTGTAATATTTTCCTTATATACCAATATAATCTATTATTTTCATTTTCTTCATCTGTTTTATAATTTTTAAGTTCAAGATTTTCTTGAATATTAAGTTGTTCAGTAAGTAAAATTCCACATTCATGTAATGTTAAATTAGAAAATTTCACTTTCTTTGCTGCACCATATATTAGAATAGAATCAGCAAAAAACATAAGGATAGAATCATCTATAGGATACCAAAGCCCTTTTGAGTCGCAAAATACCATAGTGTCATACTTAAGCAAATAATTAATTAATTCTTTGATACTAGATTGTGTTCTAAGAAATATTTCATTAAGTGTTTTAGGATTAGGATAAGAGCTTTCTTTATTTGAATATTCTCTAAATATTTCATCTATTCTGTTTAATAAAGGAGGTGATTTTATTAGTCCTATAACACTTTGGGTTTGTCCAATAATGTTTATATCTTCAGTGTTATTTAGATTTTCACTATTTGTATTATCCAAATTATCATGAGTAAGTTGAAGAGCTATGTAACTTAGATTACTGCATTTATCTCTTCTCATAATGAATGTTTCATCTTCTGTACAAAGTACAGTTGGAGAACCCTTTCCAGTTCCACCTTTTAACCAAAGTATATTACCAGCTTCTACAAAATCTTCACATTCCTTTTCTAATTGAATTAAAAACCAACCATCTTTTAGTTGGGAAGAGTATTGTGGATGATATTGTATCGACATTTATATATATAAGATCATTTAATTTGACCCACATATATATCAATGGTCCGCCTAAATTTAAGCTTATTAAGGTGTTAAATATCACCTTTACCTATATATATACATACTAAGGTCTAAATTATATAATATTAGGGATATCAAGTATTAAAATTTGAGATATATTTTAAATGAGTTATTAAATATTATATAAGAATTAGTCTCATCTCCTAATATTTCTATTAAAGCAGTATTTAATGTACTAAAGCAATATTTAATAATATGTATAATGTTAAATACAATATAAACTGGGTTAGTGCACAGATTAAGAAGAGAATTCTACTTTAATATATATTTAAAAGTAATATCAGCCCGAAACCTTTATCTTTAAAGTACATGTAGCGCCGGCGCCTCATTTGAATAAAAGGGTACCGGTATCTACTTATTTTATTATTCCCAATAGAAGAAATAATCAAGAGTTGACGATGGATAAACCTAAATATTCATTAGTTCTGTCTGATGAAGAATTTTGTGGTGATTCTGATGACTTGAATTCTGAGACTGACCTGATAAACTCTTCATGTGATAATTTAGCTACTGATGATACATTATATGTAAATGAAAGTGGAAGATTACTATTTAGAGCTAAAATTGCTTTACCACAGAAATATCATGGTGATAAAACAAGTTCTAGTGAATTTTACAAAGCAAAAGATTTGAAAGAAATTGATGAAATATATAATCACTATGATAATCATTTAATCAATACAGAAGATAATACTAGCAAAATAGATGGCTCTCAAAATTTCAAATTAAGTGATGAAATATGTAGAAAATTTGAAGCTTTAAGTAAGGAAGCTAGTGAATTCTCACTTGTTGATAAGGATAGTGTTAAAGAAAAGCTACAAAGTACAATAGAGAAAGGTAAACATGTGAAAAATCAGCAATTCATTTGGACACAACTTTTAGGTTTACGTATATTTATGCAGAATATTCTTAATGCAACTAATCAACTTCCTCCATTTCCAATACTATCATATATTAATGGAGATCGAGATCTATTAACCGAAACATATAGAGACTTGGTAAATCTACTAGTAGATATACATAAGTTGCAGGAGTCAATGTGTAATTCAAATAGTACAATATTAGATTTTTTATTATGTGGAACTCTAAATGAAAATGAATTATGGTTAGATGATGATTTATTATCAAATAAATCTGGTGAAGAACCAGAGTTAAATATTAATAAGAATAAGAGAGAAAGATATGATGATGGATTTTGGAGGAAGTATGATGTACTTCCTAGAAAAACTTTAAAATGGTGTTTAGATATTGCTGATGAATGGAAAAAAAGTACTCAGATAGAGGTAAGTGTATAAACAATGATTAAAGTTCTTTTATTAATTTAAGAGAACTTTACAGATAGTAAGCGTGATTTGATTAAACCAAAAACTTCGATTATATTTCAACTAGTAATACTAATTGTGGTATAATCTGTTTCAATTATAATTTTTTTTGAAATAGTTGATGTATCTTTGGTAATAAAGAAATAATTTTTGTGGTACTCACAATTTTACAACAGATAAGTAAAGTCAGCTAATTGGTTTAATATGTAACTTATTGGTGTTACGCTTGTCTGACATTTATTCTTATTTTAATAATAGGGATATTATATTATTTATTTTTACTTCTATTTCATTTAATATTTAACTTTTGTCCTCACTTTATTTAGGTTCAAAGGAATTTTAGAGCTCTTGATCAGCCTATATCTGTCCAGTTACGTCACAACTTAACTGATAAAAATCGCCTTATTCAGAAATGTCATCCAAATCTATCTACAGCAAATTTTATAGGATCTGATATCATAAGGAATGGGAATTTTAGTAATATTTTAGAAACTTTAGTACAAGATATATTTGATGATACGGACTTTTTTGTAACACTATTAAAGGATGTTGTTTCTAACAAGACAGATATGAATATGAAAAATTCACTAAATATATCTTCAATTTATAATAGGGGGACAAGAAAAGTTAATGATGTTGATAGGAGAGCATCAAAAGGACGTAAAATCCGTTATGTACCTATTAAAAAGCTAGAGAATTTTATGACAGCCATACCTATCAATCCCAACATTAGCTATTTACCAGGTGCAAATGATGAAGAATTTGTGAATTGTTTAATGAGTGGACTTTTAGTTTCTTAGATTACATTGCAGGTTTTATAGTATATTAAGTCATTGATAGCCTTAAATATTACCTCATATTTTTTAAATAGATCTAAATATTAAGCAATATTAAGCGCTTATATTTGGAGGGGAGTTACACCTTAGTTGCAACCTCATTTTCTGCAGATAATATTTATAATTGTTGAACTTTAAAACCAAATAATTAGAGAAGTTTATTAAATTTTGACTTAATTATAATATAAATATATATTAGTGTCTTTGTATAGTAAGGGAAATAAGGTAGAATAAATCGTATAAGATTACCTTTATATTATAAATGGCCTATTCACCAATTATGTCTCCTACTAGAGGAGTACCAAATTCTCATGGACATCATATGAAAGAGGATAAATTATCTAAATATAGAAATGGGGCAGAAAGAGATTTGGATATAACTAAATATAGACCTGAAGAAGCAGTATACTACAATCCACCAATTGAAGCCATTAAATATGGTCAAGGAGAAACAGGAATGCGATATGTATTTGGAGATCTTGAACTAGATAACTATGAAGAGCAAAAAGTCACTGAAATGTTAGCATACTTGAAAAATCGACATGTATCTCTAAGGAACACTGCATTTAATGATAAACATTTATTACTACGCTATCTACAAGGTAATGAATATGACTTTGTTAAAGCATGGGATGACATCAAACGCCATGTACGTTGGAGACAACACTTTCGTACTATTGAGGATTGTCATAAATTACAGAAACTTCTAGAAACTGGTTATTGTTATATTCATGGCCGTGATAGATTCATGCGCCCTATAATTATATTTAGAGCTAAAGCATTTTTAGATGGTCAAGAACCCGATGATATTCTACATATGGTTTATCATTGGTTTGAATTTATAATTATGAAAATGTTAGTGTGGAATAAGATAGAACAATGGCGAGTTATCATGGATTTGGAAGATGTCTCCTTTTATAATGCTCCTATTTCACTATTAAAGGATATTGCGATTAACTTACAAAGAAATTACCGTGGATATTTAGCTCAAATGACATTTATAAATTCCCCAATTGTATTTTGGGGATTATGGCAAGCAATTAGTCTTGTATTACCCCAATCTACAAGAGAAAAGATTAGCCTCTTCACATCTGAATACAAGAATGACCTTCTAAAATATATCCATCCAAATCAACTTGAAAAGAAATATGGAGGGGATGCACCTAATGTCACTTTATTTTCGGAACCAGTATTACCACCAGCTCCTTTTAACTAATATATTGTTTTTAGTTAAACCTAAATTAAATATTTAGTTTGGTCCTTGATATCTAATATCTAACAAAATAAAATGATATAATATATTTCTATTTAAAATAAGATCACCCACTGCAATATAAGTAGAATAAATAATACCATTGCAATTAAACAAAGAGTAGTGGTACTAGCCATCTCAGTTAATCTATTAAGTACTCTCTGTGTTATTTTAATACGTCTACCAGTGGAGCCCATACTATTATTCATATCACCAAGCATATCTAGATGTAGCCTAACCTCGGATTGAATGCCATATCCTATATTCTTTAATTGACTAACCGTAGATTCCAATATATTTAGTGAGGATGTATGTACATCTGGATAGTTAGGATTTACCCCATTATTATTACTATTGGTCCAGTCTGTATCTAGATTATCTTCATCATCATATTTGTGATCTATTTCCTCGGATAAGCTATTAGAGATGTCATTCTTATTATTATTAAAAAGGTTTTTATAATATTCCTTACCACTCATAACCTACCTTGAAGTTTTCTTAAATAAAGTAGTTCAGTTAAGGAAAATTCCCTCTAAAGCGCCGGCGCTCTACCACTGTTCTAAATAATACCCACTAATTGAAGTAATAGGCGGCACTGTGAATATCGATGCACAGCTTAAAAGTGTGGTAAAATTTCTGAAGTCAAACATTAATAGAACTAATTGTAGGTATATATACAATAAAGTCAAGATATATTATGACACCTGACGTATTCACAATAATATATGTTAAAGTATTACTTGGAATTTAAGTAGTACATAGGTTGTGATATACATTAATGTTACTAAGAAGAAAAGTTTAAATAAAATGATACAATTAGTAATACAAGGTCTTTGCATTGATTTCTATTGAGAGTACACTATGGTGTGAAATTTCCTAGTTTAGATATTTATTTTCAATACATCTCTCTAACTTTGATATTCTAGATGCAAGAATAAGATTTTCAATATTCCCTATTTATTATTGCTTGAAATAAAGCTAATTAATTTGTTTAGTAAATATTAACTTGTCAAATTATTGCTGCCTACAAGCAACTCTCTCTGTACCACTATGATGACCTTCATCTTCATCTTCTTGATAAGCTTCTTTCTGCATCCTATCTTTTACTTCTGAAGGTTTCGTGTTTGTAGTATAGTGAATCTCAATATTTGGATCATTTTCTGAAACATTTAAAGGTTGAGGGGCTGGTAGAATTGATTTTAATGTATCTTGTGCTTTTTTATTCAAGCTATCTGGAAATGTGATGTTAATAACCAAAAACAAGTGACCCTTTACAAATGGATTCTTATATGTAGGCATACCTTCTCCATTTATACATTTAATATCACCAGGTTTAGCAATATCTCCAGGGTTAGACTTCACTAGTAACTTTCTACCATCTAAGTGTGTAACTGTAAAAGTATAACCCGTTAATGCCTCCACCAATGTTATATTCTTCTCCATAAATAGATCACCTCCTCTTCTCTTAAAAGTTGAATGCTCTTGTTCATCTAAGACAAACACCACATCTCCCGGTACCTCACCTTGTTTCTCATCTGCCTCTCCATGGAAAGTAACTTTATGATGATTTGGTATACCCTTATCTATATTTACTTCCAAAACTTTTCGCTCTTTTACAGAACCACTACCGTTGCACTTTTTACACTGTTTAGAAGCCGGGATAATCTTACCAGTTCCTTTACAAGTAGTACATGGTGATTGAGTTTGTTGGACCATTGGTCCAATCTGCCTAATTTGAACTCTAATACCTTGTCCTTGGCATAATTCACAATATTGAATTGCATCCTTTGGACCTCCTACACCTTCACATTCATCACAAATTGTATCTTTATTAATAGCCATCTTTCTTACTGAGCCATTATATATTTGCTCTAGTGTAACTTTCAGGTGAGTCACAATATCTTCACCACGTCTTTTGCCTCCACGACCTCCACCAGATCTACGTCCACCCCCAAAAATAACATCAAACAAATCCACAGGATCTGAACCTCCTCCCCCTCCTTCTAAACCCTCCTCACCATATTCATCATATATTTTTCTTTTCTCAGGATCACTTAATATTTCATATGCTCGACTTATTTCCTTAAATTTTTCCTGGTCACCTCCCTTATCTGGATGATGTTTTATTGCTAAACGACGATATGCCTTCTTAATTTCACTTAAAGTTGCATCTTGACTTATTTCAAGTGTTTCGTATAACTTTTTATTATCCACATCCCGAGACGCACGACCCATTCTACCATCAAATCCTCCACCCATATCGAAAGGCATAGATGAGAAAAACATTCTTATATATATTAAAAATCCTAAAAAGTCCTTATACTTCTAAGATATAACCTTTACTATATAATTTTTTTCTTTAGTGAAAAAAGAGAATTATATTGCAACAGTCTGATCAGAATAAAACTTCACTTGCCTACCCTCCATCTAACCCCCCCCCTCTCTACTCAGCACGTGTCGATACTTTTTAAGTACATTATATTTATACAACAGACCTAAAGTACCGGTATATATATTAGCGCCCAAATTAACATTACGAAGAGCTTAGTCTTGAAATCTATTTAAGCGCAATAGTTTAGTCCATTAATACTTCCAATAACTTTTCCAATAAGTATTTTCACCCTTTTGGAAAGCTATAAGACAAGTTATCTTTACTGAGTGTTAGTATCCCAATTATTTTCATGTGTGGATGGCTAAAGTATCACTTTTGCGAATATTTTCGATAGCTCTTTGGACTCTAAAACAGATCAATTGCTACTATGCATTAAAGAATACTTTAAACTGTAAATATCCACTATTACCAGAATTTATTAATGGGGTTGGTTTGGGTACTGAACATTTATACATATCAGAAGTCCGTGGGATCTATCATAAACCGGAGAATCAAATTCATTTAGAAATATATGAACCAAGCATTGTGACAATATCCTTAGAAAAGTCCTATGAAAGTACTTTAGATCTTTCTTACTTGAATATTTTACATAAATTAAATGATAAACCAGGTGATGTTATATTATTCGGAAACCATACTTGGGGAAGTGCAGGAAACAACACTAGATTACTTCTACGTGGACTACTACAACCATCACCATATATTATATCTATAGGATCTAATTATATTAAAGATGAATATATATCTGGGAAAGTTGATACAGAGTTCTGTTCCCCTATAAGATTTGATTTAGCTCTAGTTAAGGAAGAAGATATATCATACAGTAAATGCATGGTAATTAACCCATTTAAAGAATTAATTGTTCATTTAGATGAATCTGTACCTTATAAATTCTCAAATGAAGTAGATCACCCATTTTTATTAAAGACTCCTGAAAGTTTGCATTTATACAATAAATTATACAAAGGAAGAATTTTATGGTCCAAATTGTTTTTTGTTCCAATAAATAAAGCTAAACCTGATAATATGGTTCATATAGCTGTTGAACTGGGTTTTAGATACATATTTTCACCATTGCAATTAATTCTGGAACCAATAGGTTCAAATGTTAACATGAATGAATTATTAAAAAAAGATGTTGGAATAGAAGAAAAAGTTTTATCTAGAGTTTTATTTGGTTCACCAATATATAATGGGCAAGTATTTAGAGAGACTATTGCTTTAAGATCTTTTAGACTAATTATTATTGTTCCAGAAATGTCTCATATCCCAACATGCATATCTTTTGACTTGAATATACAAATTAAAATACAACCACCAATATATAATCCGATGAATACTGCTTTATTATCATTTAATCAATGTAATTTGAAAAGGATACCAAGTTTTTTAATTCAAGATGGAATTGAGCTATTTGCTAATTCTCAAATATCCAAGGTCCAATTGGGAAGTTATATGTTTGGTTCAGTTATTCAAATTAAAGGTAGTTTTGCACCTCCACATTCTACATCATTATCAACAATTAATATCAGATTATCAAAACCAAGTACTTTTTATATGCTGGCATATCATGATCATTCAGAAATTTCAGTTGTCTTGTCAAAAAGTAGTTCTTTTTCTCAAAAGGAAATAGATGAATTTTATAGTGAGAAAAATAATAGTGAAGTGGATGATACTCGTCATAGCCAAAATGAGAATATTATTTGTAAGAGTACTAATTTAGCAAGAGAAGGGATAACAATAAAAGAAACACCTTACATTTATTGCCAGGTAAAAAGTGCAGGTGATTATTATTTGCATATTTATAATTTTCTTCTTAATGATTCTAAGAATTCTGTACTCTCTTGTTCTCCTCTTCATCTTCATATTGAAGTTATACCACTTATTGCTCAAAGATACTCCTGCCCAATGAAAAATTCAATAGAAAACTTTTTATTAAGAATTAATAAGGAGTCATCGCAAGTTCACATGAATAATAACTATATTTATCTCGGAAAGAGTAGTGATTCTACTTATTTTAAGGATAGAGATATTATACTTTTATATAGCAAAGATTTTGAAGTCCTAGAAAGTGAGGAGGACTTTTATTTTACTACTACTCTAACTATTCCAGAACATGCATATATAATGGTATTTATGAACCTTTTATACAAAGGAGAACTCTGGAGTGTTTTAAATCCAGTGTATAGGAGAACATTCCATAATTCAATTGGTCCATTATTACCTGGTAAATACACAATACAACTATTTGCTTCTAGACCATCAGATGAATTAAATCCTTATTTTAAAAGTAATCTATCAAATTTCAAAGAGAAAGATAGGATAAAAGCTGATTGTATTTCATTTATATATAATATAAGACTTGTAAGGATATCTGAAGTAAACACTTCAACTCTTATATCAATGAATTCTACTGAAGATGCAAAACAAGTTTGGCACTCTAAGATGTGTGAAATTAATCATATGACACTACCAAGTATTATAGATTTGAGGATACTTTCACCAGAAGAAGATTATATTTTAGATGGGACATACCTTATACCACTAGATGAATATGAGTTAGAAGATGAAGATAATAATATTATGAATAGTAATGAATTTTGGTTTCAAGATCTTACTAGTTTAGCTAAAATCACTATATACTTATCTACAAGAAGTGTTTTAAATGCTGCAATTGAAAACTATCATGGAATTGTCTACTTATATACAAAGAGTATTAATTTGAATGAGTTTAAAAAAGGTTATAACAATCTCTTTATTGAATTGAATGAAGGTGTACATAATCTATTTTTACAATTTGATCTACTTGAAGATTTTATTGATGAAACAATTGAAGAGGGTGGATGTCCTCAATTCAAATTTCACTTATCTATATCATCTTTAAAATTACTCCCAATATTTCCTGCTTTATTAAGTAAATCGTCAAATTTCAAGTTATCTTTTTCAAGTTTGAACAAGAAATGGACCCAAAAAGAAATAACTAATATTGCTAATAAATATACTAAGCAAATTCTGCCAACTAATAAGATATCTTTGGATCTTACGAAATTAATCTCACGTAACTCTAATAATTATATATTTTCAATTGATAATGGTAATGGAGTTGAATTAAGTGAATTGAATTTTTGGTTCTCACCATTAATGAATCTCACATTTCCAATTACAACTAAAAGTGACAAAAGTAGCTTAACAGTAGAACTTTTTTTAATTCCAAATTGGATACCACTTGTTGCTAATCTCATCAAAATTCAAAATCAAACACAAAGTTATAATAATGGAAATCTTCACTTAAAAAGTGCCACAAATATAAAACCACTGCATTATAATCAACACAGTGTAGAACTTTTGGATTCCAATGTAGAACGTGGTTCTTATATTCTTAGTATTCACGCACGTGGAACTTATTCTGTGGAGGCATTAAATCGCTGTTCTCTGGTCAAAATAAGGATTATTTTATCATCAACTACAGAATCTAAACAATTCTCTCTTCGTCAAGAACTCCTAAATATACCGGATTTATTACCATCCCTTACTCTACCTGATTCATTAAATAGATTAAGTTTTTTACCAAATAAGGATACTAATATAGTTGCGACAATGCTGATAAATCTAAAGGAAAAAAAGCAAACATTCATATATGTACCAAAAGGACAATTAATATTGATTAGATATATTTTTGAGCCATCATTTATTGCAATATATGAGGTTTTTGTTTCTATTTATCCAACTTCAACTGAAGATCATAATGTGGAAAGACCTATATTTGAGTCTGGTAAGTATGGTGATACCTTAACAGTTTTAAGTCATGGAAATTATACTATCCAATTTCAATCAAATCCAAATGACTTACCATATTTAATTACTATTGGTTTGACATATTTCGATCCCTTAAGATTTTCTAAGTTCTTTGAAAAATTCAGAACACCAAGGTTACAAAAATCTGAAGGAAGTGTTCAAGAACATGATCACTCTATTGATAGTGAAGAAATAAAAAAGAATCCAATTAAATTATCTAATAATAAATTCCACTGTCACTATTTTATTGGTAATTTAATGCGTGAAATAAATTCAGAAAAAGAGATTTACTATAATTCAGGGAAAATAAATGTATGTCAAGGTCCTTCCAAAGGTAAATTTGTAAATAGTTTTACTGATATGAGCTTAAATGTAGAAACATCATCTATTGTATACCTTGAAATTAATTCAAATTTTTTATACCACTTTTATAGAATTGGAATTATTGTTCCTGAAGGCTATTGGGTAGCTGAACAGCGAGGTATGCAAAGTTATCTAGAAGTTGAGTTGGCAAAAGGAAATTATATAGTACGTATTGAATCCTTAAATTCTTATTCGGAATTTGAAGATCCAAATATAATTCAATTTACTTTGTCTATAAACATAAATCCAATGCAAGATAGTTCTACAGTTAATAGTTCAATATCAAATAGATCAGATGTATCATTTAAATATGAATGTTATATTCCAAACAGTGTACCCCTACCTCTAGATCTTTCAAGTATACAAGGTGGTAGTACTGTATATGGAGGACCAATAGATCCAACAAATCCTAATTATCTTTTAAGAGCAAGAGTAATATTAACAGATATTCACAACGGACGGAAAAAAGTATATTTTGAATTAGCTAGGAGGTACTTACCAATATTTGTAAGGATATCTGTACATCCAGTTAATTTTGATATCTCAGATACACCTAACTTACTCCAAATATTTTTAATGAATATGAAAATGATTCCATTATCACCTATATCATCATTTGTTGATCAAGAATTCAATTCTATTGATTATATATTCAATGTTGACAATGAATCTATTCTTCAGAGTCAGCTAGAAAGTCAAAATTTACCTTATTGGCTAACATTTACCCATTCTATTGAATCATCTACACATCGTCCATCATGTATTGCTTTTGATTTGGTTATACATATAGTGAAGATGAATAGTGAATTTAATCAAAGTTATTTTAAAGATGATATGCAACTAACTAAATCTATAGAGTCATGGAGAGATCATATACAAACTAGAATAGATAAAGCTCTAAAAGTTAGGGATTTTCCCCAATATATTCATATATCTTCAGGTCCAATTATGCTGCAAATAGCAGAAACTATTGATGAGGAAATATTTATAGATTTATCTGAAATATCTCTCTCAGAAGTTTTTTTAATCATTAATATATATTATAATCCTTTATTAGTACTTGCTAAATTAGCAATCTTTCCAGAAAATGATCAGAATATTAGCAATTCTGATGTAATACCAATACACTCAAGTGTATTTCATTTTACTGGTAATATTTCAACTCCACTTTATGGTAAGCAGACAATATCAATGGTTGTTAATAAACAGTTTTATACTCTTGAACTTTCCTTAACAAATTTACCACCATTTATGTTAAAGTCAGTACCCATAAAATTTGACATTTCTCTTGTTTCAATGCGACATAGAGAAGGTATGAAACCATTGATTATTTCAGTTAATCCTGATCTATCAGTACCAATTTTATCTGGTCAGAATCTTCAAGTAACAATTAGATTATCTATTCCTTTACTTGAAAGGAAAAATTCGAATGAATTATTAAAATGTTTCTATATTATAGGAAAAACAAGTATTGAGTCCACTTCTGAAGCTATATATCCTTCAAATATACAGATATTAGATTCTGGATTTGGAGTTAGTATAACATTTAATAGTTGGGAAATAACAAAGACTCTAGTTAATAATAATGATCAACATACTCTTACAGGATATATTGTAATTAATAATAAGAAATTAATTCCAAAAACAATTCATTTAGAATATTATACATTTGCACCCTGGATATATTCTGAACATTTGGACAATCAGAATTTATACCTACCAATATCTGCATATAAATCTAACTCTGTTGGGTGGGCCACTTTACCATGGAATGGCAAATGGGACTTAATCAATTTCGAAAAATTCCAAGTAAATAGATTAAGTGAAATTAAAAGAGCATTATTTGGAGAATCTAGTGGAAATATAAAGAAACAGCCAGAAATATCTACAACCCATATAGACGATATACCTAGTGAAAGCATTAACTTCTCGACAGATCAACACATCCACATGTTAAATGTCCTCAAGGTCCTTATTATTACCTTCATTATTACTATTCTATGTTATATAATTTATCTTATGACTAATATAAAGTATTGGTTTATAACACTTAGCAAATTCTTAACTAGTTCATTTATTAATCCAAATAAAAGGGGGGACTATGACCTCGTTAGTGAAAAGAATGACTTTGACTTCTTAGATACTAATGATAGTGAAGATGAAAACCCTTCAAAAAGATCTGGAACTAGTAAAAAAAAAATTTAGAATATTTTAGAAAAATAATAAATCTTTAAGTATTAAAAATAGTGGGATACTCCCGCCTATTATTGTACCCGCATGGATGTGCCGCCTTTACGTTTTCTTTTTTCTCTTTTTTTACTAGCCTCTTTCTTTTACTTCTTCCTCAATCTATCTTTTTTCCTCTTTTATGTCGAAAACGACTAGTAGTGGTGTTTTAGCAATATAATTTGTTAACTGAACTTAAGCAGCTAGACACCTTTGAACTGAAGTTTGTGACGGAAAAGTAGGAAAAAAGACTACAGATAGGGTATAAAAGATAGAAAGGTTTCATTTAACCTAAAGAGGAGATATCTTCTTGAATTTAACTAAGGTTTTCTGATAAACCTGGATCTCTGTAATATCTGGAATATTGATTTTAAATAATCTATTGGCTTTGACTTGATCACTAGGTAGATAAATCTAGTACTGTGGTCAGCCCTACTAACAAAGTCTCAAAGTAGAGCGATTTCAGATCGGATACTTTGGTTATTAAATCTAATTGTTCAATAGGAAGGAAATCTTGTTATTTGAAATAATCTTAGTCTCTTGTTATGGTCCGTAATTGGATTCTAGTCTTGTCTAGTTAGATAATTACAGATGGCTACTGCTATTGAAAGCGAACATTACAATCACATAGGAAGGTCTTTGTATGACAAATCCGGTGTTTATGATGATGAACTACTTCGTTGGATAGCTGAAGCCGAATATTTAGGGGTATCTAGGGAAACTGCGATACTGGTTGCTACTAAGCGTCGTGCTTTATCTCTAAATAAAGCTGCTGCAAGTTTAGATAATTTGCAGTGTACTTCATGCACTGAGAATATTTCTAATGTCTCTAATCTTCATATGGAGATCCAGGCAGTTCCTACTGTCTCAACAATGGCAACAACTACTGTTGCATTAAATAATGGATCTTCTCCAATGGGTATTCCAGAGGACATTAAGAAGAAGAGACGTAATCGTAGAAGGCGAAAGAATAAATTAATATCAAATATTAATAGTATAAATAATGAAAAGTCTATCCACTTCTCTGGAATTACAAATGATATTAACCATTCTATAGTAAATACAGGAAATAATGGGATAACCATGAATTTTAGTGATGATAACAGCAGTGTTGACACTACAATGGGGATTGTTAATGCTGGCTGTGAAACTGAGAAGATGAATCATTTATGTAGCTTAGATGCAGCTGTTGCTGCTCAAAGTTTTAATCCTTTCTTAACTATTAATTCAGTTAGACAAAGAAGAAAGAGGCGTGTTTGTAAAAATCAAAAACCTTCTGTTATTAATATACAGGATTCACATCAACATTTAAGTAATACTAACAGTATTTCTGATGTCAGTAATAATTTCCCTGTTACATCATCACCTTGTGTTAAACGAAATTTCCGCCGACGATTTAGGAAAAATAAATTTCACAATCTCACCTCTACTACTACTACATCACCTGAAATAAAACCTATACAAAGGCGTGGTGGAAGACGATACAATTATGATAGGGGTAGAAGGAGGCCTGGGAAGAGTGATGTAGTTAATCATGTTAGAGAACAATTACGTTTAACATATGAAGCTAGAGGATTAGATATGTAGTTGGTACAAATCTAAATTATCTAATATATTATAAAGTAGAATAATAGTTATTTTTAATAATAAATCTGTTACTTATTTACTACTATTTCCCAAAGTATTAATAAAAGACTCTTTAAATATAATCTTGTAATTTTTAATATTATCGAAATTAATAATTCATTATTATCATGTATAAATCAAAATTTGATCAAATACTATTATAAAAGATTCCTTAGTATTAATATTACAAAATTACTGGATCTAATAATAAGTCTTTATAATAACAATAGTAGCTAATATTACTTGGTATATAATTAATTATTATTTAATAATTAAAATAATCTACAATATATTACAATATTAAATATAAAGTACAATCTCAAAATGACATTTAAATAGAAAAATTGACACAATTAAAATATATCACTATATTTATAATACATATAATTTCACATATAACAAGTTATTTTAGTATCTATAACAATTGTAACACTATCTAGATTAATTTGTGTATATTTTAATAAGATTAAGCTAAACTTTTCAAATAATTTATAAATTATTAGCCCATTATATTAATTGGAAGAAAAAAGTCAAATAATTTAATGATTATTTTATCTCACTACATATCATAGTAAATTAGTAAAATATTTATAATATCAACTTTTAAAAGGAATATCCAAATAAATAATATTAATATAGAATATACAAAACTTGATTAAGTATTATATTTATCAATTAAAATACAAAATATTTCACTTTTCTTATTCCTAGTATAGTTACATTAATTTCAAATTCCTTCTTTATAATTGTAGACAGAAATTCCAAGTAATTTAAATATTAACACTATATTTAGGGACAAGGACGTTATTAGCGGTATTTGCCACAACAGATACTGGTATCTACTGGATTTATGTGTCTCTTATAGACTAGATTTACATATTGTAAATTAATAATACAAGTAAGCAGAAAACAATTAACTATAAGATAATTAACATAGATTGGAGTCGTATATATCAATATATATATTAATAGAAGACTGCAAACAGTTAAGAAGAAATGGCAAAGTTTTCTGCAGAAAATACATCCTTATTACCAACAATTAATCCTTATAAGGATGATAAAAAAGCAAGTTTAATAGAACGTTTATCTGAACAGTTAATTATTAGTATGGAGAAATTAGGGCTTAGACATGTTAATAAGAGTTCAGTGACATCTGCATTTTTTGCACTTGTTAATACAACAATGGGAGTGGGAGTACTTGGACTTCCATGGGCATATAGTGAAAATGGTCTCCTCCAAGGAATTTTATTAACTCTTCTCTCTGGAATATTTTCAATCTTGGCGTGTGTATTACTTTCTGAAATATCATTGGTATTAGATAAAAATGGTGAAAATGAAGCCGTCACATACTACACAATTGCAGAAAAGACATTTCCAAAACTGAAATCAATTATAGATATGTCAATTCTTGTTATGTCTTTAGGTGCATGCAGTACTTATCTTATTGTAGTTGTGTCTGTATTGCAAACTTTATTTGAACCATTCTTTCCAGATTCAATGAGTGGATCAACAGTTCGAACTTTAATTTTATTTGCAGTTGTTATTTTTGTTATTGGTCCTGCAAGTTATCCTACAACATTAGCTGAATTAACAATAATAAATTGGATAGCTGTATTTTCTTCTTTATATGTGGTAATTGTAGTAATGTATTCTTTTCTTTCTCAAATTTCCCAATTACCAATCTTATTACAAAGAGTAGATCTATTTAGTACAAATTCTGCTATTAATCTTTTACAGACATTCCCAATATATGTCTTTTCCTTTACATGTCATCATAACTTTTTAAATGTTGCTAATGAATTGGAAAATAGAACACTTTTTAGATTAATCATTACATGTATCTTATCAATTGGATTTTGTATAATTGTGTATATATTTATGGGGATCAGTGGTTACTTATTATTTGGAAATACTTTAAAATCTTCAGATATTCTTAGTATGTTTGATACATCAACTACTATTATTCTTATTGCTCGAATTGTTTTAGTATCTTCTTTGGTATTTTCCTTCCCAGTTTCTTGTCATTCCTTTAGAAAATCTTTAGCAATTATTATAAAAGGTGGACAAGATGCTGATAGCTCATTTCCAAAGGATAGATATATGTTACGTTCAATTACTCTTTTATTCCTCTTCATATGTACTACTATTGCATTCCTTACTACTAATCTTGGATTAACATATGAGCTTATTGGTTTATTTTGTTCAAATACAGTTTGTTATTTTCTTCCAGCAGTTTTATTTCTTAAAATCTTTTGGGATAAACCTTTGGGACCTCTAAAGATCTCTGCCATTATATTATTGATTTTCTCAGTTTTAGTATATCCAGTATGTTTCTCAGCAATACTATATCCTTATTTTTATAGACAAAATAAGTCGTAAATGTATTTGTATTTAGATCGAGATTTATTATAATACTTAAGTCAAAGATATATCTAAATTTCTCTTTAATTACATAGTTTTATTTAGAATATCTAAATATTTTCTTTTTTAATCCGATACCTATTATTTTGTATTGTGCAACACAACCTTGGCGCTAATGTATCTTACATCACGTGACATGTCATGTCTAAATATATTACATGTTCTTCAAAGTTAATTCATATTATTTTATCTTTAGAAAATAAAAGAAAGTGAATTTAACAATGATAGTATATAAAAATAAGTTATTATGAGGATTTTCTCAAAGATTCTTCAATTTTTTTTTGGTATTAAGTATTGTTTACAAGAATATTTCTATACTGATAATGAAGAAATAAATCTTAATACTAATTGTTACAAAACTAAATTAATAGATTGGAGTAAACAAAATTTATTATTATTAGATTCTAGTCATTTTATTTACTTATATAAAAAAATTAATGATCCATATAATTATAAAAAAGTAAAATTATATGGTAACCCAGTTTCAATTAAAGGATATATATTATCTAAACACCCTAACAAGATTCAACCTAAAATATTTGATAAATTAGAAATTAACCATATTTTAAACCCTAATTATCATAGATACAATCATAATCATAATCATAATGATTCAGAAATTAAAGTTCCAAGATTAAATATATGTAATAATAATAAACAATCAATCTATAAAATGTTATCAAATTCATCTATAAATTATTTTAATAATCAAATTAGAAATTCAATTAAACAAGATGATTTAATAAATACTGGTCTACCTAGGATATTAAATATAAGTAATCAAAATTATAATATAGAATGTTATTCATTAAATTCTATAAATAAACAAAATAAATTAATAACAGAATCTGAAACTAAGATATTAACTCCTCCATCTAATAAATTGAATGACAACATATCTAAATTAAAGGTATATAATTCAGAAAATAATATTAATAAATTTTCACAATCACAATCAAATATTATAAATAATAATATACATCCTGATTCTATATATCAGATTATAGAAGATAAGAAAAGTGTTACACTTTCAGGATATGGAACATATTTATTAGGACTCTAAATAGAATATTACTAATATTTTTTAATGGTATTATAGTAGAATAGTTTAGTGTAATTAGGTTATTTTATATGGATTAATATAAAAGTGGTAAATATTATAAACAAAGAAAGAACTACAAACCACATAGGCGGTATATTTCTAATTTTTTTTTATTAATGATTTGGAGTAAAAAAATTTACTAATCTTTTGTGATGTCAATATCAAAGGCAACAATTTTCTATAAATTCAAAAGTGAAAAGAAATTTAAGGGATTAACTTGTGATTTGCCAGCTCTAGTATCACATGTTAGGGCTAAACTACGAGTAATTCTTCATATAGGTGAGGATATGGAGATTTTAATCTCTGCAAGTGATTCTAATGGCAAATTGATTAATTCCTATCTCTCAGATTATGATGTTGTAAATTCTGGTACATATTTTAATGTTATAAGACTCCCAAAAGAATCTGCAAAACCTTTATATGAAGCTGCTAATGCAAAGGTACAAGGAAAACAATTACCAAATACAAAGCCCCTTAATTTAATAGGAGCGCCTACTGGTTCAATAAATCCTTCTAATGGAAAAACAACAGATGAAAATTTAAATATTACATTAAAGAATGATTTAAAGGATATAAACCACATAAATCTATCAACTGAAGTGACAAACTATTCAACTTCAGAAGATGCTGCTATACTATCAGTAATGCAGCAGCACGGTGATAGATTTAAACAAAATGACTCGCAAAGAAACGAGGCATTAGAACAATTAAATAATAGATATTATAGGAATAGATATATAAATCAGGCAGGAATACTGAATACAAATATTAACTATAGATGTGATCCCTATAAGAAAACTATAAATCAAATACAAATACAGAATACATATAATTCCGTAAATAATTCTAAAGGTAATTCAATTAATATAATGAGTTCTATAGATGTTCCAGAAGATTATATTTGTCATATGTGTGGTGAAAGAGGTCATCATATTAGAGTTTGTCCTAAAGTTAATGAAGGTGCTTCTCAAAAGAAGATCCGACCAGCAACAGGAATCCCAAGAAGTTTCCTTCGCCCAATAAATTTTGATGAAGAAGGAAGATTATATTCAGAAATTTACTGTCTCCCTGATGGAACATTTGCAGTTCTTAAAGATGCAAAACAGTTATCTAGTACAGCTTTTTTAACTAGAACTGTTGAAGATACTATTGGTAAACATATGGGGAAGTCAAAGAAAGATACAGGATCTGTTAGGAATTCACTTACTTGCCCTATATGTACAAGATTATTTAGGTATGCTGTACTTGCTCCATGTTGTGGTGAAACGTACTGTCAGGAGTGTATAATTAATTTTATTAGAAATCACGTTGATACGGCATCGGGAGTGTCTCCGAATACAATCCGTGGAATGTGTCCACACTGTTCTACAGTTATATCTATTGCTGATCTTGAACCTAATAATCCTATAAGAACTAGTGTAAATGTTGCTCTTGGTCTCCAGTCTAATTAGACTAATGAAGATTTATAATTTATAACCTCTTTTAAAAATAATATTAGAACAAAGCAGTAGATTTGCTTTTATTTTAGAAACTGAATTGTAATATATATATTTATCAAATTTATATCTGTTCATAGTTCTTTAAATTATTTGTCTGGTTTAATTATTGAGTCATATTCAACAACAATAGGTTGTAGATTTTCAATACCTAAATCTTCTATTGAATCACTTTCTGGAACTTGCTTTTTTGTATGAATTGCATTTATAAAATTATCCCATTGTTGATTTGTTAAATGTAGATAATTACAAGTTTTATCTTCTTTTTTTAATCCAAAACAATTCTTAATATATTCCCAGTATTTATAACATTTAGATTTTGAATTATCATTGGGTTTATTTAAGGGTCTGAGTGTTCTCCTAATATTATCTTTCTTTTGACGTATTTTTGTACGGGTTATTTGTGATTTATCTTCAATATTAGCTCCTTTATAATATTTAGATGATATGTCTATACTTTCATCTTTGTTATTTCTTGAATTTCCATTAAAATATTCATTAATTAAACTCCGAATTGATTCATCACAGCTTATATGCACACTTATACTTTTATCTTGTTCAATATCTTCTTTTTTTGAAATAGTTTCTTTAGAGCTATGTGATATATATTTATCTATATTATTTGATTTATTATTAGAATCACTTTTTTGTATATTTTTATTACATATTTTTTGTTCATTTGGAGGTTTATTTGAAGGTATATTTGAAGTTGAAATTATTTGTTTACCATTTGGTTTACTTTCTGTTTTATTATTTATCAGTTCCAAAATTTTTTCAAGTCTTAGTTGTAATCTTATAAACTTTAATTCTTCATCTTTAAGTTCTTTATCTATACATTTTAATTTTTTTTCTATATTTGTACCATATTGACTAGTATACAAATCAAATTGGGTATATCTAGTTATTAGATCTTTTATAGATCCCGAATATTTATTTATGAGTTCATTTAATTTATTATTGGTTAGTCTTTGTATATCTATAATATTCTCTATTTTGTACATTTATATTTATTAATGAATAAATTTTTTAAAAAGTAGAGGATTCACACATTACATGTAACAAATGCTGCATTGCTTTATTCGGTACCATTTAAGCGGGTCATACATTTTTTGGCGGTTAATCTATCTATTAGTCACTTCTCTTTAACCTTAATAATATTATAAAAAATATATTTGTTAGGGTCTTATAGATAACTTGGAATATTTAATATACTTTATTAACTTAGAAGCCTTCTATATGGCTAAGTTAATCTCTACAAAGTTTGGAAAGAAAGGGACTTGTATTGAGTTTGATGCTACTAAAAGAAATGAATTTATAAAGAGTTTTCAGAAGAAACGAAAAGAAAGTAAGGAGAAGAATAATAAAATAAGGAAATATAAAGAACAAAAAATTAAAGGAAGTATAAAGAAAGATGTAAAGGAAGCTATGAAATGTCGTATTAAAGAGATAGAAGCAGTTACTCAAATAGATGGTATGTTAAACAACTAAATAATTATATATATTAATTTTTAAAATTAGAATGAAAGGACTAAGAAGATATTTCTAATTATTATTACGAGTTGATTTTAGGTATTAAGAGAATAGATGTAATTCCAAATTATGAAGCAACTACAAAATCTAAACCTAGGGTAAGATAATAATATAAATATATTATTTAGATTTATTATATTATTTATTTTAGTTAATTAAGTTTAAAGGGGAATTTAACGAAGTTAATAATCCTTGGTCAGTGCCATGTACTATCCAGATATCTGATAATATTGATTTTTAAATTGATATTTTGAATATATAAAAAGAAGTGAGAATTAGTTATTTGTATTAATTAATAGATATTATTTTTAGTATATAAATTATATTTCTAAGAATAATATTAAGTAATAAACTTCTAAATAGTTGTATTTTCTAAATTCTCAAGATATTTAGAATTAATTTCACTAAAAGGAAATAATTGATTATTTGTTTCTAATGCTAAGTGAAATCCAATATTACATTCCTGTTTAGATTCCTCATTTAAAGGATCTACATTAAGTACTTGTAATTTCGAATCTTCAATTGATTGATTTTCAGCATTAATTTTTTTTTGTATTAAGAACCAATAGTACGAATTCTTTAAAAATCTTCCAATACTTCGTCCTCCATATGATATCTCTGAATATATGTTCTGATCTACTAAACTTTCTTGACTAAATTTATTGATTCCTGTAATAAAAGGTTCAAAACTTCCAAATAAACTTCCCATATATTTACTGCTTTTGATAGAGTTTTTATATGTATTTTCAAGGTTCAAAATTGAGGATTGGATATAGTTTAACTCGTTTCTTAGTTTGAGAATTGTTTTTTGAGTTACCTTCCCTTCCTTCTCTTTAAATTCTTCTTTATTTACACATTTTTTCACATTTTTTGTAAGTCTACCTTTTTTTACTTTGGTAGATTTTGATACTCCCCTAGTTTCAGTTAATTTTATATCTGAATATTCTGGGACTGAATTAATTTGTATTTGCTGACAATCTACATTATTTAAAGAATTAATATCAGTATTAAAATTGACAGGAGTATTATTATTGAACACTACCTGACTACTTTTCATAGTAATATTGAAGGCAAAGAGGATTTTACTTTTAGATAGGTGCAGCTTCTAAAACTTCATAGCTATATAGGCGCTAATAATGGCGCTATATGTTATACTACACGAAGAACTTTTATTTTATTACCTTTATTATTATAGAGATTAGTTAAGTAATTTTAAAAGCTTATCTGAAAATTTTCTTGCTAAGAAAATGTCTTATATGCTTCAGCATCTAAGAAGTGGGTGGGCTGTAGATCAAGCTATTGTGAGGGAGGAAAATCGAGTTGTATGTATTAGATTCGGTCATGATTATAATCCAGACTGTATGTTAATGGATGAAACTTTATACAAAATAGCTGAGGATGTTAAAAATTTTTGTATAATATATTTAGTTGATATAACTGAGGTACCTGATTTTAATACTATGTATGAACTTTATGATCCTGTATCTGTGATGTTTTTCTTTAGGAATAAACATATTATGGTTGACTTAGGTACTGGTAATAACAACAAAATAAATTGGCCACTAACTAACAAACAAGAGCTAATAGATATTATAGAAACTGTATATAGAGGTGTTAGAAAGGGTAAAGGTCTGGTTATATCACCAAAAGATTATTCAACTAGATATAAGTACTAATCAAACAGGTTAAGTTTATAAGAGAAATCAATTTAAATAAGATATTCATGTTATAATATAAATTAAAGTATATTTAAAGGAACTAAATTATTTATATATTACTAAGAAAGCTGAGAAATCTTATCTTCAATAAGAGATGCACTATGACAAATCCATTGTATTAATTGAGTATCATTGTTTGGATCTATTCCATCATCAATAGCCCACTGAAAAACTATATTTTGAGCATCAATAAGTGATATCCCCAACTTTTGAGAAATTTCATTCCTTAAAGAAAATACTAAAAGCTGTCTTTTAATTCGATAGATAAAGAATATTCTAGCATTTTTCCATGGTACAATGTCACGAATAGCATGTTTAGCTTTCATCCTATTAGCGGTATCATGAAGATCTGCAAAATGAACTGCTGCAGCATGATATACAGGTAATAAGAAACTACATCGTTTACTTATTTCTTCCTTGATAGAACTTCGTTCTACTGAATCAATTGGATAACCTTTTAAATGTAATTGTTTATCCTTTTCTTGTAATGATAATAATTGAGGATCTAATCTCATCATCCACTCTTTCAAAGCTTTATGTCTAAATCTAATTTCAACAATACCCGTTGCCTCTAATACACCTCCACGTGCTGTTGGATCAGCATACATTTCAATAAATTCTGGATTAATATTAGAATCAAGGACAACCCAAGCTCCACCACGCAATTCACCCTTAGGAGGGATATAAATGAAACATGGTTGATGGTAGTTAACCAATTCATCAACAACAAATGAACCATACTTCAAAATTGCATCGAACATATCTTTTTGTCCACCACTAAAACCACGCCAATTTGCAATAATAATAAGAGGTAATTCTTCAATATTAAAGTCCCGTATTGCCTGAGCTGTTTTATATGCAGAATCAGGAAACCAAATCTGACCTGGTCGTACTATTCTTAATTCACTAGTATGAGGCATTACAGGATCAGCAGGTTGTACAAACTCAGTTACACGAGTTTCTACTAAGATAAATCCTACAGGAATACCTCCAATTCTTCCTCTACCAACAATGACACTTTTAGCCCAATCACTCATAACCTCTTGAAATGATCCTCTATCACACAATCCTGATAGCCAATGTCCTTTAGAATCCATACATCCAGTTAACATGAGGCGTGGATCATCTGTATTACTGTTGCAATTGTAGGTAATATTACGATATAGGGGATCTGTAGGATCAACCATTATTGGTAATCTTCCACCAAAACATTCTGGAACATAACTGAGCCACCTAAGCAGTTCATAACACCCATCTAAGTCATCTTTCACAACTAAATGGGTAACCCCATTTTTGGCCATAACTTCGGTACCTCCTAATTCATCATTGCTACTATATATATCCTTAGCAACCATTTTATTTAAAGCTTGATATCCAGTCAGAACAATTGGAGCACCATGAGCCTTTTGTATTACACGATGACCTAACCTAGCTAAATAAGCACCGATCCCAACTGTGCGAGATGTTACATATGTAATTGTAAATATAGACTTTGCAGCTTTTGATGTTTCCCCTGCAATTCCACCACTTCCACACAAGTTTTCAACTCCTAATCCTGTTTGTGCTCCAACAACATCTTTTATTTTATAAATTTTTCCATCTTGAGGGTGATCTATAATTTCTGCATATATACTATTTTCTAAGTTATATTTAATATAATCTTCTTCTGTCACATAAATATATTTATAACCCTTTATTGGGTGCTCTGGATCTATAAATTCAACACGTAAACATTTCTGAACTTCTGTTGCTAAACCCATTCTAGCACCACTATTTGCTGCAATGAATATTCTTGGTATTCCCAATAATCTAGCATATTCTGATGCACGCTGAAATAGTAAATCTTCCTGAATTCCAAATGTACCCATCTGATGTGTAATATCATTGCCAATAAGTATAACACGTCTACCTTTTGGATATTCTGGAGTATGCATTGTTAAAAACCATGCAACCATACCACATGTATTACACCCTGGCTCTCTCTTAACATACTCTAATTCTCCTGTTTCACAATTAAGGTCAAGTTCAATCCACTCCAAGATTTTATCTGGTAAAAATGCTGTAGTTCCATGTTTAGATTCAGTATTATTGGTACCACCACAATATAATGAGTTACGAGATTTTAGTTCAACAGAGTTATTTGTCAAGATATTCTCTAATGGAGCTGTTACAAAGTATTTTGGACATTTTTTCCACAAGCTCTTAATTGCTTCTTCAAGTAAGTCTAGAAAATCATATATATATACTGTATTCAAATCAGTTGCCTGAGCTCTTTTCTGATCTATTTTTCCAATTAATGGATGAGGTACATCAAGTGGTTTCCCATCATAACCATTTTCATACTGAAGATGAGGAGAACCCAAAGTTATTTGACATCTTGACGAAGGAAGACTATAATTTTTAGAAATTAAGGTATTTCCATCGATTTTATTATTTTGGGATGCATATAAAATAGATATGTTGCTATTATTCAGAGACAAAATATTCACAAACGACTGTTTTGAGTTTATTGCTGCAAAAATTTTTTTGCCACCTGTTATAGGATTTTTAACTTCAAAAAAGCTCCTTAATCTTATGGCTTGTCCGGTAGGATTATCAACAACAAATCTGACAGGAACAATTACATTGTTACTATCCTTGCTGTATACTGAACGTTGAATATAGCGAAATTCTATTGTTTTTAAAGATGTTTGTTGAATTCGTTGTAAATATCTTTGAACCAATGTCCTTACTGCATCCTCTGACATACTGGCTGTGATGAAACCAGAGTTTTTGTTGCTCAAGATACCAATAGATGTAAACAACATATGATGTAATCCCGTGGCAGTACTTAAACGTGATATGTTTGAAGATGCCGAAAGTGTGTAATTTTGATCATAGGATAACCAAGACTCCAAGGTACTTAATGCTGCAATAAAGTATCTCTCTTGTTCTGAAAAGTAGTTTTCACTGCATTCATGTTCTATAACAACTCGAATAAAATAGCGACGAGACTTAGATATAGAAGAAGTAACAGTTGAAGCAATATTATGGGTTATAGGGTATTTCTGAGATTTTAATACTTCACTACTTCCAGATTGAGAAGCCAAATTAGGGATAGGTATAGATGTAATACCAGTAATACAAGTTGATTTACTCTCATTTCCACTAGCCTTTGGTGAACTTGGTTTTTTATCAAGTGGAAGAGATATTGAATCTGTTTGATTACCAGATTTTAGATCTATATCTTTAGAAGATACAATTAAATTATCATTCATAGATTTAATTATTTCACAGGGAATGGCAACATATAAATTTATCCCTGGTAATGAACTTGGAATTGGTGTAACATTGAAATATCTTAATCTTTTCAATTCTAAAGTACTTAGAAGTGTACTACATACATTTCTTATATATTTCTCCTCTACATATCCATCTCTAACAATACTTTTGTTTTCATTTGTATCAATTATCTTCTCATCTAGGTTTTGTAGCTTGTGAGGAATAGCTACAAGTGACCGGAAATGATAGTAATATGGTGAATTTGGAGAAACCAGACTTGCAGATAAAGATTCTGACGAATTATTTTCCATAAGTGGGAATAATACAAAGGAAACCATATATATATTGTTTTTTAAAAGTCTTGGTTGATGTTTATTAAGTATACTTTCCAACTTAATACTTGGATCATTTGAAGTTTGAGTTCTAGTTATATCTTCTTCATCTTTAACTTTATTATCTTGGATATAGGTTTCTGCATTTGGAGATTTTGACAAAACAACTAGAAGGATATAAGAATCAACAGAAGATGGGATATGAGGGAAAAAATTGTGTAACAAATATAACTCATCAATACAATTAGCAAAATTTTTGTTTAAGTCCTCAATTGATTCAAAATATAAACCAATAGTTGTCTGCATATGTGATGATTCCTCAATTAATTCATCAGATACATTGCTGGAATTAGTTCCACTAAATGCATTTAACATGCATTGCCAGCGGCTATTATCCTTGAGACCTTCACTGTTAGTTAAATACATGTTTGGAGTTGGTGAACTATTAAATTGCTTCAAAGCTTTTAAATTTGGTTTCCTTCCGCACTTTCCCACGTCTCCTTCAATTTCTAAGTTCGAACCAAGCCTTATAACTTCCTGAGGAGTAGTTGATGAACGTAAGATGTCACAATGGTTCTGTAGAAATGATGATGTTAACAAAGCATGATGTGTCCAAACAGCTAAAATCCTATTGTAAACTTGATTAATATTTATTGGAGATCCACTTGGAGTAGAACAAATCGAATTTAAAACATGAGAATTATTATTTTGAGTTCCACTATTATCAAGTGATTTGCTCCAAGTTTCGCCACAAGACTTGATAAAATAAAAAGAAAGACCACAGCGTTCATAATGACGTCGAATATAAATTTCGCAAGCCAACTTCGATATTTCCGGATTCTCATGTCCCCAACAAGACAATAGTGCAAAATCTGGAAAGTTAGAATAATCAGCTACTAAATTAGAAATTGTCATTGAAAGATTTGTTGAACCACTTCCTGAATTAGTGTTGTTATTAGGACATCCCCAGCAAGGATTTGGAGTACTTAAGTTCAACTGTAATGGGGATGAAGGAGTATTTGAAATTGAAGTAAGATATGGATAAACATTTGACTGTATACGATATTGCTGAAAATCATATATTTTCATTGCCACTAAATTTACTTGAGACATCATAGTCGTGTTTTCCTTCATTAATAATACATGACGATATGCCCCTGCTATCATAGTATATTCTACAGATGTTAGTTCTGCTATTTGATGAATTGTATCATGAAATGGTGCAGTACATTGTAGTAGATCATGATTATTAACCATTTCTTGAGCAATAACCTCTAAAATATCATTTTTTACCTTTAACTGTTGGTGAGAACGACCCATCTCCATCAAAGTCTGCAAATCATATTCTGTACGCATACTAGGAATAATCCTAGCTGAGATAAGAGATGACCTCTCTTCAAATTGCTTCTCAATTTCAGTGTATCGCACGAGAATATCATGCAATTCATACATTAAGCGCATCCAACGTCCCTTTTCGTTACGACGAATAATATATAATAAGGGTTCGTACTGTGACCTTGTAGTTACATAAGAGTCAACTGAATTAGATTCACCATTATCTGCTTCATGAATTGCTTGCTCGATTATTTCATTTATCAAACGGAGGCTTTCCATACAAAGACTTTCTAGCTCAGTTTTAGAAGAGGCTGTCAAAGCTTTCTTGCGCAATTCTTGTAAACTGAGTGAAATCTTATCATCCTCAAAAAATTCACTCTGTTCACCAGGTGTATCCTGGTATTTCAAATATTCATCGGAAGATAATGGGGAAGAAGTTATTTCTTCAAATTCAGTTGCAATTGAGGGGGAAGACGATATAGGTGTCTTATTCTGTTTTGTTGATTGAGAATCTGTGGAAGTATCTAATTTACAAGTTGAGTATTCATACGTCTCAGAATTATAATCAGATAATTTCTCTTTGTTATAACATAAGCTGCTAGTACTTTTTTCTAATTCAAAAGCCTTATACCAATGTTTGTCACTAACTGACTCAAGTAGTTTAAATGTATTTTCAGTGAGAAAAAGAATCTGGCTCTTAATATATACTGGTATCAGTGGTGCAGCAACTTCACATGCTTCCTGTATTTCAATAAATGGAATCGCTGGATCTAGAACATGATAAAACATTTCTAGAGCAGAAGCTACATCTCTGTATGAGGGATAATATCCAGAAAAAACGTTTAACAATTGCTGTTGACCTTCACGAAAATTAGCCAATGCAAAACTCCTAGGTTTACCCCTAAATCCACCTGAACAAAATGTCTCAAAGGCCAATTTTGGAACTTTAATATTTTGAGATTGAGGAAATGGTAAAGGATAAATGGCCAAAGTTGGGGGTTCAAAACCTGAAGGTAATTCCAGTAGTGCCAGAATATCTCCAATATTAAATGATGTTCCTTGAGATTTTGCATGCTCTAATTTCCCAGTGTTAGACAATGTCACTTGCATATATGTCTTCATAATCTCTACTTCAGCATAAGGTTGACCTTTCTCACCTAGTCCACCGTTTGGAATTAACCATCTAACTAACTTTCCACTTACAGGTGCTCTAACTTGTCTCGGATCTTGCTCTTTAACAAAAGTATACGTAGCCCCATCAAAAGTAACAAGCATATTATCTTCAGCATCTTTTTTAAAAAAGACACGCCTATTTCGCCCGTCAAATCCACCTGATATTAAATAACAAGAATCTCGACCATTTTGCATAGTATCAGGGTAAATATTCCTTATTTTTGCAATAACTGAACTACCATTCATTACAATTCTCACATGGTTTGGCCCAATATAGTGAGACTCACATATAAATTTAGTTCCTTTGTGTACTAGGGTCATATCATGCTGTACATAAATTGGACCTGGTAATTGACCTTGTTCCAATGCTCTAATAAATCTCTTCTCACTATCTTTAAAAAAACTTATTCCAGTATATGATGCTGCAGCGAATACAGCCACCAAATGTTCAGTAGATACCTTTTTGCATAGTGGAGATGAAAAACATACGCTATTTTCTAACCATTGGGTGTATGTATTGCAATTGATAAAATCATGATTTTCTAGAATTCTGCTCAAAGTTTCAACATTTGTTCGGATTTCTCCACGTATAGTTAATCCCTTTAAACCCATTATAAGATTTTTCCTAGCTTCCTCTCTGTTCATACCAAATGCAAATATATGACCAAATTGGGAATCAGCGTACTGATGAATATTGCCAGGAGAAGCAACAGAAAAATAACCCCAGACAGTTTGAGAGCTCCGAAATGATATCTCAAATATATCTCCACAAGTAGGTGTGAACCCCTTTTCAGCATGTTCAGAAGTAATTCTTGCAGCTATCATATGTTTTGGAGGAGTTTTATTTTCCTCTTTTAATTTTCTGTATTCTTCCACATCTTTAATTTTCTTCAAAGGAATACCCATTGCAATTTGTAACTGAGCTGCAGGTAAATTACAATTGGTTACACCTTCCGAAACGACATGCTCTACTTGAAGTCTTGCATTGACTTCTAGAAATGCAACAGACTTATGTTCCAAATCGTATAAAAATTCTACAGTTCCAGCACAAGAATAGCCGACTGCCCTACACATCCTTTCAGCTGATTTTTCTATATTATCAACAATTTCCTTTGGGACTGTTACTACAGGTCCTTCCTCTATAACTTTTTGGTGTCTTCTTTGAATAGTACAATCCCTGGTACTAAGTGCCATGACGTCTCCATAAACATCTCCTATTATTTGAACTTCCAAATGTCTACACTTAGTTACTGCTCTCATAATAAATACTGGACTTCCTTTAACTTCATTTACAACTTGTCTATAATTAGATTCAATATCTTCTAGTCTATTACATAGCCTTATACCTTTCCCACCACCTCCTGCACTTGCTTTTATCATAACAGGAAATCCAATTCGATTACACACATCAATACATTCCTTTAGATTCTTTACACAAGCTGCCAAAATCTTATCTGTACTAACTGATTTTATTAGCTTTCCATTGCAATCGATATCTACTGTTATATCATCACCTGACCAAGGTACACATGGTACATGAACAGATTGAGCAATTATATTTGATTCTATTTTATGTCCAACAGTTTCCATAGATTCTACTTGTGGACCTATCCATATAATTTTTCTTCTAGCTCTTTTAAGAGCTGCTGGTAACTGGGGATTCTCAGAAGCATGACCCCAACCGGGCCACACTGCATCACACTCATATTCCTCAGCAATTGAAACTATCACCTCTATATTTGCATAATTATGGTAATTCGGGCCCATTGGGACATCTACATAGTAATCTGCTTCGCTAATACATTCCGTATTACTTTCAATATCTTCTGGGGTGGCCATAACTACAAATTCAAAAGCTTTCTCATTACTAAATGTTACATATGCCCAATGTCTCATAGATCTAATACACTTAATAGCTGCTTGACCACTTGTCGCAACTAAAATTCTATTAATTATGTTTGTTCCTCCATTTTGAAAGACAAAATCCTCAACTGAATCATAAACATCTTGTGTCATTGCTAAAAAAATAAGAAACTATATATTTTAAGATATTTAAATATATAATAGGAATATTCGAAAAATATTAGACTAATATTCGTTAAATATATAACTTCCAATGCTTCAAGTATATATTAGTGTAGCAAATCCCTAAAACATTTCTTGATTAGACAAATTCTGTTCAATAAAAGAAACTTTTCACTGTACTTCTAATACAAGGAATTTTATTAGAGCAACTATAGCGCCTGTATATGTTACTGTTCTTGCATTTACTGATTCATAATCTCACATAATACATAGACTCGAAATCGGATAAGACTGGTAAAAGATAGATAAATCTTGGAAATAAGATTTTATTTAAAATATTTATATTCAGTCTAGTTATATCAAAATTAAGAAATTTACTATACTATTATAAGTATTAAATCTAGAGAGATCCCAATTTTTTTTTTTTTCTACTATTCTCTCCAATTAAAAATAATTATTTGATTCACTAATTATGAAGTATTACTAACATTCTTCCAATAGTAAAATGTTCCGTCAAAAAAATCTTCGTTTTCATCAGTCTTATTCTTTCTAGAAGATGACCATGATTTTATTTTATTAGTAGTATTAGTAAATGGAGTAAGAGGTTTATCATCAAATTCGGTTAATCTTAAGACTTTTCTTTTTGCAGCGTTTTTAGTCTCTATATATTCTGTTTCTGCCCTAAGTTTAGCTACTTTTGCATCTGTTTTTGGAATTAAAACTTTGTTTATATACAATTCTTGCATAGGTCCAAATGTCTCATTTTTAATTTGTGTCATTTCTCTATATAACTCCACTAAAGGGAAAGACTTTTTATTTATTGGAGAAAATCCATCAGTTCTAGTCAGTCCTGGCATTGAATAATCAGAACTATTGGAATTGGGAGATTGTACCACATTATCGAGTGGAATAATTCCCAATAAAGAAGCATTTGATAGCTTAATAAAATACCATGAAAATCCCCAAAGTATGATTAAGTATAATATCAAGTTACATTCCAAGAAATTTCTTAAAGCCATTTTCGATAGATTATTTTTGTAGAAGTTATATAATATTTGAATTTATTCTCTAATTATTTTGAGACATATTCTAGATTCCAATCCACTGGAATATAGAAAATTCCTGCATGTATATATCAAACCCTAGACTCTACAGGTTATTCTTCGATATAAAAATATTTTACAGGAAAATTCTATTATAAGTTTATTATTAGATATATGTATCCAATTATTTATATTGTCAAAGTGAACAATAGTTGTTAATATAGAAGATAAGTGCAATAACTTTATTTTATTATATCCATCCAAAAAGTGCTAAAACTACGACAATTTACATGCATGCAAATTGTCATAGCCACATCATTAACTCATTTACCTATTAGGATATAGCAGAATTTCAAAATGACCTTAATTCCTATTTACAGAGAGTTTGGATAAATAATGTGAAGTAAAATCAATAGATGTGGATATATAATTGGAAATACTTCTGGATAGATAATTGAATAACTTTGAGTAAGAGGAAACCACTTAAAAAAATAGATCAATTTCAAATATGACTTCCAATATAAAAAAAAAGCTATATAAAAGAAAAAAAAATCTAAAATATACAATCAAAAGTAGTTTTAAATAGCTTTTCTCGCAAAATTAGGTAACCCTATTCCTGTGCATGATAAAATAACAATTCCACCATTTTCAAAATCTTCCTTAATATCAAATTCAACATTTGTAAATAATTTCAAATCACGTAAAAACTGGACGCTCATTGGTGTAAGCTTTGATAGCTTAAGTTCAGATTTACTTGAATCTTGAGAAAGAGCCATAAACAAAAGTGTATAAATTTGATGACCTGTATCAACTAGGCTCTGTGAATCTATTTCTAGAAGTAATCTAGTAGCTGTTAACCATCCAATTCTTTCCCATTCAGTCATATTTTCAATATCATCATCAAAATAAAAAACATCGTCACTAATATCAGTTACATCATCTTCAACTTTGAGTTCAGAATCATCTTTAACCTCATCTTCACTATAGTGAGATTGCAAATCTAAGATCTCCTGTAAGTTATTAGAATTTGATGAGAAAGAGAAATCAGCACCTTTAATAACTCCTTTTAAAGTCTCAGATATTAAAGTCATTCCAAATCCTGTATTTTCTTCTTGGTTATTAGAAGAATCTATTTTCGGTTGATCATTATATATCCATACATCTGGTATAAATCTATTTAAAACACTCCTTGCCTTAGAAATCATCTTCATAGTAATTTGATTTGAAGTAGCACCAGTATACCAAACAATACCACGAATCCTCTTAACTCTCCCAATATCACCACTCATTATAATTGGCTCAATCTTCTTCATTATAGGTATATTAAGCAAAACAGACCCACTTGAAGATGGAGAAACGCTTCTTCTATTTATTTTTAAAAAAAATTCTTCAGTTATACCAGATAATTTCTGAATCAGGGGAATCGTAACCATACGAATAATATCGATTGAGTGATCTACACCGCTATTATCTGTTGAACCTTCTAATTTTATGGTTAATGGACTTTTGCCAAATGGGCATATCATTAAAAGAAACTCAATATAATATGATAGAGCTCTACTTGGGTGACACTTATGTATAATCGGTATTTGTCTTGTGCCCCCCCCTATTATAATTCCAGGTCTATAATATAAACTTGTACCGGATTCACTGATTTTAAAACTTGATCCATCAGTAACCTTATCCAACAGATGTAGAAGACTTGTTTCAGCTTCATTTAATCCTTTATTTAATATATCATCTGATCTAATACTTCTAATATTTAATTCCTGACCTGTAATTGTTGACAAAACCAGTCTTTGACGAAGAAAATTCGCTCCAGTAAAATTATTCATTAAAACTTTACTTGTCAACCTCACTTAAAAATAATTATTTAACAGTAAGATATACTAAATATTCGTTTCTATAAATATCAATTAATTATAATTTCTTTAGTTACTCCAAAAAAAAAAAACTGTCTATAGAAAATACGCGCACTTCTAAATAGCAGCTTTGCATAAACTACAATAATGCAATGCTTTTTGAAAATATAATATTGAGACAGACTAATAAATCTATAAGATATTTAATATGCAGAAAATTTATAGATTTTGTTGTGATTATTCAGTCAAATAAGTCAAATTATAATTGGATAAATACATAAAGTTTTATTATTATAAAACTATTTTTTAATACTTCTTTTTTTTAATTATTTTCTAAGTTTTATACTCAATATCTAGACTTCTAATACTAGTTTCAAGTATAATTTGTACATTATTTCACAACTTTATTTAAGAAACTAAAGATATAAATACAAATAGCTTTGCGTATATAACAAATATACTAAACATGTTATTCTCTAAGTATAGTTATGTTTCTCTAGTATATTCTATAATAAATTTATTTATTTTATTCTGTATAATTCTTACAATTATTAGTTATATACCTAATAATAATTTTGCTAAAAACAATATAATTTCCAATATTTCTCTTTTTCAGAGTAAAATCTCATATTCTAGAAAAATCTTTTCTAAATTTAGAAAATAACTTTATAATCATATAACTCCAATATAATAAAAAAAATTATCTTAATATATATTTGATATTCTAAAACAGTAACTAAAGATATCAATAATTCTAAAGAAATCTTCAAAATTCTTTAAATCTCCTATAAATAGTGAAACTTCCTTTATAAATACATCATCTAACTATATAGAATTCCTAAAGAAATAGTAATATTAATTAATATATTAATATTTATAGAGGTAAATTTTTTAATAGAAAAGTTCTTAGTTTTGTTTAGAAAATCTATATATGATAGTGTAATAACTCATTTTGCTAGGTAAATTCTCAAAATACTAATTAACTTTATTTTAGTGCTTCAAAACATACATTATTTATATTAATATACCAATATATAATTTATATCACGTTGAGGCATTTATAAAAGCTACATTAGATGTTTTATCTAATAGTATATTATTGCATCTGTACTATCTATTGTAAGGTTTTATATTAATATAAAATAAATACATACCGTTAATAATTTTTATATTAATAATTTTATATATATCTTACTATAATTTCTATTAAGGTTAATAAAATATTAAATAATACTTAGTTTGAATATTGGAATTCTCAATAACTTTATGCTTAAATTACAGGATTTTATAATATCCAAACAATATAGTTTTATTAATTAGGGAATATTAATTTAAATTTATATATAAATATTACCACTATATAGAATAATATAATTTTTAATTGATGGGATATTTCAAATCTTTTAAACTTATATATAATATCAGCAATACTATTATATATACAATATCCTTAAATGTATTTTCAAAAATAATAAAAGAATTTTCAATTAAAATTTTAAAAACATAGAATATTATAAACAAATTTTTTGTATTAATAAGGGGAATACAAACCTAATATAAACAATTTAATGTTCTCTGTGATAGAGAAGTAAATGATTTACAAATACCTTAGAAGTGAAATAAATTTAGACTTAAAATAATCACTACGAATATTTATCTACAATATTATTTTATTTTGTCTAAAAAAGATATTCTTAAATCAGAATATAAATTTATATGATAATAATAAACTTAGCTTATTGATCTTTGATTCAACTATTTATAATCTAGAATTTGATCTAAATTATCAGTTAATTGGACCATAAAGTTATATTATTTATGAATAATAATTCACTTAAAAAAACCACTAAAAAAGAAAGGTAATGTTTGAAATATTTTAAAAACTATTAAATATTATGTTTAAAGAATATTAGCTAGATTTATATATTGCACCTATAACAAGTAAAAATTATTGTATTGTATTAAAAAATTGACTATAAATGAAAAATTAAATTACTATAGCTATTAATTCCTCAGTAAATTTACTTGAAAAATGGAAATATTGTTGATATTTATACAAGTTTGAGAAATATATACAATTTATATTAGATTTACATGACTATTAGGTGTAACTATTAAGTAATTAAATAACTTATACTTTTATCTATACAGCTCTAATTAGTACTACATATATAATTAGAAGGTATTGATTCGAAGAATATCTTACTTTATCAAGTTAAAAAAGGAAAAGACTTTTTTAGAAAGTAAAATTTGCTTGTAGTTAATAAGGTGGAACTTCAATTTTAAGTGTATATTATATTAGAGAATCTAGATTTTATATGTGCATATCAAGGCTCATTATAACTAGTGAGGATCTATATTAGATCACAATCTCTATTCTCAAGATCTATATATTGACTAATTTCATGCAAATACCTCATTTCCATCCTATCTGCAATAATTAATACTAGATTTATCCTATATTGCAAATATTATAGTTTCAAAAGTATCATAAAGTAAATTACTAATTTATTATTAGTCTGAGACAAAAATTAAATACAAAATTATTTTGTATGTGAAGAAGGTAATATGAAATATAGAAGTAGACATTTTATCAAAATTAGTTGCATCTTTTTAGCGCTAAAATGGCGCTAAAAGGATGGGGCTTGATAATTTTGAGTGTAGTACATCTACTTTTAAGGATACGTTGTTATTAAAAGGTACAAACAATGACAAGTAATCCGGGTGAAATACTCAATTTAAAAGTTATGGCTTTATCTCTCCCATCAACTGATATGCAGATATCTACACTTAGCCTATTACCAGTATGTTGAATCTTATAAGTATATAACAAGTCTTAATAATGGTGTCTAATCTTCCAAAATAAACATTCAAATACATTTAATTTGTTGATTCTGTTAAGAATAATTCAGAATATATTCCGGATGATGATATTTGTGTAGATAATATGTATTCATTGCTAATTCCAACAGTACAATGGTAAGTTAATAAAGACTATGCGTAATTCTCAGCTACTGAGAAGTTTAAACATTCACTTTTTTTTTAATATTTAATAGTCGTCTATATTGTGGAGAATCATTTCAT